ATGTGTGTTGAAGCTTTCACTGAATACCCACCATTAGGTAGATTCGCTGTCAGAGATATGAGACAAACCGTTGCTGTCGGTGTTATCAAAGCTGTTGAAAAATCCGATAAAGCTGGTAAAGTCACCAAAGCTGCTCAAAAAGCTGCTAAAAAATAGATAGCTAGTAATTGAGAGTTTATTATTTATTTCCTTTCTCTACTCTGATTCTCTCTAAGTATTTGATGCCTCTGGTTTCCTCAAGTTTTAGATGCCTTAGGTTTGTTTAGGTTTGTGATGCCTTATGTTTCGCTGTCAAAATGGCGAGGTTCGTTTGACTCTGTTCTGCGGAACGTGTAGTTTCTTATCAAGATGCGACTGTGAAATCGCAAGGTTATCTCATAGTCCTTATCAATAACACGTCAAAATGGTACTTAATAGGTATATTTAATGTTTTAATGGATCAAGAAACTTCTTATTATTAAATCAAATAAGTATTTCCTTCTATCCTGGGTTTATGGAGGTTTATTTACGGGTAATTTTCAGAAGCACCTATTCTGACTCTTTTTAACTCTGTTTGACTTCTTATAAAAGCCAAACGAATAACGTAAATTTTTTATTTCTTGATTAACCATGATTAGAGCAAGACAATCATTAAGAAGGATTAGTCCCTTGGTTAAATACTCTGGAGTCAGAGTTAATACCGTCAGTTTAAGATTCATTGCTACTGCTAATACTTCAAGTGAAAATTATAATAAGATCTATGATCCTGATTATAAAACAGTTAAATTTGATAACTTAGATACTTTCACAAGACGTCATATTGGTCCTTCGCCAGACAATGTCAACAAGATGTTGAAAGATTTAGGATATTCTGATTTAGATGAATTTTTAGCTAAAGCTATACCTGAACATGTTCTTTTCAAAAGAAAGTTAAAAGTTCAACCAGAAAATGGATTTACTGAATCGGAAATGTTAGATCATTTGCATGAATTAGCTAATAAGAATAGAATTGTAAAATCTTTCATTGGTAAAGGTTATGCTGGTACTAAAGTTCCACCAGTTATTCAAAGAAATTTACTCGAATCACCTGAATGGTACACATCATATACTCCTTATCAACCAGAAATCAGTCAAGGTAGATTAGAAAGTTTATTGAATTACCAAACTATGGTTTCATCATTAACTGGATTACCAATTGCCAATGCTTCATTATTAGATGAAGGTACTGCTGCTGGTGAAGCTATGTCTATGTCTTTCCATAATTTAAGAGGTAAGAAGCACATTTACGTCATAGATAAAAATTTACACCCTCAAACCATTGAAGTTATCTATTCCAGAGCTGAAAATATCGGAGTTGAAATTTTAGAAATCGATTTAACAACTTCTGAAGGTATCGAATTATTAAAATCCAAATCAAGTGAAATCTGTGGTGCTTTAGTCCAATATCCTGGTACTGATGGTTCAATTCACGATTACAAACAAATCGGAGAAATAGTTCATGCTAATAAAGGTTTATTCGCTATGGCCACTGATTTATTAGCTTTAACTTTAATCAAATCACCTGCTGAATTTGGTGCTGACATTGCATTAGGAAATTCCCAAAGATTTGGTGTTCCATTCGGATATGGTGGTCCTCATGCGGCTTTTTTTGCAACTACTGAAAAATACTCCAGAAAAATTCCTGGTAGAATTATTGGAGTTTCTAAAGATAGATTAGGCAAAAGAGCTTTAAGATTGGCTTTACAAACCAGAGAACAACATATTAAAAGAGAAAAAGCTACCTCTAATATTTGTACTGCTCAAGCTTTGTTAGCTAATATGGCTGCTATGTATGCTGTGTATCATGGACCAAAAGGTTTGAAAAACATTGCTTCAAGAGTTTATGGATTCACCAAAATCTTAGCCGATTCCATCAATGGACACGAAATCGTTAATAACAATTTCTTCGATACATTAACTATCAAATTAAATGGTAAAACTGCCGATGAAATCTTATCCATTGCTTTAAATGATTACGAAATCAACTTATTCAAAGTCGATGATTCAACTGTTTCTTTAACTTTGGATGAAACCATCACAAAAGAAGATTTACAATCATTAATCAAAGTTTTTGGAGGTGATTCAACATTACCAGAAGATTTACCAGAAATTCCAAGTGAATTTTTAAGATCAGATGAAATCTTAACTCATGAAGTTTTCAATACTCATCATTCTGAAACTGCCATGTTAAGATACTTACACTTACTTCAATCAAAAGATTTATCTTTAGCTAATTCAATGATCCCATTAGGTTCATGTACTATGAAATTGAATTCTACTGTAGAAATGTCAACCTTATCAATTCCAGGATTCAATTCTATCCATCCTTTTGCTCCTATAAATCAAGCTGAAGGTTACAAAGAATTAATTGCAGAATTTGAAAAAGATTTAAACGATATTACTGGTTTTGATGCCACAACTTTAATGCCAAATTCTGGTGCTCAAGGTGAATATACTGGTTTATCATTAATCAGACAATACCATAACTCAAGAGGTGAAAACCACAGAAACATTTGTCTTATTCCAGTTAGTGCCCATGGTACTAACCCAGCTTCCGCTGCTATGTGTGGATTAAAAGTTGTCCCAGTTAAATGTCTCGATAATGGATCAATTGATTTAGTTGACTTACAAGCTAAAGCTCAACAACATAAAGATCAATTATGTTCTATCATGATCACTTATCCATCAACTTATGGATTGTTCGAACCAGGTATCAAACAAGCTATTGAAATCGTTCATGAAAATGGTGGTTTAGTATATTTAGATGGTGCCAATATGAATGCTCAAGTTGGATTAACTTCCCCAGGTGATTTAGGTGCCGATGTTTGTCATTTAAATATTCATAAAACTTTCGCTTTAAGTCATGGTGGAGGTGGTCCAGGTCAAGCACCAGTTTGTGTTAAAGAACATTTGAAACCATTCTTACCAAAACATTCATTCTTAGAAACTCCACATTCAACCACTGAATCCATTAAAGCTGTTAATTCTGCTCCTTATGGTTCAGCCGCTGTTTTACCAGTTTCTTATTCATACATCAAAATGTTAGGTGCTAGATCATTACCTTACACTTCAGCTATTGCTATGTTAAATGCCAATTATATGATTGAAAAATTGAAGAATGATTATAAGATTTTGTTCGTTGATGCCAATGCTTCAACTAATGAAGGATTAAAACATTGTGCCCATGAATTCATCTTAGATTTAAGAGAATTCAAAGCTATTGGTATTGAAGCTATTGATGTTGCTAAAAGATTACAAGATTATGGATTCCATGCCCCAACCATGTCATTCCCAGTTGCTGGTACTTTAATGATTGAACCAACTGAATCAGAAAATCTCGGAGAATTAGACAGATTCATCGAATCATTATTATCCATCAGAAAAGAAATTGAAGCTTTTGGTAATGGTGATAAATCCGGTAATGTCTTGAAGAATGCCCCTCATTCATTAGATGATATAGTTTTAACTAAACAAGAAGATTGGGAACAAAGAGGTTATAATAGAGAACAAGCCGCCTACCCATTACCCTTCTTGAAAACATCTAAATGTTGGCCAACTGTTTCAAGAGTTGATGATGCTTATGGTGATATGAATTTAATGTGTACTTGTCCATCTGTTGAAGAAGTTGCAAACTTATAGATTTCATAGATTTTTAATTTTTTTATAACTACGAAAAAGCTCTCTTATACTTTCCTGAAACTTCCTCCAATTAAATATAATTGGTTGTTATGGCATTTGTTCTCAAATGCATTGACAATGTCCGCTCATAGTCCAAAAAATGTTCGCATTTGCTCCTCAGTAAAAGTTAGTCAGTAGGGCTACTACATTGAAGAAAAAAAGATCCTAACAAAATAATGGAATGGAGGAAGAATTCAACGTTTCAAAATCCAAATTATATTCAATCACCATTCTCGAGTCCTACGAATAATCGAAATCAATATTATAATGCTAATTATTCACCAATCTCAGTAATCCGAAATCAACCATTGTTACCACCAAGTTTCCAAGATCAAGCACAAATAAATAATGATTCACAACAGAATAATGAAGATTTCGAGAATCAGAGATTCAGTTATTACATGTCATCATTCCCTTTATATTGTTGTGATTGGACAACTATAAATGAATATGATACTGAATGTATTGCATTATCATCGTATAAAGAAGGACTTAATAATAAATTACATATATTACATGGATTGAAATACGGTAAAGAGGCCACTTTTGAAGAAGATGAAGATATGATCAATGGGAGTTTTGAAAATGATAACATTGAAGGGTTTGATTTCCATAAAGTGTCAGAAATTGATATTGATTATCCTGTTACCAATTTACAATGGGATCCTATGATGAGTAAATATGGACTCAATGAAAGGTTAGCTACATCATCAGAAGTTTTAAGATTATATAAAGTTGATCATGATAGTTATGACAATAATGGAGATTATCAATTAGTACAAACCCATTATTTGACCAACAATAATAGTAAAGCTCAGAAGGAAATGATGACAAATCCTCCAGTTACTTCCTTTGATTGGAATAAAGTTGATAATAGTATCATTATAACGTCTAGTGTTGATACTACATGTACAGTATGGGATTTAAATCGATCAATCTCCATTGATAATCAAGGTCATAAAGTCGATAGTGCAGCTGTCAAAACTCAATTGATTGCTCATGATTCAGAAGTTTTCGATGTTAAATTTTTGAATGATTCAACCAACCTCTTTGCATCTGTTGGTAATGATGGATCTATGAGAATCTTTGATTTGAGAAGTTTAGAACATTCAACAATCATTTATGAACCGTCAAACGATGTAAAAATCAAAAGTTCAAATTCATCATCATATAATTCAAAAGCATTAATTAAATTAGACACTTCTAATATTGACCAACACTACTTAGCTACCATTGGAGTTAATTCTGATCAAATTATAATCATTGATACAAGAATGCCCGGAGTACCTGTTTCAATTTTAGATGGTTCATTTGACGGATTAACTAATACAGCTATAAATTCCATTAAATGGCACCCTTCATCCAATTTCTTATTATCAGGAGGTGATGATTGTCAATCTCTTGTTTGGGATTGTAACAACCTTTTCCAAAATAAGAACGATTCAAGTATGATAATTAATTCTCCTGTAATGGCATATCAAGATAATTTGGAAATCAATAATGTCTGTTGGAGAGGTGGACAAGGTGATTGGATGGGTGTTGTAAGTGGTAAAGGGTTCCAAGCTGTTCTGATATAATTTTTTTTCTATTAGCATTAATGATAATGACGTTCTATTCTTTCTAAAACCCTAAAGTAAGACAAAACCCTAAAGTAAGACAAAATCCTATTGTTTCAGATATGTCGCAATGTCGCCTATTTCACTCGTATAACTTTTCATTTCAGTGTCGTATCTGACTTTTAGTCTGCCCCTCTTCATCTGTTGTTACTTTGAAGGTCCCCTTAACGATGAAAACATAAACAACTTCTCTATAAATAATCCAATTACATTGGCAGATCAATATGCAAATCATCAGCCTTAAAAAAGGTACACAAAAGTTAATTTAATTTTAGATTTGAGACTACTTAACAACTTTGAAATTTCACTACCAGAATTTCATTACCTTCAGTTTTTTTTCCGAAACTTTTCAGATTATAAAGAAGAAACCAGTTCAATTCAACTATATTTGATACAGAAATCAAACTAGCTGATTTGAATTGTGTGGAATTAAATTTCGTCTAATTATAAACTTTTAGGTAAAAATTAGGTTAAGGAGAAGGGTTTCTGAATGAGATTAATCAATTTTACATGGAAGAGGGATGGGAATTCAACTTTGAGTCAACAGAGCATTGATGTCAGTGGTAATAATGATAGTGATGATAATGATAATGGAAGCAATGGTAGTAGAGCAGATTCCGATGAGTTTAATGATACGGCTGATTCTGAAGATTTAAGTACTTCCCACGATGGTGCTAGTACCAGTAGTACCACGAGTAGTACCAGAATTAGTGCGACGGGGGGCAACAATAGTAATAGTGCGACAAAAACCGATTCCTCATCGTCTAAATCTTCGTCAATGAATAGTATTTCGACAACTTCCCTGCCGACTTCAACTGACTCAACTAGACCTTCTACAATGTCATTTGCATCTACAGGGCCAACTACATCCTCCAGTAATGGTGCTATATCACTGCCAGGATCTCCTACAACTTCCAGTTCTATTTTTAGCACCAGCTCACCATTTTCAAGTACTGGTAGTTCAAGCACAAGTAGTTTTAGTACTTCCACCACACCAAGTTCATCCACAGAATTTCCAACCAGTTCATCCACCCCATTCACATTTTCATCATCATCATCATCATCAAGTTCATTCATATTCAGTTCCCTGAGTTCATCATCATCAGCCACCTCATCATTTTCAAGTATATTTTCCACTTCTACTCCATCAACTTCATCATTCATAGCTTCAAGTACCGAATCAAGTACTTCTTCTTCAAGTGAAATTGCTCCTACTTCAAGTAGTGTATTTTTCGCTCCATCAAGTAGTGAAACTTCGGAGTTTATTGCTAGTTCTACATTTGATAGTTCAAGTTCCACTACATCTTCAACTTCAAGTAGTGAAGAAGAATCTATAACTTCAGCACCATCTACAAGTTCAACTTCAAGCTTTACTCCTTATTCAACCACATTATCGAAACATGGAACCACTTTAACTACAGTCATAACTGTACCCACATCCTCAACCGAAGAAAGCCACGATTCTGGTACTTCTGATAGAAATGCCAAATTAATAGGAGGATTAGTGGGTTCGATAGGGGGTACCATTGTTATTGGATCTTTGGTATTATTATTCTTATTCCTTAGAAAACGTAGAAACAACTCCCTCAAAAATCAATCACCGGATTTCAATGAAGACGTTTCTGATGAATCAATGAACAATGATAAATATGGATTTAAGAAAATCTTTGGATCCAAAGCTAACGATGAAAGTCATTTGAAAGGATTGGATCACATACCTCCACCACCAGCTGATTTCGATGACAATGATTATGAATATAGAGGGGTTACTAATAGTAATCTTGATTCGGTATTCAAATCATCAGTTTCAAATTCTGCAAATAATACCACCGGAGCTAATACGGGACAAAACAGTAGTAGGCATACTAGGTATAATTCATTCGCTCAACCACAAGGAATGGCTGAAGAAGATGATGGATTTAATTTCAACGGATATCATAATAATGAAAATTATCAGGAATTAGATCAACCAGCTCACATCAGAGGGATTTCAGATGATTTTGATCCTTCTGACATCGATGAACCAGAAAATTTACAAATCAGAGGTAATGTTTTTGGTGATAGTACAGCCAGTAATAATTCTAGGTCTAGATTTACTGAAGAGATTATATAAAAAGTTAATATATTGGGTAATAATAAAAAAACGAATTGAAATGACTATGCAGCAGATAACTTATCTTTTTGGGGTGGTCTTTTAATGACTTTCCATGAATATTTCAGGAACTTTTCATGAACTTTTCAGGGCTTCGGTTAAAATTTTCACGAATTTTCCACTTGTGATGCTTCAGACACACCATTTTCTCTTAAAACCAGTTTGAAAAACTCCAACAATTCAAAATCACTATATTTGTGATCTCCAAAGTTAATACCACCGTTTCCGAAGATCTCTTGTCTTTGATTCAAATCACCAAAGATCTCTTTAGTAAACTCATCATTAAAAAGTAATCCTTGATTATAATTTTTATGTTCAATAATAACTGACCCATTTTCCATCATATTGTAAGTTCCTTGTAACTCCAACCTCAACAACTCTCCATTATTCTTCAACTCTGGTCCTGACCAATATTTCAACCAATTTTTATGTGGACCCTCAATTACCTTATATGGATATTTAACCTCTTTCTGTAATACACCGAAGGCATATCTGGTGAACTCTTCATCGTTCCAACACACAACAGTCGTTATCACACTGATAATGCTTATTAAAGAAAACCACTTCATGTAGAAATTTGAAAATTTTTGCAATTATTTTATAGTTGAAATTTAAGGAGGTGGGATAATTTAAGGTTACTAAATTGAGAAGTGTAATGACATTAATTTGCAACATAAAGAAATGATGTTTTACATTGTTATTAGGTGAAGGATTTCATATGGCGCTCTACTGTTGTGATCCAAACAGCATTCTGATCTGTCGTTTTAGGGTTGTTGGAGAGATGAAGTAGATATAGTGATGTGCTGGCTAGATTTAGGGCTCGGAAATATTCCATTGAATGATCTCACTATGATCCCTGACTTTCTTTTGACCAGGTGTGGGTTAATCTAGACATTTTTATAGAGATTTCATATTGTTTCATAATTTTTCCACCCGAAACATCGTTAAGTTATTTTATATGTAGTAGAGAATTTTATAACGTTTTACATGAAAATTAGAGGCATAGATCATGCGTCAACCTTAAATGTAAGCTAGTTCGTCTAAATTTACGACCCAACTGCTATTGTGAAACATGTAGATCATTTATTTCGTATGAGACATTCTAAGGTTAGTTCTATACCTTCCCAATCGGATTTATATCCCCCTAACTATACCACCATTTATTCTGGTGATGATAATTCTTAGGAAACAGAATTTTTGATTTTCGCACTGAGAAAATTTTCACCATGTCTAAAGCTATAGCTAAGAATGTTATGGTTAAATTAATAGTGGGTGCTGGTCAAGCAGCTCCAGCACCTCCTGTTGGTCCAGCATTAGGATCCAAAGGTGTTAAAGCTATTGATTTCTGTAAAGAATTCAACGCCAGAACTGCAAATTACCAACCTGGTACTCCAATACCTGTTTTATTAACTGTTAAACCTGATAGAACATTTTCCTTTGAAATGAAATCTCCTCCAACTTCTTGGTTATTATTAAAAGCTGCCGATGCTAAACAAGGTTCAGGTAAACCAAGTTCTGATAAAGTAGGAGAAATCAGTTTAAAACATGTTTATGAAATCGCTAAAATCAAGAAAACCGATGATAGACATAAGAATATTGATATGAAATCTATTGTAGGAAGTATCATACTGACGGCGTCAGTGGTTGGAATCAATGTCGTTCCATAGATCAAACTCGATCACAAAATTTCAAATCAATCACTAGAGTACTAGAGTCACATCAATTATCTGTAAATATTAAATGAATGTCATCTATAATACATTTTTTCTATTTCTTCTTATTTTTTTCAAAAGCTGCAATATGGGCTTTTGTTTGATCAACTTGCGTGTGATCATGGTCTTCACATTTGACGGCTTCGAAATTAATAGTTCCGTCATTATTATATCTCTCTTCTACAGTACACATATTAACTGACTGTAACCAAGGATCTTTTAAGGCATCATCAATATTGACTCTACATGCTGGAGCCAATTCCACCATTTTTGAAATCAATGGCCTACAGTCCTCTGGTAATGCTAACAATAATCTTCCAGCACCAATTTCATTAGATGTATGAGATTTACCCTCAGATTCTTCCTTTTCCTCTACTGAGGGAACAACTTCTGCAATATCACTGAGGTCACTGAGTCCTCCATTAGTTTCTGGAGTTTTCTTCAACATTTCACTTATTGGAATCATTTCACCTCTACTAGCAAATAATTTGAATGAGTTATCTGATAATTTAGGTACTTTCCAAGGGAATTTCTTTAACATCATACAACAATAGATTATGGCAGCTGACCAAACATCTACTGGTCTAGGATCATATTTACTGAAGACACATACCTCAGGTGCTAAGTAAGGATCAGATCCAACGATACCTTGAGATTCAATCAATGTTTTAGAAAATGGATATGAAAATACTACGGCTGAACCAAAATCAATAATTTTAACGATACCTCGGGTGTCAATGACACAATTATCCAATTTTAAATCTCTATGAGCCAAACCCATAGAATGTAAATAATGCACCCCGGATAAGATTTGCTTAAAACAACAATTGATTTCTTCTCTGGACATTTTATTAGACATGACAATGGCAAATAAATCATAATCACAATATTCCATTACTTGCAAGATATGATCATTTTCATAACAAATTTCAATAGTTTCAATGATATTTGGATGTTTTAAAGTGGACCCAATACAATATTCACCAGTGATTTTTTTAGCATAATCTCTTTTACTTTCATTTTGATATTTAGCTCTAAATTCCTTAACAGCGAACATTTTCTTATCACTAAATCTGGTAACTAATTTGACTGCACCACCAGCCCCAGCACCCAAATTTTCTCCATATTTACTATATCTTTTAGAAAAGGGTAAATTTTGTTGATTGGAGATTATAGAAGAAACTGAACCTCTTCTTTCGTGTTGGTAATTAATTTTATTTTGGAAAGATGAACTGATTCCAGGAGAATTATTCATTGAACTCATAGAACTGTTGGTAGAATTAGTAGTCAAGTTGATGGAAGTGACTGGGGTATTGGCTAATGAATTGTTTTGGGATCTTAAACTTGAGGATAAGTTTGAAACCTGAGAAGTTGGTGTGGTACCAGTTTTTTTGAAAAATCTTTTTAAATTGGCCATAGAATTATGTCTAGAAACTGGAGGAATTGAGCTTTGATAAGTTTCAGTTGAAGACATTGATGAAGGAGATTCCGAAACTGGCTCATGGGAATTATTATAGAAACTTCCAAGATCAGTTGATGAACCACGAGAAATTGGTTTGGTTTTTGTTGAACTATTACCAAAGAAAAATGATAATCCAGATTGAGAACCACTTTTTTGACTTGAACTTAATGATTGAGCATGATGCTGAGCTACTCTTTGTTTAGAAACCACAAATCTAGAATCAATACTAGAAGAATTAACTTGTGGAGACAGAATATGAATGGACGAAATGGTTTGTCCATTTGGTAAATTTGGGACATGAGAATTGTTATTTTCAACAATTGTACCAGGACTAGTTGAACTTGACAGGGATAATTGTGATCTTCCACCTGGTGCTGAGTAAGGTATTGATGTGGATAAACTTTCACCATAGTTTAAGAACGATGAATGTGATAATGAATTAGTTCTAACAACTCTTGGACTAGCATTCATTGGAGGTTTTATAGGAATTCTGTTTAAAGAAGTTAAGCTATTCATACTTCCAACAGACACTCCGCCATTTTGTCCGAGATCCTTATCATTCTTAGGGATAGCTCTAGAATATGAAGCGGTACCCAAGTCTTGCTCTTCAACTTCAATAGGTTCGACTGTTACAGTAACGCCATCACTATGACCAATATCATTATTTTCATTGAGTTTGGAATTAAAAGTTATACCATCGGAATCATTAGATGAATGTGAAGTCTTAGCTAAGTCTTTAGAACTATTGGATTGTTGAGGACTTGCTTGATTGGAATTTGATTCGTTCAATAACCTAGTTAACGAACTTACTGGTAATTTCTCCATCAGGGTTTAAATTAAAATGCTTTGATAACTTATTAATGACAAATGTTTCAACAATACTTCGGATAAGGGAATACTTAACTGTTTAAGTATTAAATAAATAATTTAAATTAAAAGATTATGGGAGTTTTTTATTATTTCCTTGATTAGAATTTTCGTTGAGTGAGGATGATAAGGCAAGAGATTGAACGGAAATATGGATGGGTATTGCTATGGAAAAACATCTCTAGGTTAAGTCATAGACTGTTTAGAGGAAACTTTAAGAATATACTTGAAAGGTTTGGAAGTTCATCCGGAGATTTTATCCCCAGAATTTATATGCTTCTTAGCTTATCTTATTACTCCTATTCTCATTGATCAAAACCTACTTCTTATCGATTACATAAGAGATTATGTAAGCGAGAAATTTTATAAATTCATATATTTCTATTTCTTACTCTTCTTTGATTTAGAGTTGGATTTATTGGATTTGATGGCATTAGTAGCTGAACTGACATCTTCCGGGAATAATACTTCTTTATTGATTTGTTGTCTTAAGAAATTCAACTTGGATTGTAATTCTTCAGTATCTTGAGGTTTTTCAGTTAAATCTTGTTTTTTCTTTAATTCAGCTAAATGTCTTTCTTTAGCTTCTTTTAATCGTTGTTCTTTAGATTTTGACATTTCTTCAATCTTTTCTTGTCTTTTCCTTTCAATAGCACTTTGTTTTTCAACTCTACTTATAAGTTCTTCTGTTTTGTCGAATATAGTTTTCTGTAATTCTACATCTTGAAATTCTTTTCTACTAGGTTTCAATACTTTACATTCTTGAATTAATTGTCCCCCATTCATAGTGAGGAATATAGGTGACCATAATGCAAACAAGAATGATTGTTGACCCTCATAAGCATTTTTGAAGAAAATGAACCATATAGGATATAAAATCATATAGATTATAAGTCCCCAAATAGATCCCATTGACAAAAATCTTCTTGTACTTGGAGTTCTCATTAAACCTGGGTTAATGAGATTTATTTTAACGTTGGTTGGGGCTTTATCCTTTCTTTCATATTCATTACACCTTCTTTGGAAATCTTTGGCGAACAATCCGAGTAATAACTTGGAAGTTCCATATAATTTGTAAGGTTTTCTCGTTTCATATCTTGTATTTTCGAATACTAAATCATTCAAATCTATTTGACCTAAAGCTTGAGTGGCACAAGTGGCTATTAATACTCGAACGTCTCTATCAGGAGGCTGTGATCTCAAACTAGGAGCCAACAACGTTAATAAATGATAATGAGCCAAATAATTCACACCCATTTGTTTTTCGATTCCGTCAATAGTGGTTTGTCTGGTTTTACCTATAGGAATGGTTTCTGCTGCACAACAGATCACACCATCTAATCTTCTTGGTGGCTGATTATCTAACCATTTAGTAGCAAACTTTCTTACAGAATATAAAGAATCCAAATCACATTCTTCGGCATAAATCATGAAATTATCAGTACTCTCTCTTAAATCTTCAATATACTCGATTAACCAAGAATCTTGGACTGATCTGACAAGTAAGATTATTTGAGCTCCTTTACTTGCTATTTCTCTAACTATTTCTGCCCCCAAACCCGAGGTACCTCCAGTGACCATATAAACTTTACCATGCATATCTCTTTCCCAAGTATTTACTGAGCCTCTAAAATAGTATTTAGTGATACCCAAAGTTAAAGCTAAAGGGCCATAAGCTTTGATATAGGGCCAACCGGGAATGATTTCTGGCCCATTAACAAAGGCATTTGTCAATATATCGATAGGCATTGTTAGGACTTATCTGAGGATATATCGTTCACGTTAAATGAAATTACCGCGACTTAAGTTCATCTCATCTCATGGAAGAATCAGTATTTTACATTGGGAAAGGAAATCCTGAAGATAAGCATTCCCAAGAATCATTTGGTACTGTTGCTTCCATTCATACTTCAAAAGTATTCCAAAGTTTCAGACAAGGTGATTGTAATAGATATGCTTCTAAGATTTCAGGTATTGGTAATGGTGAAAAATTATTTGTAGCATCAGAAACTAAAGCTTTGATTAACGTTTATGTTTGGGGTAAAGAAAGTGTAGATCAACGTATGCCTATACCAGAACCATTGTCATGTTTGGATGTTGTTCATTTACCAGTTTCAGAATCAGAAAGTAAAGGAATCCCTAATTATAGAGTTCCTTGGTTATTAGCTGGAGGAAGTAAATCAGGTAAAGTCTATGTTTGGGAATTGCTTACAGGTAATCTTATATTTGTTAAAGATGTCCATTATCAAGCTATCAATGTGTTGAAGTTTTCACCATGTGGAAACTTCTTAGTTAGTGGAGGTGACGATTCCAGATGTATTATCTACAAAACTGAAGATTTAGTTTCGGGAAGAGAAGACGTTAAACCTTGGCATATAATCAATGATCACACATTAACAGTTACTGATTTGACTATCAGTGAAGGTCTTATCAACGATGTCAAAGTTTATACCACTTCTAAAGACAGTACATTAAGGGTTTATAACATTCTCAAAAAGGAATTATTAACTACATTTGTTTTACCTGCCAGCATCGATGCCATAACAAAAGATCCCGTTGGAAGATATCTTTACGTTGGATTAAACAATGGAACTATCAGATCGATACCGATGTTCAAGATCAATAATTCTGTTTTAGAAGCAGTTGGGGGCATAGGTAAGATCATAACCGTTGCCAATGATCCAGAATTAAGAGAGACATTTTCATTCCATTCTAATAAAATTACACAATTACAAATATCTATGGATGGTACCAAATTAATTAGTGGTGATGATCAAGGGTTCATATATGTGTCAGATGTCATATCCAAACAAATCATTAAAGACTTTAAAATCAATTCAGGTGTCAGTTGCTTGCAAGTATTAACTTTCCCTACCGATGTCTTCAGTGATTCATTAATCAATGATAAAAAAACAAGATTGATCCCACCTTTCAAAAGGGTTTTAAACGATAAATCTCAATTAGAACATGATATTTACTTTGAAATCCCTTCGAATACCCAACAAGAATCAAGTTTCGAACATTGGATCAATGAAAAAGCCCAAGAAGAATTGGATTTCAAAACTTCCGAGTCTGTTGGTAATGATAAAGTTAAGATCTCAAATGCTTATAATGAATTAAAATCCAAGTATGATGAATTATTGAATGACCATAAACAATTATTAAATCAGTAGATGTAACCATAAAGGGAATTGTCCCGACACCTGGCAAAAAAGAATTGAAACTTCAAGGGAACCATAATAATAATAAACAAAAATAAATAAACAACAAATATAGAATATTGGGTCATATAAGTCATTTGGATTCTCTACTGATAGGTTTGGAAGTAGTGGTATTATATCCCATTAAGGTTATGTTATCAGGTTGACCTAAACTAACCATTCTGGTTTTAACCCTAGATCTACCCCTGCCCTCGTTTTCTAATAAATCAATTTCTTCCGATTTCTCTATGGTTTGGGACTCAGAATCAATATTGGTAGGTTCAGCAGAAGATGTGATTTCTGAATCTATGGTAGAAGACTCCGACATCTCCGTATAAATGGTGGGATTATCTTTGTGTCGTTTTGATGGTGATGATAAATCGGATCTTCTATTCATAATTATCGCATCGCAATGAGTGAAGAGAAATTAACTAAGAAACAAAGGAAAGCTTTAGAATTTAGAAAAAAGATTGAAAAGCAGGAGAAACCTGTCAAACCAACTAAAGAACCTGAAGCTGAATCAAGTAAAAGGAAAGCCGAAGATGATACACAAATTGAAGGAGAAGTTAAGAAAAAGAGGAAAACGAGAAGAGGTAAAAAAGGTAAAGGTGTAAATGGGGGTAAAGGACCAAGATTTATCCTTTTTGTAGGAAATTTACCATATAAAGTGACAGAAACTGAATTAATGAACCATTTTAAGAACTCCAAACCCGATAGAATAAGAATTAGAGGAGATAAAGGTATTGCATTTTTGGAATTTGATAATGATACAAAAGAAATACAGTCAAAGATGGAAGTTGCCTTAAGAATGCATCATTCTATGATCAAAGATAGAAAGATTAATGTAGAATTAACCGTTGGTGGAGGTGGTAATTCAGAAAATAGAAAAGAAAAATTGAAACAAAAGAATGAAAAATTATCAGAGGAAAGGAAGGAAAGAGTTGTTAAGAAAAAGACAGAAGATATTGCCGGAGTTCATCCTTCAAGACAAGGATTAATTCAATGATTATATATAAAGAATTATAATAAAAAGAACATTAATTATATTACATCTATTACAGTAAAGATTATAAGATATTACATTTTTTGGCTTTTCTAACGGGCCTCTTCTTTTGAGTACTTGTAGTTGGAGCTTTGGAAACCGCTTGTTGAGGAACTTCTTTTGTTGGAGGATCTAAAACTGATCTGATAGTAAAATCAAAAATTTCTTTAACCCCTTGTTGAGTAGCAGCTGAACATTCTAAATATTTTATAGCACCAACTTCTTTAGCTAATTTACTTCCTTGTTCAAAAGTTATTGGCGATAAATTCTTTTCACTCAAATCATCTAAAATATGTAAGTCTTCTCTTAAATCAATTTTGGTACCGATTATTAAAATTAAAATGTCTTTTGGGGAATGGTGTAATAATTCAGGTATCCATTTGGATTTGATATTATAAAATGAATCTGGACTTATGACGGAGAAACAACATAAGAAGATTTCTGTTTGTGGATAACTTAAAGGTCTTAATCTATCATATTCTGATTGTCCAGCGGTATCCCAAAGTCCTAATTTAATAGGTTCACCATCGATCATTACTGATGCACTATAGTTATCAAAAACAGTAGGAATATAATCATTAGGGAAAGTGTTGGTGGTGTAACTGATTAACAAACAAGTTTTACCAACACCTCCATCTCCTACAACGACAGCTTTAATACTTCTCATACCGTTAAACTTTTTTCAACCCCCTATGAGTTTGAGATAAAAAAGTCGATAAAAAATCCACCCGAGACACGACTTTTATAACCAGCATTAAAGTTAGTAAAAGACGGCATTGTAGAGATGAAGAAGGAGGTAAGGGGTTATTGTGGTTTGAATATCAAGTCGATTAGGAAGAAGATTTTCATGGTTATAATGGAATGTTATAGCATGAGAATCGTGAAGAAGGTTTCAATTTACAACATTCTCATTGCCAAGTTGTTACAAAGCCATGGAAACAAACTAGTGATTCAAAGGCGATTTATGGGTTAAGTGATTAAATCTAAGATTTAACTCATCGTCTATAGCCGATATTTCGAAGGATCTGGAATGGTCCAATTATCACATCAAGTCCAAATATGGGATGATTGATAAATGATCCGATTTTAACGCATTCAACGTTTTCCGTGTTGTTTCATTGTAATATCTGAAACATTTTCTAACAAAGCCTTTCTGAGATTTGAAATTATAAATCATATAGGGTGTTATATAAGTGGATCAAATGATTCGAGATGCAAACGCCTCCTCTTAAGTGTGGGCCCTGAATTTAAGGGATTCCTTTCTTTGACCCTTTGATCCGTCTGATGATATGACATCGTAATCATTTCCGAATCAATGATATCATCCCCTAGTTCAGAAAATGTGGTTATCAATCATCACCACCAATCGTTGAACAAGACACTAGAAAATATGATAAGAAATATCGCCGCCATCGTTATCGCGGAAATTTGAAGATTTTTCAACAGTATGAAATATCCAACTTATAAAGAAATTGTACCTGTTGGTACTGTATTATTGATTGCTGCTTCATCATTCGGTTTAGGAGTAGTTTATTCAAATTTGATTTATGATTATCAAACTTTGTGGGCATTCAAAGGTGATACTAAAGTATTTCAAAATTCTTTTAACCATTATTTAAATTGGGCTAGCGCTCCAGCTTATTTACATTACATTTTACATTTTGTTATGTTCTTAGGTATTTTAGGTGGTTTGATCAAATTATACAAACCTTCTGAAGATACTACTTATTTTGAATATGGTACTTTAGGTTTATTTGTTTTAAGTATCATTGTTTATTTAACTAACTTGAGAACGGGTATCAATTCCGTCTTTTTTAATTCATGGGGTGAAGTTAGTATGGAAACTGGTATTAACGTCATTGCTGCATCCCAATTCTTTGTTGTTGTTTTATTGTTTGGAGTTATCTTCTTACAAGGAGGATTATACTTTGCTGAATGGTATGATGGTCAATTAAAAGAAGAATTTTTTGCCAATGAAAAGAAAGAATTAGAAGCCAAAGAAAAAGCTGAATCAATTACTACTGGTGCTGAAAAGACCAAAGAAAAAGAATCTAAAGTCGTTAAGAAGAAATCAAAGAAGGCTTAATAGGTGATCATGACTACATTTCTGAACAGTACTTAATTTATTTTAAAGTGTATTTGTGGTATATGCCATTTTGAAAGTTTCACTCACAATTCTAATATTACTCTACAACTCCAATCTTACTGTCTGACTCCAGTGTCACACTGTTTGTAAGTTCAGTATCCTCTACCAGAAGAAATGTTCGCACAATTTCTAGTCCAATAAAATTGAGAATTTTATAAATTATTAAGATGGGTGTTGCTGATCAAGTTTGGGGTGATTACCCAGTATACTACAAACAGCCTATTAGAGTATGTATTTAAAGTGATCTCGGAACCCAAAGGACAATTCAAACTTCGAAAAAACACTTGGTGTTCATCGATTTACTGGTTGAGTTTTTCAAAGGTGATAGATCGTTTGTACGGTTTTACAAAATGAAGTATCAATATACTAACAATTCTAGTGGTTACGTTATCATGCTCATACAAAACCACATTTCTTCTGGTCTATAGCATTCGGTTTAAGTGGCCCATTATTAATTGCATTCACACCTTTAAGAAAGAAGTTTATTTACGATGATCACGTACCTGTTCCTCAAAGCTATCCATTAGAAGGTCCAAGAGATAAAAATTTAACTGGTTATGATGATTAGTAGCATAATATATTTATTAGTAGTTTACAAGGCTCTTTTATTGAAAAATTGTGTATTAGCTTGTTTTCAACAAGGCGAGGAGACAAAGAAATTCACACAGACTCTAGAACGACTCTAAGTATTCTTAGGAACGTCTAAGACCGTTCGTCAATGAGAATACATCCTATATTTGCACACCAGTTTTGGTCGACAGATTTCTACTGTAAACAGATTTAATGTGCGAGTGAAAAATTTTCCACTATGAATCGATTACCACAATTTACAAGACAGTTTTCACTTTCTTTTAGAAGGTTTAACAATGTCTTTGGAGAAATCACTCAAATCAAAGAAACGCCAGTGATACCAGAAACAGAAACAGAAGTCGAAACCAAAGATTTATCACCAAAAGATGATAAGAATTTACAAGAATTTTACCTCAATGAAGTGAAAGCTAAAGCCATTACTGAAGATAAATTCATTACTCCATTGAAACGTGAATTATATAATTTAAATGTTAAACAAAATGGATTCTTCAAGAACAATCAAATAATAAACCATCAAAATAAAAACTATAAAGTATCATTAACTGAAAAGGAGATTGAATTGTTAGAACCAACTATCTTCTTACAATCAGGAAGAATTAAATCATCAATGAAGAAAGCCACTGTCGTCAATAGATTTGTTAGAGGGTTTAATGTCAAAACAGCTATCAATCAATTACATTTCAACCCAAAAAAGATGTCAACTGAATTAGAAAAATTATTAAAAACTGGTTTAGAACATGCTAAAGTCAAAGGTATTCATGAAGATAAATTATACATTCAACAATTATGGGTAGGATCCGACGGGGAATGGAGGAAAAGATTAGATCCTAAAGGTAGAGGTAGAATGGGGATCATAAATCATAAATATATCCATTTAAAATGTATTTTAAAATCCACAGAAACCAAAAGAAGATTAGAATGGGAAAATTCATTAAAGGATCAAGCAAAGAAACCAAAAACTGGATTAATTAATCAACCTTTAAATTTCAGAAATGTTCCTTTTTATAAATGGTAATCTTATAATTGGTATAATAGCATAGAATAAGTTTTCATATTATTGATAAAACTTAATGATTAGAAAAAAAATTCAATAATTTCAGTATATAATATGTAGTACAGGTTAAACTGTTGGACAAAGTATGTCTTGTAAATAAATGTCTCGTTAGTGTGTACTGGTATTAGTGCTTAGGATAAATTTGAGAAGTCATATCCTCATTTAAATTAAGGAGTTTCCTTTATCCCCCAAAAAAACTTTTTTTTCCCCAATATATAGTACAATATTATAAATAGTAAACGTAGTTTGATATCTACTGTTATTAAAGTAGAAAGTCTGGTAGTATAAGTAGATATTGAAAATGGGGTTGCAATATACGAATTTTTTTGAAAATAAAGATTATGAGACAGATACTCAAATCATTATCTGTAAGGAATGTTCCAGTCATTTATGTTTATCCAGCTTAATTATCAGTGATTCATTTAGTGGATCTTCAGGTCCAGCTTATTTGGTGGATAAGCTTATTAATTTCACAACCGAAGATAATTTAGAAGAGACCCAAATGAAGACAGGGATTTATTTGATTAAGAAGGTTAAGTGTCATCAATGTTTGAATATTTTGGGATGGACTTATAAGAGATCTTATAATTACAGAGAAAGTTATAAAGAAGGGAAATTTGTCATTGAAAAGGCTTATATCAAGACCATTGATAATAATTCATCAACTAAGAATTTGATGGAGTCTGCAAGGAAAAATTATAGAAGGAGGTTAAGTTCAAATTCAACAATTAATTCTTGTGAACTAGATGATTTCAAGGATTTCAAATATATGAGAGGTGGGTTGAAAGATGTTAAAGAAGATGAAAAAGTGTTGGTGGAGTTGTAATTAGTTCACCCGTGAACAGTTCATTTGTGATTAAAGCAATTTGCACGCCACACAATTGGGTTCTGGGATATGGAATATTGCATTACAGATTAAGTAAGCTTTCATTCATATATAAATATGGGATATCAGACATATGGAATAAAGATATAAGTTTTGGAATATCGATATCAAATGGTAGGGTTAAGGTAATGGTTATAATAGGTCATATGGTATTTATTTAGAGAATAGTTAATATATGTTTAAATAAAATGACTCTTTTGACAATTCTAAACGAACAATAAATACACTACTCCGCTATGGTTGTAATGACTAACTCCACTGTTATTCCGTCAAACTCCCGAATTCCAGACCTTTAAATTTATTCCCTTACTGCACGACTTGGTTGCGGCTTTCGCAGTTGCAGGTTGCAAAAAAAAAAGGGTCAGTAGGGCTGGAGAAAAAAGGGTCAGAAAAAGAGGGTCAGAAGAAAAGGGTAAAGAAAAAAGATATGATCTAATGTACATTACTAATCTTTTAAAGTTTAGCACTCTTTTTAGGAGATGATAATGATGGAGGCTGAGATTCTAAATCTTTAGGTTTTAATTTGGAATAAATGAGTACATAAGCTGATGGATCATTTAAAGCTTGTGCTTCACTTATCTTATTAATATATTCGTCATCATAGGTTGCCCAAGTATTATCGGGTTGTAAACAATGTGCAATATAATGGCCTGAAGAAATAGATCTCCCTTCGTGACAAATGGTGGAAATTAATTTATATATGTTTTGATGCTTGTTATCGGTTGAATATGGGGATAAATTAAGGTAGTTGGAATATTTGATAGATTGTTTGACTTTCAATGATTGAGATCCATTGAATTTAAACCTTTTCAAATGGATGGTTAAGATCTCTGGTGATTGATCAATTGTACTAGATTTGATGGCATTGGAATTTTGCTTACAATTTTCACAATAATATCCCGATTTATCTTTATCAATTTTTATCAATTCTTTACTGAAGAAATCTTCAATGGATTTCTCGATATTATATTTTGATTTCTTCTTTCTGAATCCTAATGATAAATCATAGAATTCTTGCTTTGTTATTGATTTATGTTTACAACTCTCACAAATAACAATTTGATTCAATAAACCACCAAAAATATCATAAATGATGGATTGATTTAATTTGACTCCCTTTGGTGTTGAATCTTCTTGTAATCTTGACATTAAACTCATGAAATATTCATGACTATCTTCTTGTTGCCATTCAGACATCATACAATTGATATCTTCCAACCTACCAATTATTTTTTTAGGGTGAATATATTTCTTACGCTCATTCCACAATCTACCACTTAAATCAGCCATTACGTGGGAAACTGATCTAGGAGCTAATATATCATCATACTTCCCATTAGTGATATCTTCAAGATAATTGGTTATAGCGGGTATATGGATCATGGATTGTATAGCGGTATTCATATAACATGTAACCCCTTGATTTAATAATCCAATAGGTTTCTTAGGTAAGTTTTTCTTTCTCCATGATTTGTTGATTCTTTTACTTCCATTTGATCCTCTATCCAAAGGTAATTCATTTATTTGATAATAGTTATCAATATCTATTTCTTCTTGTTTATCTTCTTCTTCTTCAGGATGAATCTCTGATTTCAAAGGTGATGGTTCAGCTTCATCTTTTCTCAAATCTTCTTTCAATTTTTGTAAATCTTCAGGTTCTTCAGATAAAACTGATTCACTTTCAGACTTATCCTTAGAATCTGATCTATAATCAGAATCAGAAGAAGATTGGTATTCAGTGGCAGATTCAAATTCTTCATTACTTTTGTCATCATCGTCATCATCATCATCGTTGTCCTTTTCGAGGTCATTTACGTCATCACTTTGTAGTTGTTCATTTTCATCAACACTTTGTTCAACTGATGATGGATCATCAATTTCTTCTCCTTCATCTTCACTATCACTTAATTCAACTCTTTTTCTTTTCTTATCTTCAACTCCATACTTTCTTCCAGTATACGCAGCCACCGCTTCCGCCATAGATTTTGGCCTTTTCTTTTCTTCTTTCTTAACTTTAACCGGTACGGCTTTGGTGGTGTTGATCTTTTGTTTCTTAGATAATACTATCAAGTTCTTTGATTCTAGTTCATTAACTGGTTCGATCTTACTACTTTGAATGAAACTTAAAGGATTAGTTAAAATCCTATCAATAAATGGATTCAAACCTTTTTTCTTTTTCAAATTTATCATGATTTACCTTGATCCTTATATATATAATACAAAATATTCTATCAACGATTCGTTGGTTTAAATTTTTATCTATACACTAAAAATAACGATAGGCAACCTTAGGGATGAGATGAAATTTTTTAGAATTTCTGTAGTTCAAGGGGTCGTGCGATGGACGGCCAACTTTTTTTTGACGCGTTGATAGATATTATCAATGAAGATTACACGACCAAGAATGTGATTTATTTATATATATTTTAGCCCCCTTATCAAGCCCCTTATAAAGCCACTGATTACGAGAAAATCTTTTTTTGGATATCAACTTTAACCATTCGTTTCAATTCATCAGATATTATCTCTTTGGTTATATCATCAACTTCTGAAGCTTGATTTAGTTTGAGAGAATTGATTCGTTTCACTGCTAATTTCTTCAAGAAATCAGGTCGAGGTGAATTCCTATTGACACCAGATCTTTCAGGTCTTAAGTTATCCTTATCGAAATCTTCCATTTCAAAATCATTAGCTGTCCCACTTTCAGTATCTGGATCATTATCATCTTGATCCATATCTGAATCAAAAGTATCTTCTTCACTATCCTCACTCATGAGGTTATCTTCCTTATCTCTACCGTTGGTGAACACACTATGCAATTGATTATTGAAAAATTGTTTATTTACATGACTTTGTCCATTTTTGTTGTTCTTGATCAATTTACTTAAATTATCATTGATGGCTTTTATTTTATTTTGAGTGGTTTTGTCGTAAGAGTCATTTATTTCCTTTTTATCTTTGAATTCATTGATCCAAGTTTCTTTGTTAATAATTTTAATCAATTCTTCTTCATTGGCTGTTTTGAAAAATTCTATATCTAAAGGATAATATTTATCTGCATGCATTCCGAATTCTCCCATTTTATCACCAACACCATCTGGTTGAATCTTCTTTTCTTCGTGTTTATAATCATCTGGGAATGTTCTGAAAGCTCCAATTTCAATGGATCCAGTTAACAGTTTTTTAGGGTCAACTACTATAGCTAAATAAGGATCTTGAAAATTCTGATTCAATGCTTGTGTTGCAACATCAATACCACTCAACCAGCATCCATATCCTGGATGTGAGTGATACCAACCGACAATGTTTTCATTTGGTTTAATCTTTTTGTGTTGTGTCAAGTAAGATACCATATATTCATATCCTTCAACTTGAGCGTTGACTCTGGTTTCTGTACCTTCTACAGGAAGCCCATACACATCGTTCACCACAATTGTATTTTCATATATCTTACCTACTAACATCCCCATGATCTCTATATTACCTCCAGAAACTGCATGCTTGGACATCTTCAATACTGATTTGGATGAGATCGCAACTTTTCTGAAATATTTCACATCAGTTTTCCATGGTCTTGATGACATAACTGTTTCATCATTGATCAAACTTTCATAGAATTCTCCATCTTTGGCTTTAGATGTCTGATCTATAGCATCAAGTTTGATTATGTGACTTATCTTCTGTAAGTCCTTCATCCTTTATGCGCACTTTTCAGAGATAGATCTCGATCACTATATTCACTACTCCTAACGTTGGAATTCCCAAACCACTTCCCCATTAGCTGATTTGGGACTATAGCTACGTATGTTTTCCGGCGGTTTTATTCCAAATGGATACCCTTTCTTGTATTCAGAATTCCCTCTACCAGAACCTGGACTGGGTCCTTGATTAGAGTTATCATAATGAGAAAACCTAGGATGTTGACGTTGATTACCCATGCTATTTCCAGGAATCAAATAATAATCGTATCTCTTTTTTCTACTGAATCTGTTCCCTGAGTTTATTGGGGATGGAGCTAATTGAATACCTTTACTCTCATTCAAAATCTTCTTGTTTCCATGATATTCTTTGTATTGAACATGAATGGTTTTCTTCAAAAACATCGAGTGGTTTTCTGATTCCACTGATCTTGCTGCTCCGGTTTCTTCTTCAAATTTGATAAACGCAAAAACATTATTTTCTTTATGGATTAAATTGATGTTTTCAATTTTTCCATGCTTACTGAACCGCTCTTGTAAATCTTCTTTAGTGGTTTCTGGACTCAATTGGCCAATGAATATTGAGTAATTATCAAATTCATGCTGAACATCATTATTAGAGTATCTTCTGACAGGTGTATAAGTTGACTTAAAAGAAGTTTTACTATGATCAATGTTTTGAGCCCATTTCACTTCAAAATTTGAATCGTTAGTTAAATGGGCAAAAGCTCTAATTGCATCATCCCTATAAACAAACTTTACAAACCAAAACCTTGATTTGACATTTCCGTCGAACCTAATAACACCAAAATTGTTGGAGCTAGAAAAATCTTCAATCTCTCCGAACTCCGCTAAAGTTTTCCTAACTTCTTCCATCGATAAAGTACGATAGAAATCAATGAATAAAGTTCTATTAACCTTGGCAGCTTCACATCTTAAGCGTCTTCCATCCAAAATCGACTTATTACCTAATCTAATGGCATTATTACTATCATGTTCGTTGTAATATTGTACAAAAGCATAAGGTCTGTTGGCGGTGTCTCTCAAGACTTTCACTGCTGAAATTCTACCAAACACTGCAAAGTGATTGGTGACACTGTACCATAGCTCATCATCATTTTTGGTGGCACATAAGCTAGCTACAAATACACAAGCTGATGGCTTACCTCTATGTTCCTCCTCTACTGCTTTTCCCTTATCTTCAGGTTTTTTGTTTTCCTTATCTTCATCGTTGTTATCGGAACCATAGTCGTCTTCAAATTGTTTCAAAATTTCCATAGACTCATCAGTATCATTGTAATCCTCGTCATCCTTTGCAATTCCAAGTTTACCTGTTTTATTCAGTTCAACTTCAAGCCCTGAATCAAATTTTGATGAAGGATCATCCCTTTTACCTTCTGACGGTTTACCACTAGACATTTCTACTTTATACTGCTCTTATAGAACTGTAATGGTTAGCTTTTCAAAAAGTTGCAAATAGCCGCTTAAAGGAAAAAGTTGCAAATTCTCAGTTCAAAAGGTTGCAAATATATATCACCAGAAATCATTATGCAGTTAACTAACAAAGCTACTAGAATCATTCAATATGGTATAAGTGCTATCACGGTATTAATATCAGGGTTGTTACTCAAGAAGAATCCTTCAATATCATCTGTTGTAGATGAACTTAATGAGTTAACAGGGTCTCATATGAATTTATCAGATACTTCGGCTTCTAACATATTGATGACAGCTTCTGGGAGCTCAACATTGGCTGACAAATTTATTGTATACTTATCTTCGTTACTCTCCAACACTAAAACTCAAACTAATAATGGGAGATTAACCTATAAAACCTTAGGATACATGGGAGGTGTGATTACTGGAGAAGTAGCCGAATATCTTATGTGGTACAGCTCAATGGTTATTTCAATGATCAAGAACGGAGATGTGTCTTGTGGAGATACAGCCAGTTTACTAAATAGCTACAACTTAACCAACACCAGAGATTTGGAATTGAATTCTTTTTTTGACGGAAACCTTACAGAGTTGATTCCTAGCTATGATTTTGATGGATCTTCCAATGTTACTGTAGCATTGAAGCAAGCAGAATTGATTTTGAAATTAAGTCAACATTGTCAATTCAATAAGGCTACCATTGGTTTGAGTGCTGTTAACTTCTTTGTCTACATCATCACCAGTGGAGTGACTGTGGGTTCCTTTGTTACATTTTATCGAGCATATAAAAATTCAGAAGAAGACACAGAGTTGGAATTCGATGATCCTTTCATGTTCCCTAAAGTAAGTCTGTACAAGAAATTGGAACAGGAACTGATCGTTGGTAAAGAGTTAGAAGATGAGCAAATCAATTATATTGAGCCTAATAGTACTTAGGTCAAGATCAGATGATTAATCCGATCAAGAGTAATATATAATTTAACTCTAATTTTCCTGCTCTACCCCGAAAGATATTGGCTTCACATGGATTGATAATGGTGACCGTTGAGGTGGGAATAACCATGGAACTTGGGCTTGTAGATTTGGTTGTTAGGGGTGATGTTGATGAGATGAAGGAAGATGATGTTGGAGCAGTTGGCACAGGTGTAACTACGGTTTGATCCCCTGGAATAGTAACAACAGGATCCATGTGACAACTCGTTGTCAAAACACTGTTGACAGATTGGGTAGGATACACATAGTAATATGTAGTCAACTGAGTTATAAGTACATCAATAATATCTACCAAGTATAATGTTACAGTCATAGTATTGTCAATAGTTCTGGTACTATAATCAATTCTCGATATGTTACCATAACGAATACCTGAAGTAACTTCAACCAAGCTATGAACTGGCTGATAAGAAGTTGATGGGGTAATGATTGTTGATTTTGAGTTGGAAATTCTAGTTAAAACTGATGTACTTGTCGATTCAAAGGTTTTTGTTGAATAGGAAGTAATTGTTTGACACACAGAGGTTACTGTAGGGGTGGTGACGGGATTATTGATGGATGTTGTCACCTCAATTGGGATTTCATCTGTAGTAGTAGCAGTAATTGTAGGTTCTACAGGGGCGGTAACAGTAGAAGGCTCGATAGTAATAGTAGGAGTTTCAACTTCAGGGGTTGGAATATCAACAGTCCCTGTAGTCACAGTTGAGGGCCCTGTAACAGTGGTAACAGTGTCAACAATTCCATCATCACCTTCGAAAGGATTAGTGAAGATAGGTGGAAAGGTCACGGGAGTGTTATCTGTGGTAATTTGCACACAATCGTCACAATTTTCGAATTCAGGGTTCACCTAGTGGTTAGTAACGGTCAAATATCATGAAAACCTCCGAATTTCCCCTTAAAAAATCAATATATAGTTGAATGTATATGCTATTTATACCAGGTATGACTTACTCTGTCGTCAGTCAAGGCAAGCTTGATAAATAATAAAAATAAGAAATTCATTTTAACGCTGAAAAGGTATCAAGGGTTTTTTTTTTCGTGATAGATATCACAACAATTTCAAGGGAGAGAAATATAGTTCATTGAGCCATTCTAGGGTCTCTTAAATTGTAGAAGCCTCTCTGATCTCGAATTGGACTCTGTAAAAGAGGCTGTGTTTCAAGAAAAATGATTTAAGATCGATAGGGGAGAACAATGGAAAGGAGATACTATTCCTCACAATTGGTGAAATCTACAGATTTCGGTATTAAAGAAAATAATTCCGGTAAAAAAAAAGATATTCATCTGATATGTCGATGAAGTATGTCCATCTGTCTTGCAATTCATGTGGTATCATTTCCAGATCTCGTTTCTACTCCAAATATATGTTAAATGTAAGCTGCCACACTTAAGTTATGGTATAAGGTTTTTCCGAGCATGCTATTAAGGTACGGAATTCTGCCATCTATATAAGGAAACTTATGATACCCATGAGTAACGAAGGATCGGCTTATCAATAACCACCTGTCAAATATGCCCTTAAAAAGATGTCAATAACAATAGAATTCACTAAAAATAATCACCCTAACTTACCCATCCCTATTCTCCACAAATCACCGACACACAAACCGTTGAGTTATTTTCTTTTTCCTAACCTAGTTTTTAGCAATTAATATCTCCTTGTTGCCGAGGGATCTTCAGCCATAGATGATGTTTCCCCGTTTAATATTAATGACATTAAAGTCATCTATCAATTGATCAATTCCGCAAATAACTCTTTCCCCTATAATCTCCCCCCACCATAACCCCCATTAACAAAATGGTCGGTTTTTAAGGTCCACTGCGACATGTCGTACGCCATCTTCAAAAAAAATCGTCCTGTCCCCACTTAAAAATTTCTCACAGTTTTACAATAATCTTATCATTTATACTGATTTTTAGATTATTAATAATAGATCTAATCTAATTAATCTGGTTTAGTACATAAGAGAAACACTTAGATAATCAAGTGGATTTAATCACTAATACTCATCAGTTTAATATTCATAGAAATTTTTTATATCATTATAGTGAGTGTTATTTCTCCAAGTTTCAGGTAATTTAAGGTTACAAACAATATATACCTAATTAATCATCATAATAACCCATACATATCAAAGATGTCAGTAATGAATGAACGAATGGACCATGAAGATGGTAGTAAAGATGATAAGAAAGATCCAACTTCAAGACCCTATAAATGTCCTATGTGTGACAAGGCATTTCATCGATTAGAACATCAAACAAGACACATAAGAACTCATACGGGAGAAAAACCTCATAGTTGTAATTATCCTGGATGTTTTAAGAAGTTTAGTAGATCCGATGAATTAACCAGACATTCTAGAATTCATACCAATCCAAATTCGAGAAGAAATAAGAATTTAAATAAGAAGAAGCAAGAATTACAACATCAACAAATATTAAAGAAAGAAGATAACCAACCTAAAATATCATCAAATTTAAGTATATCACCATCAAGTCAAATTCATCAAGCAGCTGCAGTTTTAGTTAATCCTATTCCTAGATCAACTACTCCTAATATCAATACTTTAAGTCCTGATAATTCAATTAATTCCTCACCAACAATCAATATAACTTCACAATTTAAGACTCAACAATCATCAGAAGATTTATCCAAGATCAAATCTATTCAATCAGATGAAGAAAATTCATTATCAGCTTCAAATTCCAATTTATATTTAAATTCACCTATAAACAAATCCATAAGTAATGGATCGAATAATATGGATATTTTGGCATCGGTATCTTCACAAGAATTGAATAATTTAAATTCCAAATCCTTACCATCATTAACAAATTATTTCAAATCATCTTCAGCTAATTCATTTTCAACCAACAATTTACAATATTTATCAAATTTAGCAGTCAATCAATATCATCAAAAACCTAAATTGAATACTTTATCAACATTGAAAAGAATGACACCATTAGAACCTCATATTCAACAACCTCATCCACATCATGCTAATCATGGACAATCACAATATGGACAATCATCATCACCAAGTATAATTTCCCAAGAATCAGATTTAGATTATGTCAAACAAAGATTAAAGAAATCTCGACCAAATTCTCCAAATTTTACCAAAACTTTCACATTACCCAATTCTCCTGTTATGGGTTTATCATCAACCACAACACCAATTTTATCAGCCAACAATTCATCAACCAATTTAAATTCATATTTCCAAGTACAAAACAATTCCCATGCAAATATTTCCAACAACATAACACCCACTTCAATAACTAATGGAGAAGAAGAGAATAATTTACCAAGTATAAGATCATTAAAATTAGATTTACCTACGAATATTTCTATGCCAAAATTTAGGAGGTTTAGTTCCAATGAAGGAAAATCTGGTCAATTTAAGAACATTAAGGCTGAACCTTCTGTATAATAGAATGTATAATAATTTATATTTCGTCTATATTATTTTTATCTTATATACCCACAGACCAAATTTCGTTTTCATCTTCGATTCTGTCACTGAAAACGGTTTCTTCGTCACCTCCTTGTTCGATTCTTTCCTTTTCGACTTTAGCTAATCTCATAGCCACTCTCTTAGTATAATCACTGATAGATCTTAAGATGATATTGATATTAAATTCTTCAACTTTAATATCTCCTTTACCTTCGATCCATTTATTGAAGATTTCATCAGTTTCAACTAAATTCAATACTCCAAGATAACATTTTTCTGCTGCCAATTTAATAGGAATGATAGGTGATCTAACATTATTGAAGATAATTGGAACAACAAGATCTAAATTGTTTTCAATGATATCATATTTCAATCTGCTGACAGCTCTAGTGATGATAATGGATAATCTTACAGTATTAGGAGAATCAGTGCCATGTAAATGAATCAACTTACATAATTGGTGAATTAATGTTGATTGTTGTTCTTCATTCAAGACCAAATTTCCTAATAATAATTTACCAATAGCTAAAACGGAGTTATCTTTAACAGAACTATCACCATTAACATCACTACATGCGATTATGTAAGATATCATATCATCAATAACATTTGATAAGTTTTCATCACCTTCTTTCAAGAAAGCATTGATACCGATAATACCAAAGTTTCTGTTATCATCAGTTAAAATCTTAGATTGAACGATTGAAGTAGTTTCTTCAATATTCATAATTTTTGATAATGATCCCAATAATTTAGCATATTGTAAATTGATCTTACCTTGAGATACTAACATTTCATCTTCAATCAAGTTCATGATATTTTGTTTGGAGGCTTCATTTAATTTATCACCAGATTTATGGATAATTTCTAATAAAGCTTTCAACATGGTTAATTTGATATCATCACTTTCACTATTCTTACAACCTGAGATCAATTCAATGATTAAAGAATCAATTCTTGGTTGGAATTTGATCAAAATACCTAAACCGAGAACAGCTCTGGTTCTCAATTCATCATTACTTGGATCACTCAATAATCTTACAAAAGTTCTTTGTAATTGAGGAATGAAAGGTCTTAAGAATTGAGGAATCTTAAGTAATAAATTATTGATAGCAATCAAAATAGCTGATTTGATATTTGAATTGACCTTTTCCCCAATAACTCTGATCAATGGTCCAGTTATAGTGGTAGAGAAAGGTTTCAAAATATCACCAGGAGTTTTATCAATAATATCAGCAATACCTAAAGCACTTAATTCTTTTTGCTCATTATTACCATACATAAGACCTTGTAAGAAAATTGGTAAGATACAGTTAGGACCTCTTTGGATCTTAAATCCATCTAATTCTTCACCTTTAACTCCAGTCAACATTAAAGATTGTTGAGCAGGTTTAACCAATTTACTTAACTTATCCTTTGGTTGAGCTTTAACTAATGAAGTTAAAGCTTCAAAAGTTCCTTTAACAACATCTGGAGATTTATCACCTAATGATAAGATAAATGATGAAACCATATCATTAAGGTAAATAGAATAATCCAAAGTAGTAGATTTGAAGAATTCTCCTAATCTTTCAAAGATAATAGCTCTCTTTCTGAAATCTTCGTGTTTAGTTAATGATAATAAAGTTTGCATTAAAGGATTAACTCCACTATTATCATGGATAGATAATAAGATTTGATCAAATGATGATTTAACAAAAGTTAATTCATTTTCATCAGTTTCCTTCAATATCAAATCAACAAATGTATTGATGATTAAGGTTAATTTCTTGTATAAGGCATTACCAGCAACAGAAGCTAATGAACTTAAAGCTTTAATCTTGAAAGTATCAATAGGTGGTGATAATAAGGTTGGAATCAAGATTGGGAAGATTATATCGGCTTTAGTTGACATAATATCTTGTAAAGCTAATAAGGCGAATTCTGAATCATCAGATTCTAACATTTTCAATAATTTAGGAATTATTTCATCAATAACAACCTTACCCAAATCAGTAGTTAACACATCGAAACATCCAGCTGCTGCATTTCTTACTCTTGAAGATTTATCAATCAATGTTTTGTAAGTAATAGATAAGAAGATATCTTGATATTCTCTCAAACCATCTTCATTAGTTGATTTAACCAATTCCATAACAGCAATACAAATACCTTCTTTAATGTTGTCATCATTAGAATCTAATAATTCCACCATGTTTGGTAAGATACTAGATAAGGAATTAGATCCAACTCTCTTAACCATTTCTCCTAAAGTAGTAGCAGAAATTGTCTTTTCAACTTCATCATCACTTGATAATTTCTTAATAACAACTTCAGTTAATTGACCTAAGATTTCTTTGATTGTTCTTGGAGTATTAGCAACTAAAGCTTTCCAGATTTCAATAGATTTAGTTCTAACCAAATTATTAACATCACTTCTACAAATGAATAATAATGATAATACTTTATCTCTACGTTCTTTACCTAAGATTTCAATCAATGATTTATTGATTTCTCCATTAACTTCAACTTCTTCTTCTTCTAATAATTCATTCTTACCGGAAATACCAGTAACTTGGAATAACAAATCTCCTGTTAATTCAACCGATGATAATCTGATTCTATAATTAGTATCATTAAGACCGTTCTCTAATTCAGGTAATAATAAATCAATAGCTACTTTAGCATAATTCTTAACAATCAATCTACCTGATCTTAAAGCCATATCTCTAATTTCTTCATCATTATCAGCCAAACCCATTAAAATAGGTGGAATGATTTTATTCAAATATGGAGCAAATTGGGCACCAAAACAAACAGGTAAATATAATAATAAAGGCATGAATCCAGCTCTTATATAATTCTTTGAATGTTTAGCTTGAGTTAAGATTATAGGTAATAATTCATCTAATTTACTCAAACCTAAACCACTGATGATTTCACTCAAAGCTTGAGCACTACCTAATCTATCACCTTGTTTAGATTCATCTTGTAAGTTATCTAATAATTTAGGAATTAAATCAGGGAATTGTTCTTCACCTAATTTTTCAACTAACGAACCTAAAGCTCTAGCAGCTGTTGATCTAGTAGCAGGTACTGGATCTACCATACTGATTTCCAATTCTTGAATTAATGAATTCAAGTAAGGTTTCAAATCTTTAGTATCAACTAAAATAGCCATATTACCAACAATTTGACAAGCTTTACGTTTGGTTTGTGCTGATCTATCTTTCATACCTCTATGAATAACATGAATAATTAAAGCTAATGAAGGACCATCGATATAATGAACGAATTGAGTTTTAATCAATTTATCTAATGCATTATCAGTACATTTGGTTGGATCTCCAATAGCTTGGATTAAATCAGGAACAATCTTTTGAATTTCAGGGTTTCTGATAACTTCACCAAATCTTTTCAATGATTGATCAGCTGCTTTTCTTACTTCTTTATGAGTATCATTCAAAACACCAACAATTTCAGGAATGATGATGGATAATGATGATGATAATTGAGCAGGATCTAAATAGGCCATGGCACCAAGTAATTCCACTGAACCTTTTTTAGATCTCCAAGCGATTTCATCTAAGTTAGAAATAGCTAAGGGAATCAATTTCTTAACCCCAAAACTGGTAGTATTACTCATGATCTTTTTAGCTGCTTTATCAGTAGCTAATCTAACTTCAGGTACTTGATCACCTAAAAGTTTTAACATTATAGGTAAAATCTCAATAACATAAGGTTCAAAGAACTTACCTAAATTGAAAGATAAAGTGTAATAAACCAAAGAAACAGATTCTCTTTTAATAGCATCTTTCTTATCATCAACAGCGTCATTAAGAGTTCTCATAATATCATATTCAGTTAATGATTTTATTCCTAAACCTTTGACTAAACCTGCAATTCCATAAGCTGCACCCATTCTAACTTGGACCAATTTTTCATTAAACAAATCATTGAATAAATCTTCAAACATTTTGGTGATGGCAGATTTATTGAACAATTTAGTGATGGTACTTAAACAACGAGAAATAGCTATTTGAACGGTTTCACTTGGAGTTTTCAATGTAGTTAATAATCTTTCTGTAATAGATCCAACACGAGAATCATCACTTGTAAGATGTTGACCTAAAGATCCATATAAAATGACGGTTGATTCTTTGATTTTATTATCTTTAGAAGACAAACTGGCTTCAAATAATGGGATTAATCCTTCAATTTTGGATAATTCGAAATGTTGGATGATATCAATACCTCCATCTTGTAATTCTTGACGAACCAATTCATTTTGGTCACCCAAAGCTCTATCAACCAAGAATTGGAAGATTTCAACGATATTATCAACAGAATATAATGGAGTTAATTTACTCAAGATCAAAGCTATAGTTGATCTGATTTCCCAACGATCTTTGTCACTAGTTGAGGTCTTGATAACTAAACCATATTCATCCAATTTAGGTGGTGGAGGTTTAGCATAGATATCGTAAGTTTCAATCAAAAACTTAACAAACTTATCTAAGGAACCAGGATATTGATTGATATTATCAACAATAGTATCGGCAACAGATAATCTAAGACCAGAATCTTCTTGATTACCGAATTCTGTCAACATATCAAAACTACTTGATTCAGGAGCTACCCAATCACTTTCCGACCAAATGGTATTGGCAAGTTTATTAACTTGAGCTGAAGGATCATGACAATTAATCCAAATTTCCGGTCTGAATTTACCTGGTAAATCGGATAAATCAAATTCCGAATCCAAGATTTCTAAAATAGTACTCTTGATTTGAATGTTAGGTACAATTAAATTATTGAATAAGATTTCCAAATCTTCAACTTTATAGTTGATGGAAATATTGGTTAATAAAGCATTGAAAGATTCTTTAACAATTTGGAATTTCGATGGGATTCTCATCAATTTGATCAATCCTTCCAAGATTTCATACCTTGGTAATAATTCATTGGCAAATAATTCAGCATTTCCTGATAAAATATCAATGGCTAACATTAATTGTTCTTCCTTAGGATCTTCTTCCACGAATTCTGACGTAGTAGCCATTTTCTTACTACTCTTAAGAGCATAATCAAACCCAGTAGTTAAAATATGATAAATCAATGGATACATATAAGATAAGGTGATGATATTGAAATTAGCTTTATCAGTCATCATCTTAACCCTGAAGAAAATGTTTAAGATAGTGCTATCTTCCCAATCATCAACATTTTGATAAATTTTCAAACTATTGACACCTACCAATTGTTTGAAATAATTATCAAGTTTAGTGACTGATGATAAGTTGATGAAGGTTTCACTGAATTTAGTGGTCAATTGAGAAATCAATGAATAATTAGGTAATAAGATCTTGGTGAATAAAGATATCAGTTTCAAATACCATGTCTCAATATTAGTATCAAAACTAGTTGAAATTGATACTAATTCATTGATAATATCAAAGTTTTTGATAAGATTATTGATTTTGGATTGAACTTCAGATTTGATGGTAGATTCTTTGGTTAATTGATCATTGATGAGTTTTTGTTCTTCTTTAGAAACTTTCTTCAATTCCTTACGTAATTCGTTTTCCCATTTTTCAGTTTCATAATTCTTAGAGTTCTTATTGATTTCTTTAGTTTTCAAAACGTTAACAACAGGTAAGTCACTGGTGTTATTCCATATTTGAATACTTAATTCGTCGATAGTTGTGACATCTTTGAATTGAACGGTGAACAAGTCCATCAATTTAGGGATAGTTAATTCCGGAACAATGAAACATAATTGGCCAATGGTTTGAATTCCACTTTGATATAATGGATGGTTAGGGATGAGGATATCTTCAGTAACGAATTGGAAAATGTTGTCGAAGTTTTCTGTGATGAAAGATTTAACATCGATATTAACTAATTGACTCAACCCGATCCATGCATTTTTCAAATTCACAGGTTTATGGTTGGCAATAATCACAAGTTTATAAGAATTATCCACTTTGAAAGAAATAAGTTTCTTGATTAATACGTTAATGGCTTTGAAATCAAGATCAACTCCTTCAGTACCATTTAAATGATCAAATAAACCATCAGTGATGATTGGGGTGTTGTTGATATTAACAAAATCTAATCCTTGACGTTTACTTTCGTGAGGAACATTCTTATCAGCTAAAAGATAAACCAATGAACTAGTTGGAGGTAATTCATTCAATGCTTTAAAAGCCCAATAAATATCTTGTTGGTCAGTTAATTTACTGATGACTTTCAATGAAGTGATAGGGAATTTTTCATTATTGATGACTTCATCTACTAAAGTGTTTTCAACATTGAATTTCTTATTGAAATAAATAGGTAAAAGAACACAACTAAGACCTTTATTATTGGCCATGACTATAGGTGATGCTAAATATTCTTTCAAGGAAGTATTGAAATCTAAAGCGGAAAAATCAAAAGATTCATCAACAAATTCTCCCAACTTCAAAAACCATAATCTACGTAAATTCAATTTCTTATTAGTTAAACCTGAATTGATCAATTTAATGATTTCTGGAGTTGTAGAAGATAAATTAGCCATGAATCCATGAATTAAGAATCCCAAATTACTTTCATTGGTTTCTTTAGTAATTAAAGGAATGAATACTTCACTATCAACTTTTAAATCTGCTAACAATTTAAAGATCAAATTCTTAATATCAGGAGTTCCGGTTTTACATAAATTGATCAATTCTTGATGATTATCATAATTAATTGACTTTAAAGTGTGGTAACAATGTAATCTGATATTTTCCTTGGAATTTTTCAATCCATTGACTATCTTAGTGACAATTTTTTCAGGTAATGAACATTGAACGTATTTACAAAAGAATGGTACATAATAACCTAAAGATATTTCACTATTTTTCATTATTAATTTTTCAAAATTTGTGGTAATCAACTCAATATTGGAATCATTGATAAATTCTTTAATGAAAGCTGAAAATAAATTCAATGTGAATTCAGGTAATGGTTTAGCAACATCATTGACTAACTTATTATATCCTTGGACTATAGGTTCGACTAAACTTTCTAAATGATGATATAATTGAGGTTTACTGGCTTGTAATTCAAGTATAGCCATAACCATTATAGACACAGTATTTAAATTGAAATTCTTTATAACTTCATCCATTCTTTCTGGTGTTAAGGTATTACCCAAATTGAACTTAACATTACTAACTACAGTCTTGAAGATTCTAGAAGTTCTACTAGTTAATCGTATATCGATAATTTTGTTAACAAGATTGTTTAAAATGATTAATTGATCATTAAAACGACTATTTTCTTCATTCATTAAGATATATAACCAATCCAAAAGGTTTAAGTAATCAGAAGCAGCAAAGGTACCGTTTGATTGTTTCTTAATGAACAGTTCTATCTCTTTGTCATAACCTTTAGTGATAAACGATTGAATTAATGATAAAATATGAGTTCTTGTGGTGGGTGCTTGATAATCGTCAAAAGACTTTAAAACATGGAGTAAAACGGGTTTAACCTCCGTTAATGTATCATTAAGTAATTGGTCTTGAGTACTCTGTAAGAAACTTATAGTTTCAGGAGTATTACCTAACTTACTCATAGTATTCAATCCACTATAAGATCTCTACGATTTGAGGTTTTTCTCACAAAATTTTCAGTCGTGTGCGGTACGGATTTTTGCAACTTATTCACAGTTACCCGGAAAACGAATATAAAAAGTTGAGAATTGGAGTGAAAAAAATTATCAACTATACCAATCGATGAAGAGTACTTTGTCCGTTACAGCAAAGAATTTATTCTAACTCAGGTTTTACTTGGGCGATGTGGACAACATCAAGGTCTCACCACATATATTGATGTTAATTATCTGAGGTTGTGTGTTGATATTAAGTGAATTTGAGATTTATGGTATTTGGGATTCTCTGGAGCTATCCGAGTGAATATAAAAGAACTTTAAAAAGATTGGAAAGAGTTAAAAGACTAAAAAAGAGCATTAAAAAAACAAAACATCCTTTTACCAATAAATATCTAATCATTAATCATTATATTACCCTCTAATCATGTTTGAAACAACATCTGTTCCCATATCTACAAGTACCAAAGTTTTTCCAATTAACACAATCTTTTGAACGATAATTATTTGGACGTTTAACAAACTTCAATTCATTTTCTCCATGTGCAAATTGACATTTATTGCCATAAGGACAATAATTAGTCTTTATAAATGATCCACATAATTCTGTCTTATATAACTGAGTATTTATAGGCTTCTTATCATCACTAGCATTTGAAGCAGTTTCTTCATTTTTTTCTGTGGATAAATTTGGTAAACTTGATAAGTTAGTTGAACTTAAGGATATTGGGGAATAATTTGGTGAATAAGTAGGAGAATAAGTTGTTGATTGATAATTGTAATTTAAGAAATTCGCATCAGTTGAGTTATTTGATGGAATCTTTGTTAAATCATTCGACCAGATATCATATGATCCATTTCCACCATTATTCAAATTATTTCCCAAAGTCAAATTACCATTACTTCCAACACTATTAGATCTATAAGTAGTTGGAATCTGACCTACATTATTATAATTGCCATTATTGAAATTTTGACTTGATTGATAACGTGATTCAGATTTAATTTGCCATAAATCACTTAATAAATCACCTCCATGATTATCAAACTGCATTTTTTTCACGATCTTTAAATTATCGATTCTATTAGATTTTTAATTGTGAAATTGATGAAAAAGATAATGTGAGATTTATATATATGAATTGTTCCGTGTATCGGTTTTTTTAGGAAATGAGGAAAAATGAACCAATTATTAAAATCAACTGATATTTTTAGAAATTATCCAATAACTTTGAAGAACCCTGTGAATTTTTTTTTAAAGAAATGAAATGAAAACGGTAAAGTGATTTATAGGAAAAATCCTTTTTCTTTTCATGATTTGTTGCATTATTTAAATGAGGCAAGGAAGAGTGAAAAATTTGGAGATCTTAGAGGGGTGAGGTTCACCTCTCACCGGTTCATATGACATAACCGGTTTTTTTTTCCATGGTGGAGATATTTTTTGCAAACATTTCTTGAACCATCTAACAACAGGTTGGGAATAAGATGTGGTTAATGTTGAAGGAATGAAGATAGTTGGTGAAAAATAGCATGATATTAAAAACCATGAGCATATTGTAAGGCTGATTTTTCTCGGAATTGTTTATTATTGGTTTTTTGTGGCTCGCTTTTTTTCTCTCATTTGGCGGTAATTTGCTTCGCCTTTGGTACCATTTGGTATGGAACCTGGTGCGGTAAATTCCCGCGGCCAGTTGGGTATTGGCTCCCAAAATTGCGATATCTGTCAACAAATTCCCCTCTCGGTTTATCTTCTCCTCACTTATCTCATCTCCTTTTTCACTCTCCACATATCGATAAATGGCTCGGTATTTAATATCCGTTCCAGTCTCCAATATTTATGGTGTCGTAATTTATAGGTATTGTCGTATATGTCGTGATAGTCAAGTGATACAGCTACGGAGGCCTAGACCGACCATCAGACTTTAAATCTTTGCGTATCTTTTGCATTATGTTGGTGCATGCAACTACAATAGGAAATGATGGGTGAGACTGTTTAACTCCTTAGATGCTTTGACGAAGATTTTCTGGGTAATCATCGATTTACGTCTATCAAGAAATTACATTCCTTTTTGTTTCATAGTGGGTTATTGTAAGTGATAAGTGTTAAATGTGCCAAGTGAAGTATCAATTGTGGAAGTGTATCTCAATCAAGAGAATCTCAATCGAGAGAATCTCAATCAAGAGAATCTCAATTGAGTATGGAATTGAACCTCAATTATGGAATTGACCTAAGATAGTGGTGAATCCACCCAATCCACCTCAATTATGCAATTGACCTATAATAGTGGTTGCGTTCTTTAGTGGCCATTGCCCTATATGTTCAATCTCACTATCTCTAAATCCTTCAATCTCATCCCTCATCCTCCACAGATGCGAAATTTGATCTATCGCGTTTACTATGAATAACTTAGAAACTCAGAATCGATGGATTCAGAGGAATAAACCATATCTACCCAACGTAGACATGATAAATGGACTTCTATCATTCCAGCAGGGTGATATGTTCAATGATTTGGTGGGTAAATTGCCATCATCTGTTGAGATTCTGACCATGCAATCTCATGTAGGAAGTATAAACACACCATCATTACCATCAACGACTAGAGTACCGCCATTAAACACCCCCATAAATGAACCAAGGATGAATACAACGCGTCCTAGGTCACCCATAAGGCAAGAAAACACCAGACCATTGAATTCAAACGTCCTTTCCCAACATAACACCAGCTTGAACCTTACGAGCGCTAGTAATGTCCGTCCTACACAGAACAAAGACGTGGAGAGAAAACGTAAAGAGAACATAGAACCCGTATCGAAGCGACCTAAAGTGTCACAATCGGCTAAAATACCACAATCAAGCAAAACATCAAGCAAAACATCACAGCCAAGTAAAACTTCCCAGAGCCCATCGAACCAACAACCACACCCAACCAACTCATCAGTAATATCGAACACCAAGGAAGAGATCTATAAGAAATACATCAAACTATTGACTGATAAGTCAAGTCTACTTACGCAAAGATATTTGGTATTTGAATCATCCTCAATATCTTTAGATGATAAGAATAAATTCATTAATGGAGAGTTTACGCCCAAATTTTCGGATATAGAACGCAAATTACAAAAGTTATCAAAAATACTACCTATAGATTTAGACATCGATGTTAATGTGGACAATTTGACGGTTGTTAGTGAACAGGTAAGTGAGGTTAGTGAACAGGTAAGTGAACCGGTAAATGAGGTTAGTGAACAGATTAATGAGGTTGATGATATAAATGAACCAAAAGCTATCTCGAACGATCCACCACCTGAATTAGTTACCCGAACAAGTTCTTATAAGGAATTGGTGGAACCTGACCATGACCCGTTTGATGAATTCGATAATGCCCCTATTGTAACACCAGTGGATTCTTTAGACATTGAGAACCTCTCCAAAAATGATGATGATATGGATGATATACAAATTACTCAAGTCAATAATGTTATAGAATTGAGTTCTGAAGATGAAGATACACCCATACCTCCTGTTCCTACTCGGAGTCATGTGGTGACTAATGCTAGTCGTTCCAGACCTCCAATATTTAGTCAAGAAGATGAAGATGATTTTGGTGAACAAGAAATGGATGGATTGTTGACACCTACCCAAGAAAGAGAAGAGAACGAAGATACCGACTTGAGTGGGTTCATTCATGATGAAGAAGTACTGGAAGGAGACTTTACCTTTAATTATAACTCTGATGTCGAAAGTATTGATGACAGTTTACCAAGACAACCAATATTTGGCGAGAATGAAAGTGATACCGATGATGATTTGATTGATACGGGTTTAATAGATAAAAATGAACTTGAAGAACTCAAGCTCAGTCAAGATGTGGCAGAGAACTTGGGTATTGACTATGACGAATTCATGGGTACTCAGATCAACGATGAAAGAGAAATCAATCATGAAGTCATTGAAATCAGTGATTACGAATATGATGAGTTTGATCAATTTGATGATGATAGTTTAATCATCAAATCTGAACCTATAGATGTGAAAGAAGATGATTTCGAAATGTTCGATGATTACGATATCACCACCCTGAAGGATATCATCTCTGAACACGTAAGAAACTATGGAAACCCTACATTGATCAAGGAGATCTATCAACAACTTAATAGAGTGTTTAAACTTCAGAATTTCCGTTCAAATCAATTTGAAGCTGTGATAAATTTTCTTTTGGGTAAGGATGTTTTTGTGTTAATGCCAACAGGTGGAGGTAAAAGTTTATGTTATCAATTGCCAGCTCTTGTTAAACCTGGTATTTCTATAGTGGTTTCACCTTTAATCTCTTTGATGCAAGATCAAATCAATCATTTAACAGACAAAGGAATAAGTGCAGGGATGATCAGTTCTAAGAATAATGCCACCGAACGTAAAGAGATGATTGATTTATTCAGGAATGGGAAATTAAAATTGGTTTATTTATCACCAGAAATGATAAATCTGTCTGGACAAGTTCAAAAAATCATCAAATCATTGCACGAGAAGAAAGTTTTGACATCGGTAATTGTTGATGAAGCCCATTGTATCTCTAGTTGGGGTCATGATTTTAGACCTGATTATAAAGGTATGAATTTTTTCAAGAAATCGTATCCTGATATTCCTATTATGGCATTAACTGCTACTGCTAATGATAAGGTTAAACTTGATATCATGCATAATTTGAATATGGATAATCCTATCATATTGAAGCAGAGTTTCAACAGAATCAATCTTTACTATGAAATCAAGTGGAAAAATAACAATTACTTGGAAGATGTGAAGAATTTGGTATTGAACACATATAGGGATCAAACGGGGATTATTTATTGTCATTCGAAACAAAGTTGTGAACAAATCAGTAGTAAATTGAACTCAATGGGTGCTAATACGTCATTTTATCATGCTGGAATGAGTACTCAAGATCGTCAACAAGTACAACAAGATTGGCAACTGGAGAAAATTAAAGTTATTTGTGCCACCATTGCGTTCGGTATGGGTATTGATAAACCCAATGTTAGATTTGTCATCCATTCATTTATTCCTAGAAATTTAGAAGGGTATTATCAGGAAACTGGTAGAGCAGGAAGAGATGGATTGAAATCTACCTGTATAATGTTTTATAGTTATAAGGATGCCAGAACTTTACAATTGATGATTCAAAAAGATACAGAACTAAATGATACTATGAAGGATCAACATCTAACCAAATTACGTCAAGTAATTCAATATTGTGAAAATATTTACGATTGTAGAAGAAAGCAAGTGTTACTTTATTTTAATGAAAACTTTAATAAAGCCAATTGTAACAAAACTTGTGATAATTGTTTAAATGGTCAGAAATTGATTGAAAAAGATGTAACTTCGGTATCTAAAGAGATCTTACAATTGATTTCAGAAATTGAGAATGATAAAGTTACATTATTATACTGTCAAGATGTTTATAAAGGATTAAATTATGCTAAAATCACTAAGAATGGTCATAATGAATTAAGATTTCATGGGAATGGGAAGAAAATTGATAAATTAGAGTTGGAAAGAATTTTCTTTCATTTGATAAGTGAAGATTGCTTAATGGAATATTCTATAATTAAGAATGGATTTGCATCTAATTATGTCAAATTAGGAAAAAATGCCAATTTGGTATTAAAACAGGGAAAGAAAGTAATTATTAAGTTTGCTACTGCACCAACAACTACATCTAGTACCAAAGCAACAAACCCTAACGTAACTGTTGGATTCGTAAGTGCTAAAACTAATCAACCTTTTAATAATGAACACATTAAAAAATCCATTAGAGAATTACAAATAGTTAGAGCTTCTAAAGGTAAAGAATTGAATTATAAAGATGATAAAAATATTATGGGAGATGAAACATTAATCAATATCGCCAGAATTTTACCTACAAATCAAAATGGATTTATTCAATGTGGGGGAGAGAAAGATTATTGGATTTATTTCAAAAGTAAAATCTTACAATTGACTAAAGAAAGAACTAAACCGGGGCCAACAATCAATAAACCAAAATACTCAAATCCTAAAAAGACAAAAGGTCATAGTCAAAGAGTTCAAAAATCACAAAGTAGTAAATCTTTTAAATCTCCAGCAATGCCATTATAAAATATTCTAGAAAACCCATATGAATTTCGGCAAAAAGTTTAATTTGATTCAATAGAGAATTTAGGTTTCGTTACATCACCTAAAGTTAAGACCCTGGAGTAAAGTTTAGTAGCTTAAGTTTAGTAAAGTTCAAATAAAGTCTAAATCGCCAGATTATTTCTTGGTGAGTACCCTTGAAACAATTCAAGGTTTTGTTTGCCACGATAGAAAGGTAGTAGGTTGTTGAGATGTCATTTTTTCTCAATTAGTACATCAAATATTAATGTAAATTCTATGACGTTACTTTTTAACCTGGACTCTATCGCCGATAACCCTCGATTGCTAAATTAAAGATAAGGAACCAAGGAATGTTAAATTCTGAAAAAAAAAAGATCAATTAGGAAAGTAATTCCACCATAATTCCGCAACTTTAATCTGCAAAGCCTTGTTGTTGGTGATCCTTATGATTACAATTCACAAGATTTAAATTAATTAACATTTAAGCTTAATTGCCCATGAGATTAAGTTTATTCGAAATTGGAGATAACTTCCTATTTACGTAAAAAGCCCATAGGGCAAATTCCCCAGCCTCAACATTTCCGACAATTATAGAGAACACCTAGATTTATTTGACACGTAAACTTTGATGAATTTTTTAGTAATAAAGTTTGTAAAGGGAATTCCAAATCCACAAATTAGTCAAATTCATCAGATAATTGACCAATGTGTTAATTCGCTATTCAAATTCTCTTTCCAACTTCACCTGAGCTTCAGCTCAAAATTTGAAAATCCTCGTGTGCGAACCATATGTAAGAATTAGGGGATCACCAGTAACTGATTAAATAGTGTGATGGGTGATCAAACAATACATAATAACCTATTGTTCTAGGGTTCTTAGATAATATAACTTATTTGAGAATTGATCTCGAGAAGATAATAGTAACCAAGTAGTGGTTGTAAGTTAATCTGAAGAATTTGGGGGATTTTTTTCTGAGGGTCAGAAAGGGTGCGATCTAACGGTCTACCGAGATCAAAACCTACATCAACTTACAGGTAGGAAAGTATTTAATACTAATAAGGAAAGTAAGCATAATTAATTAATAATAAGAATGTAAAGATTTAGTTTGTAACTACTTCAGATTTAAGGCATTTTTTCAATTTCGTCTCTATGCATTTTACTATAATTGCATTCTCCCTGGTAAGAAATGGCAACAATGCAACATTTGAACTTGTTGTTGTTGTTGATGTATGTTAACATTGAGAATTCTCTTATTAGTTGAAAATAATCAATTATTATCTATCAAATTATATTACCCTTAACTACGATATCGATGGGCAAATATTTTTTCAAGTGATTTACAACCCATAGTCAAACATTTAGAAAAAGGGGAGAAAGATAGGCTCATATTCAATAAATTCCGAAGGAATTCGAATTATATCGATGAAGTCACCATCATCTATGCCACTCAATTAATCGTGTAAATTGACGATACCCTTTAAATCAATAAAGGAAAAATCTCGCCTAAGTTCAAACCAGAATGAAAATCCTGTATATAGCCATATTACGTGCATGATACATTTCAGCTTCATTAGGTTTAACGTTTTTTTGAAGATCGACACTCGGACGGCATATACTCATTCAATTATGGAAATAAAATACCGTTGAAAAAAAAAAAAAACTTACGTCCCAAAAAAAAAAAAGGAGCGCCCCCTCTCCTTCCCATTCAAGTAAACGGTTTCGTTATACACCGGAAGGGCCATTTGAAACTCAAAAAATACCAATCTATAAAAATTTACTTAAATCAACCTAATCCTTTCGAAAAAATTGATAGCATAATACCAAATTTAAACATTACTACAATTTTCTGATAATTGTTTGAAAGAAATCAATTTTAACATATATATTAATTGAATTGTCACATTGATACTCATCACATAATGTTTTCTAAACCAATATATAATAATATTAAATATCCACAACCTCAATATCAAACAACTAAATTACCAAGTTTTAATGAATTATTAACTACTATTCCATTACCAAATGAATTCCCATTAAATAGACCAACTTCAACATCACCAATTTATCCAGTATATTATTATCCAGTTAATGTTTCAGTATCACCAAAAACTTTATTACCAACACCTCCACCAACTAAAGATAACTTAACTCCAATAACAAATTTAAGTAGTATTAATGAAGATAATAAAAGGAAACATACCTGTAAAATATGTTCCAGATCATTTACTACCTCGGGTCATTTAGCTAGACATAATAGAATTCATACTGGTGAGAGGAAACATATTTGTCCATGGCCAACATGTGAAGCTAGATTTGCCAGACAAGATAATTGTATGCAACATTATAAAACTCATACAAATGGTAAAAAACGTAAAAATTTAAATTTTAAAAACAAAAGTATAAATTCTAAAAGTATTTAAGGGTCGGTTCAGTTCAGTTCGTTGTATATTATATTTAAGCATATTATTTTCACTTTATCTCTGTTCTCCCATTCGATTTTGTAAATTTGTTAGAAGAGATCTATCAATTCTTCGGTCCACCGATCCTTAGATCTTGCAGTGGAAACTTTGAGAAGTAGTAAAGTATTGCGGATACTGATCTCGATTGTTCTAGGTTTAATTTTTATTGTTCACTTATTGATGCGAATATGAAACAATTGATAGTAACTACTTAGATTCATTTAGAGTTTTAACCTTTTACATAAAATAAACCACCTCCCATGTGATTGGTTTATGGAGTCGCCGAAATCAAATCATCCATCAATTATACATTACTCAAATTTAAGGTGAATTATGTCACCTCAGCTACTTTTTGGAAGTACCTGAGCTTAATTCCGCTGAGAATTTCTGACCCCTTTTTTAGACCCTAAGGCATTTTACATTGCATGAGCATTATTTGTTTTGTCGACTACGATTTTTCATTTGATAGCATTTTTCTAATTGGAGCTCATGATTATTATTAGCCTTAGAATGAAAAATTTCCCTTAAAAAATATCTCATAGAAAATTCTTCTATTTGGAATGACTCCTCGGACCATATTGATGAAATAATTTCTATGAAAATATTTTATTATTTCAAATAAAGGAAAATGTCAATTCCACGATTTTTTTTTTTAAGATTCCGCAGAGGGTCTTGGGGGTGCTGTGAGATCAGATTTCAACTAAAAGTTTTTTTTGATTAATTACACTACCAATTAATCATAAAGCTAAATTTATTAAATTTTCGTTGGATTGTCAAAACAATTTGAAACAGTATTCTGTAAGAATAGCTGTTAAGGTACTACAATTGAAAATTTGAAATTATTTTATACTTTCTATTGTTTTGGAACAATTAAACGGTATAGGGTCTCGGTTAAAATGCCGTTTTATTGTCAGAAGAAAATGTATCACGAATTAATTCTCTTCAGGGGTAGCAAACATCTTTCAATTACTTCAGTATTGAGGTTTATTTACATTTGCTATTATATAAGTTATCGAATAACAATCATAGCAATGTTCAATGTTATAACCCCCCCTGCTAGATGTCTAAATCTCATTTAGTAAGGTGGTCCCCGAGATACTGCATATCCACGGAGTTTTTCGGCATTTGAGCACGACTTAGGGAAATTATTTAATTTCATAATTGAATGTACAGGGTTGTCCTAAATCAACTCCTGGAGATACATAGGAAGGTCTACATAATTCTAATCTCTAACGGCTTTTTTTATTGTTTTATCCACTTAGATTGCATGAATTCATTTATCACTACTTATGGAAATTATGATTGGGTATGATATATACTTTCACGATTTCTTGGTATCGTGTGCTATTTGATATCTATCGTATTCTTGTGGCGTTGAATGTCGCCATCACTTAACTTTTAAGAAAAAATTTCATGAGCTGTAAGGATTTTCATGCATGATTTCTTAAGGCATAAATAGGTCGTGTAGCCGATCAAATAAACGGTTTTCCTGAATAAGTACATTACTTATCCTAAATAGGTGGGACAATTCCACCGTGAAATTATTCCCATTTTTTTTCGCCAACTACGTGGAGATAATAACCTTTAATCTTTTAATGGAAATGCACAATAACGTAAAATTGTGATTTGTTGTAATGACAAGAAAATGATTAGATGTTGGGGTATAACCACCTCCTCCTATAATGGTTAATCATTTTTAAAATAAGTAGGCAATGCTCTTTTGATCTACGTGGTCTATTATGTTATTCAAACCTCTTTTTGGTTTGCAAGCATCCACACGATATTGTGGATATCCCTTTTTTTTCGTTTAACTTATCGTCTAACCAATGTATCCTGCACCAGATTTTTGCTCAGGTTTTTTTCCCATTCATACAGGGTACAACCCCTCCAATGACCAGTCTTCCATGGTTAGCGAACTCATCCTATTGGAACGGAACAGAGTTGTGGGATTTGTTTCCCTGTACGTGTGCATTTTTATTTTGCTATATAGTTTTCCACCCTCGTGAACGTTACGATCTTTCAAATCCCTTTACCGGAATAGATTTCCCTGTTTAATTCCTTCATTAAAAAATATTCTGACATCAAGCGGTAACCCAACAACACTAATCCGCTAACATTTTATCATTACGGGAGCTTCACTAGCGCATGCCCCTAGAAATATTTTTTTACTATGGTAAATGCGAGACTATAATTTTACCCAAATTGTATAAAACAGCTTTTTGATTGGGACAATAAGCGATGATTTTAACAATAGTTAGGTCACTATAAGTAATTGTATTTTATATAAAAAATAAAACAATAGTATGGTATTTGGCAAAATAATAAAACGGTGTTTTTTCAGCAAACAATAGTTTTACCTTCAGTACCTTAGATAGACTAACATTTCTTCATTAGATTTTGCGTAATACACTTTCAGATTTAAAGTATTTTCTTTGAGCCACCCATGGAATTTTTTCGTGTTTGTTTTCAATGGCAATTGTGTGAAAAGGGGTTAGTTCGATATCTGGTCGTAATAACTTTTGAAAAAATTTGTTCCATTAATTTCTGAATCAAAGTAGAATTGGAATCCATTTAAACCAAGATTACAAAGGTTTATTTGATTTTCTCCGTCATTTAAGAATTCGTCTATTAAGTCTCTGGATTCAGCATCTCCACGGTCTAAATCAATTAAAGATACGATGATAGTTTCCAAATAATGGATCATGGAAATGTTCAAATGCTGAAACAATTCATTGAATTTACAATGTTTCACGGTTTCTAAAGCATCAAAGAAAACATCTTCTTCATCATTGTATTCACTATGTTCAACATTTTCACTATCGAAACATTGGAAGTCAATTCCGCTAAAGAAATTCTTATGAATATTGAAATCTACTAATTGTAGTTGGTTCAAATAATCATACTCTGTAGTGTTGGTATATCTGTATTGGAAGAATTGACCTAATTGATTGATCATGATAGAATTATCCAAATCTTTCCAATAATTCAATTTCTGATCCCAATATTTATGACGATGAATGAAATCATCCAACTCTACTAAATACTTATCACAATGAACACATTTACATCCATTCCACATCATATGATTCATAGATTGTTCATAACATGATAATACTTGGAGGAAATCAGGTAACACAAGATTGACTTTAACTGGCCATCTACTGATGATTTTGATCATAGTGGTTAAAATTCTTATTCTTCTAAGATAATTACCTTCAAATCCATCATCTATTAATCCATCTTTTGGTGGATTGTATTTGATAACAATGTAATTTATGTTCAAAGGATTGTTAAAAAACTTCAATAACGACAAATCAATCAATTCCGAGGTCTTATGGTCATATGGTTGAGTATATATGAGAACAAGTTTTTTCACTTTTGACCAATCTATCTTCATGGATAATAAATCCACCGGTTTATCGAGATTAAGCGTCACTTCACTTTGTTCTGTGGTTGGTTTGATCAATCTGCCTTTATCCATTCCTTTCCTTAATGTCAAATCATCAATATAAACAGGACATTTGATCATGGAAATTATCTTTTTGATCTTGCTATTTACCTCTTCATCAAATTTCCCGAAAACTTCAAACTTTCCAATATATTCAATCAACTGAGGATTGATGGTCAATGATTGGATAAGTACCTGTAACTTCACATTGATCAAAATATCATCTTTTTTCCCCAATCCTAAACCATCTATAAAAGTGGAATGATTGAAATGTTGCCTGTCACTGATTTGATTCAATCTTCTTCTTGCCACCACAATATGACGATACAACTGTTTAATACAAGGTTCATAATATTCATAAGACGTTAATGCTAAATTCAACAAAGATCTTGGACCCAAGTAAGGAATGGTCTTCACAATTATATCATGCCAGTCCATAATTCGCACCCAACAATCTGCCTCCCAAACACATCAACTTATCACCATCACGTGAACTTCAGTCACATGACAGATCATGGGACTCAACACCTGTCGCGTTTGCAACACTTATTTTCTATCTGAGATGCTATCGGAAATATTGACGGGTAAATTGCGAGGGGGGGCAACCCTTTGGTCTACAAAATCTAAACAGCGACGAAACAATTTCCCACATAATTCCATCAATACACTCTTAACCCCAGATTAATAAGGCGGAACTGATGTGGAAATCTGTAATTGGTAGGTGGAGGCTAACGTGGGGCATTGTACCCCCAAAGTTTTTTAAACTTTAGCGTTTTTCCCTTTGTAAAAAAATTGCCCCCCTCTGAGCGCTTAGGGCAAGATTCATGGGGAGTAAAATATGGGGTAATCTCCTATTTTTTTAATTATTTATACCGACCCCAGGAACCGATAGGGAAAAGTTTAAGTTTTTTTGAAAATAAACTAAGTATCAATAAGAATGGCTCCAATGCAAGAATCTAAAGGAAAATGGGATGATATCCCTAACCCATGTTTAATGGTCTGTGCTGATAGAACCGTTAAAATGAGTGAAGCTCCAATTCAACCTTTAAAACCTAATCAAGTTAGATTACAAGTTAAATGTACCGGTATTTGTGGATCTGATATCCATTTATGGAAAAAGGGAGGTATTGGTGAATTAGTTGTTACTGAAGATTTAATTATTGGACACGAAGCTTCAGGTCAAATCTTAGAAGTTGGTTCTCAAGTTAGAAAAAATGTTAAAGTTGGTGATAGAGTTGCTATTGAACCTCAAGTTCCTTGTATGGACTGTTACTTATGTATGAATGGTAACTATAATTTATGTCAAAATGTTGATTTCTTAGGTATGCCACCAACTGCTGGTTCGATTCAAAGATTTTTAAACATTGACGCTAAATTTGTTCATATCTTACCAGAAAATGTTAGTTATGAAGAAGGAGCTTTAGCTGAAGTTTTATCTGTCGGTTATCATGGTATTGAAAAAGCCGATGGGTTACCTTTAGGTAAGCCATGTATGATCGCTGGATGTGGTCCAATTGGTTTAGGAACTTTGCTTTTAGCTGACATTGCTGGTGCTTATCCGATCGTCGTTACTGATGTTAATCAAGAACGTTTGGACTATGCTAAAAAATTGGTTCCAGGTATTTTCACCTATAAAATTGAATCTAACTTAACCACTCACGAAAATGCTGCTGCTATTAGAAAAGTGTTTGGTGAAACTGAATATGAAATGCCTCCAACCGTTTTAGAATGTACTGGTGTTGCTTCTTCTATTAACACTTGTGGTTACGTTGTCAGAAGAAATGGTAAATTAGTCATTGTTGGTGTTTCTTCATCTAATGAAATCGATGGATTCCCCTTCATGCCATTATCTTTTGGTGAAGTGGATGTTAAATTTGTTAATCGTTACCATGATTCATGGCCACCAATCATTAATTTGATTCAAAGTGGTAAATTGAAGAAAATTAATGAATTTATCACTCATTCTGTGAAATTAGAAGATGCTATCAAAGCACCAGAAATCGTTTTCGATCCAAAAATTCCAAGTATGAAAGTATTCGTCAAAGACGAATTAGATTTATTAAATTAAACAAATTGAATAAATTAAAGAAAAAAGTTGAACATTGTATCGTTGATCATGATAATACGATGATTGTTTTGGAGTTTGTATAGTTGAGCATATTAATACATAAAGGATTTGAATTCTGATCCCCCACTCTAACTTATATATGAAAAGTCTGGGGAAGCTGTATGCAAGATAGATATTTACGAATGATCCATCTGAAGTGAATTTTAAAGGAGATGTGGGGGCGGAAGTCATTTTCCACTTGATAAATTTCGAGGGAATTCAACTTCCGCAACCAATACACTCACTAAATCTACCCGAAGATTTGACCACAAGAATCATTAGAGGTGTGTTTATGGGTTTTACTATATGGATTTTGAAAATTCCAAGATCAGGATGTAAGAAATCTGCGGTTAATTAATTATTCCCTCTATTCTTCCATTGAACAAACGAATACAACCATCTGGGGTAGTATTACTATTTTGGGACGTAAGCGCGGAAATCATCGATCCCACCTCAAATCACTGCCAAAACATTACCCCCATCCAAAAAGGGTAATGAGAGTCGCAAGAGGTTGCAGATAAAAATGATGCGAAAAAATAACGTCTATTGACATGCGGTTATTAACAAGCGGATTCATATTCACTCAAAACTTTGACTTTATCAGCAGAAGCAGAAGATTTATCAAAGGTGTAAGTTAACCATTCTCTGACTAATCTTCTAGCCAATTCTAATCCTACAACTCTTTGACCCATACATAAAACTTGACAATCATTAGATAAAATACTACGTTCAACTGAGAATGAATCATGAGCAGTGACAGCCCTAATACCAGCAACTTTATTGGCACTAATGGCAACACCTAAACCAGTACCACAGATAATAATACCCCTATCGTATTCACCTGATTTGATCATTTCACCCACTTTAATACCAATTGATGGGTATGGAGTTGAATCAGTATTTGAAACAACACCAATATTTTCAACTTTTTCAACCAAACTATTTGATTGTAAATCTTTAAATAATTGTTCCTTATATTCAAAACCTGCTTGATCACTACCAATAACAATCTTCATACTTTACCGTTAGTTAAAACGCTAAGCGATTGTAAATTTTATATAGTTTTTCAAATGTGGGGGAAATTGGCGGAGGATTTTTCTTTTTTCCCTTACTATGTGGATTTGAAGGATAAATTTACCCGATGGTATCTCCACACATATTTGTATATAAGTTGTAAAATCCTAATGAAATCTATTATCCATTGAAAATGACAAAACATTTCTTACCAGAAAATCCAAATAACTTAGTGAAAAATTGTTTACAAGGTTATGCTGCCACCAACAGTCATTTATCAGTACTTTTAAATGAAAAAGTTCTTTATAACAACCAAGCTACTAGTGATAGAGTTACTATTATTAGTGGTGGTGGTTCAGGTCATGAACCTGGTTGGTCAGGTTTAGTTGGTAATGGGATGTTAACTTCTTGTGCTCAAGGTGAAGTGTTTGCATCACCAAATTTCAAGAATATTCAAGCTGCTGAAAAAGTTGTTCACAGTGAAAAAGGTACCATTTTGATCATTACTAACTATACTGGTGACAATTTATACTTCGGTATGGCTCAACAAGAATTAATTGCCAGATATGGTGAAGATAAAGTCAGATTAATCAGATGTTCTGATGATGTCGCTATTAAGAGATCTACTAATAGTTTAGTTGGTAGAAGAACTTTAGCTGGTTGTGGAATTGTTATCAAAATGGTTGGTTCAGCTGCTTTAGATACCAAATATAGTCTTGAAGAATTATACCAATTAGGTGAAAAAGTTAATGAAAACATTGTTTCTATAAATGCTGGTTTAGATCATGTTCATATTCCAGGACATGCAGCTGATTCTAATTACGGTAAATTAGAACCAAATGAAATTGAAATCGGTTTAGGTATTCATAATGAACCAGGTTTCAAGAAGATCCCAGAAATCCCAAGTAATGAATCTTTAGTTACTTCATTATTAGAATACTTATTAAACAAAAATGATGAAGAAAGAAATTACTTGAAATACGATAACGATGATAAATTCATCTTATTATTCAATAACTTAGGTGGTTTACCAATCATTGAAGAAAAAGCTTTATTATTCGAAGCTGTTAAACAATTAAAAGCTACTTATGGTATTACTCCTTACAGAGTTGTTTCAGGAACTTTTGTTACTTCATTAAATGCCCCAATCTTCACCATTACCTTATTCAATGTCACTAAATCCACCAGTACCGTATTTACTGAAGAAAAGATCTTTGAGTTATTCGATTTACCAACCAACGCTACTAACTGGCCAAATTACATTTCAAGTGATTTAAGTGATTTTGAATCCAGAGTTGTTACCAAATTCGAACATTACGATGATTTGGAAATCACTTTCGATAAAGATATTAAGATCGATCCTCAAGTTCTTTACAATATCTTAGAAACTGGAGCTAAGAACTTAATCAAATTTGAACCTCAAATCACTGAATGGGATACCAAAATGGGTGATGGAGATTGTGGTAAAATGTTGGAATTGGCTGCCAATGGTACTTTATTAGCTTTAAGTCAAGGTGTCAGTAAAGATGGATCAGTTTTAACTTGTTTAACCAGAATCTTATCTGTTTTAGCTAATGATATGGGTGGTACTTTAGGTGCAATTCTTTATATCTTTGTTAAATCATTTGTTAACAATTTAATCAAATATGCTGGTACTGATTCTGATGCTAAAGTTATGGCTAAATCTTTAACTAACGGTATTGAAACCTTAAAGACTTTCACCAAAGCTAGAATTGGTCACAGAACTGTTATGGATGTTTTAATTCCATTTGTTGAATCATACGCTAAAGATTTAGATATTGAGAAAGCTATTCAAGTTGCAGAAGATTCTGCTGAAGGTACAAGAAAATTAAGTCCAAAATTAGGTAGAGCTACTTATGTTGGTGGTTTAGAAGATAAAAAGGATTTCCCACCAGATCCAGGTGCCTATGGAGTTTATCAAATAATTTTAGCATTAAAACATTTAAATCAATAGTTATTGTAATATATCATATCATGAATTTTCGTCTCTTAGATCTTGTTTCCTTTTCTTTTGTCTTAATTCAATACCTGGTAATGTCTAAACTCTATCGATTTCCATTGGCCCTTGCTCCATCCAATTGGGTTCCTTCAATATTTATAAAGTGACTATTCAGTAAATGTTAATTGTCATGTTCATGTATTAAAATATATAATTTCTATGCATTTATTTGTCAGCTTTGATACCTAAGATACCTCTACCAGCGTAATATAATGGGAAAATGGTAGAAATGGTGAATAAAGCATAAAATGGGTAAACAACTAATTTAGATCTTGGTCCTCTTAACCATAATGGTTGAGATGAGTTTTGATATCTTTTTTGTAAATCAATGATTCTTTGAGGATTTGGAGCCATCTTAATATAGTCTATTTTCAATTCTTTGAATATTTAATCGATGTAATCAATGAATAGATTAATATATTTATGTGATGAAAATATCAGTCGACTTTTTCTATCCAATGAGAATTTTGAGAATACTATTAGAGTGGTTGAGACACGCTTTTTGAACAGTTTTTGTGTAACATGAGATTGAAAGGGTTTCCTAGGTTTTACTGGGGTATACGATTATTGGGGTATTGGATAATGAGCAGTACTACTAAAGTGTGAAATTACTGACAGAGGTGGTCAGATGTGAGATTACTGAGATTCCAAATTACTCGAACATACCGTTTATGAACACATTTAAAAAGTCATTATTCGTTTATTCATCATCACTAATATCAATAACTACTCTTCTTCGACTGGGTTGAACATCTTCATCATCCAGGTCGAGAGAAACTGGTGCGTGGAATGATTCCAATGCTGTTTCTAACCCATCGTCTTCATAATCTCCTGCATCAGACATACTATGATAATGGTGGTACCCATCATCACTGAAATGACCTTCGCTTGATAATTCATGAATCTCGCCATCACTTAAATTGCCATCATTTCCCTGATCAAACCCTCTCCAGGAATCTCGGTTGGAGTTGGTATCCATGTCCGATAAAATGTCATTTTCATCGTCTATATCACCATTTATGTCATTGAGTTCTCTTCCATCAATAAAACTATCATTACTATCATAAGCATTGTCTTCAGCACCATAGTATTGTTCTTCCAAATGATCTTCATCATAGGCTTCTGCAGAATCATATTCATCATCATCTCTGGGTATTCTAAATACTGCTCCACAGTGTAAACATTCTGATCCATGGGCTTCCCAATGACAATTCCCACATCTGGGTACTCCATCGGATTTATCTACAATTGTCAACACATTCTTGAAAGTTTCACCATACAAAATCCCATTCTTTGCATCATCTTGATACTGTTGATTATTGGTATCTCTTCGATTAATCAATTCTTGTTTCTCACTATCATCTCCGTGATCTATCAAAGTATCCACCAAATGTGAACTTATTTCCTTCAACTGAACATTAAGAGTAGGTGGTGCTTCCAACTCGTGCCTACAAGTTGGACAAGTAGCTTTGTTTTCAAACCATGACGTGCAACATTCATAACAAAACGAATGCCCACAAGATGAGATCACAGGTACTATCATTATATCTGAACACACAGAACATTCCACTGATTCTGCTATTTTTGCCAACAATGAGTCCGTTATACCTCTATCCTAAGCTTGTTAGTATTCATTTCCTTGTATTCCCACTATAAAGAGATCACATACAATAGTTTGCCATTCCATGTTTAGATTCTGATGATGGTGCGAAAAGTGTATATATATATATTTACAGGCTCATTACTTCATTAACCAATTGTTCAAAATATCAAACAATTGGGATATTTTCTGATCAAGATAAGCATCGTCTTGTTTCATTATCGAAGTTATCTGGGAGATGAAAGTTGATAACTTTTGTAAACTTTCAACTGGGGGTTCAAACTTATATAATGATTGATTAAGGGAGATACATTGACGGATCAAATAAGGATTGATCTTGGTTTGTTTGAAGTTAAAACTTTCAATTTCTTGGTCAAATTTATCAAAATCTTGTTGTAATTTGAATATTTGAAGTTTATTTATGAAAATGGAGATTTTCAAGTTATCAGTGATTTCTTCAGTTTCATTCTCTAAACCGTTAAGAATGTCCAATGCTTGAGGGAATAATTTTCTATTGATCAATATTTTAACGAACTGGAGTTGATTTATACAGTTAAAATCAGCCAAACTATATTTTTGAAACTCTGCTAATTCAGGTTCAGTGGCATACTTCAAATTTTCTAAACTTAACTTATCTTGAAATTTAGATTCTAGTCTAATTTTGTGAGTTAGCTCTATTAAAATCTCTCTATTTTCGAAACTCAGTTTTTTAAAAGTTTCTAGAATCTTGAAGAAGTCAGGTTTGACCCCTCTTTCGATCATTTCAGGGAACCCTTGTTCAATACGGAAATGATGTTGATCTCTCGTCAGTTTATCATTTTTATAAGGACTGATTTCTTTCCAATTACTTAACTTATATTTTCTCATGTTGATTCCATTATCTCCATAAACAAAAGGAACTAATTCAGATTCCATTTCCTTAACTTTGATACTGTTCAAGATGAATTTTTTCTGGAAGGTGGTGAATTTGCTATTTTCCACCCATAATTCGAGGGTTTTCTGGAAATCTGATGCATGGTGAGGATAACTTTTGATGAATGATTTGAAAATGATTCTTAAAAATACAATCTTGAATTCGATCTTGGTAGAACAAGTGTTGATGAAATCTATCAATTCAATGAAACTTCCATTGGTGATATAATAAGAAGAAAATCTCGAGTAAAAATCTTCTGTTATGGGTACGTTATATTTCTTCAAAAGATTAATCACCACTTCTATATCCTGGAATCTACAATATTTCGATACAAATCTTAACATGGAATAATAGAAATCTTGTAAATCATTCACATCTCCTAAAGCTTTCAAATTTTCAGATATTTTGGTAATTTCTTTGATATCTTCATCAATCAAACTCTTCCTAATGGCATGTTTGTTTCTACTCAAGATTTCAAATTTCAATCTCGACTTCCATACCAAATAATGATCATTCAATTGATATCTGTAAACAAGAGTTTCCATAGCTTTGACCTCTTCCAATGTTCCATAGACGTATGATTCAAATAATACCATGGACATGATTTTAGCATTTGGAACAGCATTTCGGGAGAATATCCATGTTTGTAAGATATAAATCAAAAGTTCAAATAAAGCATCTGATTTGATAAATTTCAAAATGGTAAATTCTAAAACATCGGTTCCTAAATCTCTCTTCAAGTTGGTGATGTCAAAGAATATCTTTTTTGCCTTTTCAAGTTCATAATTATAGGTGAAACTACCTATTAAGTACTTAATAGTATTATCATTTATCTCTTGGGGTGGATTTTTCAAGTATTTCTCCAATAATCTTGAAGTTGTTGACAAATCATTGACATGGTAAGCGTATCGGATATATAATTCTTGGAATCGAATGTTATTCAACATGAATATTTCATAATTAGTGACTATTTTATAATAAGCCGTCAACTTTTCCATGAACTCCTCTGGTTGTAAAGATTCTCCTAAAGGTAAAGTCAATTTCTCCACCTCATCAATGGTTAAAAGATCATATAATTCTTCAATATCGATTAACTTCTTATCGTTTAATAATTTTTCAATCTCTCGTGTTCTCTCTCTAAAGTCTTCTAAAACGTGTAAATGCTGAATCTGTTCGGGGGAAACAAAAGAATAGTTGGAAGGAATGTCTTTTTTCCAATCATAACGAAGATTTTGTAATTTTGGTAAAGTTTTACCTAGAATCAATTGTGCATAGGATTTATGAATAACATTGGTTTGATTATAAAATCTCCGTGTTTCTAGTTTCGAAAGATATCGTAGGTAATCTAGGTTGGTTCTTTGTGATGCTATTCGTTTAAACGGTGCGAGACACACCCGTGGTTTTGACATTTGGTCTAGGACCTATTCCCTAAATCTTACGACTGATGAGCGAGGAAAAATTATCAACAGTTTCGCAACCCCATTTTTCACAGGCCCTCACACATTATCCATCAAGATGTCCTTATATTCCAAACTTGGACCCCAAGGAAGAGCTCTTATGAATCAGGGCTCTCTTGTTGAATCTGGAGAAGGTCCACAAGAATTAGATTTCCTCATTGACAATCTTAGAAATCCTCGAAAGGATGTGAATTTGAATTCAATCTTAGGCTATATCTACCATTATTTACCCAAAATCAAACTTGAACATAATCTACAACTAGTAGTGGCCAGTTTTTTGAACAATCCAATTAGTTTCCAACCTGGTGGATTGGATTTCGAACAAAATTATACAATCATCGAAGCATTTAAAGCTATCACTGATAAGAAGTTAACTATATCCCAACCAACATTGACAATAAAAAACTGGTATACTGTTATTCTTCAAGAACTTAAGAATTTTGTGCATTTTGATATCATCCATAATAGTTGGAAGGTGTTACCGATTATTTCAGGAATCCAATTATCCAATGGTTTGAGAGACGATTTATATACTAACCAGAATATCTTAGAGTACAGGTGGTTTTTCCAGGATTGGGATGCTCAAATAAGTAAGTTGTACAAACAGTGTTTGAACTATTCCTTAACCAACTACAATCCCGACAATATCATCAATTTGACTTTACTTAGTTATTCTATCACATTCAAAAAGGATAAAGAATCAGTCAAAGAGTATACCGGTAAATTGTCCAATGCTTTCATTATCAACAAGTTGATCCAATTGTTGTTTTCCAATCATGCACAAGGGTGTCAAGTGTATGAAAGCTTCTTGGAAGGTGTGAACGTTGAAGTTACTCAAAAGCCGGTAATCAAACATTTGAATCGTTTATGCTTCTTATTAGAGAATTATTTCACCATCTTACCACTCAACAATGAATCCTTCCAATTGGTGATGGACAATGTAATGAAAATAAAACAATTCAATCAAGCATTATCAGAAGGGAGTCAAAATTCCGTCTTCAATCACAAATCAAGCTTAACCAACAATTCCCCTGAGCACCAAAATTTCTGGTTCTTGATGAAATCCATATTCTTTGGGGAATGTATAGTATTCCAAGGAGTTTTAACCCGATTTTTATTGAGTAATAAAGGGTTCAGTTTCTTCAGATCTTATAATATTCAAAGGGATTACAGGCAAATCTCCTTCAAGATCTTGGAATGTTTATATTATTTGAACCATGTTCTTCTTTCCATTGGTCAAGGAGGTTTTGATTCATACAACTTCATTTATTATTTAAGTCTTGAAATCATTCTTTCAAACAAGCACCTGACAAATGAACTTGAAAAAGTCTCTATGTGGTTTTTCGGATACCCTAACGTCAATTTATATCATGAAGCATTAAATATCAACTATATCAACAGAAGCAGAGTTTTGTTTGTATTTGGGTTATGGGAAAATTACTTACAAACCAATAAGGATAGTCCTTTTGCTAAAGAAATCTTCCGTTTATGTCTTGATATTATCAATAATGAAGCTATAAGAGATTATGACTTGATAGAAGCTTGTCATTCTGTGGTCTTATTATGTTTCTCGGATAATATCGATATTAAACAAGGAATGCAATATGTTGACCTTTTAACCCATCAATTCCCCCATCTTTTATCCCCCCATCAACTCAGTATTGCCGTTGAATCTATCGGTAAGGTTATATTATCAAAACCCGTCATATATAATGAATCAGTCCATGCTAATTCTTCAGAAGAATTTTTGGAATTCTACTACTTCAAGTGTTTGAATGCCAGACCTGGTTTACCAATCAAACCACAATCAGGTAATTTTACTTCAGCTCAACCAATTCCTGAGATATCTGCTGAATCTACGATCAAAGCATTGGATGTAAAGAAAGAACAAATCAATATAATCAAAGAGAATAAATTGAAGAAACCAAAAGATTTCATAAAATTAGATATTTTACCTGACCAACCTAAAAAAGATTATGCGTTCACCAAGAGATTAGTTCCTGAAACTTCAAGAGAAGCATTGATTCTATCATTCATTAACTTGATACCTTATTTACCATTATCGATGTTTGTTAAATGGTTAGATAAGACGATGTTAATCATTGAAGCAAGTAATCAAAATGAACGTTCATATTTGGTAGATATGCTTTGGAAAGTTATTAGTGAGAATCTTGACTTGAATCGTTGTGAAATGGCTTATAGGTGGTGGTACGAAACCAAACTAGCAGTTGAATCATATCAACCTTCTAAGTTATAAGTAGAAATATAAGGTTCGCGAAAATCTCATCTCATCGCATCTAAGACATAATGGCCAGAAAGAAATCTGCTGCTAAAAAGGCTAAAGAAGCCGAACTCAAACTCAAAGAACAAGGAATAGAGGTTGAAGTTAAAGAGGAACCTAAGAAGAAAGAACAAAAAATACAAGAAAGTGAAAGTGAAAGTGAAAGTGAGGAAAGTGAAGATGAAGATGAATATGGAGATTTAGTCACTGAAAACATTGATAAAGGTATTAGTAAAGTATTAGAAGCTATTAAGACCGACCCTTCTAAATTACTTGACAAAGATACCAAGTTCTATGATGAAGATGAAGAAATTGTCACTGATAAAAAGGAAAAACCAATGTATTTAAAAGATTATCATAGAATGAATTTATTATCAGGAGGATATAAAGATGATGAATACGATAATGAATATGGAACTGTTGATGGAGAAAAACCATTTGTAGTCACTGAAAGAGAAGAAAGAAACCAACTTTTATCCGATATTAAAAGTGCTTTCAATGATGATGATAGTGAAGAAGATGATGATTTCTTGAAAAAGAAAGAAACTGATGACATGCCTGTTGATGAACCAACCACTTTACCTGATCCAGCTAATGAAGGTGATTTCTTACAAAGTTTCCTCGATAAAAAAGCTTGGATTCCAACCAAAAATGATAAAGTTATAAATCTTGATAGAAAAGGTGAAGATGATGATGAATTTGATGAAGCAGCTGAAAAATTTGAAAATGCTTATAATTTCCGTTATGAAGAAGATAATGCTGCTGAAATTATTTCTTATGCACGTAATCAAGCCACCTTGAGAAGAGATAAAACCAATTCAAGGAAAAGACAAAGAGAAAGACAACACGAAGAAAAATTGAACGAAATGAAAGTCAAAGAAGAGAAAGTAAGAAAGATCGAAACCGCCAAAGTCAATAAAGTTACTGACAGATTACACAAAATCAAAAGTGAAATCGGTGGTGATATTAAAGAAGAAGTCATTGAAAAAGTTTTTGGAGATTCTTTATTAAATGATGATTTTGATGATGCTGATTGGGATAATAAAATGGCAGAAATTTTCAATGAACAATACTATGGAGAAGAAATCTCTAAACCTGAGTTCAGTGATATGGATTTATCAGACATTGAAGATGAAGAAAAACCAAAGAAATCCAAAAAAGATAAATTGAAAGAAAAGAAAGAATCAAAGAAATCAAAGAAATCAGTTAAAGAAAAAGCACAAGCTATCGTTGAAGCTAACAAAACCAAGATTCTTGAAGAAATAGAGGAAGAAGAAGAAAGAGGAAGAAGTAAAGATGATGATATCAAATTCAAATACCGTGAAGTGTCACCTGAAAGTTATGGATTAACTACCAGAGATATCTTCATGGCTGATGATAAACAATTAAATAGTTATATTGGTATCAAGAAGTTTGCTCCTTATAGACCACAAGAAATGAGAGTTAAAGATAGAAGAAAGTATAAGAAGAAGAGATTAGTCACTGAATGGAGAAAAGAAGTATTTAAAGATCAAAAGATCAAAGATGATGATGGAGAATCAATTTGGGTTCCGGTTGAAGAGAAAAAAGACAAGAAAGTTAAGCATAAGAAGGATAAGAAGGATAAAAAAGACAAGAAAGACAAGAAAGAGAAACATTAATAACTTTTCTATTAATCCAATATATAAAACCTTGTACCTACCTCTAATCATAGCCAGGGAAACTGACAATTGATTTAGCGGGCCCCATTTTTTTGATACCAAAACTTCTTAATGATCTTCTACTTGAACCAGAACCTCTTTCAGGTTCAGGATTCAAAAGTTTTTTCAACCAGAATCTAGCAAAAAGGAAGAACATTAATACTACAAATGCCATGAATCCAAGAATACCGAAGAACCATTGTAATGTACCTCCATCTTGACCAGGAACTGTAACATTCATACCAAATAAACCCGTTATAACATTCAATGGTAATAAGATGGTACCAATGACTGTGACTTGAGATAACATGGCAGTGACTTTATTGTTAGAATTTACAGACTCAACTTGTAATTGAGCCAAATAATTTGTGTGTGATCTACTAAAGATTTTTTCGTATGCTAATAAATTTTGAAACATTGTAACCACATGATCTTGGATATCTCCTAAATATAAAGCGATATCAGCTCTTGGTTGAGTATAATTACCAGAACTGTGGAATTGATATTGATTTGAAGCCATCATATTAGGAGGAGCTCCAGGTTGAGGTCCAAATGAAATACCTCCGGTTCCATCATGTCCGAAACCAAATTGAGGTTGTGATGATTGTTGAGAAGGTTGTTCTTGATCTATGCCACTTAAGTTAGTGGATGACATAACTGGTTGAGGTTGAAGTTTATAAGCTTCATCTTGACATCTTTTAGCAAACATTTTAATGACATCTGCTTTACCAGATAATAATCTCATTAATGTCATAACTTTCCTTCTAGATTCCCCAATTCTTTGTAACATAAGACCGAAATCTGTTTCTCTAGCTACAAACACTGAATCTTCAATAGCATCAGCTTCATATTCTATACCCGTTATAACAGGAATGAATGCATCAGTAATATCATCAATGATGGCATAACAAATCCAATCTGCAGTTGCATCAACATAATCTGATAATTGTCTCAATCTTCTTCTAACATTAGCTCCATGATCAACAGGAGAGAAATGGAAAGTTAAAATACCTGTTCTGAACACCACAATATAAACATTTATAGGTTCCAAATAATCTTCTGATTCTTTATCAGGTTCAAAAGTATGGAAACAGACGAAGTAATAATTTCTGAATAATTCCACTTTTTCTCTACTTTCTTGAACTCTAATATCTTCTGAAGTCAAAGGATGTAATCCAAAAGCTTTGGAAATAACTTTCATTTCGGCATCAGTAGGACAAGTACAATCCAACCACCAAATACCATCATCACCATAATTGAAAAGTTCTCCAACACTTTGACCAGGATGAGTTAACCCTGGTAAATCAGCTCCTCTAACAGTTTCGTCCATGTTACTATTGAAGAAAGTGAATCTTTCAGGTAAATCATTATTGGAATCTGAATCTGATCTATTATTTGTAAATGTAACGAAATCATCACTCAATGGTGAACCCTTTTCTTCATCATTGAAACTTGAACTTTCCCGTTTTTCTTCGTGTATAGTACTATTATCGGTGGGTAACTTGAAATTTGTTAAAGTTTTACGTAAAATGTTCTTTGGGGTGTATTTTAAAGAAGCTGTTGAATGATGTCTTGCTCTTGAAGTGGTAGCAGCATTTTGTTGAACATTTTCCTGTTGTAATTTAGAAGCAGCAGTGTAACTTCTTTCTTCATTAATGAATTCATCCAAAAATGCCAAGTTGATTCCATTAGCTTCTCTGACATGCTCTCTTAACATAGGGAAACAGACATCTTCTTCGGTCTCTTGAGAACTTCTAGATCCATGACTAACAACATCACTATCAATAGAAGATTCTGAGGGTCTTCTAGCTCTTTCTCTTTCATCAGAATTGGCGGTATCATTTGTTTTCATTCTCATCATAGGAGATGCAAGGTCAGCTTCCAAATTACTTGAACCACTTCTAGTATTCTTTCTCTTCTTTTTAACTGAAGGACTTTTCTTGAATGAAATATTTTGATTAAGATGTCTTTGATCTTTAGGATCCAAATCTCCATCGCCAAAAGAATGACTCCTCGAACTCCTTCTAGCAAACCTTTTTGAAGTGTCTATTTTACCACTCCTTTGAGGAATAGTTAAAGACTCACCTCCATAAGGATTAGTTTCGAGAATACTGATTGGGGGATGTTGGAAATTGGATGATGGTGGAGGTAAAGATGAAGGTTGATGTCTGTGATCATCTAAAACCTGATCAAATCTTTCATCGGGATGTACACCGAGATCTCTGTGGGAATGAGTACTTTCTGAGTCAGACATCTTTTTAGCAATTTGTTGATAAAATTAAAATCTATGTTCACAGCTTTCGGGGGGTAATTTAACTTAAGCTTGTGATCATAGTTTGACTAATCGGATACAATACTTATTATATCAGATTGTATGGAGGGATTAAATTGATGTTTTTATACCTTTGCTATTGAGATATTTTTTTTCTCTGCTCATTTTCTCATCTCGTGGATTGTCGCACGTCGTCAAAATGTCCCGATGGGCTGAATAAAGGGAGCGATGGCAGGGTACAGATAAGAGGTTGAACGTTCAGGTAAGGGATTAGGCTTCATGTATGAAGAGAGTGCTGGTGCAAGTGCCATCATAGTGGCAGCAGATATAGTCAATGCATACATTGGTAATTTTTGATCCTCAGATCTTCTACACTTTGGACATGTTTGACACTTCCCAGGCTCAAAACAATCTATTTTAAACCTATCATGCCATTTACTCCCCTCAAGGATTACCCTCAAATTAGAGTTACGGTCAATTTGCACTGAATAAAGTTACACTAAAGTAGAGTTACACTAACGTAGAGTTACACTACAAAATTACACATTAACGTAAATATCTATTCAAGCCATGGTTGAGGATTCTTTAAAACCTCTAATAATTTCTCTTCTCTGGAACCCGGTTCAGGATGATGATCATAAATCCAAGTAGCATTTAAAGGTAATGACATTAAAATACTTTCGATTCTAGCTCCTGGGGTTTGTAAACCAAATTGAGTACCTCTATCAATAACCAAATTAAATTCAACATATCTTCCTCTTCTTATTTGTTGCCAGTTTTTTTCTTCTTCAGTGAAAGGGGAATTGATTCTCTTGGTCAAAATTGGAATATAAGAACCTAAGAAAGCATTGAAACAACTTTCAACTAATAATAATAATTCTGTTGGATGTTTGGAATCGAAATCATCAAAAAAGATCCCTCCAATACCTCTTGATTCTTGTCTATGCTTTATATAAAAGTATTCATCACACCATTTCTTATATTTTGGATATAATTCTTTATCGAGAGAATCTAAAGCATTCTTATGTTGTAAATGGAATAATTTAGCATCTTCTTCATATAAGTAACAAGGAGTTAAATCAGCTCCACCACCAAACCACCAGGTATCAGGTAATCCAGTATCAGGATCAATGGTTTCAAAATATCTATAATTAAGATGAACAGTTGGAGCATGAGGATTCTTAGCATGAACAATCATTGACAATCCACGAACTCTAAATTTAACTGTACCATCGCCAGCAGCTTTTAAATTTTTATGGTTGACTTTCATTCTAGTAACCGCTAAAGGTTGTAAGATCCCTTCAATCATTGAAATACCTATACCTGCTTTTTCAATAACTTTTCCATCTTGTAAAACCATGGTAACTCCACCTCCATGACCATCTTCTCTCTGCCATTCATCCACTCTGAATTTTCCTCCATCGATAGCTTCAAGGGCCCCTGCTATTTCCTTTTGTTTGAAACGAATCAATGATTCCATTCTGTCTAAAACACTTATAGACACATCTTTCAAGTCGTAACTCATGTTCGATTTGGTAGTTTGATTTATATATACAGTTTAAATGTGATTATAATTTTTCAGTGCGACCAATGATGGTTTTATAGTATTACAATTGTATAGAAAATGATACGATGAATTCGTCAGTTGTTGATATAAAGAAATCACCTAAAGATTTTATACGACGTTGAGATTTTCTGCCATGGTGATAGATTTTGACAAATGGCCTGAGAGATGTGCCTTAAAGATCTCCTGATAAGTTTTCTCACTGGAATTTAATGTCCGGCTCTGGGGGAATCAAACACAGATCGCAACACCGCGCGGCCCTACTGGGGGCAGTTGGTGCAAAAAGTACTCACACCATTTTAAGAGAATATCCTTATAAGAATATCTATGGCTAACAACTTGAAAAGAGGATTTGAAAAAGTGAAAACTCAAAAACTATATAAAAAAGTGAAAACTCAAAAACTATATATATTAAACGTCAGAACAAAATCTATTTGTCTATTTCTTCTTTTCTCTGTTACCCTTTGGAACTCTAGCTAACCAGAAGAAGAAAACAGTAGCTATCATATTGAAGAAAATAAAGGCAATGAAAATACCGAAATTTCTCCATCTTTCTGAAAAGTAAGAATTAATTGAGGCCAAGAAAGTGTTGGTATCACCAATTGCACAATAGGAACAATCACTTGTAGCATCAGGATTCAATAAATTACCACCAGCCATAGACATATAATTGGTTAAATATTCTTGACATGTTGAACCACTAGGAGGAGAAAATACCAATAATTCAGCTTTTGAACAAGTAGCTTTGGTATTAGCTAAACCAGTGGATAAAATACCTTGAATCAAATAAGTAAATGGATTACATCTATACATGAAAATCCAGAACCCAGGTAAAATGTCAGGACCTGCTAAAACCCCACAGAAATTCAAACACATAGTGAATAACATAACAGCTAAATTAGCAGCATTATCAGCCAAATCATTGAATGACATACATAATTGACCTAAAGTTGAACAGTAAACATAGAAGGCAATCAAGAATAACCATACTAATACCCCTCTTGAATCAACAGAATCAGTTGGGATGGCATTTCTATATAAACCGACAGGATAATACCAACAGAAGAAAGCAACAGTACCAATCGCAATTTGGAAAGGAATTTCGGCAGTAATTTGAGCACAAATAAAAGCAACCCAAGAATAAGTTCTTGAAGGAGCTTCCCTAACTTCATATAAATCTCTTTGTAAAACAAAGTAAGGTAACATTTGTTGAACTAAAGTATTTAAAGGCATGAAAGACATAAATACTGAAAACATTTGATTTTGTAAACCTTGAACAGATAAATCAGCTTTGAAGAAAGAAAACCCATTGAATAAAGCAGCAGTAACAACCAAGAAAATCTTTGAATAAATATAAGTTGGAGTTCTCCAATCTTGTTGTAAAACTCTCCAAGTAACATAAAGGTATTGTTTGAACATACTGGCAGCATATTTTTTATGAGCATCAGGGCTATCTTCTTTTGGAATATTAACTAATTCATTTTCCATGTAATCCAATTCTCTACGAACTTCAGCGAATTCAGTAGAATTTTTCCACACTTCAAAGTAATCTTGTTTAGCATGAGATCCAGGAGCCGCACCAACAACATGTAACATCCATTCGGCTGGATTAGCTTCTTTTGGACATGGATCAGCACCATATTTTTCGAAATAATTGATTAAAGTAGAACAATTTTCACCTAAATCACCGAAATAAACAGTTTGACCACCTTTTTGTAAAAATAATAATCTATCGAATTCTTGTAATAAAATAGCTGAAGGTTGATGGATAGTACATAAAATAGCTTGACCGTGATCAGCTAATTTTCTCATCAATTTACAAACTGACCAAGCAGTTTGGGAATCTAAACCAGAAGTTGGTTCATCTAAGAATAATAATAATTTTGGTTTAGCAGCCAATTCAACCCCAATAGTTAAACGTTTACGTTGTTCAACATTAAGACCTTCACCAGCAACCCCAACGATAGCATCAGAATAAGCAGTCATTTCTAATAAATCAATAACATAATCAACATAATCATCTTTTTCCTGCTTAGAAACGTGATCTGGTTGTCTTAAGTAAGCAGAGAATCTTAAAGCTTCTCTAACAGTTGAAGTTGATAAATGTAAATCTTGTTGTTGAGCATAACCAATAGATCTTTGGAAAGAAGAATCTAATGGATGACCATTAACCATTCTAACCCCGTCGGTGATAACACCTGTAGTAACTCTTTCACTTAAACAATTTAATAAAGTAGTTTTACCAGCACCTGAAGAACCCATTAAAGCTGTTAATTGACCTGGTTTAACCCAACCATCAATATGGTTTAATAAAACTCTTTCTTCGGATTTGATTTTAACTTGATAAGTTAAATCTTTCCAATGGAAAATGTTATTATTTTTACCCATCATTTTTTCAACATCACCAACTGGTGGAGTTGAAGTTTCTTTAGCATCGATTTCATCTTGAAGGGAAATTTTTTCATTTTGTAAATCATTTTCAGGGTCAGAAGAAACAGCTTGTTTTTTAGCAGCAGCTTCTTTTTTATGTTTCTTTAATGAACCTCTTAAGAATAAGACAATTTCACCCTTTTGCATAGAACCTTTATTGGATTCAGTCAAATAGATATAAACACCTAAGAAGAATATGATGAAAGCAAGGGTAATACCGAAATTTCTCCATTTATGTGAGTTATAATATTCATAAGCAATACCAATATAATCTGTACCATTAACATATTCATTACCTGGTTTAGAACCAACGGTTGAACAAATTTGATTGGCATGGTCAGCAGTATCATAACCTGGACCACTTGGAACGTATGAAGAACATTTAAATTCTCTATCATGGAATTCATTAGACATCAAACTTTCGAAAACATAACCAACAGGGTTAATGTAATTGATCCATCTTGACCAACCCAACATTTTTGGTGTTGGAATAACGAAACCAGTAAAGATAACCATAGCTAATAATAAACCAGTAGCTGGGGTCATAGCTCCAGGAAGCGAGTCTGAGACAGCCCCAATAGATCTGAATAAATGTGACATAACCAAAGTACAACTGAAACCCATTAACCAATAAAAGAAGAATCTACCAGCATTTCTTCTAAAGTTAACCATGAAATAGAAAACAATATTGAAAGATGATGACATGGCAAATTTAGTTGGTAATTCAGTAATAATGGAAGCAAAAGCATCAGCACTAGGTCTATATAAAGCATATTGTTTATGCTTTTCAACAATTGGTCTAGCTTCGAATAATGACATAATTTCTAACAAGGAAGCGAAAGCATTATACAAGACAGCAAAGAACATAGCAGCACCTCTATAATAGAAAGATCCAGTAGTTTGATCTAAATTATAGAAAACAGAAGATAAAATAAGACCCATAACAGCTTGACCGAAAATGGAAAAGATTGTCACAGAAGGATCTCCTTTGACTCTCAAGAAATTTCTATGCATGATGTATCTAGTTTGCATAAAGAATGAAACGGTATAAGGAGAACCAGGTCTGATATGATTAGATTGTCTGGCAACGTGAGATTCATGATAACTTTGAGATTTGTTTTCAGCTTCACTTTGAACGAAATAATCTTCAATTTCTTTTACTAAATTACCATATTCTGGAGAGTTTTTCCAATAAGTTTCGAATTCCTTAGGAGTACTTGGAACTCTTGATTCGAAACCTGATTTGATGACTCTTTCGGCAGGGTTGGTAATGGAAGTTAAGAAATCAGCAGTAGTTTGTCTTTGAGGACAGATATAACCCATATCTTCGAAGAATTTCTTAGCTTTATCGGCTTTTCCATAGAAAATTTGATAACCTTCGTATAACACAACAACATTATCGAATAAATCATAAGCATCTTGAGAACATTGATAGATAGCAATTAATGGAGTAGCATCTAAGATAGTAGCAGATGTTTTTAAAGCTCTGATAAATTCTAAAGCAGTAGCAGCATCTAAACCTCTAGTAGCATTATCCCAACATTGTAAATTGGCTCCAGATAATGAAACTTCAGCAATTGAGACTCTCTTTCTTTCACCCCCTGAAACACCTCTAACGTAATCATTACCAACATTGGTGAATCTAGTGTGAGATAAACCATAAGTAGCCATATAAACAGCAGCCATATGTTTAGCATAAGATTCCCTATCGATGTTACCTCTATTTTGAGGAGTTCTCATTCTAGCAGCAAATTCTAAAGTATCACCAACTAATAAATGAGGGAAATGAACATCAGTTTCAGCTGAATAGATAACATCACCTCTATGATGTTTGACGATTTCATCAGGGGTTAAACCATCGTAGGAAATTTTAGATTCTTCACCAATTCTGAAACCATAAGTATGAGCAGCAATGGTTTTCAATAAAGTTGAACAACCACTACCTGGTCTACCTAAAACCACAGTAACTTCACCAGGTTTCATGATAGCGTCCATTGGTTTCAAGATATCGAAATAACGTGATTCATCGACTTTTCTCATCTTTCTAATGAATTCAGCACCATATTTCCAAACAGCATTGGTAACAGTTGCTTGATAATCAGAATCAGTTGCAACCCCTGAAGCTCTTAAATTTCTATAAGCAATACCAAGACTTGAAGATTTATAATAATCTGGGTCAGAATCTTTCAATTTTCTTAAATTTTTCACCCAAAATTTAGCATCGAAATTATCAGAATCAGGGTTCAATTTTTCATCAATTTCTTCAGCAGAAAATGGTTCAACACCAGGGACTTGGGACATGTGAGATAAATATTTGATTAAATCTTGAGATGATTCAGTAATGGAATTTGAATGAGATTGATTAGTTAAAGTTCTAGCCAAATTACGAACTTGATCAGATGCAGCATCATCAAATCCATGATAATCATTGATATCATGATCATGATCATGTCCATCATTATGGAAATCTTTGATTGAAGAATCTTCGTAATTAGAAGAGCTTCCTTCCTTTTCACTCATCTCTTACTGGATTTTTTTATTTGCGGATGGTCAAGTATTTATGGTTTTTAATGTTTTCTTTTTTCCCAAAATAATGAGTCGGCTCGGAATTAATTAAAAAACTATCTGACCCGTCCCGCGATTATCTGGGAAGAGGTTGATCCGGAAGCAAAGCTCATTGACAGGTAACAGTAGGAGTATTTTTGATGCATTAGACCGAACGGTTTTGTTTCATCTTGGCCAACATGAGAGAGGAAAAGTTAGTAAAATTCAATCATTAGAAATGGGGAATCCCTGAATTACTTCAAATTATGGGCTTACGGTCTCCGCCAGCCCTTTTACCTCCCGCAGTCGACTATTTTTCGTCCCTGTACAGCGGGAAATCTCTCAATTTTCGGAATTTTTCTCAAGTACGGTTCCCGATATTTTTTTTCTTTCCTTTTCCTGAAGGCTGTCGTATAACTCAGGATTTAAGCCTTTTGTACGATGCCGCTACAGTGATGAGCAAATAAATTAAAATATGAAGAAGAGCTTTTCCATATGAGCCAACTTTATTTGCTTTTCATAAACCGTCACCACTAATTTCAAGCTTAGATAAGCTATCAATGGACCGTATGAATAGATGGGGCTGGCCCATTGAGGATATGGTCTAATTCTAAATGCGGCTGAAAACAAAGCGCAATTTCTCTTGGATTGCTCCTTGGTCAATCAAATTAACTGAAATGGCTGATGAAATCACTCACACCTATTTGTGCAGTACTCTAAAGACCCTACATACAAGACCCTGAACATGCTTATGATGTTATCAACATACAGGCACAGACCGGCAATCTAGGTATATGAATGCCTGAATGCGAATATGTATCATTCCTTATAACCAGATAAGAAGTGAAGCTTGAAGGCTTGGACTGGCTGTACATGTTCAAAATTCATTACCCCGTTCAGTAAATGAAAATTAACACATCATCCGTTTACGGTGATTGTTGAATGTGGTTTCCCCTCTTATTTCTTGATAACCACTGTTACGACGACTTTTGTCTCGCTTAATTTGACTCTTCAATACACTGCCGTACCAACCACGTACCTCTAGTACAAGCCTTCTTATTGTTTAACCCTGAAAACTCCAGTGATCCGTCTGTATTGCCACTTTATAAAGATTTTTCGCACTGCTCGCTTTAGATCATGGATAAGTTATCTAGAACTAGAGTAGCTTGTGAGAGTTGCAGGCGGAAGAAGATCAAATGTTCGGGTGAACAACCATGCTCTAATTGTTTGAGTAAGAAAGTCCCCATAGAATGTGTATTCGAAGATAAATCCAAGTTCAAAATGGATGTACTGAAAAGTTCTGGCAAAAATAGGAAGCAAATGATGGAAGATAGATTGAGTAAACTAGAGGATATTTTATTGAATGTGGTTAATAAGATAGATGGTATCAAAACCGGAAGTGATAGGCATTCTATCCCGTCCATAGCGAGCTCAAATGGAGTATCCAGTTCTAACGATACTGAGTCATCAGTCACTTCCAATACCTCAAATTCTAGTCCACAAGTCAATCAGAGTAAATTTGATTATGAAGATCTTGTTTATAGTCAAGATAGAGGGGTACCCAGTTTCAGACAAAGGTTCTTTGAAAACCATTCTTTTTATTCTATTTGTTCCACAAAATCTATGAAATGGATCAATGATGCTTTACCTCCACATCAAAAAGATTATTTAAATTATTTCAAGAAAGTCCCATTATTTTTCTTTTGTAAACAAGTGAAATTCTTCCAGAAATTCGTTGATCCTATTGACATTAACGCAACCAACAAAGAAAAGTATCTCATTAAGCCTTTCAGATTAGAATATGAATATGTGATGGCCCTAGTGCAACTTTCCAAACACAATAGTGAACCTTTAGATTGTATGATATCGAATGAGGAATTGGATGATTTGATCTACCAATATTATTTCTCCGATAAATTATTGAGTAAAGCCAGCTTATTATTGTTAAGTTCAGTCATATCATTATCAATAATCATCAAAATAAGTTATAAAAAATTGGATAAGAACAAAAAATATAATCCTATCTTGGAAAAATACTCAGATGAAGAACTATATGAACATTATGACGATATGATAACGTCATCTATATTGATTTATCAAAGAATCGGAGTTTTATCGTTAGGTTTTGAGACTATTAGAGCATTGTTAATGCTTGTAGCCAGCCTTGAAGCTTCTGGAATCATAATGATTGAAATTGCTTATATTATACTATCTTCAGCTATAAGATTTGCACAAGAGTTTGGTCTTCACAAACCATTAACATATACCAAACTAGATCCAGCAAAAGTTCATCTTTATCGAAGATTATGGGAGTTATGTTTACATTTGGACATTGAATTTTGTTTCAGACATGGTAAACAACCCATTATCAATACTTTTGATTTGGTTTCTAACTTTAATTATGATATGAATGCCATGTTACAACTGTTTGATGTAGGGGAATCATCTATTGAACATTATGATGAAAGGACCAATATTGGATTCTTAAAGAAAGAGGTCATTTTAAACCTTTATAATAACAACAAACAAGCAGAAATCATCAATTATTGTGAATATTCCATTTCAAAATTAAGATTTTATTCATATTTCCGATTATTCGCCGGTGCTGATGAACTACAATCACCTGAACATCTCGAGATTTTACTTCAAGAATTAAATCAAACCAGTTTGATGATCATAGATCGTTTGGTTGGGGAATTCAAACCAAGATTTTATGATGAAGTCGACTTCCATAAATATATCGATTTCCATATTGAGAATGTTAAGAAAACTCAGGCAGATGAAGTTGTTCTTCACGATGGAGTGTTGAATTTACATTTCGTTTTCTTCTTTCAATTGATGGTAACTAATAGAGTACCATTTTTAACTGCATCAACCAATGAATCACCTAAAATGCAAACTTTTAGGACAATTTCCAATAAAAGTGCTAGAACCATTTTACATTTAACTTTAAAATGTAAGCCATTGGTTGAACAAGCGTTTGGTTTTGTTTGGATGTCATTTTATCCATTTGCAGCATTTTTAATTCTTTCTTCTACTTTGATGTATGCTCCTCATCATAACGATGTTAAACATGATATAAATTTACTCGTAGAAGTAAGTAATTTCATGTTCGAGTTGGCTTTCAACGATTATGCTGAAGATACAGTTACTTTCAGTTTGTATAACAATAGGTTTGGTTTACAAGCTGCTATCATGAAATTTTTCTTGCAAATCGTTATAGCTATAGTTGACTCAAAAACTGGTCAACAAACTCCTAGGAATCAAATTTATGATCAACAGATGGCTAGAATGTCTACAATTGCACCAGTTATTTTCTCCAAAGAGAAACCTATAGATTTCCCCTTTGTATTCTCAGAGGATGCCCAACCATGCTTTGATCGTTCAACAATTGACTCACCAAGTAATAATCCATCATTAGCTAATATCATCAATAAAGATGATACTGAAGATAAGTTTGAGGAATATTTGAATATTCAAATGAATGATTTCATCAATAACCAAATGGATTCGTTACCCAATTTCTTTATTGATAATAATTTGGGGTTCTAATGAAATGTACATAAAAAAAAAGAGTCCAAAGAGTTTTTATGAACACTAATATATATATGAAACCAAAATTTAATAATTATATCTGAAACCTTTATTTTCAAAATCAGTTTGATCTTTATATCCATCAAGGATAGCTTGTTGTTGAACATCATCAGTATGACCACCTTGTAATTGATTTCTCTTTTTATTCCTTGTATAAACTAAGACGAAATAACAAGCATCAAGACCAATCATAACACAATAACATATAATTAAAGCTGTCATAGCACTTTGATATTTTGGAGCTTCTCTTGCAAAGAAAATATTGGCACCAATAATATTACCTGCAGCATAAAATAAAAACCACATACCATTGGCCATGGTTTTCTTAGTTGATCCAGCAACATTTGCAACTAAATAAGTCCAACATGAAATAACAGGTAATCCAACAATATATTGTAACCAAGTACAACCTACTAAAGCCCATTTTTCTGAATTTGGAATCAATTTAATACCAATTAAACCAGCTAATGGGAGAGCACAACCAAAGAATAAAGCAATGAAATTGGTGTTTTTAACAAATAATGATAAAATACCAAAACCTAAGATAACAACGAATTCAATAGCACCTGTTGGTAATTGAAGAATTGTGGCATCTAAACCAGTGAAACCAAATCCTTTAATTAAAGAAGAAGCAAAATTAGAAACCCCACCATTAATAATACCTGCACCAAGACCGATTAATACTAAAATCCAAACTGCTGGATCAATTAAACATTCTTTAACTTGATTCATTTTATAATGTTTATCTTGTAAACCTTGTGAGTTGGTTGAAATAACAGAAATAACAATAGCCTTTTCTCTTTCGGTTAAAAATTTAGCTTCAGCAGGAGAATCAGGACCAAAGTAAAGGAAAATAAAACACCAAGCAAAATTCATTAATCCAATGACTAAAAAGATTAATTGCCATGGTTTTAAAGCTCCTGAGTTGGCATGACCCAAACCAAAACCTAATAATGAACCAACCATAGTACTAATACCATTAGCACTTAAGAAACAAAATTCTCTAAATTGTTGATCTGATCTTTTATAAAATAATTTAACCATATTCATACAAATTGGACTGACTTGAGCTTCTAATAATCCTAAAAGGAAACGAAGAATTAAAATACCACCATAATTTTTAGCTCCAACATGAGCAACTAACAAAACACTCCAAACAAATAAACTACAAGCAGCAAATTTGGCTAAAGGAACTCTTTGAACAATATAATTGGCAGGTATGGCCCCAGCTAAATAACCGAAGTTGAAAATACTTGCAACCCAAGAATATCTTTGACCAACATCTAAACCTAAATCGGCACTGAACGAGTAAGCATTAGCATAATTCAAACTTAATTTATCCAAGAATTGAAGCATATAAGTAATAAATAATAAAGAAAGTAATCTAAAATCGATTTTTCTTCTGATTTTAGGAAAAAGTTCATCGATTTCTTCTTGTGGGATCTTCTGGGATTCAGCATAATAGTTCAATCCAAGAACTTTGTGATGAGTTTCAGCTTCAATTTTTTGAACCAATTCATCTTTTTGTTCATCGCTTTGAACTGATCCAACTTCTGTATGGTGTTGATCTTTTTCGTTAGATTCTATTTCTCCCCTGTCACTCATATCTGATGGTTTTTTTTGTTTGTTTCAGAGGGGACCATTAGGTTTTTATAGACAATAATCTTATCTAATCGAGAGGGTACGTCGCATTTTGCGCATAGATTAGGTTTTACCTAATTGGGTCATTGGCGTCGATAAGATATTAGATAAAGCCACTAATTTGCTTTGTTGGTTAACGATGATTGACAAAAACGGCTTACTTACCCTTACACAATAAGATCAATTATTCAACGGTTAATCACCTCTAATGATTCTTCGATAATATCAACTACCGCATAATTAAACTTTGTTATTGTTCACACATCGGGGAATATTACCCAACATTAAACATTTTCGACAATAATCTCTATAATTAAATGGGGGCAAATGTTGCATATACGTACTTTTCTGGTTACAATTAACTCCACCACGTCTCTGCTCGTCCAAGAGCCACCCACTACAATTCCATGGATAACTCAGAAAATTGCGCCTTCTCGGAATACACATTCCAGTATTCCAAATTAACCCATTAAAGGCAAACGATAAGATTCTAATTGCTTGGAACTACCATATTCGTAAACAGATGTAAGCGATTGGAGCGGACAGTTTGATTTTGGGTATTTGGATAGTGGACTTCAGATTTCTTAAATATCACCGTTTTTCCTTTTCGGTTATTTGATAAATATCCATGATTTATCATATCCTTAGTTTACTTTTATCCGATTTATTATTTTATATTATTATTTGACGATCTCTAAGCTTAATATGTGTGATCAGTAGTGTGAATTGGAGATAAGTTTTTTTTTTGCAAAATTTACAAAATTTTTAGTTATGAATTTTCGTGGTTCAATGAAACCAACAACAAAAAAATAAGTCAAAGAACACAAAATGGGATGATAAATATATTATACACTTTGATGACCAGCAAGATTAAACTGATAAGTAAGATCGTTGAATAGTCAACAAACTGCTATCATTGGATTAATAATCAGATCCAATGGAATCCATACAAATTTGATATCTAACTTATTAGTCAATTTAAGGGAACTGTTGGCGAAAAAATCAGTCAAGTTAAAAATTTGTGGATCGATATTGATTATGTATTAAGGAGAAAACCTCGTATTTGATATCGGAAATAATTGGTAATCACAATTCCTGTTGCAAAATCACGGAATCAGTTATCAAATGTTGCAAATTGATTTGGCGCGATAAGAGTAGATTCTCTCGTTACAACCGTGGGAATGATCGATAATTTATGATGATAGGAATCAGCATTGATGTTCTTCAACCTTGAATAACCAAATAACTACATTAAACATTAATTAAACAACTCTAAATAATCATAAGGTTAGACTTTTGCCAAAGGAATTTTATTGTAAATTCCATGAAAATTCGGAATTTTGAAGATTTCCGCACGGAATTACCAAGAAGAAAGTTTTTTCTAAAAATTATTAAAAGCATAGGAAATCTCCATGAAATACTTCTAGTTTCAATAAAAGTGTATATATATTCAAACAATCCCCCCTTTGACACTCATATACTATCATAATGACAGTTTTAGTTGACGAAAATATCCTCAATGGTAGTCCATCTCATTTAATCCCTGATAAAGTTATCAATGGAGAAATCAAAGAATTAGTTCAAAACTTAGAAGCTACTCCTAAATTTGATCCTCATGCTACATTCGATCCTGAAAAACATATATTATTCAAAGATGAAGACTTTGGTAAGTTCAAAATCTTAAAATTAAGTGAATTAGGAATCAATAAGACTCATGTACCAACTATTAGTGATACTGGTGTTACTAATCCTTTCCCATTATTTACCAAAGAAGCTTGTAACATCATGAAATGGGAAGCTTTTCAAGTTGAAAGTTTGAAAAAGTATGGTAGATTACCTAAATTAGCTAAAAACTCCACCAATTTAGATTTCCAAATTTGTGGATATATCAAACAAGCTCCTTTCACTTATGCTGCTTGGACTCATCCAAGAACTCAAGAAATCATCGATAAAATTGCTGGTGTTAAGTTGAAAATCATGTTCGATTATGAAATCGCTCATATTAATGCATCCTTGATTAATAAAGATTACCCAGTTGGGGAAAAATTAGGTAAAGAGGGTAATTTAGAAGATTCCGTATATGACTGGCATTATGATTCTAATTCATTTGTCATTGTGTTAATGTTATCTACCAATGATGAAATGATTGGTGGTAAAACTGGATTAAAAGATGGTGATGAAAAAATTGTTACTGTTGATGATCCAAAAATTGGTTACGCTACAATCTTACAAGGTAGAGTTATCAAACATATTGCTACTAAACCAATTACCAACCATGAAAGAATCAGTTCAGTTGTTGGTTATATTCCTGATGATATTGAAGTTCCTGATACTACTGTATTAACCTCATTCAAACCATCAGTTTTACCAAGATCAATTCATGATGAATATTATCCTGAATGGTGTGAATATAGATTCAAGAGAATTGAAGCTATGTTAAAAAACAAAAGAGAACAATTATTCAAAGCTGAAGGTCATTTTGATCAAGAAGGATTCATTGACTTCTGTAAAGGTGTTGAAGATTACTTACAAAAGACATGGAATGAATTTGAAGTCTGTGGTGAAAAAGAACATCCCCCAAAGATCTATTCAGTTCCATATAAAGATTTATGATTTAGTGTAATATAAAAAGTCCACAAATATATATATAATACAAAATAGTTACAACCCTCTGAACCTTTGAGGGACCTTTAATGGGACCTTTAACGGGATCTTCAAGTGACACACTCAAGTAAGACCTCCAAAGAGAACTAAACATGACTCTTACAAATAAGGGACAAAATCTAATTTACTCAGATCGCCAGACCAATGCAGGCAGAGTCTATTGAAGGAGTTTTCAACAGTTCGAGCACCAAGACTGATTAAACTTCTAAAATACAATTCAATCTTCATTCTGTCAACATTATTAATACAACACGAGCCACAGATTAGTATTGATGAATGTAACATCAATAGTCTTCTATCGTTTAATATGGCATTTTCTTTTATAACTCTATCAAAATTGAACTCATTTCTTGGAACATTAAAGTCAATACCATCAAAGAAATAGCACATCTCCAAGATTTTACTCACCACATCTTGTACTAGTTTACTTTCACTAGGTAAATTCAAATACATGGGATTGGTTAACACCGTTAAATATAAACCTCTGATATGAATTTTGTCACTCAAATCGAACCAACTGAACACTAGATTATTCTTATAACCGAAAGTTTCATGAGGTAAATAATTCATACCTCCAGTTTTTGGATAATACGGACTGGTTGGTTCAATTAAACCATTAGGTGAAGCTAAAGAAAATCTTAGGGCTTGATCAAATAACTGCATTAACATAACAAAATCATCGCTATCAATGGATTTTCGATCACTGTTTCTGATTTTTATGGATAATTTAAGGAAATGAATAAATAATGACACATTATAAGAAGATTGACCCAAAAACACATTAAATCCATTGGGTAGCACAAACCCCAACTGTATAGCTAAATTCCAATCATCTTTATATAAAATTGGTGATAGGATATCATCCAAATGGAGTTCATTATTGATAGAACCACCCACAGGGTTGGTTATTACGGCAATGATTTCAAAAGATGCAAACCATGTTGTTGATAATAAAATACTAGGACTGTTCTTTTTGTATAATGCAAGATATTGACGGAATAAGTCATTAGCTCCCTTCAAATGAGCTCTCCAAGAACCATTGATAGTTGAAGCTGCATCAGTGACAAATAACAAACTTGTTAATATCAAAGGTTCAATATATTCTGAAACTTTAGATTTCTGACTGAATACTTGATTAAGACCCTTTAAACTTAAACCTATATAAGTTCTCTTATAATAATCATCAGAGGATAATTTACTTTCTTCATATTCGAAAGATGCTGAAATGGAAAATATAGCATTCAATAAGAATGGAACTTTCTGTGCTTGTTGGATAATAATCTTATTAAAGAAGTTTTTAGGTCCACTTACAGGAGACAATGGCATGAGCCACAATGAATATTTTTCATAGAATAATTTAAGGTAGTTCTTCTGGTTATTTTCCAAATTATCAAAGGAGTTGATGAAAGAAATCAATGGACCATCATCAAATACTTCATCATTTATTTTCGTCGATGGAGGTGGGGTTGGTTGGAGTTGAGGTTCAATTATATGATCGAAATGATCTTGGAATGAATTTAGTAGATCATCTGATATGGATGTGAACTTACCTGATAATAAATCATTCAAATTTGAAGCTAAATTCGAAGCACCTGAGAATAATTCATCACCGATGGATTTATCTGAAGGAGAAACTGCAGGTATTGAATTATTACCATTAATACTACCACTACCAACACTAAGGTGGTTATTATAATTTTCAGTAGGATAATTAGGTGTATGTACACCATTAGTTGGTTGAGGTAAAGGTAAAATCATATTATTTGACTCTGGTGTATGGGCAGGAAATAAATTGGAGATAGATGTGATTCCTCCAACAGGTCCAGACATTGATCCAGGCAATGAACCTGATATCGAACCTGAAAGGGAACCAAACGATGGGATGGTTGTTTGAGGAACATGATGAGCTGATGGAGTTAAGGGTTGTATATAATCAACTGGTGGATGAGTATTCCCATCATTATTAGTACTAGGTGTTGGATTCATTAATGATGATAATTTACTATCACCAGAATCCTTATTACTCATAGGATAATGACAAGTCTTCCTTGATTTCACACAATTATAACATTCAGGTTTATTTTCATCACACTAATAGTTAGTATTTTGATCTATGAAATTCAATGATCATAACAATCCCCATGAAATTGCTCATCATTGACACCAACAAAAGTTCAAAACATACCTTTATCTTCCTCTTCTTACATTCTAAACATCCATTTCTACTATACTTTCTTTTCTTTATAACTTTCGATAGCTTGGATTCGTCCATAATGTGTTTTTTTTTTGCGATAACTTTAAAGCTGCTAAAAGTCTCAATAAGGAAGTGAAGGCGGGGGGATCGAAGGATTTTGAAAATTCACGAAATAGAAATTTTGTGGTGTTGGTGATTGAAACACCAAGAGGTTCGTCCAATAAAGGTTTAGAGATCGAGATTTGCCAAAAATAAAAATACAACCTTGGGATTTAAGGTTTAACTTCTTATGTGCGAGTTTCAAACTTTCTCAATTATGTCATTAGATTACAAGTTGAAGATATCTATTCCTTTTGAGAATAACAACCAGGCTGAAATAGCAGGGAATTCTTTAAGGCCCGATCCCATTTTGAAAGCAGATGAAATGACAGTAGACTTTCTGACTGATAATGAAAAATTAATTTGTTATTTTCAAGGTGTAAGTGATAGAGTGATTAGAGTTGCTGTTAGTAATGTTTTGGATAATATTAAGACAATTATAGAGTGTATTGAACAATTCGAAGGTTAAGAGGATGTAGTTTTCACATAAACCAACTAGTAACCACTACATAAAGGGCTTTTGTAGTGGGGATTAGATTTATAGAGGATTTAATGAATATATGAAAAATTTCGCGAGCGATGTCTATGAGAGTATTCAGACGACTGTTGTTTAATAACAATAAGTTGATCAAATATAGGGAAAATGATTCGAGTTTTCATCATGAGTATTCTATAAGACCCGACACTTTTGCGTTCAAGATTTCAAATTCGTCTTCAACTTCACCATTTCAAAAGACTGAAAATTTCAACTTGATAGATTATGTCTATAGAAATTCTACTAATTATCCCTTCGATAAGATGACTCCTAAGGAAGTTTTCAATACTTATCCCATGATAAATTCCAAAAAATTGTCTAGGAACGGAACTAGGCCGAGAAAAGTGAAAATGGCAGTATCTGATTTCATTGAAGATAGTTTATATAATCCTAAATATGGGTATTTTTCTATGGAAGTTGAAATTTTCAACAATGATAAGCCATTTGATTATAACAATATCAAAGATGTTGATGACTTCTTGGATACTTGGCAAAAAGCTTATGTCAAGTATGATAATGAACAAATAGCTCCTCAAAGAAAGGAATTAATAGCTGCTGATAGTGTTAACTATGGAGATCCAAAATCTAAATTCGCTACTAATTCTTTGAGGTTGTATAATGAAGAGAAGAAAAATACTAATCCTACCACCAAGAATAAGAGATCTTTGCAATTATGGCACACCCCAACGGAATTATTTCAACCTTTTTATGGGGAAGCTATTGCCAGAAATATCTTAGAAAAGTTCAAAGCTGGAAATGAAGATGAATTGATTATTTATGAAATGGGTGGAGGAAATGGTACTTTAATGACCAATATCTTGAAATTCTTGAAAATCAATGAACCAAAAATTTATGCTAAAACTCATTATAAGATCATTGAAATCTCCAGTCAATTGGCTTTGAAACAATATAACCAAGCTTTAAGAGAAAAATTGGTATCTCAAGGTTTAGATGTACTGAAGTTCCAAATCGTCAACAAATCCATCTTTGAATGGAAAGAAGTGGAAGAAAAACCTTGTTTCTTCATTGCTTTAGAAGTTTTTGATAATTTCAGTCATGATTTGATAAGATATGATAACAAGACCGGTGAACCTTATTTGGGACATGTTCTTGTTGATGATAAAGGTGATTTTTATGAATTCTTCACCCCTCAGTTGAATTACTATTCTGATGTTTTCTTACAATTGAGAGAAAATGGTCCTCATAGTCAACTTAAGACCAATTATTGGCAAAAATTCAAAAGTTTGATACCTTTCTTTAATAAAGATTCAATCCACCCATTAGACCAATCAACTTCAAAGTTAATATGGCAAAATACTTTATTTCCTTTTAAAGATAACTTATCCCCAGGAGAATTCATTCCAACTAGATTGACAGAATTCTTCCATATCTTGAAACATAAATTCCCCCAGCATCATTTGATATCTTCAGATTTCAATGCTTTACCAAATGCCATACCTGGTTATTATAATGGGCCAGTGGTGCAAACTGTAGTTAAAGATAAAATGGTAGATATAACTTCTTATATGTGCCACCAAGGATTCTTCGATATAATGTTTCCAACCAATTTTCAATTGATGAGTACCATATATGAACAAATTGTGGGTAAACAAGTAGTAGTGGAACTGCATAAACAGTATTTACAAACCTGGGGTGATATCAAAGCCACTACCACCAAAAGAGGTGAAAACCCCATGTTGGAATTTTATACCAACGTGAGTTTTATGAATACGAAATAATGTAAATAGATTTAGCATGTATATTCCTAACCTAGCTTCCTTTCCTAGCTCCTGGCTTTCCTAGCTCCTGGCTTTCCTAGCTCCTGGCTTTCCTAGCTCCTGGCTTTCCTAGCTCCTGGCTTTCCTGACCTAATTCCTTCCAAACCTAGCCCCCTTGCTTTCCTACCCGTTTGCTATCTTCTTACGTAGTCAAAACTCGATGAAACCATTAATTTCATACTATAGTCATTAACTTATCAAGACCAGAAGATGCATAATTAATTAAAAATCCACCTGTGAATTTTAAATTATCCAATAAACTGAAGAAACATCTTGAAAATTCATCAATAATATTGGAATTGAAAAGATTGATTACATTCAATTTGACGTTATCAACAACCGATTTCAAATCAACTTGTTTATGAGCTACACTGAGTGGCTCTTCCAATGGTGTGATTAAATCTTGTGACAAATAAAAAGTGAAATATTTTGATAAAATATTAGCCAATGTGAAACCCAAAGAAATCCCAATGGTGAAACTTGCTAACATATAAAGCTTGTTAAATGATTCATTTGGTTCATCATCATTGAGAGATTTATTCAAGATATTATTAAATATTTGAAATTTCTTCAATTGTAATGGATCAACATTATTAGAATTTACGAAAAGATCATTCTTGAATTTTTTCTCCAAAAACTTATAATTTTTACCAGAATTTGTAGTGGTGATTAAACTTGAATACACCGAACTTTCATTGATTTCCCCTGGTAGTGATTTATGAGAAATTTCTGAATTAATGAATTCATTAAACTCCTTAATCAATTTACTACTGTTAACTGAGGAAGTTTTCCAAATTTGGAAAGGTTTAAAATTATTGATTAAATCGAATAAATTACTAAAATAATTGACCGTAATCATATTGACAATGGTGATTTTTGAATCTGAAAAAGTCAAATCTTCACCTTCAAAAATTTTCTTCAGAAAATCTACCAATTTATTTGATCCGTCATTTATGACAAAAATCAAATTACTTGACTTAATCTTCTTGATATTTTTTTGATTGAAGTTCTTGATATTGACGTGGAAAATGTCGTGATCTTTAGATGATTCCAACAAATCACTAATTTCACTCTTGGGGAAATTGGCAATTGTACAAATACTTAAATTTGAGCTAGACATTGACATTTTAGGCATAATGAAAGTATCTTTGAAATCTTCTTCTTCATCTGTTTCAAATACCATAGAATCAAGTAAAACCGTATCATCTTTAACTTTAGTTTCTTCATTATCATCTCTTCTATCTTCATCAGTTGTAATGGATAATAATGATGAGGGTCTTATAATCTGAGGAATTAATGGTGATTGACTTAAATTTCTGAAGAATGAATCATTTAAATTCTGCCAACTCTCATCAATGTAATACTTTTCTGAGTTGTTGGTTGGCATTTTGCTTAAGTCATGGTTTCTTAAATCTGGGGATAATTCCAAATCAGGATTGGTTAAAGCGTTAAATACTGACAGATGGGAATTGAATAATCTTCCTACATCTTCATCTTTCTCATATCTATCAGAATCATTACCACTTTGAATTCTCTTCAATGCAGAACCTCCAATACCACGCTTCTCTTTATATTTATTTAACTTTGAATTATCATCTATCATTACTAAGGGGGTTATAAACTTCTTCGATACTGATGGGATTTCTAAATGAGTTTCTTTGTCACGTGTAGTTTCTTTCAAATTACCAATTCTTCTTATATATGTTGGTCAATTGGTATTAATTTCCTAGGTATCTATGTTTTCAAAGTTTACAAATATGTAAATCTCCTTAATAAAAATATCCTTATCAGTGCGTTGTGAGAAATCCTCACGGTATATACACGCATCTCCACTTTTCAAAAGAATGACAGTAAACAGTTTGAAGGAGAATCTTACGTGACATCAACATTCGAGTGGGTTATTGATCAGAAGAATCGATGTAACTGTGGGTCATTATATATCGCAATGAAGGTCAATAGATCGGATCTGATATTTTAGGAAATCCGAGATTTGGAAATGCACTTATTTTCCCCGATTTAACTAAAAAGCTACGTATAACTCATAACTTCCCAAATAAGAACTTTTGTCCAAATAAGATCATTTGGTCTATTTTACTCATGTGACTTGCCTTATGTGGTGATTATCTACTAATAACTTTTTGCAGCAAAATGAGTAATCGCGAAAACTCTTCATGTCTACTCAAGAGAAGAGACCAAATAGGAACGTCAGAAAGCCTAGGAATAAACCTAAGGGGCCCTCTGACAAAGATCAACCAGATATGAAGAAGAAGAATACCAAGAAGAAAGAAGTTAAAGAAAAAGATTACACCAAGGATTATAAATATCAACAAATCAAGAAACTTGTGAAGAAACTTCCTCCTATTACTATAAATGGACTTTCCATCACTAACTTATGTAAACAGTTAGAGGAAGGAAATAAACTCAAAGCCATAGATCAATATGTTTTAACATTCATAAAGAATCAACCAGAAAATTCTATTTATTTATCATTCATCATAACTCCATCAGATCCTGAATTTCCTTTTGATCTAGACATGTTGAAATTGAATTTGTGTATTCCTGGTGGATATCCATATAAAAAGGATGCCAAACCTTCTATTTATGTTTTGAATGAAGAAATCCCTAGAGGTTATGCTGTCAATATCGAAATAGGGTATAGAAAGATTGTTGAAATAGCTCTTAACAATGAACAAGATGAAGATATTGAATTAGTAGACGGTAAGGGATTGTTATCTCAATTAAAGACTTTAGATAAATATCTTGAAATGTTCTTGATGCAAGAAAAGAGGAAAACCATCAAATTTGTTAAAGGAAAGAAACCAATAAGTCAAGCACCTTCACCCTCACCTTCACCCTCACCTTCACCAGTACCCGAGACTAGACTTTCTCCTCCCAAAACATCTCCTCAACCTTCATCCACACCTACACAATCAAGAACAATTGAAAACCCTCAAAGGAAACAATTCATCAATCAACTCAGTTCTAAATTGAAAAATGATGTTAAATTATTCAATAAGAGTAGAAACTACGAGAGATTCAAGATCCAATTACCCATTAATACCAAATATGATTTACCAGAAATATGGTTAAATTATGGTAGTATTGAGATCTTACTCACAATCCCCAGAGAATATCCTCAATTACCAATGAATATTGAAATCTTCAATAAGTTTCTGGAAAAAATGAACAGACTTGGTGACTTCCGATCATATGAGACTAATTTAGTAGAAAACTTCAACCAATTTGCATTCAAAGACACCAACATCGTGTCTACATTAAATTATTTATCTAATAATTTATCAATATTCTGTCTTGATAGAGAAGATTTCATCAATTATAACAAATTATGTAGTTCAATATAATGAGTCATGTCACATGACAACCACTGGTTTCAAGGGGGTCTCTGAAAATCATCGTAAACCATCAACGATTCGTATTTTTCATGACCGGAGATTGTCAGTCATTTCTGTCAAATAAATGCGAGGAAAAATATCCATCGAAGATAAGAACAAAATGGAGACAGTTGATGATGACGTAACCTTCCAATATGCCAATGAATGTGATTTAGAGATTCACTGTTCACCATTTGGATTAAGTGGATTATATATCAAAATCAAAGGAACCAATTTGATGGGAATTGGAAGTACTATGGGATTAATTACAGGTTCAACCAAAGGTTTAATACATTACAATGATAGTCAAGATTTAATGGATCAGAAGTACAAATTATATTGTATAGTTGAAGATGATGGGATGTTAAGAATAGATTTCACCAAAATATCGCCATTGAATCAAACATCTGATGAAATCACTCCAGAAGTTAGACAACAACAACAACAAGATCGTAAAGAAGAACAAGCCAAGTTGGTCAGAAACAACAGTAACAGTAATATGAATAGTACCATTATGGATTCTAATTTCAGTCACCTGCAAAATGATTTGAACAAAAATGTTGAAGAAATTATTGGAAAATCACCCAATTCAATCAATACCAATGATAATTCATCTTATTCATCATCATTGAAATCACCAAATCAAGGTCAAGAAAATGATACAGTTGAAGAAGATGAGTTACCTTCATTAATTTTCAGAGGTAAATGTCCTGATGGAAGACCTGATAATATCGAACCTTTCATTGGTATTTTCTCCTTCGAAAGAGAAGATTAGTGTATTATAGATGTAGAAGAAAAGACTATGGATTTCTAACTTTACATTTCCGGACTCTTTGAATCTCTATTATTCCTCAAGCATAAGCCTCTTTCTGGTTGCAAAAAAAAACCACACACCCCAGAATATCATTGGTTGCCAACTCTAGTACAATACTTAAGGTTCCAGCCACAAAGACTCATTGTCAATAGATCTAGCCAATGATTGGAAGTCGTCTAACTCAAGGAATTTTTCTCTATAGACATCTCCATTATTCACACCCTCATCGCTATTATCAACAGTGCTGGCTATTGAACAAAGGAAATGTAACATAAGAAAATTATCACATTTGTGATCTCTATATATAAAAAGATCTTAGGCCAATGAAGGGATCAAGAAAATGTGGGTTTGGGTCGATTGGACAGTAATTTATTCTGTAGAAGTGGTGGTGTTCATTTTAACGTTGATTTTAACATTTTATCGTCTTATCGCAAATTATAAGAATATTAGAGATCAAGGATTATTAACAGCTTTCATATTCCTGTTATATCCAAGTTTTTGGCAAATCTTAGCTGCTTCTATGGGATTAGTTTGGTATACCAAAGAATCATGGAAAGATGTATGGTTCATATTGAATATCTTTTTCGAGATCTTGGGTACAGGGTTTAGTTTAGTTCAATTAGAAGTTATTGTTAATGCTTTTTACACTAAAACTGAAACCAAAGCTTCAGTTTTCAGATACTTAATCTTGTTCTTAGTATTAACAGCTTCAGTATTATCTTTAGTGGGGGTAATACAAATTAGAACTACATTTATCTACTATCAAGCTGGATCAACCATTTTAGCAGCATCAATCATATTCTTCTTAGGAATGTTAGTAGGGACTTTTAAGGTTAATACTAAATTCATTGGCATGATATTCTTTGCATCAATCTTACTTTTAGCATCATCATGTTATTTCATGTATTTAGCATTTGGTCAGATATTGACTTTCCAATATGCTAACTATATATTGTTTGTGATATTACAATTTGTGGTCAAATTCCTTGTATTTGGAATCTCTCAATTGTTAATCAATCAATTACTTTAGCATTTCTTGTATTTAGGATTTCTGTATAGAGAAATAAATGCATCAGATTAAAGTTATCTTCACATGGATAAACATGAAACATCGTTAAATCATAAGAAAGACTTGAAAGTTTCGAAAGTTCACGGAGGGCAAATTAGAAACTCAACAATGATTAAAATCTTCTAGAATCAGTCATCTAATGACCTCTAATTGGGGTGAATCATCATGTCTTTCAATAGTAAAAATTGATCACAGGTTACCCGACCGAGCCAATTTTTGTTAATCATTTTTACTACCGATCATAGTCACAAGTCTCATTATTAGGGAGATTTTCCTACCCCCAATGGTGGTAACCTCGGGGTGTCAAAAATTTCGCACTATTTGTCATATGAAACTCTCCCTCAATCCTCGGCTCTGATTTTTGTGGGGATTAAAATATATAAACCTGATAAAGTTCACGAAAAATTCTGAAAAATATATAATTTTACAATATGGAAAGATTAAATCAATTATCTGGACAATTATCTGGTAGTGCCAAAGAATCATTAAAACAAAAAAACCCTGATGATGTGGTTATTGTTGCCGCTTATAGAACTGCTTTAGCTAAAGGTGGTAAAGGTGGTTTCAAAGATGTTGGTTCTGATTATATCTTAAAAAACTTATTAGAAGCTTTCATCAAGAAAACTGGTGTTGATGTTAACTTGATTGAAGATGTTGCTGTTGGTAATGTCTTAAATAGAGGTGCTGGTTCCACCGAACACAGAGGTGCTGCTTTAGCTGCTGGTATTCCAAATAAAGCTGCTTTCATTGGTGTTAATAGACAATGTTCATCAGGTTTAATGGCTATTAGTGAAATTGCTAATAAAATTAAATGTGGAGAAATTGATTGTGGTATTGGTGCTGGTGTTGAAAGTATGTCAGCTAATTATGGTCCTCAAGCTTTAAGTAAAATTGATGAACATTTACAAGATAACGAAGAAGTTGAAAAATGTTTAATCCCAATGGGTATCACTTCAGAAAATGTTGCTTCACAATTCAACATTTCAAGAAAAGATCAAGATGAATTTGCTGCTATTTCATATAACAGAGCTGAAAAAGCTGTTTCAACTGGTCTTTTCGATGATGAAATTTTACCAATTGAATCATTCATCGCTGAAGAAGATGATGATGAAAATGTTACTTATAAATCAATAACTGTTTCAAAAGATGAAGGTCCAAGAAAAGGAGTTACTGCTGCTTCTTTAGCTAAATTGAAACCAGCTTTCAGTGAAACTGGTACTACTCATGCTGGTAATGCTTCTCAAGTTTCTGATGGTGCTGCTGTTGTTTTATTAATGAGAAGATCATTAGCTGAAGCTAAAGGTTACCCAATCCAAGGTAAATATGTCTTATGTTCAACTGTTGGTTGTCCACCAGAAATTATGGGTGTTGGTCCAGCTTTAGCCATTCCAGAAGTTTTAAAGAGAGCTGGTTTAAAATTAGATGACATTGATGTTTTCGAAATTAATGAAGCTTTTGCATCTCAATGTTTATATTCAATTAATGTTTGTAACATTCCAAAAGAAAAAGTTAATATTAATGGTGGTGCTATTGCTATTGGTCATCCATTAGGTGCTACTGGTGCCAGACAATATGCCACTATTTTAAGATTAATGAAACCTGGTGATTTTGGTATTACTTCAATGTGTATCGGTACTGGTATGGGTGCTGCTTCAATTCTTATCAAAGAATAAGTAAATAGTATGAATTTATACGAAAAATTTGTCGAATCTCTTGAATAATCTCTTGAACAATCTCTTGAATAATGTTTTATTTAAAATATACATTAGAGGACTTTCTTCTTGAAACGTTAACGTCTTCAATAGTTGCTTGTTTGGGTTTAGAACTATGTTGATGTGCTCCATGCGGGAAATATACAACATTAATTGGTGGTAAATAATACACATTGGATATGGGGAAATATTTATAATTTGAATCTTCATCAATGTTGAGATTCTTACTACCTAAATTAGCAATTAATGGTGATGGATTTGCTGGTAAATTTAAAGGTGTTGGTGATTTGGCTGGAGTAACACTCTCAGCACTTTCGGATGATTGTAATGGAGGTTGAATTGGTTTATAATCATCAGATTCTATAGGATCTTTAGGTTTCTCTTCAAATTTGATTTCTTCACTTTCAAGTGGCGACATTGATAATTCATAACTTTCTTTACTTGTAGGAGATCTACATTTAACCAACAAATCTTTTCTTTCAGCATAGAATGAAGGATTTCTTCCTCTTACGATAATTGGTTCACTAACCAATTCAAGTAAATTGATCTCATTTCTTAAATTCCCATCATTGGTAGCTTCAAAATCTCCATAATCATCATCAAAATACATATCTGCCGTTACAGCACTCAACTTTATCTTTAAATGATAATAATTTTGGAATGTAAAGTTCCCATTATTTGGGGTAGCATTTTTGAACTGTAACTTTCGAAGACTTAAGAAATTATCGATCTCTTCATTAATCATTTCAAGTCTATTCAAAGTTATCACATGTTCAGTGGATGTTATATTTTGTGGACTTATATGATTCTTTTCATGAGTATCTTTGTCTTTGTCCTTGGTATCCTCATCGATTATTAAGGCAATGTTCTGGGATTTGGAAATATTTGAAAATGCAGTGATCTCAATCTTAAACCATTTAATGATTTTAGTGGTGGTATAATTATATTCATTAGTTTCTAACTTCAAGATCTTAGCTTCATTAGGTTCATAATTCTTGAACCCAGATAATTTGAAATCCATTAAGATTTGAATATAATTCCTCCTATAACAGGATAATACTTTGGCATCGGTCTTTATTATCTTACTATTATTTATCTTTGAATCATTTTTGGAGTCTAATAAACTATAAATATAATTACTATTATCAACATCATTAGTAAGAAATCTTCCATTCAAGAACCCAGTAAACTCTAAACTGATAGCATTACCGTGTTTGTCGAAGATTTTAAAATTATCGTTCAACTTCCTTAACTTGAAGTCCAAAAGTCTGGTCAACTTTTCAGGATTATAATCAACTATTATCCCATTATCAGACTTTAATTTATTTCTAGCCTTTCTTACTTTCTTGGTCTTTTTGTCATTAGGAGGACTAGTCATTGGAGATTCTTGAGGTAAAAGTTGACTTGAAGGTAACATGATTGGCAGTTGAATTTGGTGATTTAAATTATTACCTGGATTGAAAGAATTGATATTTAAGTTCAAATTTGGATTCAATGATGATAAAGTATTCAAGGAATTGGGAGGTAATTGGTTAATTAGTTGTTGGATTTGTTGTAGTTGATGTAAGTTTGAATAATTTGGATTCTCAAGAGTTTCGTTCATTAGTTGGGGATTATTCATGTTAGGAGTTCTGTCGAATTTCATTTCTAAATCCGGATTCGGATTATTGAACCACGGAGATTCAATAGGTTTATTCAAATGTTGTGGAGGAAGGTTGGAATTTCCAAAAAGATTCGATGATGAATTGGAATATAATGTTTGATTATGGTTATGATGAGGTGGTTCATTCATATAAGAATTATAATGATGATGTTCTTCAGTAGATTTGAGTTGAACTAAATTATCATTGAAATCATTTTTCGAAGTGATAAACCCATTATTGTTTATAAAAGTATTGAAATCCGTTATTGAAGGATTACCCAGTTGACTTCTATCGAAATTCCCACTTTCATTAATTTCAGATTTTTGAGGAGTTGAATTAGGAATACTAGTTAAAATATCTGGCAAAAATAATGAACTTAGATCATCATATCGGTTTTTATTCTCCATTGGTATTTAATATAACAATTTACGACAAAAAAAGTGCACTTAAGTTATATTTTATGTGAAACTACTTATGTTTGATGCGAGATTTCTCCAGAGATTTTTGACCTTTATCGTTGAATTCGGTGCCACACGACTCGCTTGGTTTTCGTGCAACCTGGTAGTATGAATTACTAGTGGCTGCAAAAAAAAAATAACTATATATAGAGTTAAGGTTTATTTATTTTGATGGTGAAATAGGACTAATGATTGATGATAAACTTTATAATTACCGGGTTTATATGCATCCTTAAGAGGGAAATTGGACATAAACTTCGAGAATTGAAGATTATACTAAAAATAAGTCAACCAAATAGTTTAATTTCGGATTTTTTTTGGTTAGGTTCTTTGAGTAAAATGCCTTTTAAACCTTAAGTCAATGAGTTCAATCGAATGTATTTGAGGGGTTTTAGAAAAGTTTATCCGAAGCGTGGGGGACGTTGATGTCGGGAGGGAACACTTCAGCGGCCAGACGCAAAAATATCGAAATCGCAATGATTCAAGAAGATTTCGATGTTGAACAATTTATGAACAAGTATGAAACGGGGATTAAATATAATTTAGGTGAAACGTGTGTTGATTCCATGTCAATTAAGGATATTATCAAGTTTTTTCCCGAGGATGAACAACAATCTGTAGAGAAACAATTACATGATGAAGTTTTCAATATGAAATTAGTTTATGGTTGGATCGAAGGAAGTGATGAATTAAAGACTAACATCGCCAAGATTTATAATGAAGATAATAAAAGTGAACTCAAAGTTACCAAAGAAAATATCATTATTACTAATGGAGCTATCGGAGCCAATTTCCTTTGTTTTTATACTTTGATAAATCCTGGAGATAAAATAATTGCCGTTGAACCTTCTTATCAACAATTAACTAGTGTGCCAAATGTCTTCTCCGATGGGAATTTGGTCAAGTTTCCTATTTTAGATAGTGAAGGTTATCAACCGGATTTAGATAAACTAAAATTATTAATAAATCAACATAAACCTAAAATGTTAATTATCAACAATCCAAATAATCCCACAGGTTATTTATGGAACAATGATCAAATAGCGGAAATTATTGATATTTGTAAATCTAATGATATGTATATCATGTGTGATGAAGTCTATAGACCATTATATCATTCTTCAACCAATCCACCCACATCCATTGTAAATTTTGGTTATAAAAAGACCCTTTCCACTGGTTCAATGTCAAAAGCTTTTTCATTTGCTGGATTAAGGTTAGGATGGATTGTTAGTCATGATGATAGTTTAATTAAAGATTTAGCATCCAAAAGAGATTATAACACTATTAGTATTTCAATGATTGATGATAAATTTAGTTCATTCATTTTATCCAATTATAAGAAAATCTTAGCTAGAAATTACGTAATTTGTCAAAACAATTTAAAACAAATTGATAATTTCATTGAGGAGTCAAAGGGGTTAATTACATGGATAAGACCTGTTGCAGGAACCACAGCATTTATTAAATTTAACGATAATCTCATAACTATGGATTTGTCAATCGAATTGGCCGAAAAACATAAAGTTTTAATGGTACCAGGAGAATGTTTCCAATACCCTGGATATGCAAGAGTTGGATTTGGAAATTCAGTTGAAGATATTAAGGGGGGACTTGAAGTTTTGAAAAACGTTTTGATCGAGAAAGGTGTATGGAAACATTAGTTTTTTAAAGAAACTTACCTAAACGAGTGATTTCACATAGACATCGGAACTGACTTAGAAACAAACAAATCTTTAAATAGTAAATTTACGGATGCAAATCAGTAAAATAGTAGTTAACAGAAAAGCCGTTCGAATTTGATCCCCCTGAAAAAACCTTAAGCTAAAAATAGATCTGATGCAAAAAATTTTTTTGAGGTATTATATATAAAGACAGGAAATACATATTGTAATTACAACCAAAATCTGTAAGTCTCTAACTATAGAAGATATTAGACAGTGGTTTTTTCAAGTAAACCATATTTTTTGTATATAAGAATATTCGGGTGCATAAATAAAATTATAGATTTGAAATTTTTTTTTCTCGGTTCATCGATTCGTATTTAAGAATTAACCCTTCCACTTATCACTGACGTCAGGTTATAGAAAGTGGATCAAGTAGTCTGTATTTGAAAAATCTTAGTGACAAAAATTATTTCAGTGAGAATTTTTAAAACAAAATCTCAAAATTCAAATCGTTGTTATTTAAAGGGCAAAAGGACAATCACCAACCACATCAACGAAAATAAAACTTGGTCTGAACCTTTATTGAACAAATTGAACAAATTCATCCTAATATAAATCAATATGTCGAAATTATCATATTCAGGACGTTCGGTTAATAAAGTTTATAATCAAGAATTCGTCATCGATAAACGATTCCAAATAGTTAAAGAATTAGGTCATGGAGCTTATGGAATAGTTTGTTCGGCTAAATATCAAGATGATTCAACCAAAGAAGGTAATTATGTAGCTATTAAGAAAATCACTAATATTTTCAGTAAAAAAATCTTATGTAAAAGATCATTAAGAGAATTAAAATTATTACAATTCTTTCGAGGCCATAAGAATATTACTTGTTTATATGATTTAGATATAATACCTAATCCTATGACAGGAGAATTTAATGAAGTTTATCTTTATGAAGAATTAATGGAATGTGATATGCATCAAATTATAAGATCAGGTCAAACATTAACTGATCAACATTATCAATCTTTTATATATCAAGTATTATGTGGATTAAAATATATTCATTCGGCCGATGTTTTACATAGAGATTTAAAACCCGGAAATTTATTAGTAAATGCTGATTGTGATTTAAAAATTTGTGATTTTGGTTTAGCAAGAGGATTTTCTGAAAATCCTAATGAAAATGCTGGATTTATGACTGAATATGTAGCCACAAGATGGTATAGAGCTCCAGAAATCATGTTAAGTTTTACTAATTATACTAAAGCAATTGATATTTGGTCAGTTGGTTGTATATTAGCAGAATTACTTGGTGGTAAACCTTTATTCAGAGGTAAAGATTATGTTGATCAATTAAATCAAATTTTATTAATTTTAGGTACTCCAAAAGAATCTACTTTAGTTAAAATTGGTTCTATCAGAGCTCAAAATTATGTAAGATCTTTACCTTTCATGAGGAAAGTATCTTATAGTGAATTATTCCCCCAAGCAAATCCTTTAGCTTTAGATTTATTAGAAAAAATGTTGACATTAGATCCTTTTGAAAGAATAAATGTCGAAGAAGCTTTAGAACATCCATATTTCCAATTATGGCATGATCCTCAAGATGAACCTGCATGTCAAATCAAATTTGATTTCAAATCATTCGAAGAAATTGATGATATTGAATCTATGAAAAAGATTATTGTTGACGAAGTAAAGAATTTCCGTGAATTCGTTAGGAAACCAATACAAGAACAACATCAAATTCAACTACAATTACAATTACAGAAACAACATGAACAACAAATCGAACAGCATAACCAACAACAGCAACAACAACAGCAACAACAGCAACAAAATCAACAACAACAACAACAACAAATTGATCAACAATATCAAATGGATGATATGGACTTATCCACTCCTTATAATGACCCTACTAATAAACCTAATACTAATGCTTTCACAACAGGTGTTAACACCAATGCCAATGTTAATGATGACATTCAATACTATCAATCGATTCCGAAACCTCAAGAATTAGATGAATTCACTTTTAATGATAAAAACGATAATGGCATTGATCTAAATAGTAATGATGAATTATTTAGATTAGAAGAAGAGTTAGGTTTTGGTATGGATGGTAATCTTTTCAATAATATGTAGCATATATATTCTTTCTATTCAATAACATATCTTATAATATCTCCATTCTTCCCCATACACCAAAAATTCCCATTATCTATATAAATATTTGAAATCTTCCCATCTTTGAACCAACAAGTGAAATCCACTGAGGTTAACGGAATTTCAATAGCTGGTACTAACTTATCATTTATTATGGGATGAATTATGGTATTAAATTTACCTTCATCGATCTTATGTTGTTCAACTAATAATTTATTATAATGTCTTTTGAATCTACTCTCATATAATGATTGATATAAACCAGTAATACCTTTAACTTGATCAGTCAAATCATTCAAATTGATATGAGAATTGGATTTGGAATGTGATTGATTAAGGAGGTTATTCATGTTACTTACACTATTATTAGCTTGAGAAGGGAGATTGAGACTTTCATCAAAATTCATGGATTTGGATTTAGTATGTCCTTTTAACTTCTTTTTCTTTGATCTTTTCTTAGGGATTAAAGTCTTTTTGATTTTAGGTAACCCTTTAATATCAAATTCCCAAAAAATCACTCTTCCATCATTACCACAACTCACTAATCTATAGAAAGTATTTGAATCTTTATTTTCAAATCCTTTATTAATAACTTGATCGTTCTTGATAAACATGATTTTAGATACTATATTACTATGACTTTTCAATCTACAAAGTAACTTAATATCTTTAACACTTGGAGGGTATAAAACATCATTATTATCATCATTATGTCTATTGATTTCTAAAGAAGTTGATGGTGAACTTACTGATGGTGATAAAAATAATGATAATGCATTTGTTGTGATGTTATTGTTATTGTTGGAAGTGGAATTAGTACTATTAACTGTTCCACTTCTTGATCTTTTAGTTGATCCACTTGAAACTGGTTCTAATTTCTTTTGATTTAATAAACTATTGACATTGTAATATCTTAAGTTGAATAATTCAATCAAATCTCCATTACCTACAACTGATAAGATTTTGAAATCATTGGAGAACGTTAAATCTTTAATACCATCCTGGAAATAATTTGAAATTACATCACTTATGATGGATTTTGAAGCATTGTTATTACCATAATTACAATTGTAAGTCAACGATAAATTCATTAATTTGATCAAACCATCATCTCCACCAACTGCTATCAATAAAGGATTAAAACTAAGTGAAGTTGATGGATTTACTAAGGAAATCGTTGATGTTATACAAGTGATAGGTTTATGACTAATTTTCAAATGTCCTACAACAACGTTAGGAGTTTCATCATCGAATTCTTCTGAAGTCCTGAAAGGATTAATGTTTGATGAACTTTTTTGTTCCAATAGTTTTTTATTGACAAATGGTGATAAATCGAATTTCTTGAAATATGTTACAAATCTATCATTATCTACCACAGTTTTCAAGTAATGGGTTTTGGAGATATCATCATTAACAAAGGGATTAAGAAGAATGATTTCTCCATTAGAATATCCAGCAACTATCAAAAATTCATAGATGGAATTATTGATAATTTCTAATGATGTGACTGATTCATTTATGATAGTTGGTGATACAGAATTACTACCTATGGTGGTATTTAATGATATAGAACTCTTCAGAATGTCATTGACAAAGTTATTGATATGAACAAATGATAAGTTATTAAGATTGATAAGTATGATTTCACCGGAATTCAATCCCATTACGACAAATGGAGTTTTATGAGACTTGAATACCTTCATTGTTGTGATGATATAATTCTCTTTCAATTGTAATCTCAAAATAGGAACTTCAATGGTCTTAGAATAACTTTTCGGTTCTTCAGTCTCCATTTCTAATAATGAAGTATATGGTTTAGAACTTTGGAATGTAGTGGGGTTTCGATAATTATTATCATTATCGATAGTTATAAGGTTCAAAACATTAATATTACAGGAAACTAATATCTTACTTGTATCCACAGAATTCAAGTTCTTATGATAAACGTCATTATCGTAAGTTAAGAATTTTTCAAACACTGTAGATTTACTTATTGTTGAAGGTAAATCTTGAAAATTCTTGAAATTATTGAAATTGTCCACGGAATTATTGGAATGGTTTAATTTCAAAAGTTTATTGAAATTGTTAGTTAACTTTGTAAAAGGATTCTTATTATCATTATTATCAAAAGTATTATTACTTCTATCAAGATTATCCAATTCGAGAATCTCACTTAAACAACCAGGATTCAAATGAACATATTCGAAAGGATCAGGCATTAAAGATCCTACATTTGCACCTATTTGGAAACCTCCATCAACTGATTTATTTGGAGTTTTGTGTTCAATCACTTTATCGAAAAGGTTGGTTATATGGAAAGGCAATGAGACATAAGTATTGGATTCATATATCCCATTATTATTCAATGGAGGTCTTGCTATGTTTAAATATTGAGGGTGTAATGTTGCAACTAAGGAATTATTCAAATTCGAATCTTCAATAGAATTATTTTCAATCAAGGGCCAAATAAAATTTGATGACTTACTCTTATGTTCGAATTCATTATCATGTAAAAAATGAATGTTATCTTCCAACTTATCTATCCCCGGTGATACAGATCCTAAGAATACCGTTAAAGGAGGTAAATCTCCAATATCAACATCTAACAGTGTCATTTTCTATAATCTATATTTGAGTGGGGGAATAACTTTTAGCAAATCTATGACACAATTTAGGTGACAGGTTATTTAATCTATGGTATCTATGGCACAATCTATTACTAGTCCAGTCTATGATTCTTAGAAATATTTAATCAATGGAAATGGTTTATTCCCAGAAAGCAGCAAGTTTTTGTTGGATGTTGGTGGTTGGGAATCTTCAAATAGGAGCTTAAAGTGGAGGAAAAATCTCACTACTGCATAATAAATAATTTCGCTAATTCTCAATCTTTCCTTAGATGGAAGGGTAAGTAGGTATTTTACGATGTTGTGGAGTTTTCGTGGAGTGGAAATGAAATCAAGCATGGAGGTTTATGGGAGTATAAGGAGTATATAGGTAAGTTTAGGAATTATTCCGAAGAGGTTTTTAGGGGTTTTGAATGGGTTGAACGTGAGCACTTGAGAGATGATCTGATTATTGCAAATCAATATTACACAAGATTGGTGGACTAGAAATGAGTTTGAAAGACATGGAAATGATCCGGGAAGTGACATAAAACTATCTATCGTTTTCAGAATCGATTTCAATGAAAGTTAAGGTGTAAGAACATTATATCGAATTTCATTGGCTTGAGAGGGGTCAGGGGTTTTCGTCACTTTACTAATGGTTTCCACTGTTCATACTTGGATATATCAAAGTCTTCTTATGTATCAACAAGTATACCAACTCATTTCTACGTACCGTGAGTTTAGTGTCAATGGAACACCGATTCCTTCTTTCATAGTGGCGATTAATTTTCAATTCGTTGACCTTTCAAAAACCCATAATTTGATCAACCAAAATACAATCCTTAATCCCTACCTTGAAAATATTCCACACCTCCATCCATTTCACTTTCCCCTTGCAATACCCCCATTAACTTCATTCATTTTGTTCCCATAACGTCACATGACCTTGCACGTGAACGCGCACAAAGTCGGTGCACCCGATTCGATCCCAAGTAGTCATTTTTTCACCAATTGTAGTTGCCGAAAAAGAAAAAATTTTAACCAAAAAATTAATTAAAAAAACACCAAGTTTTAATCAATTTTAATCAGTTTTTCATCAACTAAAAGTTAAATTTCAATCAATTAATGAATTTTATCCTCATTAGTTATTAAGTTTACCCTTTTGAAATCATTGATTATCTTTAAAATTGATAAATTTAGGAGATTTTTAAAAATCGTTGTTTATTTTTAAGGAGTGGATTACAAAAATTGGACGAAGTTTTCGTTGAGATTTTGGAATCACTACAGTACACCCATAATTAAGAAGGGATTTTTTAATTTAATACATTTGTAATATAGGAAATTGGTTAAGGAAAGGTTTATAGATTTGCATTTTTTGATTTCATTGTTTGTAGTATAGTAATTTTTCATTTGAATTCATAAGTTTATTAAATAAATTATCATAGAAAATGGCCATACCACAACTGAAAAATAGTAATGGTAAAAATCAAGCAAATTCAAATGCAAGGTTCCGTCAACGTAAAATATCAGTTAAACAACCTTTAACTATTTATAAACAAAAAGATTTACCAGCAACTGATTTAGCTAATGAATTAGAACCAAGTCAAGTTCATCATTTAAATAATAGTGGGAATCAACAAAGAGATTTACATTCTTTTGAAACTGGGGTTGATAAAAGTGAAGAAGATGAAGTTCATTTACAACAAGTAATAAATGCTGCTCAAAAAGCTTTATTAAATTCTAAAGATGATAAAAAAGATGTATATATTCCAACTCCTGATGCTTCGAGATTATGGTCTGAAGCCTCTAAATTTTATTATGATCATGATTTTGTTGAACCGGAAGCTTATATTAAATATAGTGCACAAGTGGAAGATACTGTTGGAGTTGAATATAATATTGATGAAGTTGATGAAGAATTTTTAACTAAAACTTTAAATGTGAAATATCCTACTAAAAAAAATGAACCCAAATGTTCAGAATCAGAATTTGAAATTATCTTAGATAGATTAGAAAGAATTATTGAAGAAAAACAACCATTTTTATCCATGGATCCAACTAATATCTTATCATATAAAGAATTATCTACGTATATTTTAGAAGAAGTTAAATCATCAAGTAAAAATAATCCTTATGTACAATCAGGAGCAAATTTAAAATATATTTCATCAACAACTTTAAAAGAGAGGTTATCCAAAGAATTAAGTTTTGAACCTTTTACAACATTTTTCGATAAATATCCATTTAATGATAATGATAATAAAAAATCACCCCGATCAATAAGTAAATTATTAGATTTATTCGGTGAACCAGTTTATAATCATTGGAAAGAAAGAAAAATCGAAAGAAAGGGTAAATCAGTTTTCCCCACATTAAAATTTGAAGATCCTAATGCTAATGAAAAAGATAATGATAATGATCCTTATATTTGTTTTAGAAGAAGAGAATTTAGACAAGCTCGTAAAACAAGAAGAGCCGATAATTTAGGTATTGAAAAAATCAGATTATTACAAAAATCCTTACATAGAGCAAGAGATATAATGTTTAATGTCAGTCAAAGAGAAATCATGAAATTACAACAATATCAACTGGAATATAAAGTTTTTAAACTAAGATGTGAAGCAAAGACTTTGAAACGTAATCAAAATGTATTGGGTGATGATCATTTATTCTATCCTCACAAAAAGAAGAAGATCATCCGAATCAAAGAAGAAGAAGAGGAAAGAGAAAGAGAAGAAAAGGAAAAGGAAAAGATCAGAAGAGAAAGAAAATACAAAGAAGCCAAAGATTTACAAAGATTATCAAATCAAACATCACAGAATATTCAAACCGACAATGGATCATCTTCAACTCAACCATATATCAAATTACCACAATCTAAAATCCCTGATATGGATCTTGTTACAGTATCATTAGTTTTAAAAGAAAAACAAGATACTATTAGAAGAGCTGTTTTGGAGAAATTACGTAAACGTAAGGAACTTGATAAGAATTTTGTTAATTTAACTGATGATCCATATCAACCATACTTTGATATCTCAACTAATTATAAAATTCAAGATAATGATTTGAGACATATACCATATTCTTCAATTTCATCATCTTCTTTACATCAAATGAATACTAGTAATATTCTTAATGAAACATTGAAGAATTATCTTGAAGATGGTAAAAAACCATTACCAGGAGTTAGAACTTTTAATGGTAAAAGTGGTGAATTAATACCATCATCACCTTTCCCACATTTGAACACTTTACTTAATGATCATATTTTAAAAGATGTTAGTAGTCAAGGTGGTTATATTGAAGAATTCTTAAAGAATATTGAAAGTGACAATTATAATGTTTATGTCAATGGATTTGAAAATAAGGTCAAGAAAAATGATGACATAAATGAAACCAATATTTCTGATCCACTTTTCAGAATTAGAAGAAGAGTTGGTAGGTTTAATAGAAATTTCATTGATAGAAGAATTAAGAATAACAATGAAGAATTCAATAAATTTATTGATGAAGAAAAGAAAGAAATTGAAAAGGAAAATCATGATGTTTATCATAATGAATCTGATAGTTTAAAGAGATTAAAATCTAATTGGAAATTCGATAATGAATCTGACGAATATAACAATCATATTAATTCACCATTTTCAATGGATCCATCAAGATTAAATAGTATTAGTGATGAAACCCAATCTATTAGATTTGGATCAATGTTATTATCAAAATCTTATGAATTATTAAGAGAATCTGTTCATCAAAGACAACAAGCTTATATTCAACAAGCTAGAATGAGAGCTTTACAACAACAGCAACAACAACAATTGAGAAATAAGAACGCTCAATCATCACAATCACAATCACAATCATCCCAATCATCATCTCAACCTTCAACTTCAAGTTCTCAAATAAAGAACCCAAGTTCTCAAAAATTACCAAGTAGATCTATGGGAAATGCCATCAGCTCTGGTAGCGGTGGTAATAAATCTACTTAAAATCTTGTATCATAGTGCATAATATAAAATATATTGAATAATCTATAATCTATAAAAACCATTAAAATAAACCTTCAATTTCACCATCATCATTTACTTCAACATTCATAAATCCAGCATGAGTTGGTAAACCTGGAATGGTCATGATTTCAGCAGCTAAGGCATATAAATAACCAGCACCGGCTGAACATCTAACTTCTCTAATTGGAATGGTAAAACCACTTGGTACTCCCTTTAATGAAGGATCATGTGATAAGGAGTATTGAGTCTTAGCAATACAAATAGGTAATTTATCATAACCTTGAGCTGTATACATATCAACTTGTTTTCTTGCAAGTGGGGATAACTCAATATCAGCAGCTCCATACATTTTGGTAGCAATGGTTTTCAATTTATCTTCAACTGAACTGTTAACATCATAAAGGAAATCTTGACCTTCAGATTTTGGTAATTCAACAGCTTTAACAACAGATTTAGCTAATTCTAAAGCTCCTTTACCACCTTCAGCCCAATGATTAGTTGGAACAGCAAAATCAGCTCCTGCTTTTAAAGCTTCGGCTTGGATTAATTCTAATTCTTTGATAGTATCAGTTTCAAATTGATTAATAGCAACAACTACTGGAACATTATATTGTTTGATGTTGGAGATTTGTTTAGCTAAGTTAGCACAACCTTTTTGTAAGAATTCCAAATTTTCAGTGGTATATTCTTTTGGTAATGATTGACCAGGTTTAACATCAGGAGCTCCACCATGTAATTTAAGAGCTCTTGAAGTAGCAACTAATACCACAGTATCAGGTTTGAAACCTGAAGCTCTACATTTAATGTTGAAGAATCTTTCACCCCCCATAGTGAAATCAAAACCGGCTTCAGTTACAACGAAACCTTTTTCATGATTGTTGATAGGATTTGAAGGAGATGTTAATTTCAAAGCTAATCTGTCGGCAATAACTGATGAAGCTCCAATGGAAATATTAGCAAAAGGACCAGCATGAACGAAAACTGGAGTACCTTCTAAAGTTTGCATTAAATTTGGTTTAATAGCATCTTTTAATAAAGCAGTTAAAGCACCAGCACATCCAATATCTTCACAAGTGATTGGGATACCAGTTTCCTTTTGTGATCCAACAACAATTCTACCAATTCTTGATCTCATATCTTTTAATGAAGTTGATAAAGCTAAGATAGCCATTAATTCTGATGCAACAGTAATATCCATACCTGATTTACGTGGAGGGAATTTTGAAGATTCATTTTTACCTTCACCAATGATGATTTCTCTAACGAATCTATCATTACAATCAACAACTCTTTTAATAGTAATAGTTTCAGGATCAATGTCTAATTTAGCAAATTTAGTTATTTCTTCATCAGTTAAATCATCAGGATTAGTTTTATCAATACCTAATTTCTTCAATCTTTGTAATATTGATGCAGGGAAAGTTCTAACACCTTTTTTAACTGGTACTAATCTTTTATAGAAACCTTTGATAGTTTTGGAGGTATATTCATGGAACATTCTAGTATCAACAGCTGCACATAATAAATTTTGAGCAGCGGAAATAGCATGAATATCACCAGTTAAATGCATATTGAATTCATCCATTGGAATGACTTGAGAGTAACCACCACCTGCAGCACCTCCTTTAACACCAAAAGTTGGACCCATACTTGGTTGTCTAACATTAGCAATTGAATTATAATTTAAATGAGCTCCTAAAGCTTGAGTTAAACCCATAGTTGTGGTACTTTTACCTTCACCTAAAGGAGTTGGAGTAATACCAGCAACTAAAACATAATGACCTTTTTCTTGAATTGAACCTTCAGCAAATTCATCTAAACGATCAATAACTAATTTTGGATCAACTTTGGCTTTATAATGACCATAAGGTTCTAATTCTTTTTCCATTAAACCTAATTCTTTAGCAATAGTACCGATTTTTTTAGGTTGTTGAGCTCTTGAAATAGCAATATCTGAAGGAACAGGATCTTTTAAATCTAATTCTAATGGTTTAAATGAATGTTTATGTTGATTTTCTAATTGTAACATAGCTGCATCATAGACATTTGAACATAACATGGCAACAGTCATTGGACCAACACCACCTGGTACAGGAGTTAAGAATTTAGCCACTTTGGAAGCACTTTCAAATTCAACATCACCAACTAATTTTCTACCATTTTTAGCTGATGGATCTTCTTTATAATTAATACCAACATCGATAACTACCGCGTCAGGTTTTAACCATTCACCTTTAACAAATTCAGGAATTCCAACTGCTGCAACAACAATATCAGCAGTTTTTAACACTGCAGGTAAATCTTTAGTATATCTATGACAAATAGTAACAGTACAATCATTATCTTTTAACATTGAAGCTACTGGATTACCAACAATATCTGACCTACCAAGAACAACAGCATTTTTACCTTTCATATCAATACCAGTAGTTTTGATTAATTCAATTACTCCATTAGGAGTACATGGTTTGAAAATTGGTTTACCACCTCTTTTACTTAATTCACCAACATTAAATCTACTGAACCCATCAACATCTTTTTCTTTGGCTACAGTGTTGGTTATTAAAGTTTCATCAATATGTTTAGGTAATGGTAATTGGATCAATAATCCATTAACTCTTGGATCATTGTTTAAATTTTCAATTTCTTGTAATAAATCATCTTGAGTGATATTTTCATCAAATTTTAATAATCTTGAGTTAATGTTAGATGATCTAGCAGCTTTTAGTTTGGATTTAACATAAGCTGAAGAATCTAATCTACCACCAACTTGAATAATTGTTAAATTTGGTTTGAATTGAATTTTTTCAAATACTTCATCATTAAGTTTAAGATTAGTATTGAATTTTTGGTTATTGAAATCCAAAACCTTATTAGCTATATCACTTCTGATAGTCTTAGCTAACTTCAAACCTGATATAACTGTAGCATCAAAATTTATTGAAGATTTAGTGAAATTTCTAATAACTATTCTATTAGCTCTTCTCAACATTTTATTGTAATAGAATTAACTTTATTAACAATTGAAAATGATATTATTATGAATTGGAGTTGATAAAGTCTATGGGAAACTTCAGATCAAGATTTTACTTGAAGTTAAATAAGTTTAATCGAAATAGAAGTCAAACTATTAATTTTGAAAAATTCGAGACTTAGATGAGTTTGTATACCGTCCTAACAGACAAGTTGTAAAAAGTACTGGCCAAAAAAAAACCAGTGAAAAATTTTCAGTGAGTCACAAATAATGCAAATGATTGGTTAAAATAGAGGTATTATTATAGTAGGATTTTATTTGTAGAAGAAAGGGAGTAAATTGAAAGTTTTATAAAGTGAATAAAATGGTTGCAAAATAAGTGTAGTTGATTAAAAGATAATCTATAAACATTGGGAATGGCATAAGTCAGAGTCATGGCATCAGTCAAGAACAGAGTCAGATTTACTTGACCGCGATGACTTGCGGGTAAGTGGGAGATAAGGGCGATAGAGATAAGATATAGATGAGGGAAAGTTATTGAGATGATTTGTTCGTTTGGATATGTTTTCGTTAGTTGTGGGGATCTCTTTGTAAAAGTTTGGTTTTGGGGTCTGATGTGGTTTTTACACAGCAGTAATCAATCGAGATGTTAAGATATTTCAACTCTGCTACCTTTACTAAGAGTTGATGGTCTCTCCAATTGAATTGCCAAACTTCTCCAACCGATTCTCGACCTTCTCTCAAACCGACCTTCTCCTTACTCCTAAAATTTTGATGCTTTTGCCAAATCCCCGACCTTCTCGTAAATATCACTTTTCTTGATACAGTTCTGCCGATTTGACTTCTTTATCGCACTATTACTAATGTCTCAAACCACCGTTATTGGAGATGACAAGACATCCAGGTTAATGCAGATGAGGGCTGCTCAAAAAAGACTCAAAGATAAAAGGAAAACCGAACAAAATATGCTTTCTTCCGAATTGGAAACTTTAAAAGCACAAAATGATTTGTTAGCTAAGGAAAACAAGCGTCTTCAAAGACACATCAATAGTATATTCGGATTACTAAATAATGGTGTTACTTCTGGTCAACTAAAGAGTCTAGCTAGTGTCACAGACTATAAATTCGAAGATGAAGACGAAGCTTATATACCATTACATGAACTTTTAGAACTTAATGGATATAATAGGTTTAAGAATTTGTTTGATGGTGAGAATAATTTTGTTTTAAAGACCCTATGTTTCAAATCTATTCATTTGCATAACAGAGCATTCGCAAACTATGAACCCAGCAAGTTTTTCACTTTCATGTATAAACAAATGCCAAAATACGGGTTATCTTTGGTAGGGAATTTCTTCAGGGACATTCAAAAAGTTTACCATGAAAATCTTGTTCCTAAATGTTGGTTTTATCCTCGTGATCAAATGGATATCCCATCTTACACATTATCAACTCCAGAGATCATCCAGGAGATCATTGATAAATTTGATCCAGATTCAATGAATCTCGAAGTTCTAATATCATTCTTAGGTAGAGAATCTTTTGTTACTGATTATGGTTTGGCAGTCCGTAGAGAGGATCTTGAAAATTGCTTTGAAATTAGTTCAATCTCGAAATTCGGTGAAGCTTATACTTTAGACTGCCTGAATGCAGATGCTTGTTTAGCTGCGGTTTTGAAAAACATGAAACAATCTACTGCTGCAACAGGATACCTTCTTGACTCTCAAAAAAAAGTTTAGTTTATTTTCAAATATATTACTACGTACACTCATTAAACCAACCCTAGGTTGGAAGACAACTTGAATTATGTGATAGGAATCCAACATCACCATCCACTGATGTCGCTCTCTCTATCGCTTTCTCGAGATCAGCTCTAAGTATAGTTGGACCAGCAGGTGTGGCGAAATTGTACCTTATCAATATTGAAATTAAAATTTCAAAACTTAGTTTATCAAGATCTTTGAAGTCCAACAATGTTTGAATCAATCCCGTTATTGATAAAGAATCGGGTGGAAGTCTATCATCATTCTTTAACCAGTCGCTGGGGATTGTGTTATTTTTCATACTATATTCTACCTCTCGGAAATATTTTGCAAATAATGAATATCCATAAATTGGCATATAAATGAAACTTTTACAATAAGGATCGACATTTTGTGCTATACTTGCCTTCCATCTTGTCATTATAGCTTTGAATATGGTTGAGGTATAAGATTGTAAGAAAAATTTCCCATTGGTGTATAATTTATCAATAGGCTGTTTCTTATAAGCGTTAATAAATGTGGGATAATCAACAAACGTTGAAGATATTCTCATGGGAGGCACATGCTGTAATAATCTACCGATGGAGTAGTTGGGCATTTCCCTGGTAAGCACTGATAAGAACATTGAAGTGTCATTTTTCAACATTTCCATTTCCGATCTTAAACGATCGTTTTCCAACTTCAATGTAGAAACCTCATTGACTCGAGCTTTCCTTAACTTCCTTTGACTTTCTCTCATTTGCCTTAATCGCTCACTCCTGAGGATCTTTCTGCCTTTATATAAGACGAGCTCATCTTCTTTATGGGGTCTTTCATTATCGCTACCGCTCTTATCACTACTTTTATCGCTCTTATCACTACCCTTATACTTTTTATGTTTAATGTCACCACCCCCAGTTTCACTACCTGATTTTTCACTTCCCCCTCTTTCACCTTCGGAACTGTTCAAATCATTGAATTCTTCGCCACTTTCGGGGTACACCCTATTTATAGTAATTTGACTATCATCTTTGTCCCTATTCATTATCTGTTCAGCAGCATCTTGTAAGATGAACGGATTGGCCAGTCCATAATTAAATCCCAAGTCATTGAGATCTAACTCGATGTTAAAGTCAGGTAAGTAATTAGAATCCATGAATATTGATTTATTTGGCTTCTGAAGGTATTAAATAAAATGCGTATGAATTATTAATATGACCCGTGAACTTTGTTACCCGGATTCGGTGACGGTTTCGATGTGGAGTTAAACCCGATTAGGAATGGTTACGTGACACTGTGCTGATTTACGGATATTTGCATTTAGGAGTTAATAGTCATTATACATTAAGTAAATATGTTAATGAAACCACTTTTATCAACAGTAATGACCATTTCGTAAGGCACGGATACAATGGCAATATCGTTGACTAAAGAATTTTCATTGTTTTTAAAGGGAGTTTTCAATTTTTCACTGGTTAATCCTAATCTTTGGTTAAGTAGAATTCTACTAAAGGAAAAATTTTTAGAAATGGAATTCTCTAATTCGTCTATTTTCCAAAGAATTACCCTATTCTCAAAGGAGTTTATTAAATAATTGCCACTTATGTGTTTGAAAAGAAGAATTGAATTATTTACTTGACTGTCTGTTTTTTCCGATTTAGTGAAATCTGATTCTAAGTCAAGATTCAATTCTTTTAGTATATCATCTAACTCATTTCTACAGTATTCAATGGAATATTGTTTGATTTTTGGGTTGGAATCATGATGACATAATATTTCTCGACATTCAAGATTGGGTAATTCCCAAATAGTGATATCAGGCATATTATTACAGATAACGGCAAAGTAGGAAATGGTGGAATTATTATCTGATAATTTATAATCTGGAGGTAAAAGTACTAATTGGTTGATACAGTTAGATTTGATTCCATCATTGGAAACAATCTTCCAAGTCTTAATGATTATTGAGAATCTTGTGTCCCATAAACTCAACCTTCCTTTGTTTGTTCCAACAATCAACCATCCCCGATGATCGATGATTAAACTGGTAGGAATTCCATTGATTAAAGGATTTTGTAAGATAAAATCACACTCCATAGTGATAATATTGAAGGCAATAATTTTAGATCTAGTGGTAGTACAAATCAACCAAGTCTTTGATTCATCAATATGGAAACTGATGGAGGTTGCAAATTCATCCGTCAATTGATATTTTCTTATGATTTGTAATCTTAAATATTTGACAATCCTCTTATTCTTACCTCTAGTGAAATCAACTCGAAAAAGATAGATCTTCCCATTTTTACAACTAACAGCAAAGACATTTCTATTCTTCATGAATACGATTTTTTCAATAGGTGACTTGAGATGAGTGACAAGACTGGGATGTTTGAACATAATGTTCTTCTCCAATCTACTAGTGTCCCAAATCTTAATAGCTCCAGAATCAGACCCCGTGATGAAGAATTCTGATGATGGGTTCACAGCTAAACAATTTAAACTATCAATTTGATCATCACCTGTAGTATTAGTGTTGATTCTAGAAATGCAAGTATTTGTTGGAACCCAATCACTGGTTTTCGAGGTATGAAACTTCACTGGTCTGCCAAATTCCCTAAATGAATCCAATGATAAATCAAAATCAACTTTTTCAAGATATTGTAGAATATAAGGATTTGACCCATTGTAACTATACTTGGAGTTAGAAATAATGACTTTACCATTGGCGCTACTGATCACTTTGTGGTTATATCCAGATCCAGAAACATTATCATGATTATGATGTTTATGAGGGTCATTATCTAATTCCCCAAAAACTGTTTCTTCTACCGTCTGGATAGAAGCACTGATCTTGGTGATATTAGGAAGTATCAAAGAATTGGATCCACTTCTTTCACTTTTGAATTGAATTTTGTCATGTCCATTTGAACCGTTTTGATCATTGTGACTCAAAATGTTGGCTATGGATTCAGCATCCATTTCTTGTTCGATGTTTGTTTCCAAACCTCTAGCAGCGGTGGCAATGTTTTCAGATTTGTAATGAATTTCAAAGAAAATATTCCTTGGTGTTACATCTACTTTGATATCATCTAAAGATCCCTCTATTTCTTTGATAAATCCTCTTGTGAGTTGTACTATGTAATCTCTTAAATTATAAATCTTCCATGAATCTTTATCTTCGAGTCCCACAGCTTTCAACTTCAATAACCATTGCTTATCATCATGACTCAAAGGTAAATTAGATGAGTTGTTCATTGTCATAGATGATGGATCACTGTATTTTGATATGAACACAGATTTGCCCAAATCTTTGGTGAAATTGGTTAATTTCTTGGGGCTCATTATGAAATTTTGTTGTTTCCAGAAGATCGATTTATCTGAATTTTGACTACACCAAGTAATAAGTAGTTGGAATACAACCTTTGATAAAGGTCTGGTTAAACATGGATACAAATTATCCCAACTGATTTCAGAAATATCATATGATAAATATTTCTTGAATTGAGGATAAAGGAAACAGAATCTATCGGCATTTGATAAGTTCCCATTGATGGCTAGTACCAAACATAATACTGACTGACGAATCCATTCATTGGGATGTAAAAATAAATGAACGGTATTACTAAGTAACTCTTTGTAAATGCTTAAAGCATTAAATTCTGATATTGGGTTGATAAGTTTAGTCTTGACAAACTCCACAAAGATTTCCAAGACTTTCAATACCACTAATTGTTCGGAATCACTCAAGGTTTGGATCAAAAGTGGTAATAAATATTGTTCGAATGATAAAATTCCCATGAATGGTCCTATTTTCAAGATAGAATTCAAAAATCCGAGTTTTAATTCGTTATTGACATCATTAAGGTATGTTATTAAATGGGGGAGGATGATATCATTAGTCTTTTCAATCCCGAAAAATCTACAGAGAGGTTCAATGTTTTGAACCAAACTACATTTGATGTTTGGGTTGGAATCGGTTAACAAACTGATGGTTAAATCCTCAAAATCATTAAACATAGATTCCAAAGGTATGTTGAAGTTATTTTTGTCATTCAACAGTTGTTTGTTCTTGAAATTTTTAGACATCATCCAGAATCGATGAGATATTTGAGCCAACTTGGGTAATACAGAAGCAACTTTAATCTTGACCAACTCCCTACCTCGTTTAACAGATTCTGCATTGACCAATTTCGATAATTTGGGAATCAAATATTCAGGAAACATCAAAACATTTAAAGGGGTTATATATGAACATGAATCGAGTAATGTGACAATAGAGTCCAAAGCTACTACTACCACTCTTGATGAGAAACTATCTGCTTCTTCTGTTTCATCAGTCTCTTCTTGGAATCTTCTACTGGTACTAGTAATAAACTCATCTATCAATGTACACAAGTAAGGTAATGATCTATCAAGTTTACATTCATCATTAATTCTTCCTGATAAAGCTACAATCAATTCACAAGCTTTAATCTTGGATGACGGTTGTTTCAAGGTGCTTATCAAGGAAAAGATGAAATTTAGAATGATCAAACTCAGATCGTCAGTCTTTTGACTGGAAGAACTTCTCCTGATTTGATAATTCTTAGGCATTCCTGGTAAATTTAAATAAAGTCCAACTTTATCACCAAATTCTTCTTGAAAATCTAATCCTGTGATGATCTTGTCAAATTTCAGATAGATATAATCAATTCTTAAATCGGAAGAAGTGACATGTTTATCATTTTTGACTTGGAAAAGTGTCCTACTATTCAATGTTTTAATGAAATCATACAAAAATGTATAAAAGGAATTGGGGAAAAGAACGTTCTTATAATTATTAAGGATTTCATTGGACTTGATTCTTTCTTGAGGATCAAACAGGATCAATTTCATGATAATTTCTTTGATATACATATTATCAATACCTGATAAATCAGGTAAATATTCATTCTTCATATACTTGAATAACGCAGATAACGTAAATAAAGGCTCACCATCCAGATACAATTCACCTATGATACATCCCAAACTAAATAAATCCATGGAATCGGTCAATTGGTTAATTCCATTGAAATTCCCATTATCATCAAAATTCTCACTCTTAGGATAACTTAATCCTTCAGAAGAATTATAAAATCTCTCGGGAGCTAAGTTACAAACTCTCCTATCACTGGTATCAAAGTAAAATGAAAATTGATTTGGGTTATCTTCAGGTATATATATGGGTTTGGAGAAATTACTGAAATCAGTTAACATAATCCAATTAGATGAAGAAACCATCAAATTTTCTAATTTCAAATCCCCATGATAAATCTTCAATTCATTGTGAAGGGTATCAAGTATCTTAAGGAGCTGATAAACAATAAACTTCTTCTCAATTGGTTCTAGGAAAGGTCTAATGGATAACCTATCATATAAGTTAATTTTGATTGACTGTCGTATAAGATAACCAGCTCTTTCAGTCTCAATGAAGTTTTCAAACGGTAGAACAAAATTATATTGTGATAATAACGTTGCTTCCTTTACCATAAGCTCAGTAATATTCTGAAGATTGATATTATAACCATTTATACTATTAGGTTTAATTAGTATCTTGATTATAATTGCATCTCCATTATTTAAATCAATGGCTTTAATGGTCTTCAAGAATCGAGAATTATTGATCAATTCTATATATTGAACATTCTCTAGAATATCAACATATGATGAAATACCAATGGTAGGAGCTGAAGGAGCTAATAATGATAACCTTGGTCCCATAGATAAATATTCGCATCATTTTATCTCAATCGATTAAAACATCATTATCGACACATCGGTGCACCCATAGATAACAGAGAAAGAAAGGTAAAAAATCACCCATTAAATAAATTTTACATAAACTATATAAAATAAAATATTAAAAAAAAGAATCTAGTTAACTAAAGCAGAAGCAGTAGCTGATTCGTATTTCCAGTTTGGAGGTAAGACAGCGACGGTTCTGTAGTATCTAGCTAATCTGTGGATTCTTGATTCGATTAAAATTAATCTGAATTTAGAATCTTTATCTTTTCTGTTTCTTTCTAAATGTTTTCTAACTGAAACAGCTTTTTTGATTAAGTAGTATAAATCTTCTGGGATTTCTGGAGCTAAACCGTTAGATTTTAAGATTCTTAAAACTTTGTTACCGGTAACAACTTTTGATGAGGTAACACCGTGAGCATCTCTTAATAAGACACCGATTTGAGATGGAGTTAAACCTTTTCTAGCGTATTTGATAGCTTGTTCAACAACTTCATCAGCGGATAATTTGAACCATGATGGAACATTTCTTGAGTATGGAGTGGCAGAAGAACTCATACCTTTACCCTATCATTTGTTAGTAATAATTCATTATTATTAGAGGAGGGGGATGATAATCCCTGAACGACTGTATAACCTAACAACGATCTTTCATTTGAACATTTAAACATCCTCGAAAGATCCGTGTTGAACGGTGGTTCCTGACTTCGAAAAGTCATCGTGAAAAAATTTTTCACAAAATTTGTAAAAAACATTTCTCAACACCAACAGTACAATTAAAAAGGTATTGCATAGTGGGGCCAAGAGGTTTTAAGTATCAAGTATAAAAGCAAACAAGTGATCTTACAAGGATCACTACACTTTTATCAAGACCTTAAAATTAACTCTACACTAAAACAATCCAAGATAAGTCCAGACAAAAGCATTTCCCACTCCATTAAATAGTCATTTAATAACCATGGTTGTTTACCAAAAGTCATCAATAGACATCTAAAAGCTAGTGAAAACATACAGATGAATGCATACGACCCATTTTGACTTAATTTATTCTTTATTATTAAACTATTAGAAATTGGTTTAAATTAAAACTGAAAAATTTTTCACTCTCAGTTCTCTTCTTAAGAGAGAAAAGTCGTGTGCACCCAACTTTGAAAAAAAGATGTGAGATCAGGATGATATATACGCTGAGAGTTTTCGTTAAGTATGAGTTTACGCGTTTATTTTATCATGGCTTGGGGGTGTCTATTTTAACTGTTCTTCTATATCATCAAATTCATCTTCATCTTCAATACTGATAAGTTTGGAAACTCCGGCCTTGCCTCTGAACATTTCCACTGCACCAGCAAATAACATTTTCATTTCTTGTCCACTTGGAGGTTTCCAATATACTAAAACCAATGGTGAGACTAATCTACCATCATCTGATTTATATGGATAAGATAATAAGATGAATCTGGGTGAAGTATCGGGTAATTCTTCTCTTAAACTATCTATGTCATTGAATATTTCATCTGATTCCTTTTTGACTTCATATGTAGATTTGTCAATTGTGTCTAAGATGTTAGTAACTTTGTTCACTGTCAAAAATCTGAACTATTCAATTCAAATGAATCCGAGTAATACATACAGATGATTGCTTGCATTTTTGAAGCCCTAGCGCTTGCAAATCTGAATTTCTGAAGCTCCGATAATGTTTCAGATGAAAAAGTATAAAGATTGGACTATTGTTAGTAAGTTTCTCATTTCGAATTGTTAATCATCCATTGACCATCGATTGACCATGAATTGACCATTAATTGACCCATCAATGGTGTTAAGCATCTCCATTTAACTTTCAATAAACTTCCGGTCGAACTTATCTCACATACCATTTCACTGATAAAATTTCAACTGTTTGATCTTATCGTTTCAAAAAAATGAGAATTTCCTAAAAAAGCTTAGTCGTACACAAATCAATACAATAATATAAAACAAAAACATCATTGGGAACGTATCATATAAATCTTTTGATATACCATAGAAACTTTAACTATGAAGGCCAAATCAACCATCCCATTAATTGAGTTTTTAAAAAGTATGTACTTTCAAAAGTCATCAGTTTGTGCTTCTACTAACATTTTATAGATCGTATCTATCTTGGAGCTTATGATTATACACCTCCAGATACCAATGATTTAGTTTACTTCACTGTAGAAGATGCTTTACCTTATAATTCATTCCATTTAGATTTTGGTCCTTTACATATTGGGAGTTTATATAGATTTGCTGTAGTATTACACAATATATTAAATGAAGAGGCTAATCAAGGTAAAGCTATTGTATTTTATAGTTCCACCACTCCAAAGGAAAGATCCAATGCTGCTTGCTTATTATGTTGTTATATGGTATTGGTACAAAGTTGGTCGCCTCATCAAGTTCTTCAACCAATAAGTCAAATTGAACCACCATTTCAAAGTTTTAGAGATGCTGGATATTCTAATGCCGATTTTGAAATAACCATTCAAGATATAATTTATGGAATGTGGAGAGCTAAGGAAAGAGGTATGATTGATTTAACTAATTTCAACTTGGAAGAATATGAACAATATGAAAGAGTTGATCAAGGAGATTTTAATGTTGTATCCAAAGATTTCATTGCATTTGCATCACCTCAACAAAATCATAGAAAATCTACCAATTTAAATGAACCATTCAGAAAAGTATTAAACTATTTCATTAAAAATGATGTTAAATTGGTTGTTAGATTAAATTCCCATTTATACGATGCTAATGAATTTACTAAACGAGGTATTCAACATATTGATATGATCTTTGATGATGGTACATGTCCAACATTAGAATATGTTCAAAAATTCATTGGAGCAGCTGAATGTATAATAAATAAAGGAGGAAAAATAGCTGTTCATTGTAAAGCAGGTTTAGGTAGAACTGGATGTTTAATTGGAGCTCATTTAATTTATACTCATGGTTTTACTGCTAATGAATGTATTGGATATATGAGAATGATTAGACCAGGTATGGTTGTAGGACCTCAACAACATTGGTTATATTTACATCAAAATGATTTCAGAGATTGGAGACATACTATGTGTTTAGATAATAGACCGGATAATTTTATTGGTGGCTTATTCCCATTAGTACCTTATGATGAATTCAAAGCCAGAATGAAACAAGAATCTAAACAAAGAAAATTAGCTAATCAATCAAATTTGAATTCTAGTATTGGTCATATAGATTCATCATTCCAAACTCCTATAAGAAGAAGAAAAATAAGTGGAGCTTTAGCAGCCAAAATTCAAATTGCTGTACCACAAGAATCTCCTGGTCAACCAAGAAAATATGAAGATGGTAATGGAAATAATGAAAATATTGAAAACGAAAGAAATTCCGGCGTTGTTGAAATCATTAATAATTCTGATGAAGAAATTTTAGATGTTGAAAATGATAACATGCAAGACATTCAAAGTCCTAACAAATCAAGAGATATAGAATTAATTAATAATGAAATTAATTCTTCACCAAGTAGAGATGCTTTACGTTCAATTTCAGCCAACCAATCACAAATTCAAATAACCAAATCTGTAACTACAACCACTAAAACCACCAGAACTGTAAGTGGATTTTCATCATCCCCACAATCATCTCCTTCAAATATAAGGCAAAAATCAAGACCTGCTTCAAGAGTAAGTTCCGCTCAAAGAATAGGTTATAGTCCAGTACGAGTTAACTCAGGAGGGGTTAGAAAGATTAGTGGTAGTAGAAAATATTAAAAAATGAAAAGGAAAGGAAAAAGGAAATTTTGTACAATGTTTAAATAGATAACGACCCATGTATTATTGACAGATGACTGCATATACGTATTCTTAAATGATTTTGTTCTAGTGCTCTATTCTTCATAAGCAGCTTCTACTATGTTAAATGGTTGATCTTCTAAAGCAAATGCAAGAATGTCATAATCTTTGAAAGTCAAATCGTTCAATATATCGTCATCAATTTCAATCCATTCGTTATTATATGGTGAAGTTTTATCCTTTGGTGTGGCTATTCTTAAATCATTGGCATTGATTTGGTCTTTAGAAGCTTCATCATCAATCAATTCTGATTTGGGGATTTCAATGTCATCATCAATGAATTCTGATTTAGGGATCTCTATATCTTCCATGGCTTCTTCGTCTGGTATACCACCACTTTGATTTATAATGTTGGCTAATAGTTTCTTGAAATTGGTTAATGTTTGGGCATTCTTTGCTTCTAAATCTATGGGGATCATATAAGTTGATTTACTATTTTTGAATTTCAAGATTGTTATCTTGGCTATTTTGACGGTTTTGGGAGGCTTCATGAAGTTAGTAAGGGAAAATATGGTGAATAAACACGAGACATGTTAATTCTTTATAACATACCATAATGCGATTAAGGTGCGGATTTATGGTGATGCGGTTCATAACTCATGTTAACCATCAGCCTGCTATAAAGTCATTATTTCGAGAGTTGATACGACAGCAACGGCGGATTCCATTACTAGATGTGTCGAAGTTAGGTATTGTTGAATCTGGGACTCGTCAGTTTCAAAATGAGTTCAAGTTGATGAGCTGCAACCCTCAACAGTATCTACGATTGATATCAGATGAGATGAAGTATATAATGAAACAAGATGCATGTACTCTGTTGGAGAATGAAACAATCTTCTTGGTTTGGTTCAATAAGGCCTTAGAACTCATCAAAGCCATTGAAGATAAAGATTTAGAAGGTATTATAGAGACTTTATTGTTTTATAGAGAAAGAGATGCAATCGATAGTAATAAGAAATATCAACATTATAAGAGTAAAGGAATCGAGGAATTTACTGGAAAGATTTCTAAAACTGTCACATCAAAACTTCCTTTCCCCATCAAAACCTATCAAAATCTGAATAATTCTGAAAGACTAAAACGATTCAAAAATGATATACTAGAAAGTAAAACTCATAAATTCAGAACTACCAGGAAGTATTTAAAGCATCTCCAACTACATCAACAAATATGTATTCCACAAAGATTGCCCTTCACCAAATCCAAATTGCCTGAAACTAATATTACGGAAAAAATTATACAATCCACCTCATCCAAAGCGATGAATGAAGGATACAATTTCAAGATTATCGAATCAATTATTGGTCCAGAAATGGAACACAAGATCAATTATCATCATTATATGGATAAAATTCAAAAGCATCTTGATAAAGGACCTTATCAACCGAAAATACGATTCTCTAGTGCTGGTATGAAAGTAGGGTTTATCCAACTACCCACATATGACTTATCTACTATGAGGGAAATTGCCATTGATAGTAAGAAATCAGCTAAACTTTATGGAATCATTGATATTTGGGAAAGTAGGGAAAGTGAACGGAATGAAAAGAAAAACAAAGATGGTAGTTTTGATATTGCATGGAGTAAAATGGGTGATAAAATGTATTCTAAGGAACACCATGAAAAAGTGCATGATTCTGAAGCCATGTGGGAATATCTATTGGATAAACAATTGGGTAAACATCGTGAATTACAAACATATATTGATGATTGGAGACAACCACTTGAAATGGCAAGTGATCAATTGAAAAAAGAACTCCATGAATTGACTTCAAAGTATCGTCAAAATTATTTGAAAACACTTAAAGATGAACAGAAGCAATTAACAGAAGTGTTCAATGATAAATATCAAGTCAAAGTGGATAAATATGACCAATTAGTTCATCTATTAGCCCTCAATAAAGTTACCATACATTCGGACTTAGTCAATAATGATACTAACAAAGGGTCAACTGTAGAACATCAATTAGTTAGAGATGATCATACTTTAAAACATTCAAGAAAAGGCATTCCCTTCGTTGATAGGATTAATCAACCCAAAAGATTAAGTGATTATTTAAATGATGTCAAACTTGAACATTATAAAATAGGTATGAGATATGATAAGAAATTCAATGTAAATATGTAATATTAATACACACCAAAAGGTCATCATTCATTAAAAATACAGATCCGTCTACACCATATAACCACCAAAACTCTTATTTGATGTTATGTAACCTTCAATTTTACTAGTTGGTCCATCAGTAACGGCAGAATCCTCGTCATCATCATCGAAATCTACATCACCATTTAAATTACTCTCTTTTTCAACAATTTCGAAATCTTCAATTAATTTTATCAATTCTTCAGCTTCTTGGTCATCTTCCATTGATAATCCATTCATCATCTTAACTACATCAGCTATTGATTTCCCTTGACTCTTCAATTCCCTATGTTTAGCGAGAATTTCTTCAAGACTAGTTATCCCATTTTCAAACCATGAAGAAGGATAATCTTGAGGGAATGGTTGGGCTACCATGATGTTCTTCCTAGCAAATACTGCTTCTTGAGATAATTGATTCCTAAAAAATAATGATGCTTGATAATGATCTTTACAACAATATTGGGATAAAAATGTATTAGGTAAGATGATTGAAGGTTTCCTATTATAAATTTGGAATTTGGTTTCACCTCCATTGGAACATACTGTAACTCCATTACTATGAGACGATAATCTTCTTACTTGTTGTTTCGGAGTTTGGTTACAAAGTATATAACCACATTGATGTTCAATATTCCTCTCTTCCACAATATCATCATAAGATTCTTGAGTTAGGAATCTACTTAAAAATTTCAAAAGGGGGTAATCAACATAATGATCGATCAACAACTCAGTAATAGTAAACAGTAATTTTGAAGCTTCAATGGGGGTTAACAATTCTTCACTAGAGAATGTTGATAATTTTGGTATAAAAGATTGTAAATCAAGTAATTCCATGGTTTTTCACTTCAATTTTTATGCTTTTTTTTTCCGGGAAAAACCCAAATGATTTCTTCTAATAACAAAATCTTTGATTCGATGTTAAAGTTAGTAATTATCGATTTTTTAAGAAAAAATCCTTAATATTTGACAAATTACTTTATGAGACTTTTGGACTTAAATGATTTCGTTTCGATGTTTGGTCGTGTATTTACCATGAATGATTATCTGAGGAAAGTGAGTTTTTTGAGAGGTTTAAATCATATACAGTAGGTAAAGGTTTGAAGAACTAATTGTTGGAATAGTGGTGGAGTTGTAATGGATAGTTTTACAAGTGGTAGACTGGAACTACGGAATGATGAAATTCACCCAACGAGGTCTCATAGATCGAGATCAACTTCACGATCTTCAAATAAGAGATCAAGATCTTCAACTACTGGATCTTTCATAAACTTCCTATCTGATCGAAGGAAACATGATACAAAAGTATTTTCTATTTACAAATTATTGATGTTAGAATTGAATTTACCTAATCCTAATAAATCATCATCTCCACCAAATGATATAAATCAAGAATCTTTTGATCAAATCTTCAGTTTAGTGAAAATTCCAATAGTTTTAGAGAAATTTATGGCTTTAGGTTTACTTATATGTTTGAATTCTTTCCTAACATTGTTCACTTTGGTACCTATAAGAATCATAGTTATCTCGTTCATGACAATTAAGTCTTATTTAAAGAAACCAGATTTTGATCTGAAGAAATGGTTGTTTGCAAGAAGAGATTCTTTAACTGTGGCATTGATAATAACTTCACTTATAATATTATCTTTACCAACATTAGACATCTCCAAGATGTATCATGATGTTAGAGGACAAGCTCAAATCAAATTATATGTAATGTTTGGAGTTTTAGAAGTTGCTGATAAGCTTTGTTCTTCAATAGGTCAAGATATTTTAACTATAACTTATGATTTAGTATCATGTAAATTTAATCAAGCCAATATCATCAAATTCCTTATTTTCTTCATTTTATCCATTATTTATTTATCATTACATGGATTTGTACTTATATATCAAACAGTATCATTGAATGTTGCTGCTAATTCTTATTCCAATGCATTATTAACATTATTATTCTCCAATCAATTCAGTGAATTGAGAAGTTCAGTATTTAAGAAATTCGAAAGAGAAGGTTTATTCCAATTAACTATGGCTGATTTAACTGAAAGATATCAATTGAGTTTAATGCTTAGTATGATAGCTTTAAGAAACATGTTACAATTGAATAGTATAAATGAGAGTTTAATTCCAAATAGTTGGCAAAGTTGGAATAAATGGTTTGGGGCTTTATTTGGTCCTAGTATTGTAGTTTTAGGTAGTGAAATCATTGTTGATTGGTTAAAACATTGTTATATCACCAAATTCAATAAAATAAGACCAAGAATTTATAAGAAATTCATTTACGTGTTGGCTTTAGATTACCTTGAAGTATTTAAAGCTACTTCCCTTAATTCTAATTTAGAATATGAATTGAGTGATTATTTAACTTTAACTAAAAGAATAGGTTTACCCTTATTAGCTACAACTGTTTGTTTCTTAAGAATGTCATTGAATGATATTATAACAGTGTTCACTGTATCTTCAACTTCCAGATTATTTTCCTTTATTGGAAGTTTTGTATTATTAATTATCTCCTTTGTTATATTATTACTTTCCAGATTGATTTTAGGGTTATTATTATTAAGGTTAACTAGCAGTATCAAACAAAAGCATGAAATGGCTCATGAAATCTCCATTATTGATGAAACTGAAGAAAAGAAAGTCGATGATTCAATCATTGAAACTCCCTCCAAGACTTTTATCGAAACTCCTTCGAAATCTCGAGAACCGGTTTCAGCACCTCCTTCTCCAAGGTCCCCCCTTTCACCAAGATCTCCCGTAGATATAAGTTTCTTACCGGGAATTCCAAGTACGGAAATGTCTAATATTGAACCTATACGATCAAGATTATATGATAAAGACGAAAACGTACCACCTAATTCAGTTGAAAAGAGAAATAAGGATTTCTCTGAAAAATATAAACCCAGTACTGATGAAGGTTTGAATAACGTATCAAGATATGAGATGTCATCTAAAAGAATTTGGTAATTTATTTACAAGAATATATACAAGGTTCTTTGATCAATCAAAATCTCTTTTGGATCAATTTATTTAAATAATTAACAGTTTGCGGTCTTATTCTTTTAGTTTTGGAAACAAAGGCTAAACATCCTGTTAATAAAGCTAAAGCTCCAGCTTGATGTAAAGCCGCTAATGGGATTGGTACAAGGTAAATCAAAGTAAATACCCCTAATGATGCTTGAGCAGTAGCTAATCCCATAACTCTAGCTAAACTCTTAAAAATTTGACGAGGTAATTGATTTTTGAATTTAAATGAATATAAGTGGAATCCTAAAACTGTACAAAAGGTTGAATAAGCAAAGAATCTATGAACTAATTGAACAGTTGTTGGATTTTCTAATAAATTTCTCCACCACATATCGGATAAATCATCTTTTCTGGCAAAAACTGGAGACATCAATTCACCATAGTTTGGAATATATTCATCTCCCATATGAGGGAAAGTATTATAGATTAAACCCGCATCAAGACCAGCAACCATACCTCCAGACATAGCAGTTACGAAACTCAAACCTAATAATCCCAAAGCAATAAATCTAAATTTTCTTACTACAGGAGAATTCAATTGACCAATTAATTCAGTTACTTTGTTACCGTTACCATTTTTAACCATTTGGATTAATTTATTTTCATTCAAAATTTCAAATCCAGTAGCTAAAACCCCTAAATACATCAAAAAAGCTGCACATAAATGGGTAGTTAATCTATATTGAGAAACTGTAGGTTTGGATTTTCTTTCATCTAATTGTTGTTGATCTAAACCTGATTTAACCATCCACCATCCAATGAATCCTTGTAATCCCAATAAAGCTGTTAATCCGATAACTCTAGTTTTAACATGAGGACTAAATTTCTTTGATGTCCAGAAATAAACTGCTGGTAATATAAAGAACATACCAATGAATCTTCCAACTAATCTATGACCCCATTCCATACTATAGATGAATTTAAATTCTTCTAAGTTGATATGACTATTCAATTGTACGAATTCAGGAGATGATTTATATTTTTCAAATTCAGCTTCCCATTGTTCCTGATTCAATGGTGGGATAGATCCAGTAATAGGTTTCCATTCAGTTATTGATAATCCTGATTCAGTTAACCTAGTTAAACCCCCAAGAACCACAATCCCGAAAACTAATGTACTGGTTCCAAATAACCAATAACTAACAGATTTATGAGATACAACTGGTGAAGATTTGATCTTGGGCAATTCATTAATAATTTGAGACTTAACATTGGTTGAATATTGTTTGAATGAAATGTTTTGATTCTTTAAGAAAAACGACCTTTTGTTTAATGGGGAGGTGAACCCTCTCTTTAATCCATGAAGTATGGAGTTGTTGAAAAACAGCGGTCTAAACATTGGTGAAACGACGATATTTCAATGTTTTCAAGCTGAAAAATCTGTGGGATGATTTTTGGTCGCACTTGATGGTTTTTTTCTTTGTGGTTGCAAAAAAAAAGAATTGCAAATAAGTGACATGGCTAGAGGAATAGTGAAGGAGTTTACTAACGTTGACTTGGTGGCCAATGTTATTTATATATATTTGATGTTGATATTCTTCTATATTGTGATTGGAGTGATCTTTTATGCTGTGAGAGAATACTACATTTCTTTCAAAGAAAGACCACCATCAATAACTGATGCAAAAATAGATAATTGGATTGACAGTAAAGAAAAGAGTCCTATTGATTTGGAAAACTTAGGTTCGTTGAACAGAAATCTTTCTCCTGATGGTGGTAATTCATTTGCAAAATCTACAAAATTAGGTATTAGAAAAGTTAGTCAAATATCCGTAGAGCTTGATAGTCAGTTGATAAAGAATATTGACGATTTCAAAAAGATTGAAATAATCTATGATGAAATTAATAGTGGAGAAGTTCAATCAGTCAATAAATACTTATATCGAGATAATCATAGATTCACCTACAATCTAGAAGACCTCAATGATATCAAAGAAAGTGTTCAAGAACTTCCCTGGAATAACAAAGTCATCAAGATGTCTGAAATCTTGAGACTTCTGTTCATAATACCTAAAATAGAACTTTCAACTTATGAGAATAATAGACTTATCAAAAGCATCGAGTTGGATCTTATTGGTCAAGATACCGACATCACCACTAAATCTTTAGCCTTATTGAAATTGATCGCTCTAGGTGTTAATGAAAGTAATACTGTGTTCTTCATGCACTCATTCAATGAGTTGGTTGAATTTATGATTGATACGGGTTTAGTGTTCAGGATAATCGAAGCCACCCCGGTTGCCAATCTAAGACTCCTCACTATTGAGATGTTATTGAATTATTGTTATCAACATTGGAATTTTAAACACAGGATAGATGATAAAAGCTTATCAATTCAATCAAGAATCACAATATTCAGATTATTGTGTAATATCAAATTAGAGGTGACGTTGATGGAAAGTCTTCAATCGGAGATGTTACGTGAGATCGAATTCAAGATCCAATCAACTACAAGAGAAGTAATCAAGAAAAATTATTGCAATGATTATCTTGAATTCATACCCATGATTTCTCAAGCGGTTTCAATCAACCAAACTCATAGTGTTAAATACTTATTCTATGATGTCTTGTATTTGATAATTTCTCAGCACCATGATTGTTGCATGAGAGATTACCTTCGTGACGACATTACCGATTTGAAATATTTAATGCAGCATGGCTTTTGGTATGAACATAACGAAAAATTGATCCGAAAAGTTGCAGAGATTCACGAATTCCTAATGTCCAAAGGGTTCGGTAATACTCAAAGTTGGCATAATGAAACCAATGGAGGTAAGAAATTCATACATCCCATTAATCCTTTCATACCTAGTCTTAATCATCAGCCTCAATTAGAGGAACTTTCTGCCTCGAGAATTCCTTACCCATCCATATTCAATGATAAATCCGTAACTCCTGGAGGTTTTCGGCTTTTCCAGTAATGCATATTACATGTCACCGGAATATTGGTTCGAATATTCCATATTTTTATTTTGGTGTACCGATGTCATTACTCTCATTTAAAGAAGAAAAATGTGCTGCAAGAATTTACGAACCAAAAATGCCATTTGATGATGTTAAAGGAATGCAAATTGCATTAGAAGAAGCTAAAAAAGGTATGTTCAGATCATTCGTTAAACCTAAATACCCTTGAGGATATTTATTAACTTTCTAGGATACGCCGAAGGTGGAGTTCCAATTGGAGGGGCTTTAATTCATGAAGATGGTACCATCTATGGAAGAGGTCACAACATGAGATTCCAAAAAGGATCAGCAACCTTACATGGAGAAATTTCAACTCTTGAAAATGCTGGTAGATTGAAAGGTAGTATTTACAAAGACTGTACTATGTATACTACTTTATCACCATGTATGATGTGCTCAGGTGCTTGTTTGATGTACGGAGTCAAAAGAGTTGTTTTAGGTGAAAACGAAAACTTCATGGGTGCTGAAGAATGGCTCAAAGCTAACAATGTTGAAGTTGTTAATCTTAACAGTCAAGAATGTAAAGATATCATGAGTAAGTTTATAAAAGAAAGACCAGAAGATTGGTTTGAAGATATTGGTAAATAGTTATGAATTCACGTTATCCATTGACGATACTCTAAGTCAGGGTACCAAAGGTTGGCTCTCTCATCACATGTCTCTTTCTTTCTCATATCTCTCCCTCCTTTTCCTCGCCTCTCTCCCACATATCTATCTCACGATCTCATCTTCTACCTCATTATCTCACTTCTCACGTCTCAATCTCAATGGATGAAATAGCTGATAATACATTCACAGAGATCCATACGGCTGAACTTCCCAATGATGATCCATCATTGTTGACGTTGATTCTTGAACTCAGTCCTGGTGGATGGTTTAATATCAAAGATGAGACGACAATCCTTGATGTAGTGAAATCATTACTAGTATTCTTAAATGGACATTTATCATTAAACAATGCTAATCAAGTTGCATTCATAATAAGTTCACCTACTGGTGCAAAATTCTTATATCCTAATCCACAGAAAGAAATGGACGAACTACGAAGACCAGAAGAGTATGAAGATTCAAATGAAATGGGGATTCCAAGTTTAGTTAGTAAAGGAATGTATAGACAATTTAGAATCGTAGATGAAGGGGTTTTAGAAGAGTTTAATAAATCTATTAATGAACTAGTTGATGCAGATAATACTAATATTACTTCCAAATTGGCAGGAGCCGTTAGTTTGGCATTGACTTATACAAATCGTATGTTAAATCTTGATCAATCCATTTCCACCACCACTGCTTCAGCCATTTCTTCAGCTACAAAAGAATCAACCGGTGTCAATACAAATACAAGTTCCAGTTCATATCAAGGTTTAACTAGAATCAAATCAAGAGTTTTGATTGTAACACCTAATGATAATGAAGATATAAAATATATTTCCTTGATGAATGGGATTTTCGCTGCTCAGAAAATGAAAGTCCCTATAGATGTAGCCAAGTTGGGTAAGAAAGATTCTTCATATTTACAACAAGCTGCTGATGCTACCAATGGGATTTATCTTCATATTGAGAAACCTGTAGGTTTCATACAATTCTTATCAACTGCATACTTCATTGAACCTTCTATCAGGTCTTTAATCATATTGCCTACTAATTCCAACGTAAATTACCGTGCTAGTTGTTTCATTACAGGAAAGTCCGTTGAAATAGGATATGTTTGTTCGGTTTGTTTGTGTATTATAAGTGAAATTCCCGAATCAATGAAATGTCCAACATGTAATTCCCAATTTGATGATAAAATAATAGCCAAATTAAAGAGGAAACCTGTAGTAAAGAAAAGGAAACTTGAAAATGGTGGTGCTGAAGTTTCTTCTGATAATGGAACTCTTGCTCCAGCCACTCCTGAACCAACACCGGTTCCTGAATAAACGTTAAATTCCGTAATCTATAATTTTAAAGTTAAAGTCTCTTGGATATCCATGTTTATCTATCATATGTAATCTTCTCTTTTGACTATCTGAGCATTTCTTATGACATCCTGATTCACTGGGATCATAATTGAAACACTTATAAACTTTGTCACCCCGTTCCTTCTTGATTTGGAAGAATGGATCGTGATGTTCTTCGATATGTATCATTAGATAGTTATAAGTCGGGAACTTCTTCTTACACTGAGTACATATATTAGTGTGAACAGTTTGAACATGGGATTCATACGCTTCGTAACTATCAAAGTTTATCAGATCTATCCAACAAGGTGTTAGCGTACATGGAATCCGTTGGTGCACAATTGTGGTGGTATCATTATCTGCCCTTCTCTTCATGTATAGCTGCGAAATCTGCGAAGATCTGATGGGAAAGGAAAACACTTCCCCAGATTTGGGGGCCCAACCTGTGTTCAACATACCTAAAGACTTGACTAAAGTTGCTCCTGAAGATATTCCAGCATTGAAATATTTGATGGCTGTTCAGAGTGCTCAAAAGAATATTTCTTCATCATCCCATACCGTAGATATAGGTAAACATAATCAAGTAGGAAGTCAAGTAAGAACTGAAGTCAAAGGATACAGCGAACCAAAGATTAAAACTGACTTCAAATATTGGCAGTTGAAGTTGTATGAAGATTTCATGAAATTGAAAGATGAACTTTACGAACTTTATATTTACAAAGATTTACCTGTATCGACCTCCACTAAGAATTGGGTCAAACCGGTAGGCACCGCTGCATGGAAGAAGTTCATACATACCAACCCTCCTTCAACTATGGAGGTCATATTCAAAAGATTAGATCAACCCCAGGTTCTTTCATTACTTGTCCTTTCGAGAAAAATGTTGAATTCCAAGTCAAATACCAACCTATGTAAATGGATATATGTGTTGTGTCTTCGGTTGAATGATCAATTGGACTCAAGTGATATATCTGTTGTAAGATTATTAGCCCAGCGATGTTTAAGGATACTTCAACAACAACAAGATAATGAAAACTGGGAATTAAATTCTGATGTTGAGTTCGCTTGTCATTTCGTTATTCTTATAGTCAATAAGCATTTTGGCCAAAGAGATATCTACTGGGATACGGATTGAATAACGACTACACATTTGCCATTCCAGTGACACAATCTAAGAACTTTATCCATGACATGTGTAAATCACGTGCAAATCACACTCCTCCTCACATTATCATTTTCCCGCGATCCTTTGTCGAAAAGGCTCGAAAAAAGTTGTTGAAATAATCCAAAATGTCTGATAAAATCAACGCTGAAAAAGTTATTCAATATCATCATTTCCCAGCCAAACCTCGTGGTGATGCCTCATCTATGATTTCCCAATCATTACCAATGGCTGCTATGTTCATGAGAAATAAAATGTTATCATGGGCTGCCTTTTTCTTAGCTGTTCAAGCTTTCTTAAATGAACCAAATCACAAACCAAGTGGTCCCGATGATGCTGCTCAACAACCTCCATTTTTAAGAGTTGTATTCGCTTTCATCTCCTTAGGTACTTGTTACATGGATCTTATCTTCCCAGGTACTAACCCAATGTTAAGAAATGCCGCTAAAGCTGCCTCCACCGCCGCCGCTTCTGCCACTGGTACTGCTACTCCATAATTTACTTCTACATAAAGAAAAAAAAACGATTTATTATGAAAATTAATATACAGGTTAATATATAATACAAAAAAAGATAAAGTCAACTCTAAAAGTCCCATTTTAATACGACACTTTGAAGACCTTTGTAAGCCACACTTAATGATGTAGATGACATATCCCATGATAAATCACATAATCCCTTGTTGGTTTCATCAATTGATTTGATGAACTTACCTTTTACATGATGGTTTATTACATCCCAAATGAAAACATTACCAGAATCATCACCAATGGCTAACCATTTCTCATCAGGTGATATTATCGAAGCATAAACCAATGAATTTTTCACTTTCAAATGTTTGAATATATTTACTTGACTCTTGAGGGATTTTTCAGTGATATTCCACTCAAGAATAGTTCCATCAATTGAAACTGTGATTAAATTTTCTCCTTTATTGAACCAATCCATTGAAACTAGAGGTAAGATCTTTTTGTCTTCAAGATTCAATGTCACTTCTCCAGCAGTGATTGAGGATGTCCACAACTTTATCACACCATCAACTTCACTGTATGAACTTAAATATTTGGAATTATCGTTAAATTGAAGATTGGAAACTGTTCCCTTATGACCATCTAAATTACCTAATATTTTGACATTATAATTACTGGTGAAATCACTGGAAATTTGGTATAGTATGATAGATCCTGGTTTGGTACTTAATGAGAATTTGAAATTATCTAACCAACATATTGACCATTTATCAGTGGATTTATTCATTTCTTGGATTAAATTTAATGAGGAACTTTCCCAAAGACAAATTCTACCATTGGAATCCGACGTGAGGAAAAACTGTCCATCAGTAGACCAAAGTATTTCCACTATATAACTGGGTTTATTATCTTCACTCTTCAAAACACCTTTGGTCATACTTCTTAAATCACCTTCTGATGACCATAAACATAAATCTCCAGCTATATTGGTGGTTATTATGGTCTTTCCTGAAGGATTCCACTGAAAAGCTGTCAAAGTTCCAGTTTTGATCACTTTATTCGAGGCAAAGTTATTCTTTTCATACTTTCCTAATGATAAATTGGATTCATTGTCGATGTGGGCCAAGATATTGGTACTTGGGTTCCATTTACTCAACAAACTTTCACTAAATTCAGTGGTAGATTGTAATTCTTGTACTTCAACTTTCACCTCTTCATCAACATCCATGTCACTTACAGGACTTTCATTATTCTCGAATTTAAACGTCTTATACAATTCAATATCTTTTTCATTATTTAGTAAAGATCCGAAAAATGATAACGTTTCTGACTTGGCACTATCTCGTTTAATATCCTCTTCGGTCAAACTATATAATAAACCCTTTTGTACCAAATTCACAAGGTATCCAGATTCAATTTTTGAAAATATTTCTAAATTCTTATTCTCTTCATATTTCAGACATAATGATTGTTTATCAAAAGCAAAAGCTGCAAGATCATAACCTGATTCTTGTAAATACCTCCATATCAAGTAGTTCAATTCTGTACTTGTTAAAGACATATTAATAAGCTTTTTTTAATGATTGAAGAAGTTACGGTAATAAAATTTTTTTGTGTTTTTTTGAGCCAGCTTTTGGTGCGAAGTTTTCTGAATCAACATACTATGGATTTCGATACTAAGGCAGCTCATAGGAAGAGTAGAGCACCATGGCAGATGAATGGTGGGACCAAGATTAATAATCCCTATGCCAATGCCAGTAATATGGTGAACGGGAATCTGATGAATCAATCCCAATCTCAAAATTCAGAAAGTTTACAAGTACCTAATCCATACGGTGGATCAAAAGCTAATAACAATAAAAGAACCAGAAGATTGAGTATACATGCATCGGCTAGTGCCGCTGCTCATACTAAGAATATGATTGATGCAGCTAATCTTCCGCCAGTGCCTAATTTACCTGATATTCAAAAATATAAAGTCGAAGCTGAAGATCCAGATCCTATAAATTCCAAAATAATGCAAGAATTATCCAATGGTACTCCAGTAGAGATCAATGATTACTTCAAGGTTTTAACTAAACAACAAGCCATTGTAACCAGAGACTTGAAAAGTAATATCAATGAGAATCAAAAGAATATACTTGAATTGATGACAGATTTAAAACAAACTCAAGATGAATTATTACAATTGAGAGTTACAACTCAAGATTTATATGGAGTTTTAGATGAATTTAGGGATTCAGCCGAAAGAAGGTTAGACTTGGAGTTAAAACATGATGATAAATCTCCTTATAATCAAAGTATAAGACGTAATAATAGAAAAGATAGATCATCAATCATGATTTTAGAGAAGATGTGGGTCACTGAATTACAATCATTATTCAAACATGTTGAAGGAGCTTCAAAGTTTGTTCAAAGTATACCTGGACGTCATGTTTTAGCAGAAAGTGGTAGATGGTTTGAAGTTAATATGGGGAATTGGAAAGCTACAAAAGCTATTCATATTTTCGTATTAAATGATTTAATATTAATCGCTACTAAAAATAACAACTCCACAAACAATAAATCCAAATTACAAGCAGTTCATTGTTGGTCATTACATGATACCCAATTACAAATTATTAACAAAGATAATGATAAAGAGAAAGGATATATGATCAAAATAGATACCAAATCATTGAATTTCATTTATCAAACTGATAGGTATGATCATTTTGTCAAGATTACTGAAGCTTATAATAAAGGTAAAAATGAATTATTACAGAAGGATAGATTGGTAGATGCTAGGAAATCTATAAATGGAGAGGATGGATTTGATTCTGATGATGAGAAACGTCAATTAAGAAGATCTTTCAGAAATTCCGGGGTAATTGAAGATGACATTAACTTCAAAAGAAGAAGTGGTTCTAATAGACATAGTCAAGATATTTTATTGCAAGATATTTCTGCCCGAGTTCACTCCAGAAATAGATCTAATGATTTCTCCGCTAGTGGGAAATTCTCAACTTTCGATAAAAACGATAAAGGACAATTTTTCAATGAATTAAAAAGAATCGAAGATAGATTAGATGAAGTAGATATTCAAATAGCTCATAATAATTTCAATGAAACTGTTGGATTGATCAATTATATTGAAAATAAAATCAGTAATATTGAAACTATTTTAAGTAAAACCAGTCATACTGATGATGAAGAAACCTTAGCTTCATTGGATGAAATCAAATTATTAATCGATGTGGTTAAATTGAAAATTTCAAACAGAATTGTACAAGTTCAACAATCATTAACATTCAATTTAAAACATAACATATCAAAGATTAAAACCCAAGAATTAGGAGATATCTTAGAATACTTTTATAATTTTGGTGTTTTAGATAAAGGTATTACCGCATTTTTACAAGCAGTTTCCAGTGATTTATCATCCATTGTTTCTAAATTGATCATAACGGTTCAAGGATCAACTAAAACAGATGTAGGAAATTATTTATCCAACCTTGTCATCATCAATGTATCGATAATGAAGAGGACAGTATTGATTTATAAAGAATGTATTTTCCCTCTTTTGGAAAGAGATAATAAAGGTAATGTTGATTCCAGTGGATTGATTAATTGGTGTATTGAAGAAGGTAATAAATTAGTGGTTTCCATCAAAAAACAATTGTTCGGTACCTTAGCCAATTATGAAGATCCTGATGATGAGACTAACACCCGATTAATTATCAAAGATGAATATTTGTTCCAATCATTTATCAATGTTTTGAAACCTCAATTGAATGAATTAAAGACCGTGGGAGTAAATATCGATTACCTTTTTGATGATCTTTTAAATGCTTCAAAATAATGAATATTAATGAAAAAAAAATCCTTTCAAACCTCTTTTAGGAAATCAGTCCTTTACGGAATCCATAGGCGCAAAAAAAAAATCTATTTTACGAAATCACATTCTTGGTCATCTTTCCCAACAAATCCAAAATCCTCTGAGCCCAACCATTCGATAATTCTTATAGTTAGTGGGTAAAAGAGCATTGAATTGGGGATAATCTTTGAATCGGTTTCAACGTGTTACGTGTAGTTTTCGCATCACACGGATAGTAAAAATTGCCTCCAAAGTAAATAACAACCATGTCAATTATCCCTACTCCCATAATCATGGTGAAGAATGGTATCCTACTTTTATTATTCATGCTTGGATGTGTAATATTAGTAGGTTTCCAATTGATAATAGGTTTCATATTTAAAAATTCTCCTGGTCATAAACATGATGGTATAGGTTTGACTAAAACTTATTTTGTTCAAATGATGGCATTTTTCCATGCTAATGCTTCTCCTAACAAGATATCTATAACTTATGATTCTAAGAAATTACCTGAAGGTAATGAATTCACTGTCAATGGATTCAATGACTTACAAGGGATCTTATCACCAAATTCCATCATAATCTCAAATCATCAAATTTATACTGATTGGCTTTATGTTTGGTTCTTATTATATACTTCCAAATTATCATCAACAATCCACATTATCTTAAAAGACCTTTCTAAGGTTCCAATCTTGGGTTATGGGATGAGAAATTATAACTTTTTATTCTTATCCAGAAAGTGGGAACAAGATAAAGTCATTTTAACTAATCAATTATTGGCCATTGATGCCAATGCCAGAGGCAGTGGACCTGCTAATGGTATAGTTCATACTCAATCTACTAATATCACCAATGGAGTTGGGGATGTTAAAGTATGGCCCAATCAAAACATTTCCAAAGATTTATATCCTTATACAATTGTTCTTTACCCTGAAGGAACTGTTCCATCCCTTAGAACCACTAAAAAATCAAAAGAATATTGTGAACAAGTCGGTAAACCTATATTGAATCATGTTTTATTACCAAGGGTCAGAGGTTTATATCTACTGTTATTAAATTTAAGAAATTCAGTTTCAGTAGTTTATGATATTACTACCGGTTATTCGGGTTTGAAAGAAAAAGAATTTGGAGAAGATATTTATACTTTGAAAAACGTCTTCTTACGTGGTAAAGGTCCTAAACAAGTAAATTATCATATTAGAGCTTTTAATATTTCAGAAATTCCTTTGGGTGCTGATGTTCTTGATATTGATCAAGTTAAAGAAGATGATTTAAAGAGATTTGAAGATTGGTTATTTAAAGTTTGGTATGAAAAAGATGAATTAATGGATACTTTCTACAAATATGGAAAATTCATTACTTCTGATGATCCAAATTTTGATACTTATAAAACTGTTGTAGCTGATATGAAATTACGTAGCGTGTTAGAATTAACACCAGTTGTTTCCTTTGCTTTGATTTTATTCTACTTGATAGGTAAAATCTTCAAATTCATCTTTGGGTGATTTCTTATAGATATGAATAGATATGGTTTCTTTTTGGCTGCGAAAAAAAATCTGAAACAAATCTGAAACAAATTTGAAACATCATGATTTTTACTATAAATACATGGATCTGCTATTGATATCTAACCATGGGTGTCCTTTCAATTGTTACAAAGTTGCCGAACTTTTTCATCATAATTGTCTTATTCATTACTACTTTCTTATTAAGTTTTCTTTTATTGAGTTGTTATCAAGAAGCAAAAGCATATTCGGGGGCTTTCTTGACTAGTTTTAAATTTAACAGGGATGAAATGCTGTTGGTTACTTTTAATGGGACTACAGATAATGAACAATTATCAGGGTTTTCAATTGACATTGGATATTTGAATTTTTGTGTGAATTATAATAACGATACAACATGTTCGAGTTTTGATAATATTGCTAAGTTGAATTATTATCCCTTGATTCAGGTAGTCAATGGAGATGATGAATCAACTATAGATTTGGTCAAGTTGGCAAAGAAGTTCAACGATATGTGTTTTTCTTATGTATTAATGGCAGCACTCATATTAGTTTTAGCAGCCATGGCTATGATGTTTTGGATCATGATCCCACTTCTTCCAGGTAAAAAGCTTGCTAGGAAAACAGCCAGTGCTATGTTACTCCTCAATGGTATATTATGGGGTGTGGGGTCCATGTTACAACATGAAGCTGTCAAAGCTAGTGCTTACTTAGTACCAATAAGTTCAATTAATCTCATTAAAGTTCAAACAGGAATTAGAGCTGAATCTATGACTTGGGTAGCTTTTTGTTTCATATGTGTTTGTTTCATTGGCAATACAATTCTTTTAGTGAAGGAAACGAAAATTGCAAAAAATGATCAAGGTAGTAAATATTAAATGTACAAAATTTGCAAAAATCACTGAAAAATGTTGATGATAATTGAAAATTATTGTTTTACTTTTAAAAACCTCTCAAAAATCATCGAAAAATCCCCTTATAATCACACTACACCAATAAACGTAACCATCCTATCAAAACACCCCTACCAATCATTATGATCCAAAATACCATAAAAGATATTTCTCATGGCATGCTTACATAAGAAAAACGTGACTTTCACGCGACTTTTTTTTTTCAGAGAGTACCAGATCCTCCAAAATTTTTTTCAGTTGAGAAACAACATAATTACATTATCAAAGCTTTCGGTTTAAAAACTCCCAAATTTCAACAATTGCTCCAACTGATTGAAAATTAACGTGACCCATCAAGACAAAACTACCTTAGAGTTTACCACGAAAGATTACCTTTGATAAGTAAGAAAATATGTCATATAAAAGTCAACTTGATACTTTTGTATCTAGACTTAATGATAATGCCGATTATAAAGAGATTCATTCGGTTTTAAGTGAACTATTGGATATGATAGAAACTTTCAATGGAGCTGCCGAATATGAATATTTCTTATCCAATTTAATCCCCATCTTTTTGAAATACTTAGATGATGTTCCAATAGTATTCAATACTCAATTACCAGAACAAAAGTTAAGAAACTCCATCTTAGAGATTCTTCATAGATCATTATTAAATGATACATTCCAACCATACAGTGAAAACATTTTAAGCAAATTAATGGAAATTTTAGTCGAAGAAAATGAAGATAATGGTGTTTTATGTATGAAAATTATAACCAGCTTACATAAAGCTTATAAAGAGAAATTAAATGATAGAGCCCAAGAATTCATTGATATAATTTGCCAGATTTATGATAATATGCCAGAAACCATTTCCATGGTATTTAATGCATCAAATTCTTCAACTAATTCTCAACAAGATGATACTAGTACAGGTACTAAAGAAATGTCACCAACTTTCCCTGAAGATAATTCAGCTAAAAGTTTGAATAAAGCTATGTTCTCATTTAAAACTTTAGCTGAAAGTCCCATTACCATGGTCTCATTATATTCATCATATAAAGAATTAGTTCAAACATCATTAACGGTATTTTTACCTAAAATAATCAATCTTTTAACCTTAGAAGTTGAACAACAAAGAATTTATAGAGAAGAAATTTTAAGTAATAATGACAATAATGTGGTAACATCAATATCACCTCAAATATCAAATAGACAAGCATTTAGTGATTTTATTTTAGGTCAAGTTAAAGCTGCTTCATTCTTAGCTTATGTATTTATTAGAGGTTATGCTAATAATAATTTGAGTGAAGAACAAGGTAAAGTTGTACCTGAAGTGATTTTAAGATTATTACAAGATTGTCCAGCAGAATTATCAGTAGCTCGTAAAGAATTATTACATGCTACAAGACATGTATTATCAACACCTTTCCGTTCCCATTTCATACCAAAAATTGAATTGTTATTTGATGAGAAGATCTTAATAGGTGAGGGATTAACAGCTTATGAAACTTTAAGACCTTTAGCTTATTCCACAGTAGCAGATTTCATTCATAATGTGAGAAATGAATTGACTCCAAAACAAATTTGGTCAACAGTATTAATTTATTGTGATTTACTTAAAGACGATTCTTTAGCTTTAACTGTTCAAATTATGAGTGCTAAATTATTACTTAATTTAGTGGAAAGAATCATGAAATTACCAAATAAACTTGAAGGTCGTCAATTATTTATGATAATTATTGATTCTTATGCTAAAAGATTTGGTAGTTTGAATAGAAAATATGATCACATTATTAGAGTTCATAAAGACTTTGAAAAGAAAAGATTAGCCAAAGAAGATGAAAGTAAGAAAGCTATTGCCAGATATTCATCAAAGAATGATGGTGATGTTGAAATGATTGATGCCAAAGAGGAAACTAAACTAATAAGTGATGATGATATGATTGAAGACAAAGATGAAGAGGATGAAGAAAATGAAGATGACGATGAAAAGATTATAGATATCTTCAATATCGATCAAGGATCTCCAGTAAATTCTAATCCATCAACTATAAATTCAGACTTGTTGAAAGATGCTAGATATTTATTCAGAACTTTAATGACATTTTTGAAATCAGTAATATTTGGATTGAAAAATTGTAATCCTCCAGTACCTCCACAACCAACACCAGATTCTAAAAATGGTGGTCAAACAGTTAACTATGATAAATGGAATGAATCAGCTAAAATCACATCATTTGAGGAAGTTAACATATTAAGAGAATTATTCAAATCAGGTATTAGTTGTTTAAGATTTTTCACTGTTTCCAAACCAAAAGCTACTTTAAGTGCTAAAGCTTTCGATTTCTCCGGAGGAGGTCCTAATTTACCTATAACTTCATCAAAGGAAGAAAAAGATTTAATGGAAATTTTCGCTACAATTTTCATTCATGTTGATCCTGCTTCATTTAATGAAATTGTTGGTAATGAATTACCATTTTTATTTGATTCTATGTTAGAGAATGCTGCATTATTACATTTACCACAATTCTTCTTGGCTTCAGATATAACTTCAGCTAATTTTTCAGGATTATTAATATCTTTCTTGAGATCAAAATTACCTGAACTTGGTAAAGTGGATTTAATTAAATCCAATATTCTCATTAGATTATTTAAGTTATGTTTCATGTCGGTGAATTTATTCCCTACTACCAACGAAACGGTGATTTTACCTCATTTAAACCATTTAATCTTGGAATCTTTGAAATTATCTACTACAGCTGAAGAACCTATCGTGTACTCATATTTAGTAAGAATATTATTCCGTAGTATAAGTGGAGGGAGATTTGAAAGTTTATACAAAGAGATAATGCCTATCTTACCAGTATTATTAGAAAGTTTAAATAAAATGATTGCTAATGCTAGAAGACCTTATGAAAGAGATATTTATGTGGAATTATGTTTAACTGTTCCTGTAAGATTATCAGTATTGGTACCTCATTTAAATTTTTTAACTAGACCTTTAGTTCATGCATTAAATGGATCACAAGAATTAGTCAGTCAAGGATTAAGAACTTTCGAATTATGTGTTGATAATTTAACAGCTGAATATTTCGATCCTATGATTGAACCTGTGATTGATGAGATCATGGCTGCTTTATGGAAACATTTAGAACCGGTACCATATCATCATCAACATTCTCATACTGCCATTAGAATTTTAGGTAAATTAGGTGGTAGAAATCATAAACATTTCAAACCTTATAATAAATTAAAATCTCAATCAGCTTTAGATCATGAAATTAAAGCCCTTTTCCTGATCCATGGATTAAATGGTGAAATCCCTGTTTCAATTACTCCAGGAGTCGAATCAGCTATTAGTTTATTAGAAGATTCAAAGATAAAATCTCATTATAGAATCAGTGCTTTCAAATACTTATCATCAATTTTCAAATTATTAATTGATACTTCTCCATTACCTGAAGATTTACCTGGTTATATCGCCAAATGTGTTTCAATCTTGAAAGACGAAAAACAAGAAGATGCCATTGAACTTGAAGAAAGTGATACTAAAGATTTAAATAAATTGAATATCCAACAAAAATTATTTAGTAGATTACTTGAAGTGTTATATTTCTCAGTTTCCATACCTGAAATTAAAGAAGAAGCTAATAAATTGATTGATGGCATAACCGTTCATTTCACATTAAATTACTTATGGGTTTCAGTTATTGATAAAGTAAAGAAAGAAAGACCTTTCTCAGTTGAAGATAAAGAAGGTAAAGTTTATATCAATGAAAATGCTTATTTGAATGCATTGAATTATGCATTGAGTTTCTATGATGAAGCAGTCAGAAATAAAGCTATTGATAGTATAAAACTTGTTTATTCAACTTCACTTGCAATTTTTGGATCAACTGAAGATGTGTTGATATCACCAGTATTCCGTTCAATGTTTTATAGATTTACTCATTGCTGTTTTAGTGAATATTATTATAATAAATTAGGAGGTATCTTGGGACTCAAATCATTGGTTGAAGATTGTTCAATACCAAGTTCTTGGTTCACTAAACGTCAATTTGAATTAGTTCGTTCAGTATTTTTTGTTACTAGAGATACTCCTGAAGTTGCACCACTGGAAGTTCGTGATGTTGCTAGTAATTTAGTATTGAAAATCTTAAAAGATTGTAATAGTGATTTAACTAAAGATTCATTAATGGAGAAACCTTATCAAAGTATTGTTGGGGCTATAGTTTATGATTTAGCCAGTTCAAATTCTCATGTTAGAGAATTATCCAAATCTTCATTAAAAGTTTTATCAGAAACCACCAACATCCCAATTGCAACAATTGTTGGTTCATGTAAACAATTATTATTGACTCCAATTTTTGGTAAACCTTTAAGAGCATTACCATTCCCTATGCAAATTGGTAATATTGATGCTATAACTTATTGTTTAGATCTTGAAGATACTTTCTTAACCTTCAATGAAGAATTAAACAGATTATTATTAGAAGCTTTAGCTTTAGTTGATGCTGATGATGAATCTTTAGCTAATGTTCATCGATTGAATGAACACAGAACTTCAAAACAATTGATTGAATTAAGAGTTGTTTGTATCAAATTATTATCATTAGCTTTAACAAGACCTGACTTTTCTTTAGGTTCATTAGCTGAAGCAAGAATTAGAATCTTGGGAGTGTTCTTCAAGGCTTTATGTAATAAATCCACTGATATAATTAATGCAGCTCATTTAGGTTTAAAATCAAGTCTTTCAGAGAATGCTAAATTACCAAAAGAATTACTTCAAAATGGTTTAAGACCAATGTTGATGAATTTATCTGATCATAAGAAGTTAACAGTTTCTGGTTTGGAAGCTTTAGCTAAATTATTGGAATTATTGATTTCTTATTTCAGAGTTGAAATTGGTAGGAAATTATTAGATCATTTAATGGCATGGGCCCAAATCAATACTTTACGTCAAATGTCAAGTCAAGATTTAGATAATAATCATACAGTTCAAATTGTTATAGCTATATTGAATATTTTCCATCTTTTACCAGCAAAAGCTTATACTTTCATGGAGGAAATCATTAATACTTTACAATATTTAGAAGGTCATTTAGATCGTCACCAAAATTCACCTTTCAGAACCCCAGTAGCTAAATTTTTGAATAGATTTTCAGAAAATTCCGTTCAATACTTCTTGGAGAATTTCAAAAATAGAAAATTAGGTAATATGTTAGCATATTTCACTGGTTTGGAAGAATGTAAAGATTTAAGAGATTTAATCAAAACTAAATTTGATGATATAATTCAAGATATTGAAGATGAAACCGATAATGAAGTCAAGATTACTAAGTTTGCTAATGCCGTTGATATTATTCAATCAATGATGTTGGATAGTGAATGGTTTAATGACCAAAAGGAGTTAATTGTTAAACTTTTCAATATTTCAAGAAGTGTAGGAGAATTTGGTGATGCTTCATCTTCACCAACATATTTCCAATCTGATCAAGCTATTAATAAGATCCAAATGATTATGATCCAATTCTTGAAGGATAACCTGGAAGAATATGATTTGGTATTTGATATTATCAATGAATTTACTAGTTCTAATAAGAAAGTTCCAGATATTGCTGAAAATTTCATCTTTGAAAATATCGTAAGTTCAACAGATGTTAAATTCAGAGAACAATATTTATCTAAATGTTGTGAACATATCATGAAACAAGAATACAATCTCAAAGCAAAGATTTTTATATTGAAGAAAATCTTCAATTCAATTATTCTTTATGAAGCTGAGAAGAAAGATAATATTGACTGTTTCTTTAAAGGTAAGAAATCTCCTAAATGGTTAGAAAATTTCTATAATGATGTTTGGAAGTCAACTAATGATATTATAACTGGTCATACTTCAGGTAAGCTTGATAGTTATAGATTCCAATTACTTGAAGCTACAGCTATTTTACTTAAATGGGGATCGAAATTCACCAGTGAATATAAAAAGGATATGATCAAATTTAGTTGGAATTATATCAAATTGGAAGATAATATTACTAAACAAGTAGCTTATGTCACTACAGCTTATTTCATTGCAGCTTATGAAACTCCAAGTAAACTTGCTACTCAAGTATTTGTTGCATTACTTCGTACTCATCAAAATGATTCAAGACATTTGGTTAGACAAGCTTTGGATATTTTAGCCCCTGTAATGCCTGAAAGAATCATTGAAGATGAATCTTCATCTTTAGGTTGGTTAAAATGGCCTCGTAGAGTTATTTCTGAAGATGGGTTTAATGTTACTCAAGTTTTGAATGTTTATCAATTCATTGTTCAACATCCAGATATTTTCTTTGTTGCCAGAGAACATTTTATTTCAAGTATCATTACAGCTATGGGTAAATTAACTATTCTTGCTAACCCAGCAGTTGAAAATCAAGTTCTTGCTATTGATTTGGCAGAATTGATTTTAAAATGGGAATCAAAAGCTAGAGAATCAATCGATGATACGTCAAATAATAGCGATGACTTTACTACTTCACCAAATTATGAAATACCTTTAGGTCAAAAGGAAGCTTGTGTTACTTTCTTAATCAGATACGTTTGTATTAGTCCTCAAAGAGCTTCAGAAAGTGAATTAGGTCAAAAGGCTTTAGGAATCTTATCTGACCTTTTGAATCCTCAATTATGGAATGATGTTTCATTCAAATTGGATTTCTTTGAAAAATTCTTATTATCAAATGATTTGAATTCTTCAAACTTATTAGGTTATTGTTTGAATGCTTTAGAAGTTTTAGGTGTTGGATTAGAATGGCAAAGTTCTAAATGGATATTAGAACATCTTCCTGAATTGAATAAATTACTTGAAAAATGTATCAAATCAGATAATCATGATATTCAAGAAGCTTTACAAAGAGTTTTAAGAACTATTTTGAAAGCTGTTAATGATGAAAAGAAATCTGAAGAGGATGAAGATGATGAAGTTAAAGATTTTATCCAATTATTGGTTACTACAGTTTCTGAAGATTTAAATGAAATGCCTTCAGTTGCTGCTGGTGTTACATTATCTTGGACTTTAGCTAACTACTGTCCAAACACTTTAGATTCTCTTTTACCTACTATTATGAGAACTTTTAGTAAATTATGTAAAGATCATATTACCATAACTCATCAAGGTTCACAATCAAGTTCAAAGGATAGTTCTAATTCAGAATTTGAAGCTAAAATGACTACCAGATTATTAGAAAGAATTTTGAATTTATCATCAATGAGAATTTCTACTTTAGGTGATCAAAGAAGAATCTTTTTATCATTATTGGCTCAATTAATTGAAAGATCTTTAGATAAAGAAACTTTGGAAAAGATCATTAAAATTGTTAAAGGTTGGGTATTTTCTAAAAATGATTTATTCCCTACAACCAAAGAAAAAGCAGCTATTCTTGCTAAAATGATGGTTTTCGAAATTAGAGGTGAACCAACTCTTTCAAAAGAATTTTATCAAATTATCGTAGATATTTTTGAAGATGATGCTTTTAGTTGTTCAGAATTAACTGTTCGTATGGAACAACCTTTCTTGGTAGGTACCAGATCAGCAGATGTATCAATTCGTAGTAAGTTGATGTCTTTATTGAACAAGAGTCTTGAAAAAGATATCAAACAAAGATTATATTATGTTATTAGAGAACAAAATTGGGAATATTTAGCAGATTATCCTTGGTTAAATCAAGCTTTACAATTACTTTATGGAGCTTTTGATTTCGATAAAAAATTACAACTTGTTGATGATGAAGATAAATTACCCCCAGTAAGCTCATTCCCATTCACCATTGAAAATGAGATGGAAGTTGATGTTAGTGATAGCTTACAAGAAGTTTTGGATAAACATAAGGAATTTTTATCGGAAATATCTGAATTAAAAGCCAGTGCTATATTAGAACCATTGATTGATATGTTTTATCAAAGTAGTGAAACTGTTCATAAAGCTTGGTCAACTATTTTCCCTATAGCTTTTACATCGATTCCAAGATCAGAACATCTTGATTTTACAAGATTCTTGGTAGTCTTATTGTCTAAAGATTATCATCTTCGTCAAGTTGATAGTAGACCTAATGTTGTTCAATCATTGTTACAAAGTATTTCTAAATGTAAAGAATTACAACTACCACCATTTGCTGTTGAAGCTTTGGCATCAAATTTCAACGGATGGGCTCATGGTATTCATATACTTGAAAATATTGATGAAGCTTCAGTTAATGGTAATGCTGAAGTAAGAGAAATTACTCAAGATGCTTTAGCTAAATTATTTGCTACATTAAAAGAAGATGATATGTTTTATGGATTATGGAGAAGAAGGGCCAAATATACTGAAACCATATCTGCTTTATCATTTGAACAAATTGGTCTTTGGGATAAAGCTCAACAATTATATGAAGCGGCTCAAATTAAAGCTAGATCAGGTGCTTTACCTTACGGAGAAAGTGAATATGCTTTATGGGAAGATCATTGGATCTTATGTACGGAAAAACTTCAACAATGGGATATTCTTACCGAATTAGCCAAACATGAAGGATTTTCTGATCTTTTATTAGAATGTGGTTGGAGAGTTGCTGATTGGAATGCCGATAGAGAAACTTTAGAACAAACTGTTAAAGGAGTTATGGATGTTCCAACTCCAAGAAGACAAGTGTTTGAAACTTTCTTATGTTTACAAGGTTATGGTCAAGAAAAGCAAACTTTACAAGATCTTTCAAAATTATGTGATGAAGGTATTCAATTAGCTTTAAGAAAATGGCATGGATTACCTCCTAAATTTAATAATGCTCATATTCCTTTATTACATACATTCCAACAATATGTGGAATTTATGGAAGCTAGTCAAGTTTATTCAAGTCTTGTTTCCACTAATGCTCAAAATCTTGATGTTAAATCTCAAGATTTGAAACGTGTTTTACAAGTATGGAGAGAAAGATTACCTAATACTTGGGATGATATTAATGTTTGGAATGATTTAATGACTTGGCGTCAACATGCTTTCCTGGTCATTAATGAAGTTTATATGCCTTTCATTCCTATCCTTCAACAATCGAATTCTGGAAGTAATGCTAATTCTTATGCTTATAGAGGATTCCATGAAATTGCCTGGGTAATTAATAGATTTGCTCATGTAGCTAGAAAACATGGAATGTCAGATGTTTGTATAACTCAATTAACTAAGATTTATCAACTTCCTAATATTGAAATTCAAGAAGCTTTCTTAAAATTGAAAGAACAGGTTAAATGTTATTACCAAAATCCTCAGGAATTGAACACCGGTTTGGATGTTATTAGTAATACTAACTTGGTTTATTTTGCTACTCAACAAAAGGCCGAATTCTTTACTTTGAAAGGGATGTTTTTGAATAAGTTAAATCAAAAAGATGAAGCTAATAAAGCTTTTGCTACATCAGTTCAAATTGATCTTAATTTACCAAAAGCTTGGGCTGAATGGGGTCTGTTTAATGACCGTCGTTTTAAAGAAAATCCAAATGATATGGTTTATGCTAATAATGCCATCAGTTGTTATTTACAAGCTGCTGGTTTATATAAAAACGGCAAGACTAGAAAATTACTCGCAAGAGTTCTTTGGCTTATTAGTTTGGATGATAATTCTGGTACTTTAACTCAAGCTTTTGAAAATTTCAGAGGTGAAGTACCTGTTTGGTATTGGATTACATTTATTCCTCAATTACTTTCTTCCTTAAGTAACAAAGAAGCTACTTTAGCAAGACAAGTATTGATTCGTATTGCTAAGAGTTATCCACAAGCTTTACATTTCCATCTTCGTACTACTAAAGAAGATTTCGCTGCTAAACAAAGACAATACATGGAAATGTCTAGACAAGGCAAACCCGAAGATGGTAAGACTGAAGATGCTATCGAAGAAAAGGAAGAAAAGGAAGATAAAGAAGACGCTATGGATGAAGATAAAGAAGAAAAAGAACAAGATGAAAAGGAAGATAAAGAGGATAAAGAAGAATCCAAGGATGAAATTAAAGATGGCAATTCAGAAACCAAAGATGAAAAAGTTAATGGTACCAGCTCAGTACCTATGGGGGCAAGGAAATCTTGGGAACATGTTGATGAAATTATGGGTATTTTGAAAACAGCTTATCCACTTTTAGCTCTTTCATTAGAATCATTAGTTGATCAAATTAATCAACGTTTTAAATGTACTGCCGATGAAGATGCTTATAGATTAAGTGTAGCTTTACTTAATGATGGAGTTCAATATCTTAATAGACTTGGTAATCCAAGAGATGATGCTAAATTACCTCCTGTTACTGAAGCTAATATTACTAGATTTGCTGAAACTGTTTTACCTAAACAAATAAGAACAGAATTTGAAAAGGATCTTGTTCTTGGTAAACCTAATCTTGAAACTTACATTACCAAATTACGTAAATGGAGAGATAGATTAGAAGATAAACTTGATAGAAGATTTGCTGAAATCAATTTAGAGAATTTATGTCCACATTTAAGTGAATTCCATCATCAAAAATTCGAAGAAATTGAAGTTCCTGGTCAATATCTTTTGAATAAAGATAATAATACTCATTTCGTTAAGATTGAAAGATTCTTACCTACTATTGATTTAGTTAGAGGTACTAATGCTTGTCATAAACGTTTAAGAATTAGAGGTCATGATGGTAGTGAACATATCTTTGCTGTGCAATTCCCAGCTGCTCGTCATTGTAGACGTGAAGAATCCCTTTTCCAATTATTCCGTATCTTTGGTGATACTTTATCAAGAAAAGTTGAAACCAGACGTCGTTACATTCAATTCACTTTACCAATTGCTGTACCATTATCACCACATATTCGTATCATCAATGATGATCCTGGTGATATTTCTCTTCAAAAAGTTTATGAAGATTATTGTCGTCGTAATGGTAAAAACCGTGATGAACCTTTCATCTATACTATTGAAAAATTAAGAGCTGCTTTTGATCCTCGTTTACCTAAACCTGATATCATGAGTATTAGAGTTGAAATCTTAGGTGCTATTCAAACCATGTTAGTTCCTTCAAATGTTTTGAAGAATTATTTCGTTGAAAATTATCCTAAATTTGAAGATTTCTGGTTATTCCGTAAACAATTTACTTCTCAATATGCTTCATTTATTTTCAGTACTTTCATGATGTGTGTTAATACTAGACAACCTCAAAAAATCCATGTTAATAAAAACAGTGGAACTGTTTGGACTTCAGATATGTTACCATGTAAAGTTGCTAATAAATCTGGAGCTTTAGAATCCAATCAAAATGGAAGACCTCAACCATTATTTTATAATGCTGAATTAGTACCTTTCCGTCTTACTCCAAATATCCAAAAATTAATTGGTGAAGTTGGTATGGAAGGTATATTATCAGTTCATGTTTTAGCTATTGCTAGAGCTTTAACTGAACCTGAATCTGACTTAGAACAATATTTGACATTATTTGTTCGTGATGAAGTTGTAAGTTGGTGTAAACAACAAGAACCTCCAAGAACTCCTCAAGATACTCAATTGAAGGAATTGGTTCGTGTTAATGTAGAAATAATTATTAGAAGAGTTATGTCTATTGGTCATATATCTTCTGGCCCTACAGTGGCTACTCAAAATGTATTAGAACTTATATCTCAAGCTGTCAATCCAAGAAATTTGGCTGCTGCTGATACTTTATGGATGGCATACCTTTAGATATTTTTAAAAATGTATATTATTTGTTTAAGCTCTATATAACTTAATTTGCTCCAATCTGATCTCCGTAGGAAATTGGTCAGTGAATTCCAAATCTATGTGTTTATTTCTTCGATCTATCCCGTTGGTAAGGTAACATAATCCACGATAAGTAATAATACAATTTATAAGAGAATTTATAAATCCTAATGAATGGAAAAATAATGATATGAAAGTAACAACTTGAATATAAGTGGTAATATTCACTTTAACTGATGTATTGGTAGTACTGTTATATTCATACAGATACATGTTTTCGGTATTCAAAACTCTGATAAAGGTGGGTATTGATATTCCAAGACCCATGAGCTGTAAAAGACAAGATACACCTAGATATGTAACACTTTTCAACGTAGGAATCACAGTACCTAACGGGAATATACAACAACAAGCAGTAAACATCAATGCATCATAAAAGCTGGAAATGACACAAATTTGAGGTCGATTCAATACTTCATCACAAGGTATAGTTATAAAGATACACACATATTGTAAGATCAAAATGATCAAAAACAGCAGGAAGAAGTAATTCACTACTTTCAAATTCAAAATTGACACTATATTAGGTCTTCCAATAGGAATAGGTTGAATAGTTGGTGGAGGGTGGTCGAAAAGAACCGATTGTGGATTTGACATATTTTTTGCAGCACAAATCACGGCTGCGAAAAAAGTTGTATATTAAAAGTTACAGGAATGAAAAGATCGATCAAGAAGATGGATCAGGAGGAACGAATGGGTTATCAGCTCTTTGTGTAACCAATCTATCATAAATGCCTCTTTCTAATTTAGGGAAAATCTTTTGTGATTGTTCAACTCCATCACTTAACCATAATCCATAAGATCCCATCATATTAGCCATTAACATGTCCGTGAATAATCTGTCACCTACGACTATGATTTCATTGGCATTATGGATTCCTTGTTGTTTGAAATAATCCAAAATTTCATTGAAACATCCAGGTTTTTTCGTAGGATGTCTCAACACTGATACTCCAGTTCTGTCTTCTAAAATTTTAGCTTGTTCATGATCAATATCATCGTTGGTTCCAGCAGAATTGGATACAATCAAAATGTGTTCTTTAGGATATATCAGTTGAAGTTTCTTCCAAGTTTCTTCATAAGCTGGCCAAATTTTATCATCATGATCTTTGGCAAAACAATTATCCTTATCAAGGACTACACCTTTAATTTCCACATCTTTACCTGGAATTTTGAAGGGAATTGTCATCTTATCAAACGAAGGAACTGTCACATGAGGAAGACAAAGTGAAGGATTAGTAACTAACCTAGATACATTGAGGGTTGCACTTATGTTAAACATCTGAACCATGAACAAACTGATAACGCGAAATGGTGCGGGTAATTACTCATTTTTCTGAAAATTTATCAAAGGTTTTCCAGACATTTTCAATCTTTATGAGTGGAAGTTCAAGAGTTAGAAGAGCTTCAGGAGCTAAAATAAAGAAAGATAAACCTTCAAACAAAGGATATGCTAATGCTAATGGAGGTGACGTAGAAGAATTTGACGAAACTGAACAGTGTATAATTTGTGCAGAGAAAATACTATTTGCAGCTTATTCTCCATGTCAACATATAACTTGTCATAGATGTTTATTGAGACAAAGAGTGCTTTATGGAAAGGATTTATGTTTGGTCTGTAGAACCCCCAATGATAAGATTGTGATATCAGACGATAGGAGTAAAGATTTTAATCTGTTTTCTGTCGATAAGCTTATATCTGATGACAAATATAACATCTATTTTACCAGTGAACCAGTACAAGAGAAAGCTATGGGAATTTTGGAATCGAAATGTGCATTTAAAGATTGCAATGAAAGGTTTGAAACATTCAAAGATTTACAAGAACACATTAAACTGGCTCATAATAAATTTTTTTGTCTTATTTGTTCAAATAATAAGAAAGCTTTCGTTGATGAATTAGATTTATACCATTATAAAGCTTTACAAACACATCAGACTGTTGGTGATGGTAAAGGGTTCAATGGACATCCAGCTTGTAAGCATTGTATTAAAAAGCGTTTTTATTCAGAAGATGAGTTAAACATTCATATTAGAGATAATCATGAAAGATGTCATATTTGTGATCAAGATATTCCTGACCAAGCTGATTATTATAAGAATTATGATAGTTTATATGAACATTTCAAAATAGATCATTATGTTTGTATTGTCCAATCATGTTTAGATAAAAAGTTTGTGGTCTTCAGAGATGATATAGATTTAACTGCTCATATGTTAAAAGAACATGGAAATTTGACTGGGGGTAACAAAGTGATCATTGGATCAAGAAATTACCAATCACAACTTTCAACATTTCAAAATATCCCCAATAGAAACCGTAATGTTCCTGGAGAAAATACCGATTCTGTAAAGACCAAGAAATTAAGATTAGAAGAACGGGCCAAACATTATTTGGAATACGATAATGAGAAATTATCGGCCTTTTTAGATGTCAACAACAAGTACAAAGATAATAAATTAACAGCTGATGAATTATATCAACAGTATCAGGAGTTATTCAAAAAACAAACCATGGAAGAGGTCACTATTCTTTTATCAGAACATGCAGAATTATACCCTGAAATCAATTCAAGATACATAAAATTGAATGAAGTGATAAATAAGATCAAGAAGAATAATAGTGCTTCAGAATTCCCCATATTAGGAGGTCGTGCTCAAAGTCCAACAGTTAATCTCCATGGATGGGGTAATTCTCCTTCTGGCAGTAGAAATAATTCCAATGACAGTTTCCCTGTCCTTCAAAGACCTACAGCTACTAAAAAGACTAAACCTGTGGTACAAAAACCTATAAGATATACTACAGTAACAACGTCAAAACCTAAACCTGCTCCTGTAAGTATAAATAATTTCAATGGAGATACAAATTTCCAACCTAATTATCTTGAATCTTCAAGTAAAAGTCAAAGTCAAAGTCAAGGATGGGGAAGTGAAACTAGTAGTAGTAATTCGTCAAAAACTGATATTTCCAAGTTCCCTCCATTAGAGAAGAAACAACCCAAAAAGACATTTGGAAGAGTTAATCCCGTGAATATAACTCCAGCTCTGCAATGGGGAGCTTCTTCATCCCAACCTCAACCTAAAGTAGAGGATGAATGGGGTATTCCTGTGACCTTCAAGAAAAAGGGTAAAGGAAAGAAGTAGTAAATAGGATAATGCATAGACATCACTAGAAACTTCCGCGCGCAGATTTCTTAGACAATGAATAGATCTTTAGCTTTAAGAGTAGGTAGAGCTCTTAATATTAACTTGAGTAGAAACCTCACTAGAGTTTTGTTCCATGCATCCAAGAGAACTCATGTTAGAACTACCTTTCAACAACTCAGATTCCATAGTGACAATAGTGCAACCTTGAAAGTTGATGATCCTCAAATGATGATAGCATTTACATGTAAGAAATGTGACACTAGATCATCTCATACCTTCTCCAAACAAGCATATCAAACAGGTACAGTACTCATACAATGCCCAGGATGTAAAAATCGTCATTTAATTGCAGATAACTTAAATTTCTTCAAAGATCAAAAATTCAGTCTTGAGGATGTTTTGAAAGCCAAAGGAGAATCCATAGCCACCTCACCTGAAGACCTTGTATTCAATGATATACCTGACAGCTTGAAGAAGACCATCGGACACCATGCCAAAGATGCACCTGAAGATTATCATAAAGATATCGATACTGGACTCCCTGAAGGGAAAAAATCAGATTAGGTCCCAGCTGATTCTTCATTTATGAAGTAATTGTGAATATTCTAGGGGATATAGACTTAAAAACGGCTGCTGACATATCGGTCCCTCCACCTCAGACCCCTGGACTCTGTAAATATATATCTTTCTAAATACATACTTTTTGCAACCCGCACTGAAAATAAATTTTCAATGTTTAGAGCAAGACTTTTGAATTCCAGTGTAAGGAGGTTTTCTCCTTTAGGTTTCCGTAGGTGGAACTCTAACAACGAGTTGAAGAACAAGTATATGGAAAAGTTACAAATCAAAGCTAAAAAGTTGGGTTTCGAAACTGTTGAAGAATTGAATCAAAGCTTAAAAGATGAAATAGAACAAAAGAAGAAACAACTCAATGTGATTGATCCTCTAAAAGAATTAGAAGAAAAGGCAGCCCAGACCATGGAGAAGAGTAGAAAAGATCATGAAATTAAAATTAGATCTCCTATAGACAAAGACGAACCTATTTTACCTTATAAGACTTTAGATTCTTTCTTAGAAGTTGAAAAAGTTAAAGACTTGAACGCTAAAGAGATTGAATACATATGGAGGGCTAGATTCCAAAATAAAGAAGGAAGTCTCGTTGCTACTTTAGATGCTTTGAAGTTCTCCAAAATGTATGCCTTAGCTTTCAAGAACAGAACGTTCATTTTACCTTTACCTAAAGAAACTGGTGGATATGAGATGCATTTTGTTCAATGGTCTTTCATAGGTCCTTACACCACCCACTGTATGCTTACAACTGTGGCCGAGTACAAATTGCATAAAGAATATGCCAAACCTCATACTACACTTATGTTCCATCAAGAATTAGTAGAGGATAAGTCATTGGTTCTTATGAACGGTCAAGTAGAAAAAGAATCCAGTATGAGTTTGGACGAAGCTCATTTATTGGTTCTTAACATCCAAAGATTCTATGGAGCTATGGATCAAACATCTGAAGCTAAATTACAACTTTTAAAGAATTTTAACAGTGGTAACGAAGAATTCGATATGGATAAATTGATAGAGGAAGCTACTTCTTTCGATTAATGTATATATTTTTAGTGCATTCCTTGTAGCATAGAGAACAAGTCTGTTCCTTGACTAGTAGGGGGTTTGGCTTTAGATCCTCGTCCACCTCTTCCTCTACCTCTAGTACCACGAGCTCGAGTGGATGTGGTTGCTCGAGTTTTCCGACTAGCCCTTGGTTTCTCTATTACTTCTTCATCACTATCTATGATTTCTTGATCATTATGATCCTGATAATCCATATTATCATCACTATCAGGAATTTCGATTTCCTCTTCACTGTAAACTTCTTTTTTGACAGTTTTTTTACGAGCAGAAGGTTTCTTTTGTTTTGTAGCTTTCGATGGTGGTTTCTCTTCATCACTTTCCACCACAATCATCGCCAGTTTTTGATTGGCTTCGTCATTCTTCTTTAATGTTTTCAACAAATCTTTGAATGATTTCTTATCTTCATCAACTTCATCTTCCATATCCACTTTTGAAAGATTAGATGCGTGGAATTTCAATTCACTTTTAATGTACTGATTAAGAAGATTCTTGTCCTCTTTATCAATGGAATTTTTCACTGTTTCATTGAGTCCCTTTTCTGAAAGAAGATAAAGATTTGATTGTTCAACAAACTGAGATATCAAGGTGTTTATGGTGATGCCCGAACTTCTAGGAACTTCAATATCGGTAAACTTCGCCTTTTCAATCACTGATTGTTGTTTTTGGGGTTTATTCTTGTTGAATAAGAAAATATCATCAATATTGGCAACCCGACCGATGAAGTTCTTGGATAATCTTTGCGGAGTCTCAAAGTCATAATCTCCAGTGTATTCAACTTTTAGCCGTATCAAAGGTAAATTCCTTATATCAATTTCTTCTGAAGAGTTATTATTCTTCTTATCATAATCATCACGAGCCTTTTGCAATAATTCTTCAACTTTAGATACCAAGAATTCTTTCAAAGCTTCAGTAGTGGTTACCCCAGGTTCGAATCCTTCTTGTTCAATGAAAACTGTATCCATATAAAACGGCCTTACTGATTTCAATGGTACAGGTTCAATATCAAACTTTTTCCCTTTTATTCTAAGAATAAATACATGCTTTTGAGGTAATTCGCCATCTGCTAAAGATGTAGCTATGGAGGAACCCGCTTGTAAAGTATGGAAATCTCTGCTATTGTTGTAGATAGGTTCAGGTTTACATTCATGTTCATGACCCCATACTACAAAATCAAGAAATCCGGGTAACATTTCCTCTGGTAGATAAGATGTTTTACTGTGTCCCACATGATTCTGATGAACACACATTAAGTTAAACCATGAATTGCCATTAACCGAAGGAGTCAAGAATTTGATTTCTTGATTGGCTAAGATCCTATAAAGTCTTTCATCTTTAATACTTTGCATCCCATATAATGCAAGATATGTCTCACCTTTCTTTAAAAGTAAAGGTTTAACTTCAAGACGGTTATTATCGAAAACTTTCCCAAAATGATTTACAAGACCTGATACAGATAAAAGATCCAATGGCAGAAGTAATTGAGTACCTGTAGCATCATCATGATTACCACTAATAGCAAATACTGGGATCGCTATGTTTAAATTAGGATCCTCATAATTGATAGTCCCATATCGATTAACAATATCAGGATCACTCAAGAATTCCAATTCACAAGGTTTATCACCCATACAATGTTTTCTTAATGATTTCATAGTATTATAAATGGATTTTTTCGATGGTTTATTGATATGAAATAAATCTCCACTATGAAGCATCATATCTACATCTTTATCTTCTGCTATTTGACAAACTTCCTCGAATGTAATCCAAGAATCATCTCCTCGTATAGTGTCTGTCTCTTTATATCCTACATGATTATCAGTCGTAATTAAGATCTTTATCGTATCTTCACCATCTTGTATAGATGGATCGTACTTAGACATCAAGTCGCGGATTAACTTAAAACCAGAAAAGAGTAGATGAACTCATTGACCCTGGATCTTGAATTGAGGCAACAAGATGAATTAGATAGTATAGAGTCTATTTATGGAGATATCTTCAAAGATATCACACCCAAAGGTTTGGTTTGGAATAAGAAACCTTGTCCCCATTTCCAAATTCGTTTAGATTCTAAAGAAGATGTAGATAGACCGGAAGTATCGATTGTATTAGATATTGAATTTACCAAGACTTATCCCATTTCACCCCCAATAATTAAGATCCTTGAACCTAAAAATATCTTGAAGTCCAATATCAAACAATTGGAGAAGAAGATTGAACAATTATTATCAGAGTACCCTGAACAAGAGATATCATTTATACTTATTAGTGAGATTAAATATGCATTGGATGAACTTCAACAAAGAACTGAGAGGGTTCTCTCCTTGGAGGAAGAGAGAGAACGAAGGATTAGGTTAGAACAAGAGAAATTATTGAAACTTGAAGCTATTAAAGAGATGGAATTACAGATCAAGCAACAGAAACAATCAGCCGAGCTTGATGAACAAATTCAAAAACTTCAAGGTGAATATGGTAATGAAGGTGAAGATGATATCATTGAAGAAACTGCCATATCGTTACCGGAGAATTTAAAAGATTACATTGTATTTGATAATAATATAACAGGAAGTAGTATAACAGGTAAATCAACATTCCAATTCAGAGCTGTTAAACCCAAGAATAAATATAAAGGTGAAGATATACTTACGTCAATATGTACTCAACAGACGGTGGTAGTTCCATATTTGAACGCAGAAGTTCATGAGAAATTGACTAACAGAGGAGTTAATGTTGAATTCTTAATGTCAGAGATTGAATTGGTGGGACCCTTCTGGTTGAGTGATGGAGGGAAGAAAAAAGTTCAAGATTTGGAAGCCGATTTACTGAATTGTTGTGGGAACTTACATCCCAATATCGTATCATTATATGGTTTCCAAATAGATAAGATTAGTGATAAAGGTTGGAGGATACGCTTAATAACAGAATATTCATCTCGATGTTATAGTTTGAAACAAATCTTGGAAATTAATCCCGTGATCGATCTTGCTATTGGAAGAGCTTGGTTGATCCAAGTTTTACCTGCTTTGGAAGCTCTTCATAATCAAGGGAAAACTCATAAATCAATCAATTCTTTGACATTATTCTTGTACAATTTGGCAGAACTGTCAGAATATCAAATATTGAAGCTCCTGCATCCTTCTTATGGATACAAGCTTCTTAGTATGTTTCACACGCAATTGAAAGGAACAAAAGAAGTAACGGACAATTCTTTTCTTTCATCATTTATGCCAGAAGATTGGTTAGCCCCAGAAGTTAGAAAACAAACAGCTATCCACCAAAGAAAGACTGACGTATGGGACCTTGGAGTGCTATTCATGAGAATCATGTTGGGAGCTACTTGTTTTGATATAGATCCCACTTCCTTCAATCAGAAAGTAAATACCAATTCCATTGACGACGACAGAGACTTCATTGGGGAAGTTTATGATATGTTAAACAAAATGCTACAAACAAAATTATCAAGACGTCCTACTGTTCTAGAATTGAATGCAGTGAAATTCTTGAGAGATGGTCCGAATTTATCTTCGGAAATATCATTTAAAGACGGAAGATTTGTTAATTCATCCACTCCCAACGGATTTGACGATTCTGATAATGATGATGATAGTGATGATACTCCTGAAGAGAATAATCGACCAATTGGAAGGTATGAAAGGGATTTCGAAGAAATTGGTAGATTAGGAAAAGGAGGATTTGGTGAAGTTGTTAAAGTACGTAATAGAATGGAAGGTACGTTTTATGCCATTAAAAAGATCAAACATAGAGTTCATAAACTTGATTCCTTATTGAGTGAAGTACTTTCTTTAGCAAGATTAAATCATCAGTATATTGTTAGATACTATGGGACTTGGGTAGAGGAACTTCCAGAAGAACGAGAAAGAGAGGATTCTTCAGATGAAGAAAATTTTGAAGAAAATATGATTCATAGCTCAAAGTCATTCTTACAAAGTCATGATAATTCTTTTCAAGTTGATTTCATTTCCAACTCCTTTGATCCTAACATCACTTTTGGTACTCAGAATACCGATGATTTAAACTTTGAGTTTGGTTCAAGATCAGACGATGAGGATGATGATACTGAAGGTACTCTGATACAAAAGAAATACGTCAAACAAAATCAACAGCAAGCAATGTTATACATTCAAATGGAATTCTGTGAGAACAATACCTTATCGAATTTGATTGAACAAGGATTACCTAATAATCTGAATGAATATTGGAGATTGTTCCGTCAATTATTAGAAGCAGTTTCTTATATTCATGGAGAAGGATTTATCCACAGAGATCTTAAACCAATGAACATTTTCATTGATAAGTCTAATAACATCAAAGTAGGGGACTTTGGATTAGCTAAAAATTCCCAGTTCTCTTCAGTGTTACTGAATAATAATCAAGTTGGGTCAACTAATGATAAGGACTTATCCACTGTTGTAGGAACATTATTTTATAATGCTAAAGAAGTAGCTACTGGTAGTTACGATGAGAAAGTCGACATGTATTCCTTAGGGATCATTTTCTTCGAGATGTGTTACGCCTTAAGTACAGGTATGGAAAGAGCCCATAAGATCAATGATTTAAGATTGGTATCCATAAATTTCCCTCAGGACTTTTCTGATTCCAAGTATCGTTTAGAGAAAAAGATTATAAGATTACTTTTGGATCATGATCCTAAAAAAAGGCCCGGAGCTTCTGCATTACTTCAAAGTGGATGGATGCCGGTGGAACATCAGGATCAAGTTATTAAAGAAGCTTTGAAGTCTTTAGCTGATCCAGCATCTCCTTGGCAACAACAAGTAAGAGAGACTTTATTTGCTCAACCTTATCTGTTGGCAAAAGATTTGATGTTCAATAGAAGACCTGATACTCCACTGAAACAACAAATGGAATTGAATATGGAAGATTATTTGTTATTCAATAACACCATCACCAACTTATTCGAAATCTTCAAGAAACATGGAGCTGTTGAAGAACTTAACTCTGGAATTTTGATGCCTAAGACACCTAATTATTCAAGAGAAGCTGTTTATGAGGTATTGGATAAAAGTGGATCTGTGTTACAATTACCTTATGATTTGGTATTACCATTTGCTAGGTTTTTGAGCAGGAATAAGCTCGAAGTTCCAAAACTTTATCGTCACAATTTTGTATTCAGACCTAATCTTAGAGGTCCTGGAGCTCCTGAGAAGTTCAGTGTAGTTAGTTTTGATATTATCAGTAATGAAAATTCCAATGTATTCCTTAATGATGCTGAATGTATCAAAGTTGTTGACGAAATCATGAGCAATTTTGCTGCTTTTGGAGTCAAAGGATCAAGTAAGATTCTTACCATCAACCACAGTGATATCCTTGATGCTGTATTAACACATTCATTTGGAAATATTGGTATTGACGAAAAATCAAAATTCGAAGTTATGGAGATCTTATCACAACTTGGTATTGATAGAGGAGCCGAAGAGATTAAGAAATATCTTCGTGAAGATTATAAAGTCCCTTCAACCGTTACCAATGATTTAATCGATTTGTTCAATTTCAATATTGAACCCGAAAGAGCCAGAAGTAAATTACAGAAATTATTCCTTGACTCTCCATTATTGGTCAAAGTTGAAAGAGCTATGAAGTACATTATGAGTGTGTTATCTATTTTACGTGTCTTGGGAGTCAAAACCCCAATATTCTTCAACCCTTTAAGTAACTATAACTGTAGATATTATACTGGAGGATTGATGTTTCAATCATTGTTCAAGATAGATAAGGTGAGGAAATATACTAGAGTTGCAACTGGTGGAAGATATGACAGCTTAAAGAATTCTTTTGCCAACAAAGGTATTAGTAAAACTTCTAAAAATGGGGTGGTAGGATTTCTGATCTCATCGACATATTTGTTCTTATTAACCAAGAATTTTGAGAAAAAATTATTGGGTTCCAGTGACAAGTCTAGGAAATGGAATAATGGTAGATGTTCCGTGCTAGTCACAAGTTTGAATAAAGAATTTTTAGGAGACTGTGGATTAGATATTTTAAAATCTTTATGGGATAATGACATTAGTTGTGATCTCTATTTAGCTTCATCTCAAGAAGATTATTTGGATAAAGCTGATAACGAGAAAATACCTTGGGTGGTGATTATTAGGTCTGCCACTAATACTAAGAAGAAGACTAAAAAATCCACCACTATGTATAAGTCTATCAGAGTCAGAGACATGGAAACCAATAGGGATGCTGATGTGGATGCTGAAGAGATCGTGAAATATATCCAAGAAGCAATCAATAACCGAAAAACTGAAGAATTAAATGATCATAAAACCAAAGAACCAAAAGTTTCCGAACCTGATGAATTTCTTTTGGGAGATAGTCCATTATATTCAGTTGAAATCAATCAAAAGGCTTTAGTGGTAGCCAATGAAGCCCCTAGAGGAAGAAAGAATAATAAGAGTATCAAATGGGAACAAGAAAATGACTCCATCATAGCATCAGCGAATTTCATAAAGACTTTAGCTTCATCAACAGTGATAAGTGTTGATGTAAGTGATGAAGTGGTGGAAGCCATTGTATCGACTTCCTTAAAGCAACAAGATTTATGGATTCGTAAAGTTTTCGCTGCTGGTAGTAATATTCCACGATCTTTTGCTATCAATATTTACAATTCTTTAGCCAAAGAAGCTTCTAAAGGAACGAGATGGGTTATACTTTATTCCAGTAAAACCAAGAATACGGCATTAGTAGACCTTGAAAAATAAGATAATCTCTATTACTATATATATAAAAAAAAATATGGATGATGCACGACTTTTTTTTCCCTAACATTGTCCGAATTAGGAATTACTATATTGGGGAAACCTTTCTACGAAAGAATTTTTCCAGTCCCAATACTCTTGTAATCTTAAAGTGGCATAAGTTGAATAGTTGAAATCAATGTTTGATATTTCACTTTGAATGACACTCCAAATCCCCCAATAAAATCCTGGTAATCCATAATATGAAGCAATTTCGTTAATTAATCCTTTAACTTCATCATGACCCGCATTTGAATTATTGAGATAAGCTTTGACCCAATTGACCATGGTTTCATTCTTACTAGTAGGTTGAGGAATAGCTGAACGATCACAATCAAATCCTTGCCATTCAGCTAAATGATTAGCAATATCAAAAGCTCGAGGTGCTGGTAACATGTATTCATAATCAATGAATTTGATAGGATTTTCATTTATTGGAGGTAAATTCTGGAATGGTTGATTTAACCAATCTTCAGAAGGGATAATTATATTACCTGATAATAAATCTCCGTGAGAACTTACAATAGGAGAATCTATATGAGATTCCAAGGTATCTTTTAACCATTTGAATTCCTTTTTGATGAAATCTCTGATGTTTTCATCATTCAATTCTACTTTGGTGTTGTTCTGGAAAGATTCTATTAATTCGTTTATCACGGGAACAACATCTATCCAATCTTCAATTAATTCCCAAACACTTGAAATATACTTCTTTTTCGATTTCTTCTCCTTTTTCAAGTCGGAAGATTCTCTCTTTATTTGTTGAAACGACTGTCTTCTCTTGTGAGATCGAGTGTATTCACGCAATTGATTAACACCTTTATGAATTTCGTTTATATTAATTTTTGAATGCCAGTTTCCTAATTGTTGTGCTATTAAGGGGTATAAGTTAGGAGATTTCAATTCATTAGGTTCAAGAGATCTCCCTTGTAAGAAACCATAAACTAAACCATTTTTAAATCGAGCATGAACTGGAGGTGCTAAATGCATTGAATTCAATACCAAATGCAGAATGAATTCTCGATGTCTATCAATGATCAAATTTGTACCTTGACCATAAACTCTCATTAAAACGATTTCTTTTGAATTATAAGTACATTTTAATAACATATTGGTAATTCCTCCAGTTAATCGTTTAACCTCAATATTGGATAAATCTTGCCAGGTTTTGAATACTTTCTTCAATAATTGTTTGATTTGACCATAACCATCGTTCAAATCTTCATCTAAATTGATGGCAAACTCAGGTAAGTAAAGGGAATGGGCAGCATAATTATCAATAACGTTGGTTAAATAATCATTTGAATCACCATTGCTTTCACTATTGAAAGAGTCATCACCAACATCTGACTCTATATCTGATAGCGACGGATTGTTCAAAGTATATAACAAATTTTTATTTCTTATTTTTAAACGAGATTCATCAATATCAGTTCTGATCTCTTTTCCATCACCATTGATATCTCCATCAATAACAATCGTTGGAGGAGGCGCCACCAGGTTGGAATATTCAATAACTGAATTCACTGGGACACAATGGATTCTTCCTGATGATACAAAACAATAAACTGAAGAAGATGTCATTCTAACAATTCACTAACCTGTTAACTACTGGGACCAAAAATATCTGCGAATTTCCGCGCATATGAACAGAGATCGTGTGAGAGAAACTTCCTTTTTAAATGTGTATTAGTATAAGAGACTAAACTTCTTCTTGTGTAGTATCGATGTTCTCATAAGCAAAATCAGGTGATTCTTCTTCGGCGAGAATGATTTTAGGTTCGAAACTTTTAGCAACTTTTAATGATGGGAAATATCTGAAATATGACCAAACAGCAATATTCATCCCTATAACTGATCCAATTATAACATCTATGAAGTGATGTCTGTAATCCTCGGTTCTACTTAATGCAATTAATGCAGCACCAAAAGCTGGTATCATACAAACAATTGATCTCCAAGCACCCAGCTGATAATGTTTTACAATTAATTGACCACTTAACCATAATGAAAGGTATCCTAACCCTGCAAAACTGATAGATGAATGTCCTGACGGAGTGGTACGGAACCCATCCATTAATCTATCAATATTATCAGTAGTACAAACATCTTTGGCGTAAACTAAAATATCTGTGGGAGCATCAGGTTTAGGTAAACATCTAGCTAAAAAGTCAGGTCTATGTCTTCCGATGAAGTTCTTCAATATATCTGTCACCACACTTGTGGTGAAAACGGAAATGAAAAGTCCTAATAAGGAAATGAATGTTACATAAATTTTGTTCTCAGGTTTTGTGAATATTAAACCAATTGCTGCAATGGTAATGGTTGGAACCCAAGTAGAATAAAAGAATAAAGCAGCATTCGAAACTCTTTCAACTTCAGCAAATGGATGGGATATGGTAAGATCATTTATATAGAATTGTCTTTGAAATGGAGGTATCCAGTTAGTGAACAAAAATATCACAAATAATACTCCTAAAAGGAGAACATCAGCATATCTCCAACGTATAAGATTCTTCATATAAATGTTTCTGTCAAGACCAAAAGTTATTCGATTGTAACGATCGTCTTTGTGAAAATAATTGATAACTGAGTAGATATTAGACTTGATTGACTCCATGTTGATTTTCTCACTGTGAGATTCGAGCTTTAGGGGTTATGGGAGGACACGAGGCGGATATATGCGTGGGGGAGAACTCTGATGTATTGTTCGATTTGGGACCAGGAAGGCTTTATGTTGGTAGAAGTTAGAGAAATGGGAGAGTTTTTGTTAGAGGTGGGGTGGTGGTGTAGAGAACAAGGTCACGATAAGCCTACTTTGGACATAATTCGATATTTCCATCAATATTCCATCAAATTAAATTACAACAACTACATTCAATTTCTACAACCAGTATCTACATCTCTGTAAAACTTGAGCTCCATCTATCGAAAACCAATCAATCTACTTCTCATCATCTTAATCTCTGTTATCGACTAAACCTCAAAGTTGAGAAAAACAATCCTTGAACCCATGAGTAACACGTATGAAGACGATCCCTGGGGAAACGGATGGGCTGATGACACCCCTCTGGCTAGTCAATTCATATCGCCATCCCAATTACTCAATACATCAGAAAGTCAATTGAGTTTTACTTATGATGAATCCAAAGTACCTTCAAGTTATAAGAAAGTTTACGAAGATTTAAAAGATGAAATCACTTCAGGTAATGATTTTGAAATGAAGATTATGAACAAGCTAGTGGAACATCATTATTTAACAGGATTTCAAAGAACAAAAATCATGAACACCATCTATGATCATAATTTATTACCATTCACTCAATCATCAAAGTTCTATCAATGTTTGGGTTTAGTAGCATTAGAATTAGATTTAGAAGGTTCTGGGGATTACGTAACGTTACAATTCAAAATCGAAGAATTACCAGAAATTGTTGATAAAATTGTTGATATCTTTTTGGCCAAAGATACGTCTAATGATTTTACTGATCCATTAACTTCACAATTAGCTGATACTAAGTTAGACGATGAATTGATTGACGATACCATTGAAGATATCCCACCAGTACAAAACGAAGCACCAGTAAGTGATAATGAAATGACTAAATATATCAATGATATAAGGGACGAATTCAAAGTGTTATACGATTCCAAAGATATTGTTAATATTAAAGAAGTGCCTGAAAAGGAAGGATTGTTATTTAAACATATCAATTATGTGATTTCTCACCAAGTTAATTTAGGTATGAATGCACCTGCAGGCATGAAGAAAGTTATAAGAAGATATTCTGACTTTGTATGGTTATTAGAATATCTTTTAAAGAAATACCCATTCAGAATCATTCCTGGATTACCACCAAAAAAATTCACTGGTATGTATTTTTTTTTTTTGATATCCTTAGGGACTTTATTACTCTCACAAGACATTTACTAATAAATCAGTAGGAGCCTCCCCAGATTCACAATTCTTACAAAGACGTCGTAGAGGTTTATATAGATTTTTAAATCAAATCATCAAACATCCGGTGTTAAGAGGTGATGCCGTAGTAGTTACATTTTTAACTGTACCAACAGATTTAGCTAGTTGGAAAAAACAAGCACAAATTGATTATTCTTTGGAATTCAAAGGTAATAAGATTTCCCCATCATTCATGAATAACATTTGGCCCTCTATTGCAGAAGATTTCTTGGAAAAATGGAAAATTGCTGAATCTTCAATTGGTTCAATCATTGAATCATGGACAAAAATAGTATTACTTGTTGAAAGATATGAAAGAAGACAACAACAGATTGCTTATGATAATAATAAATTTGTAGAAATGTTGAACAAATTCGAAGATTTGAATAATGCCATTTACCCATTTGAAGATAAGAAAAATGGAGTTTTCACCAATAGTAACAAAGATGATATGTTATCTATCAATTCGTCGATAAACAGCATTAGTGATTTCTTCAATGGATCCAGTAAATTGATTGTAGATGATATTTTTGAAATCAATACCTCAATTTTAGAGAAGTTCAAGAACTATCTTGATTATCTTTATTCCATAGTAGAATTATTCGATAGGTGTAAGAAATTATCAGGTAATAATATCAGTCAACTACAAGTGAAAATCAAAGAGAATGAAGAAAAGTTCAATAGGTTAAATAACGAAGAAGCTGATATTAAAGGAAGCGATATAGCTAAATTAAAACAACTTATCATCAACGATAAACAGGAGATGTTTCAACAATTGAATAAAGATTGGTTAATTAAGCAATGTTGCTTACAAGAGTTTATCAAATTCCAAGAAACCCAATTCTTATTGAGTGAATTATGGATTGATTGGTCTAAAGGTAGAACAAGATATCAACAAAAATTAACTAATTTACATGAGAATATGAACGATTCCATCTCAAATGATATGCCATTAAGTCGTTAAATACTATTTACAAGTCATTAGCAATATTTTGCCATTTATTAATCAATTCATGATTAAGGATATTTAAATCCTCATCAAAATATTTCTTGTCCAAAACTTTATTAATTCCTAATTCTTTCTTACATTGTTCAAAAAGGTTCTTATCATAGCATAATAATATAGATAACATTCTACCTACTTCTGTACCTAATTTTGCACCTGAAGGGAAACCTTCATCGAATCCATCTTGAAGACTCAGTTCTTTAGCATTACTTAATCCATCGAGGTATCCTTGTTTATGATGGGTTCTTTCTATTTCTCTATTTTGTATTAATGTTCCATTAACATCTTCTTCATCTCCCCAAATATCATCCTCTTCTTCCCATATACTCTCAGTATTGTGAGATTCATCCACTTGTTCCATATCAACCGTTCAATCGCACTTCCGATGCGCATTGAATTAAGGCTCAGATAATGACAGGAGGCTTAGGGTTCAAATGATATCATCTTCAGAGTGCTTTATAGCAAGAAGAAGTATCATATAGAGTTTGAACTTGTTTTTAGAGGGGTCAGTCATCCTTTTCAAATTGAAATATCTTGGTTTAATTTAAGGTTGATTACCATATAAACTCCGAAATCCGTTGAATTTACTTGGAAGAGTATCGAAAGGGGATGGAAGCTCAACCCACATTCTATCTAAACCTTAACATCCGTCGAATATCATTAAAAAGTCCCCTTAAATTAAGAATTTCCTTGCAAGCGCATAACTATGCCATATACCCTTACGGGTTAAATCAATTAAACATTTCATCTTAATGAATCCTTCGATCTCTTGATACTTAGCTCCTAAAGAAACCAAAATCTGATCCCCCCCCTTACTTGCCACGATTTCCGACCACTTCTCATTACCTATCCTTTTTAACCGTTATCTATCGTTTAGTGAGCTCGGATATTTGTCGCGCAATCAGTTTGAGAAAATCTCAATTTCTTTAAACACAAAGTCAAGTTTTTTCCATTTACTCCATCAAATATTTCAATATATTTCATCAGTTTCGAAGATTTTATTGGATTATTTAGTTATAGAACAGTTGTATCATTAAGTATAGCAATTTTTTTAAAGTTAATTTGATAAATTCTTCATACTTCTAAAAAGTTTTATTGTAAGGGTGCTGGCAACCGAATTAATAAGTAATATATTTCTTTATTTGGATTAAAATTGGTCTTGTTGTATTAATAAAAGTATTTCATAGATTATAGAAGATGACTGATAACATTATAACTCAAGTTTCACAGGATGATTTCAACAACATCCCTCAACATTATGAAGATAGTCAAGGTATTGATTATAATTCCAAAATACATTTGAACATTAGAGGATATAACTTCACTATAACGAGAGATGAATTAATGAGTTTACCTGAAAGTATATTATTATGTTTATTTCCCAATGGTGTATTTTTGGATGCTGATGGGCAAGTTATCAGTAACTTAACTGAAGAAGATACAGTTTATGTTAGTTTTGACCCTCAATGTTTCAAATATATTATTGATGTATTTCATGAAGCTCATTCAGATTTAGAAAGAGCTTCCAATTTATCACCCCAAGCAAGTGTTAATAAAAATTTTCAAAATGATGCTTTACATGTATTAAATACAAAACCTTCCATAATAGTTTTAAGAGAAGATTTGGATTTTTATGTTGTTCCTCCAATTCCTGGATTGAATGAAGATAATATGAGATATTTAAAAATACAAGTTGCCCAACATTTATTAAAAAATAATTATGTTTTTAGTGGATTAGGTTATGATATAAATGATCCTTCAAGTGAACAACATTTAGGTCCAGCAGAAAAACATTTATTCGATATGTTATGTTCTTCTGGATTTCATCCTTTGAGTGATTGGGGTAATAGATCAATTGAACCTTCAAAATGCATGTTATTATCTTTACTGTTGGTGAGGTTGAAGAATAAAGAAGATGAAACTCCACCTCCTGATTCACCAAATTTAGCTCCAGTACAATCAAATGCTAGTGCAAGATCAAGATCAAGAATTGCTTCATTAGCTTCAAGTGCTTCAAGAGCAGCTTCCAGATCTTTATCTAGAAAAAGGGCTGAAAGTAATACCAACAATAAATTACTTCTCTTTTGGAGAAAACCTGCTAGAAAATGTTGGTGGACATACGATACAATTGAAGTTGATATAAAAGATGATGAATTATTTAAAAATCACCCCGAAAATAAAATGAAAGTTAAAGTTCATATGAGAAGAGTTTGGACTTTAGAATTATCTGTTGTAGGAGTACAGTAGTGTATTATTATTTATTTTAATATTTTTATTATTTAATTTTTTTCATCTAATTTTTTAAATCTAAAAAAATCTAAAATGCATATTTGCTTATTGAAAGAAAAATCTCCGATAAATGTCGATTTCTGAGTCATCTTGACTTTACGACATTAGTCGGATATACACCACCGAATGTCTGAGTCTCTCTATTTCATTTTTTTGATTTTGAAAAATCTCATTAAAATTAACGCGTAATGGTTAGTGAAGTAGAAAGAAGTGCAAGAAATGAAAAGTATGAACAGGAGAGAATTGAACATACTCCTTGGGTTGAAAAGTATAGACCAAAGAATCTTGATGATGTAGCGTCTCAAGAACATACCGTTAAAGTATTGAAAAGAACTTTAGTATCGGCTAATTTACCTCATATGTTATTCTATGGACCTCCAGGTACTGGTAAAACATCAACTATTTTGGCTTTAGCTAAGCAATTATATGGCCCTAATTTATTCAAATCAAGAGTATTAGAATTAAATGCTTCAGATGAAAGAGGTATATCCATTGTTCGTCAAAAGATCAAGAATTTTGCCAGATTAACAGTATCTAATCCAACTAAAGAAGATTTGGAAAATTATCCTTGTCCTCCTTATAAGATCATTATCTTAGATGAAGCTGATTCCATGACTAATGATGCTCAATCAGCTTTAAGAAGAACCATGGAAACTTACTCCAATGTCACTAGATTTTGTTTAGTATGTAATTATATCACTAGAATCATTGATCCTTTAGCATCCAGATGTTCTAAATTCAGATTCAAATCTTTAACTAATGATGATGCCTTAGCAAGATTACAATATGTTGCCAATGAAGAAAAAGTTGAATTCGAAGATGACGTTTTAAATCAAGTTTTAAGGATAAGTAATGGAGATTTGAGAAAAGCCATAACTTATTTACAGTCAGCCACAAGATTACAAAACACTACTACTTTCAGTGATGAAGATATGCAAATTGATGATAAAATTTCTGTAAATACTATTTTGGAAGTAGGAGGAGTGGTTTCAGAAAGCATAATCAAGAATATTATCACTACTATAGAGTCTAAGAATTCTAAGAAGATCATAGATGGTACCAAAGAAATAATATTACAGGGGTTCAGTGCTCAACAGCTACTTGATCAATTACATGATGCATTGATTTTGGATGATGCTAGAAGTTCAATAACCAAGAATAAAATAGCTTTGATTCTTTTTGATACCGATAGAAAGTTAAGTAATGGAACTGATGAACATATTCAGTTGTTAAATTCATTTTTACAAATCTCTAAAGTTATATAGGAAGGGATAGTACTTAAATAAATTCGTAAACTATATACTCGTTTCTTAATTAAGTTAGGATTGATGGGGGTGGCTTTGATTTGGTTGCCCTTGCTGACCTGGTTGCCCTGGTTGCCCTGGTTGACCTTGATTTCTCATCATTCCAGGGAATGGCATGAATTGTTGGTTGGGTTGATTGGGTAAGTTAGGATCTCTGAATTGTGGCATCATGTTTGGTGGTAAAGGCATTCCTGGTGGAAACATTCCTGGGGGTGGGAAGGGGAATGGTGAGTTTCTGTCTTGAGGTTGGCTTTGGTATTGGGGAAAAGCATGTGGAGGGATAGGTTTTCCCTCTTTGTCTTTCAAAGGTAAATTAGGAGGAAATTGGAAGGGACCTTTAGGACCATTGGGTATTTGATTATTTTGTCCTTGGATTTGTTGTCCTGGGTGACTTTGTTGTGGATGTCCTTGTTGTGGTCCTTGTTGACCTGGATGTCCTTGTTGACCTGGATGTCCTTGTTGACCTGGATGTCCTTGTTGACCTGGATGTCCTTGTGCACCTTGAGGACCCATATTATTGAGCCATGGTGGCATTTGTCCACCTTTGTTTGGACCTTGACCTTGCCCTTCTGGTTTTGACATTAGAGACATAAAGAAATTGTCATTAGCTGCAGGAACAGGGGCATCACCTTGAGGGAATGGGAATGGCATACCTGGGGGTATCATACCTGGAGGGAAATTAGGATTGAAAGGGAATGGGTGGCCGGGTATTTGGCCTTGAGGAACGTTCCCTGGATGTCCTTGTGGGCCCTGACCAGGTTGGGTAGGTTGATTGGGTTGAGCTTGAGAAAGTCCTGGAGGTACTTTTGATCCTTGTGGTGGGAATTGAGGGTTTTGAAATTGCATCATAGGGTGCATATGTTGGGAAGGTGATTGATTTGTTCCACTAATAGGAGCAGATTGTGTTGAAGGAGTTGATGGAGCAGAAGATTTATCAGAGCTAACACTGAAAAATCTCGATGACTTATCTGATTTTTCCTTTAACTCTGTTGAATTTAATGAATTGAAAGTACTGGACTTGGATTGTGGTTGTGATTGTTGTGGCTGTGGTTGTTGAGGTTGTGATTGGGATGGGGATGGGGTGAAGAATGATGAAAATCTGGAAGCTTTAGAATCGGCTTTCTTATCAGTAGGTTCACTATTTGTAGATTTCAGGAAAGAAAAGAAACTATCAACATCATTACCAATTGTTGAAGGTTTTGCAGGTTCAACTTTATCTTTAGAACGTTGAGCTTGTTTCCATTTTTCAAAATCTTCTATGGTATCACCCATTTCTATCTTCAAATTTTCGGGAATACTATTCCATTCAGGGTCACCTCCTTCATCATCTAACAATTCGCCCCTCTTCTTCTTTTCGAATTCTCGTTTATTGAATCTTTCCTTTTTATGATCTCTTCTGTTGAATTCTTTTTGATATTCTTTAGGTTTCTTATATAAACCACCCCAAAACTCTTTAGGTGGTAATTGACTTACGATTGAATTATCAGCCAAATTTCTCATTGATAAAAGGGTATCAATACTATATATGTGATCATAGCTATCTTTAGATGCCAGAAATTTAAACTTTTGGGATTTTGGACTAGTAGAATTGGAATTAGGATTAGAAGTAGATTTTATTTCAAATTCCGGACTAGATTCTTTTGCCGCATTTAACATGGCCGAATCTAATAATTTCGATAATGCATTGGAAGCATCTGATGAATATGATTGAGTGGGTTGGGTTCCTGTTTGGTTGCCAGAGACTTGGATAATTGAAGGATCCGAAAATAAAGGATTCTGTGAGTCTGACATTGGTTGTGGAAAATTTTTCTGAGAAGGAGTCGCACTTTCCACTTACAAAATAATGTATGGGGAAGAAACAATGAGGAAAAGATAATGATATTACTCTACATAAATGAATGGCACCATCATACGATGGAGATAAACTACATGGCATAACCATCTAAATAAAATATTAATACAACAATGAAATAAATTAATTCAAATAAGGAGTATTTAATAGAGTGATCTCTCTACACATGGCAAACCAATCGATCTCTCTTAAATAGTCTTCCTTATTTTGTTTATGAAGTTCTTCCCATTTGAAGATTTCATACATAAATTTTAAGTTTGGTTGAATGATGATATTCAATCTTCTAACTCTAACGTAAAGATAAGCCTTAGGTAAATTGATTTTTAATCTTCTCATGACTTCGGCTATAACTACTGTGGCTGATCTTGAAACTCCTACTCTACAATGAACTAAAATTTTCGTTTGTCCATTGGATTTCTTATATTCATCTCCAATATATTGTAATATTGTAGGTAAAGAAGATTCTAATTGATCAATTCCATCATCTTGAAGATTATTGACTTTCATAACTTGATCAACTTTAGAGACATTATTATGACGATTTTGAATATTATATAATTCAATTGCTCCATCATTCAATTCGTCGATAATAATATCGTTTTGTTTTTGGAAAACTTCATCATGAAGCCAACTCAAAGGTTCACCAACAGAAATAATTTTCGTTATTCCCAACCGAGATAATAAAGCTAAACAATTGGCATGTTTTAAAGATCCCAAATAAAGATAAGGTAAGATTCTTGAAGGTAAACTACCTTCAACTTCTTTAACCCAATCTGGTTCTTCCATAACGGTATCACCAATGGAAGAGTTTGATGATTCAGAATCTGATGATGACAAGTTCCCATCAAAATATTCACCTTTGTTACTAAAATTGAAATTGGCACTGAAATTGTTAGATAATAGGGAATTTGATGATTGAATTGAAGGAGTGGTCAATAATCTTTGATCTGATAATAAGATCTCATTGATTTCATAATTTGAGATATTTTCAAGTTCACCCCAATCAGTTTTCCTATTCTTTGGTGAAAATTTCCTCAAGATAGGTTCCAATTTGGAGATTACTTGAACGTCAGTATTGAAAACATAAAATGGTCTTCCATATTTCAAATGAAAATCAATTATGGCATCCCTAATATTATAATCATTGACATAAATGATATAACATAAGATCAATAATGACAGTTCAGTATAACCATCCGAACAATAAATCAATAAATCGTAATTTTTGACATTACTGATAAGATAAATCAATTTCAAGATATTGATAATGGAGATAATATTTTCTCTTTTGATATCTCCAAACCCAATTGATCCTGATGATGGGAATGATAAATAATAATAATCTCCAATGTCTTTGTCTTTATTGAATAATTTCAAGAAATTTTGAAGATTATTTTCATCAGGGAATGAAGCTTCATTAAAACAATTGATAAACAACTTATAATTCAAATTTGGTAAAGGTAAAATTGTTTCAATCAAATCATTCAATTTGAATTTGGCAGTAACAATCGAATTCAATGGATTACAATATAAATTGTTGAAATTTAAAGGTTTTTTGTTGATGAGGTAATTCTTCAAATTGGAATATTTAAAATTAAGGAAATTTTGATAATCCCAGGAATTTCCTACAAACAAATTTCCAATCAATTTGGTTGATGATGACATCTTCAAAGTTTCGATTTTTTCCTTGATGGTATATTCATTATCCCAGTTATTCAAATGGTTCAAATTCAATTTAATGATCTTATTTATATCATAATTTTTGTTGATTTTCAGTTTTAAACTCACAGAAAAGATTTTATCATCGAATTTTTCTGGTTCTTCAATTTTCAGGAAATTCTTCATAATGAAAACATTATATTTGGATGGAGAACTGCTTTCTAAAGATTCAATTTTTTGAGCTAACCACAAAATTCTAGCTAATCTGAAACAATTATCTAAATCCTTTTCATCAAAACAATATATTATAAAATCCGATAATATGGACAGTTTTGTCACTTGAATTTGGAAGTTTCTCAAACTGACACCTCTGTCAGGATCTAAATTAAGAAAAATCGGAAGATAATTGATCTTATAGATATCTTCAAAGAACAAATCTTGTAAATCGTTATTACCAAAAATCTTAATCAATATACTGGATAATAAACTTTTCACTTCATCTTTAGCAATGTCGATAGGACATAAAATCTCATTGATAAGAGTGTTATTCTTTAAGATCGGTTCATCATTATTGGCGATATCAGAATTAATAGTCATTAAAAACCTTGCTTGAGGTTTTAAATCTATTTTAGTCAAATCGGCTTCATTTTTGATTTTTTGTTGTTGTTGTTGCTGTTGAATGAAAAATTTCCTTTGAGCAAAATTATCAATATGTAATCCATGTAACCAAGGAAACATTGAAGTTGTAGCAGGTAAAGGATCATTGAAATACCAATTGAATATCACTTTCAAATGTTTATAATCGATATATTGAGCCTTGATTGAATCATTAGCTAACGTCACGGTATTTAAGTTTTTGAAAAATCTGCTTGATTCATCTAATGGGGATATCGAATCGTGTTCTTCACGCTTGACATTTAATTTAGTGGTTTTACTACCTATCATATCACAAACTTCACAAGTTTCATCTTCTTCTATTTGATCATCTGAATTGATGTTGAAGTTGTGTAGGCGAGCTCTAAATCTATCCCTTTCATATAATAAATCGTTTGAAGTTGAATTAGATCGTTTACTATTTCTAGGAATAGGCTTTGATTTAGCTTTTGGTTGTTTCAAATTTATATTGGGATGCATTATCGAAGTATTCAATGTTAAATCGAGATCTTTTGAATCTTTGGGATCTTCCTTTAATAATCTTGGAATATCTGAAGGATTCAATTTTGGTGATGTTGGTTGACTAACTGATAATGCAGTAATGGGGGATCCACTTGACATGATTAACAAATTATCCAATGGAATTGTTGAACCCGTCGCACGATCACTATCAGTGATTAGTGTTCAATTGATGAATTGGGGGGAATTTACAATCAAGGGTGGAATGAACCCTGTGCGATTAACGTGTTTCAATGGAAAATCTCAATTGAAATGATTTCTTGAGTCGGAAATTCAATATTTAATGATAATTGTAATCGATGATAAGATTTAGAATAAGATTACAATTTTAATACAAATGAATGGGTTCCCTAGTTCAAAAATGATTCCACTAAAGATATTTCCTTTTCGTCGTGATTTGAAAATTTTTCCTTGATGATGCGAGAGATTACAGATAAGGCGCGTTGGTAGCCGCACGTAAAGATAAGAGATTTTATGGAGATAGGAGTGGGAAGGTGAAGAAAAGGGGTAAAAGATCTAAAAATTCGATATTACATAACTTTCAATTCCGGACCATATCTGATTCAAAAATTCCAGCCTATTCAATCATAATTGTTGGATTCAAATTAAAAACATCCTGTCCGATCAATTGGCCGAAAAATTCTCAGACTTCTGACGTGCAGATAAGACAAAGGATAAGAGCAATAGATAAGAACCATAATTGCCGAACGATACTTCAAAGATAAGGCAAAGAAGAGGATACGAATACTCAATATTCATTATTACATAAAAATGTCATTAATTGACAGGTAAGTTATGTTTAGTGGTTAAAGAAGAAAAGTCTTTGATGATTTGATTTAATTCATCAATTACTTTCAATGTTGGAACATTATGTTCGAAATTGTTATTACCCTTAAAGCTACTCAAGTTTTGTCTAAGAGCAATGATTGAAACACAATTCTCAATTCTAACAACCACATGGTATAACAAACCTAAAAGTTCTGAATCTTTAAATAAACCAGCACTTTTATTCAACAATTGTTGGGAAGAATTCTCTTGGAAATCATTTTGGAACACAGCTCCACTTATTGAACAACAAATTCTTTCTAATTTCAAACTCATACTTCTTAAACCATAGATAGCATCTATTGGTAAAGCACCAAAAATAGTGTTTGAAGTAACAGTGTTACTAGATGATTGATTTTTGAAGATTTCAAATCTAATGATTAATTTTTCAGGATAAGCTAAAGTAATATGTTCAGGAGCTTCTAAACCTTTTAATTTTTTCTCTCCCAATTCATAATAATGACAACCGGTTTCTTTTAATTGTTTAATTTCTTGTTCAATTATTTCACCTGCCATCAAATTACCGTTAAAAGCTTCATCCATAGTAGTTTCTTTATCATTAACTTTATCAATCAAATTGAACAATGTTTGAATTTCATTATAAAAGTCAGATGAAATACAAATTTGTCCACCATCAGCTAAAGCATTGATTCTTGAAGCTCTATTAACCATAGGACCAAAATAATCCATTCTATGAGTAATAACATCTAATTCACAAACAGGTGAACCCCAATGGATCCCCATTCTAACTGATAACCCTCTGTAAATGGTATTACCATTATTATCAGTAACTTCAAAACATTGATCAGTTTCCAAAATTTCCACTGGCCAATCTGCTGTCAATAATTGTTGTTGAACATTGAAACACCATAACAATGCTGACGTGGGCGTAGGGAACGAAACCATGAAAGAATCCCCTTCAGTTTTAACCTCATAACCTCCTACAATTCTTAATTGTCTTCTCATAATAGAATTATGAATTTTAATGGCTGATCTCATGGCCACAGGATAAGCATCCCATAATAAAGTAGAATTCTTAATATCAGTGAAAACCAAAGCTAAATCTCCAACTGGAGGTTCGATTTCATTATCCAACATTCTTAAAGTTGTATCACCAGTACCAACTCTATCTCTTCTTTTCTTTATTAATTGATTAACATTACCAAATAAATCATTATCTTTACCACTTAAACTATTATATAATCCATTATTCTTATTTCTATCGACCCCCAAACTTATCACCATAACAGAAATTTTATCGGTGGCACCATAAGAAATAGCAAAATCTCTTAATTTTTGTGATGCTAACATTGGATCATCTTTTTCTTGTCTGATGATATCAACGGCTACTTCATATTGGATGAAATCCCAAAGAACTTTAGAAGCAACGATAATCATATCGTCACTAGTAGTTATTTCTAATGATGTAACGTCGGGACCTGAATGAGTATGAGGTAAATAATTAAAGAATCCAGCACCTCTGGAAATTAATAAATCTCCATCTAATGTACCATCACCTCCAACATATCCCCCAGCAGCTCTGATTCTTTCAAATTCATTTCTATTGGTTGGATCATGTTTAGTAGTTAATAATACATGATCACCATTCTTTCTTGATAAAAGAGCTTCAGTATCACCAACATTTGCCGTATACAATTTCTTATCTTTAATATAAATAACAGCAATACTACAACCAGCATTACCATCATCAAATAAATTAAGATCTTGAAATTCAATTTTCAATGGAGTGTTGGCAATGAAACTATTGGCTTTCTTACTAGCTAAAATACCATTAATTTCTTTATTGATTTGTAAGAACGTTCTTCTTAAAGCATCAGGAATTTGACTATCCTCCTTAATTTTATTTAATTCTTCAGTAAATAACCTTGCAAATAAACTTTTACAAATGGCTGAAATCTTATGACCTCTATTCAAAGAACCTCCTTTACCATCGAAAGATGCAAACAAAACTTCATTTTCATTACCTCTGAATTTTTGAATGAAAATATCTCTCGAAGAAACATATTCTCTAATACCCATAGAATCACTCACACCATAACCAATATCATCTAATTCTGAAGCTGTAGTTCTAATTCTCATCTCAGGATTTTGATCAGGAACTGCAGATGTAGTTAAAGTAACATCAATTAACCCTAAAACTTTCAAATTCTTCAATACCAATAAACTATCGAAATCTTCTCCAGTATCAGGATTCTTTATATGACTTTGTTTGATTTCAAATCTCTTATTACCCGAGAAATTCAAGTATCTTAACTTTTCATTCCAATGCCAACTCCAATCATAAGGCCAATTACTTATATTATACTTCAATTGATTTGAACCAACATCCAAATTTTGTAAATTTACCAATTTACTCAATTCTGCTGGTAATGATACCAATTTATTATTATTGACGAATAAAGTTTTCAACCTAGTTAACGCTTCAAAATCATCTGCTGGTAATGAAGATAAATCATTACCAGCTAAATAAATTTCATGTAATCTTCTTAGTCTTGATAATCCACCATTAGGTATTTCAATAATATCATTATAGGATAAATTCAATACCATTAAGTTAGCTAATGAACTTAAAGATTGGAAACATTCATCGTTTAAACGATTATCAGCTAATAACAAGTGAGTTAAATTATCAGTCAAAGAATCAGTAGATTTATTATTATTCATTATAGTATCTTCCATGACACTATCTTCTTTGATATCTTGAAATCTATTCAAATCATTGAAGTTAGCACTTGAACTGATTCTTTTAGCTACTGATACTGGAGGGGTTGGGAATCCAGTTAACATATTTGATGAAACATTCAACATAGTTAACGATTTTAATAACCATATTTCTTGAGGTAAGATTTGTAAGTTATTGGAATGTAAATCAAGATATTGTAAATTAGTTAATTGACCAATAGATGAAGGTAAAACTTGTAAATTATTACCAAATATCGATAAATGAATTAATTTTGTTAAAGAACCTAAATTTTCAGGTAAATTAACCAAATGATTTTTATCCAAGATCAATTTCTCTAAATGAACAATCTTGGTTATGAATTCAGGTTGAATAATTGTTAACTTAGCCTTAGACAAATTCAATGAAGTTAATTTAATCAAGTTATTCTTAAATTCCAAATTAGTTATAGGATTTCTATCAAATTGTAAAACTCTAAAACTTTCCATTTTATCGAAAAATCCCGATATATAATTCTTTGAAGCATAAACTGCTTCTAAATTGGGTAAACTACCTAAAACATCAACATTTGTTATATAATTATATCTGATATCTAATCTTTTCAATGAAGATAATTCATTAAAGAAATCAGGTAATTTCTTACTCAATTTGTTAGTACATAAATTCAATTTAGCTAACTTTTTAAGATTTTTAATTGATTTGGGTAAAAATTGTAAGTCATTATAAGATAAATCTAAATCTTTTAAATTGACTAATTCACTGATTGGATCAGGATATGAATTGAAATAATTTGATGATAAATTAAGGGTTTCTAAATTCTTTAAATTTACGAAACTTGAAGGTAAAGAATTCAATTGATTTGAATTTAATTTAAGATGTTTTAAGTTATTTAAACTATCAAAATTTGAAGGTAATTCATCTAAGAAATTTTTCTCCATATCAAGATATTTTAAAGTTGTAGCTTCGAGGAAATTAAGGGGGAATTTGGAACATCCATTTCTTGAAAATGTCAAACTTTTTAAATAACTACAAGATTGAATGAAATCTAAAGGAATATAAATAGCGGGATTATCACCAGCATTTAAAGTTTCGATTTCATAAGTATGTTGATGGAAAATAATGGGGATGGTTTTCAAATTCAATCCTGAAAGGTTAACATTAACATAATCTTTAGATAAAAGTAATTCTTCTTCATGAGTAAGATTTCTTAAATGACTACTTTCAACGACAAATTTACAAATAAATGATAAATCTTCACTACCAATCATTCTTAAATTATCAATATCTCTATAACCACTTAACATCAATAATCCCATTTGAATTTTTAAAGGTTTTTCAAAAGGTTCTAGGACTTTAACATAATTCCCTATATAAAGCGATAATTGATAATTTGATATCGATTCAAGGAAGAATTTCTTTTGAATATTAAGTAAAATTTCTGCAGTTGTTGCTTCTAAAGAATTTAAAATCGTGGTAAATGTATTATCTTCTTTGAAAATTCTTATAATATGATTTTTCCCCTTTAATTTATTATCATTTTGTGACGTAACTATATGACTTTGATGTCTTGCTCCATATAATACGGGTAAATCTGATTTGGTTGATAAGAAATTCTCAAGTTTGGTTATATCATCATCAGTATGAATTATTATTTCACTATCATTATGGTGAATTAATCCATCTTCATCTTGAATATCCACTTTAACGTCCCAACTATCAGGAGCTTTCCAAGGATTTGATGATTGTGAACTCATTGATTGTTTTGGATTCTTAATAAAATCATCAAGTTCTGTTAAATTCAAATCGAGCATAGTTGCTGATGTTGCTTTACTATTATTTCTGGATTTTTCTGGACTTGATTGGGACCCTATGGTACTAGAATATGAATTTTTCCTTTGAGTAGGACTACTATGAGCAGAACTTTTGAATAAATTACCTTCATGGTCAGTTAATGATGATAATCTAAATTTGAATTTATGATTGGAATCTTCCAGATGAACACTTGGATTATGTCCATTGGGTGGTTGCAGTGAAGGACCAGAATTAGAATTTGATCGTGGATTAATATTGGAATTTGAATTGGAATTATTACCTGAACTTCCTGGACTTGAATTATCTCCACTTTTTAAATTATCACCAGTTAAATTGGTATGAGAAGGTATTTTTTCGATTTTATCTTTTGATCCACTACTCTTCCTCCTTTCACCATTGTCATCGGAGTCTTTCCTATTATAAATCAATTTCCCTAATAAACTAGACTTCTTTTTAAATTTTGGTTTAATAGGATTACTCAATGGAGGGATATTTGAAAAATTATTAAATTTATGAAATCCTTTATAATTTCTTAAATCTTCAACTCCCTTTTCATGTTTTGATGAATCATCTTCAACTCCTTCGTTGATATATACGATTGATGAACGAGGACTGTAATTGTCTTCGTTCTGATTCATGTTTTTTAGGAACCGTTGAGATTTTTTTCCAACGGTTTGAGGTTTGACACTTGATGATTTAGGGGAGAGGAAACTTTTAGTGCGATGGAGGGCCGACCGGCGCCAAGAAGGTGTGGGACAGACTAAGTTAATAGTTTGATTGATTTGAGCATGAATAGAGATTGTTGGGTAAATTGGATTCATCATACTATGAATTGGGATAAATACCGACAGGAATTTAAGGGGTTTAATGAGTGTTTTTCGATCAGTCTGGTTTTTTTAGTATCTAAGAATCAGTAAGAATTTAGACAACACAGAGAAATAGCCTTACAACCAAATCAAGGAATACCAGAATCAACTTCCGGTATGGAATGAACTAAATCATCGTAAACAACCTCAATAATGAGCCCTAAGAGCAATTTCACTCACATGAAGGGAATTGGTCCTCTGTGAAAAAAATATTTGTTACGTAAGTAATAGTGAATAAAGGCACATTGAGGCTGAAGCTTAAATTATCCACAAGTTTAACTTTCATGCACAAATAGTGTTACTTAGCAGATCTTCCTCCTTGTTGAGATAATCCCTTGCTCCCTTGCACAATAAGTTTTTAAACTCTTGTGACTTTTTGTCACTAATCAACTACTGGTTAATATACTGGTCAAATAGCCGATTTACATCGATAAATCATTAATCCGTGCGTGAAACACATCTTTCACATATTGAGGTGGTTCTCTACATGGTAACTACTCTAACCAAAAACCTTCTGTATTGATCTACCTCGACACGCTTAAAAAAAAATTTAATCACATTTCCTAATCGAGCTTAATTGGCAAAATCATACATCAACGATTTAAACTTTGAAAAAATTTCATCTACCTAGCCGTAAACTCATTGGCAACTTTTATCAATCATTATAATACCATTGATAAATCACCCATTATTGAAAAATTTCGTCCATTGACTTCATTTATCATCGATTTCTAATTTGTTTCAAAAGGGGAATTTTTTCGAGAATTTTGAGAATTTGTTCAAATCTGACGAGAACTCAATTGATATCAACGGATTATTCAGTTCAAAAGTTTAACATCAACTTAACATTTTACTTTGTTTTTATATAATTGTTTTTTTCATTGAGTAAGTTTTTTTTTTTCCTAGAAAGTTTTTGAATTGATTTTGAAAATGTTGAAGACTTTAACTGTACAAGCAGTTAATAGTAAGTTATCAGATATAATTGAAAATTCTAAAGGATCTTTAGATGTTGATGAAGTTTTAACATACTGTGAGATCTTAAGATCAAAGATCATTGCTAAAGATCAAGAGAATGGAACTTCTAAACAAGATAGTGCTAATTCCAAGCAAGATAAAGTTAATCTGATAGTTGTTTTACCTAAATTAATTGAATGTTTAATCAAATTGAACTTAATTGGTGAATATAATAAGACCATTGATTTCACTCAAATATTCGATTTCACATTATTTTCATCATTATTTTCAATTTTAAGTAAGAAGATTTCTAATGATATTTATAAACCAGTGTTAGATTTAGTTAAAATTTTAATAAGTGGGATTTTATTTAATCCTAAAAGTGATTCAATTGATAAGTATTTACCATTATATGAAAGTTTGATCAATAAATTAGATGTCATTGATATAATGTCAGCAAAGATCTATTCTCAAGATAATAAAATTACTTTAACAACTATAAAGATCGTTAATGATTTAATTGTCAAAGCATTAAAATTTGAATTTAATGGAATAATAACATTAGCTGGAAGATTAAAACATGTAGGAATATTTAATATCATTGGAAATTTAATTGAAACTTCGAATTCCAGCATTTTAAATGCAATTGAAGATTTAAAAACGAGTTATTATAGATTAAATGAATTCTTAAATAGAACTAAATTCGATTTATCCATAAAAAGTCATAGAGTTATGTTAGATAATTTATTTGCTATATTAGAATTCAATTTAAATGAATATGGTACTCAAGCAACAACAGAAGAATATATCAAAGCTGGTTTCACTGATAATCCCAAAAGATTTGTTGTTGATAATTTCACTATTTTATTAGCTATGGATTTAAAAATCTTCTTAAAAGATAGTAATATGACATTCAAGAAGAAATTTCATGAAGAATTAATGATGAGTGATCATAATAGAACTTTCCCATTATGTGCATTTATTGATAAATGTACTGATTTATGGATTGATATTTTCCATAGTAAAAATTTGTACCCCAACATTTTCGTTAACATTTTAAGTTGGGAATTAATGATTTTTTATACAATGAATTCATGTCTTACATTATGGCAAGAAACTAATTCAAAATTACAAAATATCGAAGATATTGAAAAGATCATGTTATTAATCAAAGATAATATAGATTTAATTGAAAATGATTTAATGATTGGAGAGAAAAATATCGAAGACTGTCTTGATTTATCAAATTATTTAATGTTAAGAACAAATCAAATTTCAAATTTGAAATTAAAAGAAAGTTCCAATTGGAATCTTAGTTTAAATGAATTTAATAAAAATTTAAGTTTAGAAGTAATGGATTTTGTTTGTGAACAAAGAGTTATTCAATTATTAAAAGGTTCATGGGTTTATACTGAAAGTTTTGGGGAAATTTTAATGAAACAACAAAGTAAAAAATTATCTAGTTCCATGATACCTAATACTTCAAAATATTATTTCATCTTGTTATCACCAAATAGACAATATTTATATTATAAAGAATTTAGTGAAAAGACTTTAGTTAAACCAAATTATGAAGAAATGGAACAACAATCAATAAAATTGTCTGATATAATTGATTTCAAATCCATTAAAATAGGTGATCAAATTGGTGAAGAAGATAAACGTAAAAATTCAAGATTAATTTCAATTAAGGGAACAATTTCTTATGAAAAAATCACATTATTGGGTTCAAATAACAAGAAATTATTGGGTTTTTATACTGATACTGAAGTCAATAAATACGTTTGGTTAGATGGTTTGAAAATGTTAAAAATGATGATAAAACCCGGTCAATTATCACTTGAAACTGAAAAACAATTAGATACTTTAGTTGACATTAGAAGAAATACTCAATTATTAAATTTAAATGAAGTTACTCCTGTTAATGATGATTCCGATGAGGATGAATATTATGACATTAATGAACTTGTCGATATCAGTGATAACTTCCATTACAGTTAATTGTCTATAGATCAATATATTTATCGCGAAACTTTCTCATCGCATCTCATCTCAATGAAAGATTTTGTAAAAACTATAGATAGTGATAGTGAAGTATCTAACTATGAAAGTGGTGATGAAGTCAACCCTGACTTCCACTTTGGTGAAGATGTTGGAGAAACTTTGAGTGGTTGGGATTTTGATATTGATGATAATGTTGAGAAGAAATCTGTGAATTTAGATGGGATCTTAAAGAAAAAAGGTGGATTAACTAATATTGTCGGTATTGACGATGAAGATGATGAAGACGAAGAAGATGAAGATAATGATGAAGACGAAGATAATGAAAATGACGATGAAGATAATGAAGATGAAGTAGAAGAACCTAAAGGTGAAGTTATGGAAGTTCCTCAAGGTGATGATGATGAAGAACCTGAAGAAGATAGTGAACAAGCTATGGCTGAATTCTATGAAAACGGTAACACAACACAACAATCCAGTGTTCATGAAAAATTTTCAGATTTGAATTTATCAAGACCTTTATTGAAAGGGTTATCACAATTGGGTTATGCCAAACCTTCACCAATCCAATCAGCTTCGATTCCAATAGCTTTAATGGGTAAAGATATTGTTGCTGGTGCTGTTACCGGTTCAGGTAAAACTGCTGCCTATATGATTCCTATCATCGAAAGATTGTTATATAAACCTAGTAAAGTCACAGCTACCAGAGTTATTGTTTTAACTCCAACTAGAGAATTAGCTATTCAAGTTTCAGATGTTGGTAAGAAAATTGCTCAATTCATTCCTTCTATATCTTATGGTTTAGCTGTTGGGGGTTTGAATTTAAGACAACAAGAACAACAATTGAAAACTAGACCTGATATTGTTATTGCTACTCCAGGTAGATTAATTGATCATATAAGAAATTCACCATCATTTTCAATCGATTCTTTGGAAATTTTGGTTATTGATGAAGCTGATAGAATGTTAGAAGAAGGTTTCCAAGTTGAATTAACTGAAATCTTATCATTAATTCCAAAACATAAACGTCAAACTTTATTATTCTCCGCTACTATGAATACCAAAATTCAAGATTTAATTCAATTATCTTTACAAAAACCCGTCAGAATCATGATTGATCCTCCAAAAGCTGCATCAGCCAAGTTGATTCAAGAATTCGTTAGAATTAGAAAAAGAGATCATTTAAAAGAAGCTTTATTATATCAATTATTGAAAAACTTACAATTAAATAGAGTGGTGGTTTTCGTTGCTAGAAAGGAAACTGCTCATGTTTTAAGAATTGTTTTAGGTTTACTTGGTTTAAAGGTTGGAGAATTACATGGTTCATTAACTCAAGAACAAAGATTGGAAAATGTTACTGATTTCAAAACCTTAAAAGTTCCAGTTTTAATTTGTACTGATTTAGCTGCTAGAGGTTTAGATATTCCAAAGATTGAATTAGTTATAAATTATGATATGCCAAAAACTTATGAAATTTATTTACATAGAGTTGGTAGAACTGCCAGAGCTGGTAGAGATGGTAAGTCTATTACATTTGTTGGAGAATCCAGTCAAGAAAGAGCTATTGTTAAAGATGCTATTAAATCATTAAATGATAATTCTAAAGCTGTTTCTAGAGCTGTTGATTGGGCTAATGTTGAAAAGATTAATAAAATCATCGAATCTAAGAGAGATATAGTTGAAGAAGTTAAAGAAGAAGAAAAATCCGAAAAGGAAATTTTAAGAGCAGAAATGGAATTGAATAAAGCTTCAAATATGATTAAACATAAAGATGAAATTAATTCTAGACCAAAAAGAACATGGTTTGCTGAAAAAGATACTGCTAAACATCAATTAACTAAACATGGTAAAAAAGTAAATTCTAAAAAGAGGAAAGCTGTTGAAGCTAAGAAAGATATGCCTAGACCATATAAAAAGACTAAAGCTGATAGAACAGCACCTAAAGTACAAAAGAAAAAATCAAAAAAATCTAAAAAGTAACGAATTTTCGGGCATATATATATACATTAAGATGATGAAGGTTTATTTAAGTTCTCTAATTCTATGGAATTTCCCTCTTCGAGATTTCGATCTCGACTTTCTAACATATTATCAAAGAATGTGGTCCTTAATTCACTCCATCGGGTTGAATATGTTGATAATGTAACTAATAATGTAGCACTTAAGATTTGTAAACACCACCATAAGGTCGATGTTGGGAATTTCCCACTATAAATCCATACCACGATTAAATTTATAATATGAACCGTTAAGGCAAAATCCCATGCTAATTTGGATCTTCCTACAATGATAGTGACAAACAAAACACATAATAATGAATCAAATAACCACATGGCAAATAAAATTAATCCCATAGCATTATCTGAAGATATGAGTTCCCACAGAAAGATGAAATTTAAATTGAAATCGTATCCGTTCAATGAACTTATTAAGTAGAACACTACCAATGCTGTTAAATAGTAGAAGCATTGTAGGATGACTATCTGCAATAGTAACTTCCCTGGACTAGTAGTTAGATCTGAGGACAACTTTAACATGGTGTTGATGATCGATGCGCATTATTTATGATTGATCTCAAAATAAATTTACCATTGGGAAGACGGAGATTGGGGCGTTAAGAGGGATTTGGACAATGTTTGAGTTGAGATTTGGGTTTGGAAGCTTCATTTGGTATGTTTGGTTCATGAATTGAGTACTCAAAGTTATTTAAAGTAAAGAAAACACAAGGGGTTATGACCCAAAAACCTAGAGGCTGCAAAATTCCATGAATCACTCAGATACCATTTCAAAAACCTATCGAGTCTATTTATAGGTCATCCCACTACATTTCAAATCATGTGATCCAATGTCGTGATGTCAAAAAATATGCTGAAGCACATAAATCTACTAGAGCACTTAATAGACAGAAAATTATCAATCAGTGAATCATGAAATTAAACATATACATTATTAAAAGTTAATCATAAAGATTAAACATCTTGTTCAGGATGTTCTTTGTGGTCCAATTCAGCTTTAGCTTTAGCTAATGATAAATCAGCTTGATCAACACCATCACCGAAAACTTTAGCAACTTCTTCTAATGTGTAACCTGAAGTTTCTGGGTAGAAGAAATAAATGATGGTTAATTCAAAAGCAATAGCACAAACATAGACAATATAATATTTCCAACCACTGTTAGATAAACCAATTGGATTAACGTAACCGTTGAAAATAATGACAGACATTTGAGTTAATTGGAAAATATTTAAACCTTTGGCTCTGTGGGAGTATGGTAAAACTTCGGTAATATAAACATATGGTAAACCGTTTAAACCAATATTGAAGAAAGCATAGAAGAAGAAAATCATAGCTAAAACCCCATTGGATAATGATTTTGGATATCCTTGTTGAGCACATAATGCTGATAAAATTGTCCAAATAATGAAAACAACTAACATACCACTGAATGAGAATATAAGTACTGATCTTCTCTTCAATCCACCAACAAAGGCAGCAGCAGCCATGGAAATAACAGTGTTATAGATCATCAAACAACCATTAATTTGTAATTGTTTAGTTTCTCCAGTAATACCAATAGAATCCAAAACTTTATTAAGATAATATGAAACTAAACCATTACCAGCGAATTGCATAACAAAAGCAGTGAACATGGTTAAGAATAATCTCTTTCTGTGACTTGGGATTTTAAGGAAATCCATGTATGAAGTAGTAGATGATAATTTTTCTAATTCAATAGCTCTTTCAATTTGTCTTAATTCAAATTCAATAAATTCTAAATTATGAGGATCTTGTGAATCACCGATATGACATTGTCTTAAAACTTTTCTGGCCTTTTCAATCTTACCTTTTGAAACAAGGAAACGAGGAGATTCAGGACACATCCAAATCAAAGCTAATTGGAACAATGGTAAAGCAGCTTGTAAACCAGATGGAACTCTCCATGAAGCTGATGAACTGATATTTCTTGTACCGTAAGTAACCCAAGCAGCAATAACAGCACCTAAATACCAACAAGTATTATAAAAACCGGTAGCAATTGGTCTATGAGTAGGATAAGCAATTTCAGAAATTAAAGATGGTGAACCAACCAAAGCCATACCCATACCTAAACCAATAATTAATCTACCAACCAAGAAAACTGGACCAGAATCACCAGCAGCTTGGATAATGACCCCAACAACTAAAATACTTTGACCACAATAAATAGCTATTTTTCTACCCCATTTATCAGAGATAAAACCGAAGGGGAAAGCAGCAACAGTACCAAAAACAACAGCATTGGAAATACTTCCTAATTTAGTGTTATCACTAAACCAAGAACCCATAGATGATTTCCAAGTCTCTAAACTTTGGAAAACATTAATAATAGAAGAATCAAAACCATTATTACTAGAAGTAATAGTGATCAAAAACACATAGAAGTATAATTTCAAGAAATGACTATACTTATACCATGGTTTATCAAATTTAGGTAAGTATGGAGTGATATCTTCATCCTCCACAATCATAGGAATATCAAGGGAATTATCAGAAGCCTTATCTTTTTCTTCGAATTCTGACATATTAAGGTATACGAACTTATTAAGTATCAAACTAATGATTAGAATCTAGGGATTCTAAGTGATATTTATATTCTTCCCCAGAGAGATCTCGTATAAACCCCAGTAATTATATTTTTTTTTTTAGATGGAGCACTTTCCTAAAATGGCAAGGTGTCCGTACGACATGATTTCTGTTTTATGGCACGGGTTTTTCGACTGAAATAAGGCAGTTGATGACAAAGATTTTGTCACAGTCAGTTATGTTTAAAAGCCAATGATACTATAGACACATACCAACTGAATATGTATTACCGAATGTTATGTTGAAGACACAAGTTGAGTTTGATAACCTAACAGACCAAACATTTTTTCATTGAGAGTAACGGAATAACAATTTCCCTCATCAAGAGATAACGGAGATTTGTACCAAAAAAAGAAAGTTATCCAGTCACCTGTACTCCACGCCATTCGCATTATCGAACATGGGGAACCTAAAGATCTACCAAGTATCCTGACTCGTCTCCTCGAAGAATAAAATTCACCTCCATAATTAGTCCATTTTTGAGAAATATGTCCGTGTGCGTTGCGACATTTCGTCTCGCATATTCATTTACGACCCATCATCCGATGAAATATCGTGATTTTTTAAACTCGTCAGTTTTAGGTGATCATGAGCTTAGGTCACTATGAGAGTTTCTCGGGTGATCAGCCGTTACTCTACGAGTTGTATACTTACCCCTTGAGTTCTTGAATGACGATATTTATGTAGTCTCCGGATAATTTAAGAAATCTTACGCAGTGAAAATTTTGATTACCCACCCCACTTTAAACCTAAAAGTGATATTTCTCCTTGACGGATTTTGAAAGAAAAATTTTACTCTCCTACGGAAGGGATTTTCGTTCCATTTGGTGGTGATTTTCTACCCCACAAATTCAACCCTCCGTATGGTTGTACATCCTTTACTTCTTATTGGTTATGGAACGGTATATGTTGGTGTTTCAAATCGTTTATGATCTCTTTGACGGCAATCCAACATTCAAAGATTGAAGAATCCCCTCCTCTTATCGAAAGAAGAAAGTTTAATCTGTTCCTTTTGTCCTGATTTTTCGTGTTCAATGAGCCGTCTTGGTGAGTTTTTTTTTCCGTATTTTTCTGTTCATTGGATGATGGATGTTCTCCAAATTTTCGCCGAAAAAAAAAATTATACAAGTTCCTATTGCATGTTAACGGGTTTTGAAAGTACTCAAGAAGACATTGAATGATTCAGTCGGCTGGTTCGATTTTAATGATTTATGAAGTCAAGATCTCGATCCCAACTCTAAATCCATATCTTGAGATGTCACGTTTGACAGGAGGGGCAAGAAAAATCACCATAATTCCCGAATCACCGATCAGATAGTCTAGCCTTTATGGTAGCATTGGAGCTGCTTAGAAGGACGATTTCGATGTTGGAAGGACTCAAAGATTAAGAAAGCGGTTTAAAGGTAAAGAAAAGTATATTGAATTCTGAAGATAAACAAAGTATATTGAAATCTGAAGATGAAGAAAGTATACTGAAGTCTAATATTCTTTCAAAATTTGATTCAATTCATCCCTTTGTAAACAATTTTCCAATTTAAAAGAAGCAGCTAATTCATCCAATTCTTCGAAAGATAAGCCTACGAATAAATCAGCAAATTCATGTTGAGCATATTGGGAGAATAACATATCTCTACATACTCTTGCTAAATAATCACTTATAGTCCAAACATTTGGATATAAAGCTTTATGATGTTCTTCAGGAATATTTTCTAACATATGGTTTTCCAAATCTTTATATAATTTGTCATATTCAGCATCAATAGCATTACCCCATTTATCTAATCCTAATTTCTTCTTCTTCAATAAGAATTCCCCAAATACTTGGAACCATTTGGATTTAGGTGAAACATAAGTTAAACCTTGGAAACCAATATCTTTGTAAACCCAGATAGACCAACTAATTGGTGAACCATCACCAGATGGGTCTCCACTTTTATAAACTTCTAATTGATCTTTCAAGACTTGATATCTAGCTCTATTAGTGACTTCGACATTGGTATCACCTCTAACTTCACTATCATAAACGGGACCGAATTCCCCATTCCAAACTGGGACATTATGTTTCTTCATGAATTCAACTTTTCTTTCGTATTGTTTCTTCAATTTACCCTTTTGATCTTCATTACCTTGATATAAAGTACCTTCTAAGTTAGGGAATCCAAAAACAGAATAATCATGAATAGCGTAAACAGAATTTGGGAATGGTTCATCAGGGAATTGACGGAAATCCATAGCATAGGTGTTAGCATCTAAGTATAAAATATGATTTGGGTCAACTGATCTGATAGCTTTTTCAACTCTAGTATAAAATTCAACTAATTTAGAATGATCGGAACTAGCAGGTTCATTTAATGGGTTATAACCAGCAACCCATTGATTATCTTTATAATAGTCAGCTATTTTACCCCATAAGTTAACAATAACATCTTGGAAAACTTTGAATTCCCAGAATAAAGCGAAATGAATTTTGGAGTCTGAATGCCAATCTTGATTTTGTCCTCCAGGAACAGCATGCAAATCTAAAATGGTATAGATACCTTCTTTAGAACATGAATTGATGATTTTATCTAATCTTTCGAATCCTTTAGGATTAATGGTAAACATATCACCATCATCATCAATGAAATGACGATAATTGAAAGGAATTCTAAGACAATTTAAACCTAAGGATTTAAATAATTTTGCATCACTTTCAGTCCAGAAATAATCATAAAACTTATCAAAGAAGAAATCGAATTTTTCTTTACCGATCTTCTTGAGAATGACTTGTTTATGTTCAGTTTCATGTCCTGGATAACCAGTAATAAAGTTTTCCATATTCAAGTGACCACCAGTGGCACTTCCCTTTAAAATAACTGGTTCATCATTTTCATCTACAATTTTCGTTCCTTTGACTTTTAAAAATCCTGCCATTGTCTATAGATCTATAATTTTTTTTAATTCTTGCAAAAACCTTTGGGTTTTCTTGACTTCTTATATCTCACCATCGCAATGTTTTTAGGAATTTGTTACTCCACAAAATTTATGCGGCGTACTTGACAAGAAATCCGAGATAGTATATCAATCATTTAATAGATTTTTGGTTTGTGGATGACAATTCTAAGGTGTTTACGGGGGGTCAATTGAGTCTTCATTGTGATAATTGATGTAGATAACCACCTACCATCTGGTTATTCTAATTTAATCGCCCCACATCTTCCCCATTCAATGAAGTATCTCAACTAAGATCCATACTGTATTTATAGAATAGGCGATATTTTCGGTGGGGGCCAAGGATTGCGCGCACCAGATAATTGCGAGATTTTCTGGGGTGCATGGGATAAAACTACTTTATTGGACGATGTTTGCCGCTGGTTCGTGAATATTAAATAATCAAGAGTGTTACAATGTTATTTTTATGGTCTAGAATTGGTGAAGAGACCAAAGAATCTGAACAAAAAAATCGTTATAAACTTTTAATTTCTGCGATTCTTACAAATTCTGTGTATTACTACAAACCTCCTATTAATTGATCCAAGATTTCAACAGTTTCTTTGGGACTGGCTATCCAGGCAGTACATGCACTCAACCGTGCCTTAAAATCATTGGCTCCAACAGATGCAAATTGGTCCCCTATATGCAAACTTTCACTTTTTCTTATAGGACAAAATTCTAGATTTTCATCTTGACAAAGATATTTCTGTAAACTTTCAACACCCAATGATTTATCTCCAATATCGATCCAAACATCAGAACCTCCATTGAACGAACATACCTTGATGTCTTGGCAAGCTAATTGATTAACTATTTCATTCAATTTATTGGCACAAGAAAGTACTATTTCTTCTAAGTATTCTCTAATTATTTTATATCCATTAATCGGAATAATACCAATGGATCTTTCCTTCCTGATAATCAAGGTCTTAGAATCGTCGTGGAGGTTAAATTTGATTCTCAAATTGGATAAATGATTGAAGATGATTTCCATTATATTCTCAATATGATGTTTATCCCAATTTATCATTAATGGTAAGTACCAATCTTTCCCGTCGATGAATTTGAAGTTCTTCAACTCATTATCATAACGGAAAAGATAATTAGATTCACCTCCCATGACCAATAAATTACTTCTTTTGGATGGAGGTAAATCACTCTCATTTATGGCATCAATCAACCCTTTCAATCTAGAATAATATTGTATTGATCCTTGTTGGCCAGGGTAACCTGCTGCAGTCACAACAGCTATGAAAAACCCTGACTCTAACAATTTCATCAATCTTGACACTATAGGGTCACTCTTGACCAATGATTTTCCATCTTCATATAATGTAACATCCCCATCAAAAGTGATCAATTTCAATTTAGTGGGTCCCGATTTATAATCTTTTTGTAATTGGAGAATTTGAGCTGTGTTTAATATTTGTCTGACATCGTTGAAACTTGGACTGACCAACCTTCTCTTACTGATTGATCTCCTTTCATCTTCAACTAAGAATGCCTCTGTTAAAGGTAAACGGGTAAAGAATTCACCAATTGAAGGAACTAATTTCTTCAACCTTGAAATAGGAACAAATCCATTGTTCTTCTCGTTTAAAGCTCTTGTATTGTCAATTAACTTTTCAACATCTTGGAAAACTTCGAAATATCTTTTCTTACATTCTTTTTCAATGTCCAACTCTTTCTTATTAGTGAAATATTCATATTCTTTCAAATCATTGAATTCCAATTTTTCACTCTCGATATCCGAATGTAACACAAACGGAACTGCCAATAACGCTTTTATCCATTCAATGAATTCATCACGACGGTGACTTTTTAATGAATACTCTACTCTATATCTACTGGTCATTGCAAAGAACGTGAGCTTATCGGAGATTTGAAATGCGACAAAAAAAGGTAGGGTTCGCAAGAGATGATCTAAATCATTAATCCTATATTACAATTATAAACCTTGTTGAGCTCTTCTTCTGTCTCTTTCGTCAGCAATAGATAATTTAATACCTTTACCTTTTGGTAATGAGACGTCTGGTTTACCAGCTTCAGTACCAATAACGAAAACGTTAGTTAATCTGGTAACGAAAGTGTTTTCTAATGAATCTTTAATGTGAACTAAATCGAAACCACCTTCGTGTCTTTCTCTGTGGGTGATAACACCAACTCTACCTAAATTTCTACCCCCAGTAACCATGACTAATTTACCAGTATCGAATTTAATGAAATCGGTGATTTTACCTGATTCTAAATCAATTTTAACGGTATCGTTAACTTTGATTAATGGATCTGGGTATCTGATAGTTCTACCATCGTGGGTAACAACGTATGGAATACCTCTTTTACCCAATTGAACTCTCTTAACTTTACCTAATTTGTAGGAAGCTTCTTCGTTAGAAATTCTGTGAACAGTGAATTTACCTTTAACATCGTAGATTAATCTGAAATGTTCATCAGTAGCTTCTAATGAGATAACATCCATGAAACCAGTTGGGAAAGTAGTGTCAGTTCTGACCTTACCATCAACTTTAACATGTTGTTGCATTAAGATAGCTTTAGTTTCTCTACCGTTTAAAGCATACTTCAATCTGTTTCTTAAGAAAACAACTAATGGTAAAGATTCTCTTAATTTATGAGGACCAGCTGAAGGTCTTGGAGCATAAGCACCAGACAATTTGTCTAACATCCAGTGGGATGGAGCTGCTAATCTTTTTAAATGTTTCTTTCTAATATAGTTAGTATTTGATTCAGATCCTTTAATTAACCATTTCTTACTGAAATAGTGGTGGGACAGAGGTCTACAGAGTGTAACACCACTATTTCAATAATTATCACGACAAGGCTCCCTTTTCCCTCATTGTAAGAAACAACAGCTTACTGGGGCCATAACTAAGTTATGGAAATCATGATGGTTATATAAAATATAACATACGGGCCTCTTGCCATTTTTCGATAATTATATGAATATTGAAAATTTTCACTTTGAGGTTTGAGATTTTTATAAGTGAGAAAAAAAGCAGTCACGAAGTCACATGACATACGTGTGATTCGACCATAATGATTCACCCAATTTATGTATTATAACTATACAACTCTTCATCTGTCATTACCTTGATCCAGTCAATATCCAATTTGAAAGGTCCATACAGTTTATCTACCAATCCAATTCCAACTGTTTTAATCTCTGATCTATCCATTTCAATATTTTGAACGATTCCCCAATTTGTCATTACAAAGTCACTCAATGGTATTACGATAGTCTCCCAATTACCTGGAGTATTCAAATATAATCTGTGTTGAAACAAATCAGTGATTAGTGGAGTGTTTGCTTGGACATTAACTAAATATTTTCTAGCATCACCTCTAACTCTCAATACTAGATTATCATAAGAAGTCCAATCCCAGTAACTTTCACCAGTTATCCAACTTTCCTTTTGATCTTTTGTTCTGAACATTGCATAACCGCTTCTTGTTACTGTTGGGTTATCTTGAGGTAAATCAAGATTTAAATAACCTTTAAAAGTTCCATACTTCAATTTGGGGTCTACCACAAATTTACAGATGGAAAACCCACCTATTTCCTTGTCTGATCTTGTTATAACTTCATTAATGGAGTTGGGATTATTCTTAAAGTCTAGGATTGTTTGAAAAGTCCTAAATTCAGGTTTTTGAAAGATTTTGAAATTTGGTTTGGCTCTGGTTAATGTTCTTAATGACATAATAATGTAAAAATATCGTCAAAAGTCAGCTAAAAGATATCACAAGTTATAATTCAGTATTGATAAGAAATAATTCCACTGTTAGATCCTTTAATCAAGAAATAATCAATGATAATTATCATTGTTGGGGATGAGAGTTCTTATAGTTGCAAAAAAATTGATCGCACTCCACATTTGGGCCAGATAGAGGAGATTAGATCATATGATAAGAATTATTTTTGCTGTCAATACCCTCAGGTTTTTGAGAAAAATAGGGGGAAGATAAGGTGGAGATTATAAGCTTAATTGTGTTTGTTCTATAACATTCTATAATGAAGTATGATAATGCATCATAATCACGTAATCAGCTGTAACAGAGGAATGGGAAGCTAATATAAGTATATCATTGGAGCACAAAAGCAAGGAAGCAATTAAGATAATGAACAAATAAACTGAGAGCTTCTTCAACCATTGAGGTTGTAACTATCAAGTCTCCACAAATTAAATCGATAACGCAATTGATTTATCTATTGTACAAGGTTGAGGGGTCTTATCCTATTGAAAAAAAATGTGATCACTACAAACCTTCTATGCACCCCTTGAGTTTCCCCAATCAAGTAATTTCCTTAAACTTGTGGGTGTAATTAAGATCCTGAAACGGGGTTCATCTACAGATTACGTGAGATAATCAAGTTAAATGTTAAATAGTATCGGAGTTCTGCATTTAGAGTTTTAGATTTTGCGTTTTGTGGGGTCTTATATTCATCACTATCATTCAATTTGGGGGGAAATTTTTTGTATTTATTGTTGCAATTTTTCAACTTCTTCATAGATGTAATCACTTAATACGGGTAACCCGTGGTGATTATATACTTGATAGAAATTATTAGCGTCGAAAGTTTCAGGTATCATCTTACCATTTTCATCAACTTGAACATATCCAAACACGTTTCCAATTTCAGGCTGTCTTCCATATCTTGGGACATCTCTGAAATCATATATGGGCATGAATGAATTGGCACTAACACCTGCTTCCATGATGAATGAAAAATCATCGCATACTTTCTTCTTGAATAATTCATTTAAAGTGGGAAGGAGATTATTATCTGGCTGAAAATTTTCTTTACTTGGAGAACCTGTGAATTTACCAAGTAACAACCCATTTTCACTTTTGGTAAAAGTGACTTTGTTTGAAGGATGTAAGAATATTTGGTTGGTTAACTTGGTTAAGTTTCTGGTGAATACTCTCATCATTTGAATGAAAAATTTATGTTTCGCAATCGAACTTGACTTGTAACCCGTTATATAATCTCATAGTAGCATTGGTAACTTTTTTAGGAGGATACTCTGACGTAATACTGGTGACATTGGAAAATGTCTGTAAGATTCTTATAGTGAAGTAACTTGCTTCAGTGAGAGCAAATTGCTGACCGAGACAAATTCTAGGACCAGTTCCAAAAGGTAAGAAATTGGATCCTGGTTTGAGATCTTTCCAACGATCAGGATTGAAAGTGTCTACAAATTCACCGAAATGTTCCGTTCTGTGACAATCGTAAAGATTGAACAAAACCACGGTACCTTTGGTTACAAAAACTGGGGATTGCTCAGTTGGTCCACCACCTCTAGGAATAGTCGTATTCTTTGAAGCAACCCTCAAGTTTCTACTTACTGGAGGGTACATTCTAAGAGTTTCATTGATACAATATTTCAAATATGTGCATCGTTTCATTGATTCAAAAGTTATTTTCTCTAAATCGTTGTCGAAACTTTCATCTATTTCCTGTTTCAATTTGGTCCAAACCTGGGGATTTCTACTCAATTCGAAGAACAAGAAGGACAATAAGGAAGATGTGGTGTTTCTACCTGCCAACATTATACTTAACAATTCATCTTGTAAGATTTTGGGATCTGTGGTCTGTTTGACCAATTCATACAAAAACACGTATCCTTTGACAGAATTCAAATCTTTTTCTGAAACATTTAAAGCTTTATCAACATAATATCCAACACTTTCGTGGATTATCTTCAAAGAATCTTTGTATTCCTTGGGACAGTATAGGAAATGCACAGGTCCTAACATCATTTTCATCGTGATTATGTCCTGAACAACATTGAAAGCTTTTGAAAATCCTTGATTATTGGAATCTGATACCAATGTTCTGGTAGATTCACCGAATAAAAACTCTGTGGCAACATCAAAAGTCAACTTATGAAATAAGTCCTGTAAATCAAAGAACCCATTTTGGTGTTTTATCAGATAGGCGAGATTCTTGAAATGTGTTTCCATCATAGTAACATGGGAGATCTGATCCCTTACAAATTGAGGTTTCAACAATTCTCTAGAAGTCTTCCATCTGTCCCCTTCACTAGCAAATATACCATTGCCTAATAATGGTTTGAAAACTACGTGCCTATGTCCGATACTATAATCATTGAATTGAGTTGAAATCAAAGCTTTGATGTTTTCTCCAGCAATTGTTTCGATCACTTGTCTTCCCCATATACTCCTTGTTATCGTCTTCTTTTGGACTTTCTGAAACCTCTCTAAACCTCTTTCCAAAGCGAATCCCAGATCATGTTCTCTTTTCAATGATATTAAATAACTGAGACCTCCATCCACTTTAAATGCTGGTTTACAGGACCACTTCTGACTCAATCGGTAGTGATGAATCTTCTTGACTACTATGAAGACCACTAATGTTAATATCAAATACTCAATCATGTTGCTTTCTCGGTAACTGAACCATTGATTTTAAACCTTTGTACTTTTGTCATATGCAATCCTTATGTAAGCGCTGAAATACTCCGAAGTTTTCATGATGACATAATCGTCCTTTTCCTCCAAAGTAACCAAGGGGGGGTTCGTCAGCCAAGACAAGGTGGTGAGATACTAAGTATCGGACTTCATATGACAGCTTCAAATTCGGGTTTTCCTTCATTGGGATTTACTCCGCCATAACTCTTCTTTCATAAAATTTTCAGTTCATGACTTGAATGCTATAGTCTATATCGCTTTGATTAGTACTAGTAGATTTATCTGTTGGCTAGTTGACGGTATCTAACCTTCACTTCTCCTATCTTATCAATTGTAGATTGTAGCTTTACGAGTTATGGTTCATAGGGGCGTGTGAGGCTAAAATCGATAGATAAGAGTGAGATTTCCCTCACAGATCGTATTATTAATCATGACAACTGTTTTTGTTTCTGGTGCCAATGGGTACATCGCCCAACATGTAATTGTTCAATTGATCGCTAAAGGTTACGATGTAATCGGTTCAATTAGAAGCGAAGAAAAAGGAGAAAAATTGAAGAAGAATTTGAACTCTTCCAAGTTCACCTATGTAATTATTCCAGACATTATCAAAGAAGATGCTTTCGACGAAGTTTTAAAGGCCAATCCTCAAATTACTGCATTCCTCCATACTGCTTCACCAGTGGTTTTCGATGTTGATGATTTCGAACAAGATGTGATTATTCCGGCTTTAAAAGGTACTGTCAATGTCATGAACTCCATCAAAAAGTTTGCTCCTCAAATCACTAGATTCGTCTATACTTCCTCATTTGCGGCCATTACTTCTCTGGAACATACCAAGGATACAGTTATTACTGAGGATACTTGGAATAAGATTGCAAGAGATGGTGGAGTTGAACCAATGTTAGCTTACAGAGTTTCAAAGACTTTTGCCGAAAAATCAGTTTGGGATTTCTATGAAAAGGAAAAGCCAAATTTTACTTTCAATGTCGTTAATCCTACAATGGTCTTTGGACCACAAGCTTTTGATTCTGAAGTTAAAGGAACCCTCAACTTCTCTGCCGAGATTATCAATAAAATATTGAAATTGAAACCAGAAGATGAAGTTCCTGAGTTTAGAGGTGGGTTCATCGATGTTAGAGATATTGCCAAAGCCCACTTATTTGCTTTGGAAACTGAAAAGACTTCTTTAAGATTATTGTGTGTTGAAGAAAGATTCTCCAATCAATCATGTCTTGATCTTATCCATAAGAATTTCTCTTTGGACTTACCTAAAGGGTCTCCAGGTACTGGAAGTGATTTCTCCCAAATGCCTATTCTTGATAACTCAAAAACAAAGGCATTGATCGGCCCCTTCATTGGCTTAGAACAATCTGTCATTGATACTGTGAAGCAAGTCTTAGATAATCAAAAATAAATAGCTTTTAGTATTATAAATCATCTGCTCTTATAATTACCATAATAGGTGAGTTCCGCGTTGAGATCACCTTTTTTGAGTAACACCGATCTCCTGCAAAAACGCTCTAAGCAAATTTCCGCACCTCCTATAAAAGTTAAAATTTTGCAACTTTTCATTAATGTCAACTGTGTTTGTTTCTGGTGCTAATGGGTATATTGCTCAGCACCTTATTGTTCAATTATTATCCAAAGGATATAGTGTCATCGGATCCACCAGAAGTGAAGATAAAGGAGAAAATTTAAAAAAAAATCTAAATTCTAATGACTTCAAATATGTTGTTATACCTGATATCATTCGAGAAGATGCTTTTGATGAAGTCTTGAGATCTAATCCTCAGATTACGGGGTTTTTTCACGCAGCTTCCCCCGTAGTGTTTGATGTGAAGAATCTTGAAGAAGACATCATCTTACCGGCTATCAAGGGAACAACTAATGTTTTAAACTCGATTCAGAAATTTGCACCCCAAATTACAAGATTTGTTTATACCTCATCTTATGTGGCAATTGGTTCTCATCTTGATACCAAGGACACTGTTCTTACTGAAGAAACTTGGAACCAGATCCCAAGAGAGGGAGCTGAAGATTCAGATTTGGCTTATGCAATTTCAAAGACTTATGCTGAAAAAGCAGTTTGGGAATTTGTAGAGAAAAACTCCCCCAATTTTACTTTCAACACTGTCAACCCAACCTATGTTCTCGGACCACAAGCCTTTGATTCTGAAGTGAAGGGAACACTCAACTTCTCTGCCGAAATTATCAATAAGATTTTAAAGCTCAAACCAGAAGATGAAGTTCCTGAATTCCGAGGTGTTTTCATTGATGTTAGAGATACCGCTAGAGCACATTTATTTGCTTTAGAAACTAATCAGTCTTCTTTGAGATTGTTGTGTAATGAGAATTATTTTACTAATCAAATGTGCCTCGATATTATCAACAAGAATTTTTCTTTGGATTTACCTAAAGGGTCTCCAGGTACTGGAAATGATTTCTCTCAAAGACCAACCATCGACAATTCAAAAACAAGGTCATTGATAGGTCCTTTTATTGGCTTAGAAGAATCAGTTGTCGATACAGTCAAGCAGGTTGTAGACAATTAAACACATTTTTTTTAATGCCCTAAAAACTCTTTTTACTCCATTCCCTCTATGTTTTCGAATTTATTAAACATACATGGTCCTCTTTATTGAATTTTGACTAAACATGTAATCTGAGTTCAAGGACAGTAGCTTAAAGTCGTGAAAAACTCATCTTCTAGAGATTTTCGGGCAATTGCAAAATTATCCCCATTTGAGCCGCACATTAAACCTTATCAAAGTTTTGACATATAACCATTAAAATCATGGAGATAAGAATACAAACAAAAAATGGTCATTGATTCTTCTGGCAACCATAATAGCCAATGATATTTTTCCCAGGAATTGTTCCAGATACATGGGGCTGTTGCAGTATTTATAGTTTTTTTGATTAGCCGCAAAATCTTTGCAATAAGCGCCTTGATTTTGTGCTAAAGTTCCACCGAGAATCAGATCTTTCAAATTTTTTAAAGTCTAGAAGCTCTCCAAAGACTTATTATCCTTTTGTATTTAAGTTGGGCTTTACTACCTTGAATCATTCAAATTTATCCCAAGAAAGTAACCACATCGTTTTATAGATATTTACAATGAATACAGCAACAGAATTAGAAGAGATGGGATCGAAAATTTACAAGGTTAAATCCGAAGATCGTGATCATACAATTAGGTTGGATACTAATGACTTCATTAAAGTACCACAACCTTTACCACCAGCACCTGGGTTGATTCCTAATCCTACAGAGAATATTATTAATGTTGACGAATTAGAATCTATAAGTGAGATCCCTGAACAGCTTAGAAATAATGAATTAATGACAATGTCGAATCCCCCTAAAAATAAATGGAGGGTTTATGCATTAGGATTATGGTTATTTTCAATAGGAATGGCTGACGCCACTCCAGGGGCTGTATTACCTTATATCGAAGAATACTATAATTTGACTTATACCTTAGTTTCCTTGATCTGGATGACATTTGCTGCAGGGTTCGTATCATTTGCATGTTTAGCACATAAGATCCAACCTCTATTAGGGAGAGAAAAAAGTTTCACCGTTGGGTCGGCATGTTCCGTCTTGATGTATGCTATTGTTTCAAGCGGGACCAAATTCCCCGTAATTTGTGTGGGATTTTTTTTTGGCGGGGCGGGATATGCCGTAGTTATCAGTCAAATGAATGTCTTTTTAACTAATTTCCAGAATTCATCCAAATACTTGTCAGTAACTCAATCACTTTATGGTGTAGGGGCTACTATTTCGCCATTAATTGCCACATCATTTGTTAGTGCAGGAATAAAGTGGAATTTGTATTATGTAATTTTAGTTGGTTTGATGGCGATTACCTCCGTGGTATTGTATATATCATTTAAAGGTGCAGATACTGATTTGGCACCATGGGACTTTGACGAAAATGATTTGGAAAATGAAAAGTCTGAAACCCCAACAGAATTATTGTTGTTGTCCTTGAAATCTAAAATTACTTGGCTTTTAGCTTTCTTTGTGTTCTTTTACCAAGGATCGGAAGTTGCGTTAGGTGGGTGGATTGTCACCTATTTATTAAATTATAGACATGGAACTCATAATGTGGGTTATGTAGCTTCCGGATTTTGGGCAGGTTTAACTCTTGGAAGATTGTGTGTGGCTAGACCAATGCACAACATGTTTGGCTTAAGAAGGTCAGTAATCATTTGTAGTGTTATTTCCACTATTGCTGTAGTATTAACATGGGTTGTTCCTAATATAATTGCCGCCGGTGTGTTCGTTTCAATTTCTGGGGTATTTATTGGTCCCAACTATCCTTTAATGGTTGCTTACTCAGCGCTTAAAGGTCTCATTCCTAGAAAAATTTTGATCATCACTTTAACTGTTGTAACGGCTTTTGGGTTTAGTGGGGGTGCGATTTTTCCATTTTTGGTGGGGGTCATATCCCAGAAGGCGGGAACTTATGTGGTGTTGCCGATGTTTATCGCATTGTATTTGTCAATGTTAATTCTTTGGCTTTTAGTGCCTAACCAAGAAAGAATCTTGAAACAACTGACTTTAACTTTTTGGCAAAAAGTCTGGTAGTTTTGGTACTTAATTAGATATAATGACTTACTGTTGGAGAATTCTCTTGGGGGGAATTGCGAAACTCCCATTAATCTCCCACCAAGTAAATCAATTAATTGTAGTTCGTTTTAGGTAATTTACTTATGGGGATATAATTTTTCTTGTAATTTCTTTTTCGTACTTTGTTTTTAATTGGGTAATCACTTCCGCCCATCGGGGTGTTTCGCCCAATTTTTCTTCTGTCAGATTCTCAATCGGGCAATCAAACTCCACCCCAACGGGTGTTTTTGTTGTGGCTCTACGTAAGTAGACGACAATATCTCTTGATTTGCGACATACGTATTACCAGGAATTCGATAAGAATATGACTCCATCTAAATTTTTATTATTTCATTTAATTCATTCTTAGATGAAGATATTGAAAACTGATCCTAAACAGAGAAAGAAGGCTTTATATAGCTGTGATAGGTGTAAAACAAAGAAAAGAAAATGTGTACGTGAAGTTATAAATGAGGACGGTTCTTCCGCTATCACTTTAGATATGGCCTATACTTGTACTGAATGCTTAAGAACCAAAAGTTTATGCCATACTACATTGGGTAAAAGAAAACAAAGTACCGTTGTTTATGAGAGAGCTCCGTTACCAGTTGATAAACCTCAAGTTAAAGATGATACCACTTCCATTGAAAAATATGAAGTATTGTTAAATATTGTACAAAAGATATTTCCAAATTTGAAAAGTGGTAGTTTACGAGATCTACAATCAGTTGCTGAAACAGTAGGAGCTTATACTCCAGAACCAAGTGATGAAGATGTATCTATCAAGACGGAAAGTATGGTAGAACCATTTAAATTCCAAGGTGATTTTGCTTCTCCCAACATACATAGTAATATAATAGAGTGTATGAAATTATCTGGGTTTTCAAGAGTTTCAATGGAAAGAAATATCAAAAAAGAAACCCTGTCTGATGTTCATAAAGCTTTTTTGAAGGAAATGCCTTTGGTTGAATGGATCCCAAGAATTCAAGCTGATCAATTGGTTGAGATATTCTTCCAAAAAATTAATCCAGTATATAATTATCTTGATCAAGAAGAATTTTTGAAATCTTACGAATTGTTTTGGTTATTGATGAAGAACAATGAGTTTGTTTCTTCTTCAGTCTTATTCTTAAAAACAACCGAAGTTTGTCAAGTTTATTTAGTGATGATGTTAGCTCAAAGTTATATGTGGTTACTGCCAAATTTTCATAGCAATGCTAATATTGTTGATAGTAAAACTATTACAAAGTATTTAATGTTGATTAATTCTATCATTCCTGAAGCGATCTTGAAACCCTCAACTCCAGGAATTCAAATGCTTCTACTTTTATCGAGTTATTTCGATATCAATAATGCTAAGGAAAGTGCCTGTGTGTTGATCAAATTAGCTTCATCACAAGCTATATCCTTAGGATTAAACAAGAAAGCTACCGATGGTAATGATGGTGGTGACTTTGCTGAAAAGTTGAAGAATGGTGGTGCTACACTTTGGTGGGCTATCTTTGCAAGTGAAGTAAGATTGAGTAACACTATGGGTAGACCAAGTTCAATTCATGTTGATGATGGGAATGTTGAAATACCTCTGGACTATCAAATACCCTCATATACAATCCAATCCAAATATAAGTACCTGGATCATACATTATACTTCAGCAAATACATTGAGTTACATAAAGTTCTCCATTCATTTTTGAATTTCAAAGTCAGTTTAGTGAAACATGCTTCTGAAGGAGTTAATAGTCCTGCTAATATCGAGAAAGCTACAAACTTAAAAAGAGATTTGAACCTTTGGAAAGCTTCCTTACCTTCATTCTTGAAAGATCCTTATGGAAATAAAGGAATCATTTCCAATTTGAACGTTTCATTGCATCTTCTTTATTATTATTATTTCATTAATTTGGGTACTCCATTCTTATTGATCACTTTGAAGTTAGTACAAAACAACACCCCAATACCAAAAGAAGATGCTATATTTTCTTTCACTGTATCTTCCATAACATGCTCAAAGCATTTATATAAGATCTTCAAATACCAGTATGATAATTCACTCCTTGATGGAACAACTTATTCCGGTATTGAGGTGTTATATCATGGAGTTATGGCTATAGCTTTAGGTATATTGATAATATCTCACAAGAATAGAGATAACACACTTGACACCAAATACCTCAGTTCTAAATATGGAATCGACTTCGATGGTTTATGGAGTTTGTTATGTGATATCAGAGATTTGAATAATCAATTGAGAATAGGATTCAAATCCATGTCAACAACATGTTCTACGATCGAAGAGTTGCTAGTTGACTTGGAATCTTTTTTAAAGGACAAAAACTTATTAAGAAGCAATTCGATCTTCGAAGAAGTAAATGATATTGCAAGTTTTAGCACAAATTCAAGTTCCTTGAATACTCATACTCCAATTGAAGATTTCAACAGTATTTTGAATAACTTCAATTTAAGTAATCAAGGTTTTTTTGAACACTTTGAACTCGAGTCCCCTTTTACGTTTCCTATATCGACAGAATATTAGGAATGAGGCGACAAAGATAATGACATTAGGGATGGATAAATGGAATGCAAATATGAATGAATTCGGTTGGTTCATTTCGCCTCTGCCCTCTTTATTATTTTATAACGCACAATTCTAGATCCCCCTTAAGAGATGGCCGCTGTCATGTTTTGTTGGCTCTTTTCCTTCCTCTTATGGAAACCTGCATTTTCAATGATCAAGTTCATTCTGGTAAATTTTTCCGCGCTGATAAGATAAGAAAAATTATGACAAATCAGTGATGAAGAAAGTGGCAGTGATTGAATCTATTAATGGAATAGAATCGGATCTCGAACTGCAGGTGATAACGCCTGATAACCAAGTGTATGGCTCAACAGAAGAATTGAATTTAATCGACAAAAATGATGGTTACGCTGTACCGAGACGCCAACTATACTACATAGCATTTTGTCTTGACATAGCTGCCTTTTTAGCTGCCTTGGATGCTACCGTAGTCTCAACACTCCTTACTGTTATAGCTTCGGACTTTGGTTCCCTTGGTCTGATGTCGTGGTTAGCCACTTCCTATTTACTTTCATGTTCGGCGCTACAACCTATATATGGAAAATTGTCCGATATATTTGGCAGGAAAATATTATTGATTGGCTGTTGTATTTTCTTTGCCTTGGGCTGTGGCATATGCACTATTAATTCAATAAATGTGGTGATTTTTGGTAGGTTCATCACAGGGATAGGAGGGTCAGGTTTAACATGTTTGAGTACCATTACATTATCTGATCTTGTACCTCCTAGAGATCGTGGTGTATACCAAGGGTATTTAAATATTTTCTTTGGATTGGGTACAGCTACAGGCGGGATGTTTGGGGGGGTTATCAGTGATTATCTTGGCTGGAAGTACGCTTTTGGCTTACAAATTCCAATTGCCATATTTGTAGGTATTGCAATTTATTTCAACCTCAATTTACCAGAAGGGTCTCCCGGATTGGGAGTTAGGGGCCATATAAGACATAAATTGAGCAAAATCGATTTCTTGGGGCTGTTTTTGTTAGTTTCTTCATTATTGATAATTTTGACAGTCGCTTCATTGGCTGGCAATACGTTGAAATTGACCTCCAAGACTTTTGCCTTTTTGTGTATTCTTGCTCTAGTACTATTCTCATGTTTTATTCATGTGGAAAAGAACACTTCCCAACCAATAATTCCTATCGACCTTATGAGAATTAGAACCGTCTCGGCGTCGGCTTTGACCAATTGGTTTTATACTATGGGAGTTTTCACTTACTTATTCTATGTTCCAGTCTATTATAATTCAGTAATGTCATTCAGTGGTACCAAGATAGGAACGAGATTGATACCCAATTTTTTTGTAACTTCGATAGGTTCAGTTGGGGCTGGTTATTATATGAAACGTACAGGAGGCTACAGGAGGTTGGTGTATTTTGCGGCGTTTTTAGCTATTCTGGGGATGTTGAACATTCTCACTATCACTCCAGATATATCAATTCCCAGACAGTTTTTGTTAATTGTACCAGCAGGCTTTTCCTACTCCATCATTTTGACTACCACACTTTTAGCTTTGATATCGGCAGTACCATCAAAATTCCAAGCTGGCATCACTTCCATTCTGTACACATTTAGAGCTACCGGGTCTACTTTAGGTGTATCTATGGCATCAGCAATCTTTCATCAAGTTCTACAATCTGCTTTGAATAGAGAGATTCCGAGTTTGGTTAATGACAAAGCGTTAGCTAAAGAGGTCATAGAGAAGGCTTTAGAAAGTACAGACTACGTAAATGAAGCTCCTGAGTTCATCAAAACTACTTTGAGAGAATGTTATGATTGTGCATGTAAGGGAGCATTGTCGTATGCATTAGTATGCATTCTATTGGGTGTTACTTCATCACTATTCATGAAAGAGAACAGTTTATCAAAATCGATCAATAGACAATAGACATATAATTTTAATCACTAAGAGAAGTACCTTGAAAATGATGCCACCTTTCGATCGTTCTTCCGAAGAATTGAAGAAGATTTCTATCTCCTGCCTCCAGTCTTCCTAATAAGCTTCCCTTCACATAATTCCAATGATGGAATTTGATTTTTTCCCAATTCTTTAATTTATCTTGCTTGGTATGACCAAGAGTTTCGAGCTTGGGTGATTTCAAGTTTTCAGGGTCTAAATCTGCTGATGAGCTAGGATTACAGAAATGAATAATGACCAATCTTTTAAATTCTCTTTGGTCTTCTGGTGGTTCTATGACTCTATGTAACACAGCTTTGAAATATCCCCCACTGATGAATTCCATAGCGTCACCTATATTGACGATCAAAGAATTCTGTCTGTGTTGTACATATTTCCACCCTCCGTCAAAATAGTCTTTGATTTGGAGAGCTAAAATCGGCTGGGAAGTGATGAAAGTAATAGCACTTATATCACTATGTCCTCTCAAGAAAGTGGAATCGGTTTTGTTACTTTTGGTTTGATTTGCGTAAGGGTGATACATCATAAATCTGCCATGGGAAGCTGAATCATCGGAATTGGTTCCCAAATTTGGGAAATAGTTTTTTTCAATTGTACCTTCGGGTACTTCTAAGATCAAATCACACAATCTTAATATCTTAGGTAATATTTCTCTTTGGATTTTGTTATAATATTTGGCAATGTCTTTCAAGTAGTGAGCAACTACTTCTGGGTGTTGGTTCTTTCGTTCAGTAAAGCTGTCTAAATAAGTATCTCTGAAGTTATAATGATCAATAGAGTCTCTGACACCATTTTTGATTGCCCAATATCCTTTAGGTTTGAATCCTTGCCCTCTTTCACCACCCACAGACCTTGATGATTCTTGTTCCTTGGTAGCAGCACTTGCCAAATAATTCAATTTAACTTCGTCCGGTAAAGTTAAAACACTCTGTGCAATAGCCCTTATATGTTCAATCTCCTCATTGGAGATTCCAAAATTTATTAAATTGAAAAAACCATAAGTTGTTATGGATTTTTCCAATTGGTTAGCCAACGCTTTACGTTGCTCACGATATTCATCACCTTCTTTGAACAAAGATAAGTCGATAGCAGCCAAAGTCACTTTCTCAGTATCACTATTGGACAATGGAGGATCGATGAATGGTCGAATATTATATTTTTTATCTATTTCTGCCATTGAAGTTATGGTAGTGTTGGTAAATATTCAGCTTACTTATACCATTTGTGAAATCCACAGTTCTCCTCCACAGTCCACAGTTTCCTTTAATTAAAGAATAAAGGAATGAAATTAAACTTTTCTTTTTCATCTCTCCCAATGAGGTGGACAATAAGATCCCATTCATGGCTATTGTCTTCAGTTATTGATACCTTCTTCTTCAAAGACAATTAGTCGTCCATTTGCTCTTCATACCATATATTTCGCAGCCAAAAATAATCTCCACAGTGATAAGTCACGTGAAATCGGACCACTCATTTGTAAATTTTAAATCTATATTCATCTACCTAAAAGCACCCTAATTTGTGTTAAAGATGTACTTTTTATCAGCATATTCGTTAGTGACTTGATCTGTTGATCTCTAAATTTTTCTGGTGCCCGAAACCTTAATTTCAAGATCCTTTTTTGGTCTGGTGGGGAGTTTACAATGCCTTTTCCAACTGTGGTGGCTGCAATGATGATACCCATCTATAATTTGGCACTTCGACTATAAATAAAACGCACATTCTTTTCCAAAGAAACAATATGGTTAAACTTCCTTGGTATATCCCTCAACTTAGACAAGTTGACTTTGAAGAAGAAGTGGATAGTGTGATTGATGTTATCAAACATGAAAAGAATCTTACACAAGTAAACTCAATCAGCTCAGACGGCTCAGATTTGATCATTAAGGAGTATAGGGATGAGGCTAACCGGCCCTGGACCAAGTTCTTCGACGAGTATGAATATCGTTTGACCACCAAAGAGGCAGACAAGCATGATTGGTGGAGATGGTTTGATAAAGGTACTACGCCAGAAGAGAAAAAGTTAGTTACGAAGTTGGATTTTCTTCTTGCTTTCTATTCATTCATAGGTTATTGGATTAAGTATATTGATCAAACAAATTTAAACAATGCTTATGTTTCAGGATTAAAGGAATCAATAGGGATGGGTGGTAATGATTTAATTGATACTCAAGTTATATTCACTGTTGGACAAACGCTTTTCGTTTTACCATGGATTTTTTGTTTACCCAGAGTAAGTTTGCCTTATGCTTTATTTGTTATAGAATTCATTTGGGGAATGTTCACTTTATTCACATTCAAGATAGAAAACCCTGCTACTTTAAAAGCTTTTAGATTCATCATTGGAGCAGCAGAAGCTGGATATTTCCCCATTATACATTTCTCATTGGCCAGTTTTTACACTTCAACAGAAATTGGTAGAAGGGGAGCTTTGTTCTATTGTGGACAGTTTTTAGGGGTTTTAACATCAGGATTATTACAAAGTGCTGCGCTGAAGATTCCAGGTCCTAATGATAGTTTGGAAGGATGGCAATATATGTTTATAATAGATGGTGTCATGTCTATTGCCGTTGCATTCTTAGCCTTGTTCATGCATCCAGGTACTCCAATGAAATGTTATAGTATCTGGTTAACTGATGACGAAATCAAATTATCCAGATCCAGAATGAAAAAAAATGGTTCTGATATCAGTCCGACTGTCAAGTCTTTCTTCGATAAACAAACTTGGAAGAACATTGTTACATCATGGCATTTTTGGCTTTTATCAATTGTTCAAATACTTGGTTTTAACACCAATAGTACTGCTTCAGGTTCTTTTGCCTTATGGCTTAAATCTCTTAACAGGTACCTGGTTTCCAAGTTAAATGATTTGACTGCTATTCCACCGGCTTTAGGTCTCATATGGATCATCATTGTTTGTGGTGGAGCTGATTTAACAAGGAAGAGATTCGGAATGATTATATTCTCATTTCTTATGAATTTTACTGCCAACTTTATACTCGCCCTTTGGGATGTTCCTGAAAAGGCTCTATGGGCAGGTTTTTACATGAGTTATTGGTCTTGGTCACAAAGTTCTGTGTTCAATCCGCTTATAAGTGATATATTGAGACATGATGCTAATCAAAGAGCAATTGAATGGATCATCATATATGTACTAGGTTTACAGTCTAGTGCTTGGATGAGTAGGATCAGTTTCCCCACCGTTGATGCACCAAGATTCATGACAGGTTATATTGTATGTTCAACATTTAGTATTGCCTATATATTCTTCTTGTCAATTGCCTATTTCTTTTATAAACGAGACGAAAGAAGAAATGCTTTAAACAATGGTATTTATATTTATGATAGTCGATATGAAATTCCCGATGTCTTGAGAGACAAATCACTGATAGATAGTAAAGAATAGATAAACAAATATATATTAACTAAGCATTAAACTCTACTTTATCTTCACCTTCACCCATAGAACCTTTCCAGCCATTGTCTTTAAGATATTGGTTGAATTTTTCATCTTCTTCAGCTAAATCATAATCAGTGGTATCAGGAACCAAGAAATAAACAACAATTGCACCAAGAACACAAACACCTCCTGAAACAAAGAAAGTGTATCTATTTCCAAGTTTTGTTTGAATAGGAGTGAAAACTTCGGTACCTACAGCTGCTCCAGCTTTACCAATACCAGCAGCAACTCCATAGAAAGTACCCCTCATAAATGTAGGGAAAGTTTCTGAAGCAACAATTGATTGTAAGTTACAAGGTCCCCCATAAATCAAAAAGTTCATGAGAGCATAGAAGATAATGAATAAAGCTGGAATCTTGGATAATTGTTCGAAAGCTGAGCCCACAATAATGGAAACGAGACCGTAACCTAAAAATCCATAGATGATAAGTTGTTTTCTGGACATCCATCTCAATAAAACAATTCCTAATAAAGCTCCAAAACCAGCAAAACATCCAAGAAGCAATTGCCATTCAGCAGTTTGAATCAATGTGGCTTTAGGAATGACAATCTTAATAACAACTGAAGAGAAAACATTATTTGGATAGATAACAAAGTCCATAAGGAACCACATACCAGAAACACCTGCAAAAGATTTCCAATATCTTTTAATACCAAGGATATAAGGAACCTTTCTCTTAATTGAATTTTTTTTATAAACTTCAGCGTGGTGCATTCTCCATCTAAAAGCAAAAATTGAAAGCGGAATAACGGCACCCAAGGCGAAACAAGTTCTATAAATCCCTGAAGTGTTATGTTCACCCCAAATTTTGGCAACAATCAAGAAAACGATTGAAGCCAATGGTAAACCAAAAGCAATTGGAACATTGGTTGCAAAAATGAAAGGTGCCAATTTTCCTTTTTTACCCAATCTTTCATCGGCAGCTTCCATAGCAGCAGAAGCACTACAGGGGTATTCACCTCCGACACCTGTTCCACTAACTCCTCTAGCAATAATTAACATCCAAAATAAATGAGGTTGAGTACTTCCTTTAGCACATGCAGCTACAATAGAACCAATAATAATCAAAGCAGTAGTGATCGCAAAACCTTGTCTTCTACCAATTCTGTCAACAAATAAACCAAAAAAAATTTGACCAATGATATTGGCAACTAAATTGGAGTTTGAAACCATTGTCTTCCAGTTTCCTGTACTATATTGATCGTAAGAAATAGATAAAGCATTATTGACTGGAGAGATGATACTTTGTTGATAACCATCAGAAAGGAAAGCACACCCAGCAGTAAAGACGGCTAACAAGTCAACCCAACTTGTCTTTCTTGTTGGTTTTTCTCTTTCCCCTGAAGAGGTTTCTTGTAATTGTTCTTCAACTTCGAAATTTGTAACTTCTTTCAATGTATCAGACTTGTCAGACATTTGATTGATGATCAGATGTAAGAGAGCATGGTGACTTATTTATAGCTGTCAGATGCCTAAAGCCATGTCCGGTTGAAACTACGTAACGTATGTGGTTGCAAAAATTTTCATGCACGTGTGGAAAATACGCACTGAGGGTAGTTTGTTATTAACGATCGGAACTGACATAATGAATCTGCCGATTTCGAAGCTTCACGTTTCCACGATGGAAATAAATCTCCATATTCAGTACTTGATCCCGCCCAAGAAATTCTTAGCTTGAGCAAATGTCATAAATTTAATAAGACCCATAATTCATAATTGATCTATCAATAAGCTGTCAAACATGTCAAATGCACCGGAAACGTCGCAAATCATTGAAGATCGCGGATATTGATGCGGCTGATATTTTCGAGATGAAAACCGTTTTCACAAAGGGTTGAGGACTTCCGACAATAAGATCTTAAAAAACGTGGCGCTCTACTCAAAAGGGATAACTACTATAAGAAATTTTTGGCAATTAATTAACCTAATTCTAGGCATCCCTAGATGACCCAATGAAAAGTATTTCTTACTAATATATTTCCGCCAGTTTTAATTGGCCGGTGTTCCTTAAGCCACTTTATCTGATTCACTATAATAAACTGCTATTTGCTTGATGCTAAATATGTTGAAAAAAACTTTATTTTTTCTTTTGCTAGTAACAGCTTGCCTTTCTTTCCCCACTTTAATCGAAAATGTCAATTTTGGATTAGTAGACTGGCTTCGTAAGGATTTATCAGATATAAATTTTGAGAGTTTGATTCAAAACGACTACGAATTTGTTCATGGTGTTGCTAGTGGTGATTCCACCAATGATTCTGTAATATTGTGGACAAGGATTAGTCCAAGTATAGAAACAACTGATGATATCCCAGTATTCTTATCAATTTCAGAAGACAAATTGTTTAAGAATCAATCCACATTTACTGTTGTGACAAACCAAAAAGTTGATTATACAGTCAAGGTAGATATTACTGGTTTATTGCCCAACAGAGATTATTATTATCAATTTTTCGCCCTTTCAGGAAGATCCAGTAGAATCGGACATACCAAGACCTTTCCTAATGAAAACGATATTATTGAGGAAATCAAATTTTCAGTACATTCGTGTTCTAATTACGCAGGTGGGTTTTTTACTGCATATGCAATGTCGGCCATTAAAGAATCGGTGGATTTCGTTATCCATTTAGGTGACTATATCTACGAATATGAGAATGGAAAATATACTAATGGTACTGATATTGGTAGAACTCATTTTCCCAACAAAGAATTATATGAGCTTGATGATTATAGACAAAGATATGGATCCTATAGATTGGATGAAGATCTTCAATTATCTCATGGAGATTATCCTTGGGTTGTTGTTTGGGATGACCATGAACTTGCTGATAATAGTTGGTTGAGGGGGAGTGTTAATACTCAAGGTATTGAGTATGTTAATAGAAGAAATGCTTTTCTTCAGGCCTATCACGAATGGATGCCGATTAGACCTCAAGAAAATTTGTCAAAAATCTGGAGACCCTTTAATTTTGGTGATTTGGCTGACTTGTTTATGATCGATACAAGACATTATTCCAGAGACGTTACTGACACTTATGATAATGGGGATTATATTGCTTCCATTGCGGATAGACCTGAGAGAACAATGATGGGTTTCGACCAAGAAGAATGGCTTTATACGTCTTTGAACAAATCCAATGCTACTTGGAAGTTAATTGGTAGTCAAACTGTTGTCAACTCCATTTCATTTGAAAAAATTGGTGAAATCATTGGTGACCCTTTTACAGAAAGAAATTATGATTCCTTCGATGGTTATACTGCTAATAGAAAGAGATTCATCGATGCTATTGTTGAAAACGATCTTCAAAATGTGATTTTATTCTCAGGTGATTTTCATATCTCTTGGGTACATGAAATTTTCTCTAATTCAAGTACTTACAATTTTCAATCAGGAAAAGGTTCATCTATTGTCGAATTTGCAGTGACTGGTACCTCATCACCAACCACATTTCCTAAGAATTATACTATTGAACAATGCTACGACGTATCAGAGTTGTTAGTTTCCAGTAATGAAGGAGTAGTTTGGAATGAAGGTTGGTTCAGAGGCTATTCAGAGGTCAATGTCAACAAAGATGAATTGGTCGTTAAATTTTATGGGGTAGATGTAAAAAACAACGATAGAGAGGAGGTCCTTTTAGCAACATTTGCAGTAGACAAGAATACCAATCATGTTAGAAGAGACTTCAATGACGTTGTTGCTTATGGATATCTCGACAAAAAATTATCTTAATAAGAGAGACCGAGTACGACAATAATGCTGCTATTGACGACATTTTATAGACATATAGCAATAAAAGCTTTCATTCATATTCCTTTCGCTACTTTCAGGATTAGCTCTACTCGATAGAATATAGTACCAGTGTTCAATGGTGAATAATGGTTTTTGGTATGCCATCCACATAAATACTGAATAATAGAAACATTCCAGTCTGTGAGCCTAAATTTTTGGTAACTTATCTATTGATCGTCTAGAGTCATTCATGAACGAGAACGTGTTTTTATCACTTCTGAGACTTCCTGTAACCCTGTAGCAATTCTCTTCTGAAATGCGGTGTATTTAGCGTCAATACTTCACCTTTTTGTTTTTGAGAATCAAACCGAATATGATGGACCTCAGGATTGATACTGATATGGGTACAGCATTTTTCATAAGGTGGAAAATCAATATCGGTACAACAAGAAAGGTCCTTGTCTTCAAGACATACTCGGTTTCCATCTCAAAAGACATCCAATCTTGAGAATTGGCAAACTTACTCTTGAAATTTACACATTCTTACGAAACGGAATATGAAAAAACATCAATTTTTGTAGAAGTATGTGGTGAAAATATCTTTTGGATTTCCTAAGACTTCCCGATCCGTCCAGGATAGCCCGTTGACAATCTGAAATAAACTCGATACTCCCCTTATGATTAAATAGCATCTCTAAGTCTCTCATAATCATGCACACTCCACTCCCAATAGGTCGTTAAATTCGTTGGTAACATCAGAGATCCTTCGGATATGTGAGCTCACCAACAAACCGTGGCACTTACCAGCAATGTGTTGCAAATCCCCTTTTTTGCTTACAGTCTTTTTCGCTCCTCCCTTTTACTTACCACTTTCGTTTATCCCCGATGTTTGTTTTCCGCATCCCGTTTATTTGCCATTTTCGTCTCTTCACCGCTCCCTCGTTTTTCGCATCTATAAATAAGTGGAGCATTAACCCTCCTTACAAAAAAAAAAAAGACATAGCAATGTTGAAGACATACTTAATCGCAGGTGCCAATAGAGGTATCGGTCTTGATTTAGTTAAAGAAATTTTACAAACTGAAACCAATCAGGTTTTTGCAACCGTGAGAAATGTTGATAATGTTGCCGATTTGAAAGCTATCGGATCTGATAAACTTCATATTGTACAATGTGATATATCGTCTGAAGATTCCATTGATGAGTGTTTCGAACAAATCAATAAGCTTACAAACTCAATTGATGTAGCCATTTTGAGTGCTGCATTGATGGAAGGAGATTTCAAAGGACCAATGGAATTGACTGAGTCTAGAGAATCTTGGAATGAGTTCAAAACGAACTCCATTCAAGCATTTGGAGTCAATGCCTTGAGTCAAATTTACCTTGCCAATAAAGTAATCCCGTTAATTGAAGCTTCTAATGAAAAGAAATTGATATTTGTCTCAACCGGTCTTGCTTCCTTAGATTATACTCGTAGAGCTAAAGTAGCTGGAAATGTTTCATATTCATTATCGAAGGTAGCACTTTCCTTGTTGGCTGCAAAATATGGTGCTCAATTGAAGCCTAAGGGTGTTACTGTTTTAGCTATTTGTCCAGGAATGGTTAATTCAAGAAACCTCACTCAGGAACAGGTTGACATGATTTTCGGACCTGCTATAGAACTGACCAGAAAGTTCAACCCAGATTTTGTGGGTGTTCTTACTTGTGAAGATGCTTGTAAGAAATTCCTCAAAGCCGTTGAATTTTAAGGTCTTTTCCATAGTGGAGAATTCATTAGTAGTAATGGTTCAGCAACTGATTTCTAATCACCTTCGATGTCCCAATGTCTCACTAGTCACATTTAAAGCGATATTTTGGCGAAAATTGTTGAAGGCGAAAAGTATATCAATTTTTGACATTCGAAGAAACTTTCTCATCTTTAACCAAAATATACGCAATATAAAGGGTTTCTTACATGATTCGAGGAATAGTGTTATGCAATTACATATGATGGAATTTGTTTGATATTCATAGAACTTTTGAAATGATATCAATAAATACAACCTCCCAACTCTTTCCATCTAATTATGTCCATCACAGTAGAGTTTTTGGTAACAGCAGTTGACAAAATAAGAACGGGAGAAATATATGAAGTGCTCGTTACACTGTTGCCTAAAGTTATTGTATCCTTGATGGTGATAATCTATATCTTTGGATAAATTATCCAATATGGTGGATGGATAGCACAAATTCAGACAATACCAGCAAATGTTCTGCTCCCTATTCTTTCAATTGGATATGCACTGACATTGATCATTTAAATCAAGAAAGTTATTCCAGTGGCTACAGGTGTATTGAATGTGGCGATAACAAAATTCATGTACTCCCGTTCGTAAAACTCCAATTTAGAAATTCCAAGATCAGTTAGAACTGGCTCTTTGCTTTAAAATGAACTCTTTAGTTCAGATTTTGAAGCTCGGATGTTAAAAGTTCGATGCTTACTGATGGTCCAGCTTTTTGCAGCTCTTGGTTTTTCAAAAACCTTTCGCACTGTGGTAAAGTTATTCACCACAGCGCGAGTGAAAACTTGCTTCCGCGTGCCTTCTCACGTGTTTGTGAACGTGAAAGTTCGTGAATAGATGGCTAAACTGCAAATAAGAGTTGTAGTGCAAAAGATAAACTTGTAGATTATTATTCGTAAATTAGGAGGCAATTCATTATAAGAATGACCCCTGATGGAATATGAAGTCCTAGATACTCCCTACAAAAAGTTACCTTACTTTTATTCCAATTTATTACCCTTTATTTATTCTTTTGTCAGTTATTGTATTTATATACATTTTCCTTTTTAATTAAGTTGATTAAAACCCCGTAAGTTGAAATATTATATTAATAGCGCTTAGGCTTTAATCAGTATCGTTTAGTTTGATTAAGAATACTCAAACTTAGAGATACGAAGTTAAAAAATCATTCTTGAAGGAATTCACTTTAGAAAAGGCTTCGCGCTCAGCATTTGCTGGTAGGCAAAAATGGCAAGAACGACAAAAACGATCCAACATCCATAAGCCCTGGCCTTGTCTCCGTAGGTGAGGAATTGAGTTAACTTCTGTGATCAATACTTTTTAGATTCTCCAAAGCATTTAACTAAGATTATTCTGTTGTCTCCATCGTTATGTAACTCCCGTCCAGATTTAAATTTTCACAGTATAAACCACATTTAGTAAATTATCGGATAAATGATACCATTTCGAACAAACCTCTTAATGGTGTGAATGATTGATTGAAATAACCTGAAAGAAAATCCATCTTTTTAGAGCGAAGCTTCTAAATTGAAGGCAGGCCAATCAGGATACATAAGTTAAGTTTTCAAATCTCCATCAGTCGAAGTTCAGCAATTGATGAAGATAAGAAATTCTCTCAATGAAACTTGAGAACTATCCAAATTTCGAGAGTAAGCAAATTTTCTGGCAATTATATTGTTACTATAATGGATTCCAAGTTTTCCGGAAGACTGGGCAAATTTCCCTACTGTAGCACTTTTTAAGCCATCCAACATTTACGGTATTTCAATAGAGCTTGAATAAACAATCGCAATTGTTTGAAAAAAAAATATTATATTTTCGTGTGTCTTAACCAACACATACAAGGGAATAATACTCCATGGTTTCACGGAAGATATGAGCCCCAACCAAACCAAGGAAACAGTAAATCTTTTCCAGAGACGTAACCGCTTAATATGCAAGTTTGGATTATAGTGCGAATTAAAGGAATACCATATTTTTGAAGTCGACAGAAGTTTTGGTTGCCTGTGGTAAGAATGGGATTAGGAAGCAGGATTGAGCTGAAATTTGGGTTTAAATTACTGACTTCGGCGGAGACTGTTGAATACCATAATCTCCATCTAACAAAATTGTAATACAATTATACTCGAATGAATAAAATATATTATGTTCAGCTATTTTCGTAATTCGCGTCTATTTGGCTTTCGGTTCGATTGGCAACTGACTCTATTCAATGGAAAAGACTGATCAGAGTGGAATATTGACTGAAACATGATATGATTTTAGGTTCATAGAGAATCCAGAGAGGATATCTTGGGAGGTGAAATCGATCTCGTTTATGACGGCGACTAGACAATACTGAGACATATTGAGATTCATGTCAGAAATTATCTTTGAAGTAGCTATTCACAATTACTCTGTTAATTTCTTTTCCCCATACATTTTCTCCCGTGAGAACAAACTCAAAGGCTATAAAATAGATCGAAGAATATCAAATAATCATCGGTCAGTCATATAATCTTGAAGTATTAGGAACTCCTAAATGTTCACCATATGCATCTAATCTTGGACCATCCAAGTTAACGTTGATAAATTGACCGGTTAAGCAGCGGAATAAACATTCCGCCATTCAAATAAGAACAATAAGCAAAATAATAACGAATTGGATGATATCTAAAAAATAAATCTCACTAACCCGAATTGCAATTGTTCGGAAATTGGGATGAAATACTCGTGCAATCATTGCCGAGCCTCGTCTTTTCCTCTCAAATTATGAGTACTAAACCCAATTAGAAGAAGACAAGACTTGATAAAATTTTTTACTCTCTGTCGATTATGATGCGAACTGGACGCACTAATTTTTTACACAATTCCGATGTCGCTTACGATTCCTTTTCACCCCTTCGCCTCACGGGTTTTTAGAATCGAGAAACTCGGGGGTATCGTCAACACTAAAACGTAGCTCGTAATGAAAATCTTGCTGTTTGAAGTATATGTTTCCACTTCAGGAAAAATCATTGAATATTCACCATAGAACTGCATACAAAAGATCCTTTATTTTTGCACCTTATCGGCGTATCCAGGAATTATGACCTCAACACTTCATTCAAATACAGGACGTTGAATTCCGTTTCACGAAAGTGATCAAAGAAAATTAATATCTGCAGGACTTACGCATCAACTTGAAATATTTCCGCATTTATTCGATTCCTGATAGAATTGGATTTATCGTGATGGTGAAAATGGAAATTAGGGATGATAGATTTTCTACGGCTTTGATGGTTTCAGCAAATGCCTGTCAATTAATTCGTTTGTGAAGGGTCTACCAATTGCGTGTATTCAGTATTAATGTTTTTTCTCAATAGACAATCAGGCTGAAGTTGAATAATACTCAGGTTGAATTTTCATTGATGCAGGGCATCGTAGATATTATTTTTCAGATGACGAGCATCATCAGTTGGGCATCGTAACAGAGCGTACAATTATTCCAAAACAGGAAATTTCCGGTATAAACCCGAATGCTCAAAATGCATCGAGGTTGGTGAAAGCTGAGGTCATTACTGTGAATGTTTTTGATAATATGTTCTTCTATCACACCCTATGTTCGGAGTCTAGGCTATTTTTTGGGCTCTTAGTCATCTCTGGATTGAATCTGAATAAATTTTTTCAATATTCATGAGACATAAACATTTTTACAAAACATAAGAATTACATTGTTTGATATGGTACTCAAATTGGTCACAATCCCAACAATGCTTTCTAAATCCTACACAGACTTCTTAGCTTCGGAAAATATTGAAGCTTGGTGACGTAAATCGTGCAATGTATTACGAAAAAATACTGTCTTGGATTGTGCTCAACTTGTATGATGCCGATCTTTATTTCATCAATATTACGAGGAATTTTCAACTCTGTAATACGTAAATCTTCTCTCCAAACCAAAACTCTTAACATTAAATTTGTAATGTTTCAGAATAACCCTCCGGGTCTGGTGGCATTGTATCGGGTAAACGAAAATCAAATGCTTTAATTTTGATTTGTGGTTAGTAATTTATCGAACAGCTGAACTCATAATTAAAGCTGCAAGAATTGCCGCATTTTGTTGTAATCAAGTAATGCATATAGGGCCCTATTGTTGAACTAGAATCATTTCAATTCCACCTATTACTCAATATTTTCTAGCCAGTAGAAAATATTACTTGATTTGGATAATGTGAGTCCCAGTTTGTAAAATAGCTATATTTTTTGGAAAGTTGTTTGAAAAACGTGCATATAAGAATCGATTGTTGAAAAGAATCAGTTTCAACTCCACCAATCCAATTACAAAGGAATAAAATCCCTACAATAAATTTCAACAGCTTGCCTATTTTTGCCAAAACGTAGGAAACGAATAATCAGCGACACCAAATTTCATCCTCTTCACTTCGATTGCAATCTTGTGGTTTCTCTGGCCAAATTTCCAAATTCAAAGCAATTGAATCGGTAAACTGCCGCTTGTGAGCCTTCTAACCTAATCTAGAAAACTTCTGGCCAGTGTTCTTGTCAGATCCAACAAATTTCAAAAACAATTCATGCAGGGCAGACTCATGAAATTTATTCTCGCAAGACTCGTAAACGAAGCAGCGAGATTCCCAATCGGTCAAATTTGGGCCCAAAGTGGTAACCAGCTATAAGCATAGCAGTCACAACCTCTAAGGAAATTTGAACAATGCAATAAAATAATTCAAGTTTTATTTACTATAAATAGCTACGTGTTCGGGGATCCTTAAAATCAATGAAGTTTTGTATTCAGATTGTAGCAATTCTTTTGCTATGCTTGAGAACCAGCGCTATCAACGTTGGTTCTTGTGAAATAAATAATGTCAATAGTGGATTCAATGTAGATTATTACAATGTATCATACCATGATTGTGGTGCCGGAAGTGATGAGACTTCCTCAGTTTGTGCAGAATACCTTCAAAATGACTTTGAACAACGGTTGTCCCCATCTTTAAGTATTGAAGGTGTCCAGAATCTTACTTTCTATTTCAATCCCCCCTTACCAGATCCAGTCTATGAAACACTTTATGGTAAACTTGTCAATGTTCAGAGTTTTGGGTTGAGAATAACAAGTTACTTTCATGCTCCTCAATCCGGTACTTACCAGTTCACAATCACAGGGGTTGATGATGCTGTGGTTTTTTATTTTGCAGGACAGCAGAGTTACGACTGTTGTCAATCAGTTACCGAGCTATACACTCCTTCCCTTGTTGCACAATATCCGGCTGGAACAACCACATATGATATAACATTGGAGGAGGGATACTATCCAATGAAATTACTTTATATCAACTGGGGTGGAGCAGGTAGTTTGAAATTTCAAGTAGTTTATCCAGACGGCACTGTTGTTACGTCTGATAATATGCCAGCTTATGCTCCACAAGAAGATTCCCAGTGCGTAGTTAACACCGTTACCACTACCTCAACTTGGACAGAGACATTCGGAACAACTTACACTATAACTCCAACCGAAACTGGAAACGTTACTGCAACTGTGATCGTAGAAGTTCCTCCTATACCCACTACTACCATCACCAGTGGTTCAGTCCCAACTAGTTATTTGACTACTATCACCACTGGTTCAGTTCCTGTTACTGAATATGTTACTGTCACTCCAACTCCAGAAATTCCAACTACTACCATTACAAGTGGTTCAGTACCTACTAGTTATTTGACAACTATTACTACTGGTTCAGTTCCTGTTACTGAATATGTTACTGTCACTCCAACTCCAGACATTCCAACTACAACCATTACTAGTGGTTCAGTCCCAACTAGTTATTTGACTACTATTACCACTGGTTCAGTTCCTGTTACTGAATATGTTACTGTCACTCCAACTCCTGATATCCCAACTACAACTATCACTAGTGGTTCAGTACCTACTGGTTACTTGACTACTATTACCACTGGTTCAGTTCCTGTCACCGAGTACGTTACTATAACTCCAACTCCAGAAATTCCAACTACAACTATCACTAGTGGTTCAGTACCTACCGGTTACTTAACTACTATTACTACTGGTTCAGTTCCTGTTACTGAATATGTTACTGTCACTCCAACTCCTGATATCCCAACTACAACCATCACTAGTGGTTCAGTACCTACTGGTTATTTTACTACCATCACTACTGGTTCAGTTCCTGTTACTGAGTACGTTACTGTGACCCCTACTCCAAATATTCCAACTACTACTATTCCTGGTAGATTCCCAACAACTTACTTAACCACCATCACCACCGGTTCAGTACCTTTTACTGAATACGTCGTTGTCACTCCAACGCCTTGGTCTAATTCTACCTCAGGAGTCCCTTCAAGCCCAGTTACTGATACAACTATGATTTCTTCAACCGCTGTCCCACCTTCGGGCCCTGCCATCACTACTGAAACTGCTACCACTATTGTCACCCTTCCATGTGATGTTTGTGAAGGTGGTGTCTCAACCTCAACCAAAACAACAGTTACTACAAAGACTTTACCATGTCATCAATGTGAAGGTACAAATACCGATGGTGGAAACCCTCAAGTTACTCCTCAATCGAGTCCTACCAAAGTCCCAGGTTCTGGTTCTGGTTCTGGTTCACCAGGTTCTGATAACTCTGGAACCACTTCACCTGTTGTTTCTGCTCCAGTCAGTACTTATGAAGTCTTAGAGGGTGGTGCTTCTTCAAAAGCTGTCACATCTTTATTACTTGTTCTTTCAAGTTTCTTATGGTTTGCTTAAACCATGCTTTTTATACTTAGGATTTTTTTATTTCTTCTGCTCCCGTTATATTTTTCGATATTTGTTAGTTTTTCATTTCCATTAATGTAAGAACCACCTGATGCGTTCGCTTTCTCTCTCGTGGTATTTCTCATAAATAAGCATAAGGACAAGTTTTGTTTGTCTGACGCGAAACAGAAGTAATTTTTTGCTCACCTCGCTCTTTCTTTTTGCAAGATGCTTGGTGCAACTTTGTAGACTCTTTCTTGAGGTGCTTTGACTTCAATTTTTGAGGAATTGGATAAAGCAAGTGACTTTGGAAAATTAGAATTTCCCATAATTCAACTTTATTCTTATATGATAATTTATTATCCTACTTTAACTATGAGAGTCTAAATTCATAGGAAATTTGGGATAAAAGAGATCTTCAAGGATCCTTGGTACCGAAGCATCATTCATCAAGTATCTTAAAATATTTCAGCTCCCACAATATTCAATCAAGCTTGAAACCTACTCTTGATAATTTTGTGCACACGTGACGCGAATGAGCGAGTCTCACCTCCAGAATATCTAACGTATTATTCAAGTAAAACCTGCCTTTCGAAAGAACTTGCACATTTCAGTGCAGCTGAATAACCTTTCATTATCGTATCATGATTGAAACAAAAAATTATTAGAAATATAAGAAGTTCTGATAAGAAAGTTGTTGAAATATTTATAATACATGATATAATTATAGAACTAATAATTATAGAACTAATGATGAAAGAATTTCATAAAAGGAAGTCCGTACTTTTGTCGAGACGTTTAATCAGATAGAATATCAAAATGAGTTCGATAAATTTTTAACATTTATTTATTTTCTGTTGCACAGTTATTTTGATAGTAGATGAGAAGACATGAAAGTTGCAAAAAATAGAAGAAAAAGAATTTTAAAAAATTGTGCGAACAGTGAAGGACAGTTAGAACTACAGCAGCAGTAAAGTAGAGGGAGTGTGGTAGCGATATTACTATTGAT